TTGCTGCCGGCCGGGTGCGTGGTCCGGGGCGAGGAAAAGAGCCTTCTTCGGGTAGGCAACCAGCGCGGGGTGGCGTCGGGACTTGGCGGCCACGCCAGTCGATGATGGTGTGTGATTGCGGAGTGACGCCCGGTTGGCGGTTGGCGCCGAGTTATGATGTCAGTGCTGGCCGCCGGCCGAGCCGCTGGCCCACTCGCTTTTGGCGAGGCGAGGCGTTCGCCCTGTCGCCATTAGCATACGGCATGTGTGCAACCATGGCGGGGCGGGGCGGGGCGGGGCGGCTCCATGCGGAAGTCGTCCTTGCCGCCCCGCCCCGCCGCGCGCCCTGTCTCCGGCCCGGCCCGGCCCGGCGGCCTGGTGCTGCTCCTGGATGGCATGGATGTCTTCTCGTCCCGCTCCCCTTCCCCCACCTCCTGTTCCTCTCGCTCACCCCTGCGACGACGCCGCCACCTGCCGGCCAGCCCGGCCAGCCCGGCCAGCCACCACACGGCTTCCGGTCTCCGTTGTGCGGGGGCGGGCGGGGCGGCGGGGCCTGCCTGCCTGCTCGGGCTGCCCGCCTGGCGGCCTGGCGGCGATGGGTAACGGACGCGGGGATCTTCGTACTCCTCCGTGCACTCCGTGTGTGACGTCGTTGCGTCACTCGCACGGTCGCCAAAGCCAGCCAAAGCCAGCCAAAGCATCGCGGCCGGCCGCCGCAGGAATGCCGCAAGCAGGATGGTGACACTTTCTGTTTGTTTTCATTTTTGGCGGTTTTCGCTGCCGGCCGTGCCGCTTTGGCTCGCGAGTGCTGCCACTTTGTGTACGACCGCAGTGCCGCCACCGCCACCGCGGTCGAGAGAGGAAGTCGGTCCATCGTTAGGCCGCCGCGCCTTCCAGCGGCCTCTGTGTTGGAAGAATGAGTCACTTTCAGCATACACATTCTCGAAAGCGCAACAAAAATAATACCACGCATAATTTATTTCATTTATTTATTTTTTAAAAACGAGAGAAGTGGCTTTAAGTATGGATTTTAGTCTCTATTTTTCTCCACCTCCAACGGGGCTCGTTTTATTTGTGGCTGATCGATCCCCAGCGCCACCACGCGGCGCACCGCGGCGCACGCCGCGATGCCTTGGCTTTGTCGTACCTCCCACTGGCAGAAGCACGCACGTGCGTGTGTGAGTGAGTCTGTGCGTGTGTGAGTGTTCCATCGCCACAAGGTCTCCCGCTCGCGGTTTTGCCCCCGTGGCGCAGCGCGGCAGCGGTGGCGAGCCTTACCGGAAACTAATCATTGAGGCGCGTAATTCTCACATCAAGGCGGCCAGGGCAGTGCCGGGGCACACCGCTTGGCTACCGTTCGCCGCGGCCAAGTGCGTAGTACACTGTCAAAGCGACGTCATGTTTATGTTTCACAATGAAGGCTGGTTCATGATTGGCACACGATGCGCGCGGACTGCCTGTTTTCCATCGCGCTTTTAATCGACTGGGCGGTACAGCGGCCGCTGCAGCTGGGCCCACAAAGACTCGACAAAAGTTTAAGTGATGGTTAATTCACGGCGGCGCTGGGAGATGACCTCTGCCGTCCTCTGAAGGTCGCGCCCGCTGAGGTCGACACGGCAACGGGCCTTCCCTCGGGGCCCTGCTTGGCCTGCACGCCCTGCTCCGCATTGCGGTCTGTCCTGTCCACCCTCTGCCCTTCCGCACGCACCTCGCGCCTTTGGGCGGGGTCCCTTTATGATGAGAAAGGACCGGGGGAGGGGGGCTCACGACGCCGAGGACGAGGGGGGGGGGGGGCGCTACGGAATGTGGTCTCGTACTCGTGTCGTGGTGAAAGTGACATGCTGGCCGCACTCCGCGCCACGCCGCCACGCCTCGGGGCACCGGGCGGGCACCGCTCGCGGCGAACGCCACGCCGTGGCCTGCCGTGGCCACGCCGGAACGGCGGAGATGAAGATGGGTATGATGGGCACGGGGCGGCGCGGCGCACCGGCACGGCCGGGAAATGCGACCGCCGCGTCGCCCCGTCTCGCTCGCACCCTTGCGGGACGCCCCCGAGAGTGCGACGGAGACGGTGCCGTTCGCAGTGGATCGGCCCGTTCGTCCGTGCATAACGCGCGCCCTATCGATGATGATGCCCCCGGAGGCTAGGCAGCCCGCCCGGCAGCGCCCTCGCTGCTCATACCGCGCCGTCACGCTACGGTGGGCTGGGCCTGGTGGGCCGGGTGGGCCGGGCCCCGGTGGGCAGGCTGGAAGGATTTGGGGCTGGGCCCGCTGGGCGCGTCCTAGGCGCGTCGAGGCGGCCGTCCGGCTGAAGGATTCGACGGGGGAGTCGGGGGAAGGGGGGCGTGATAACCTGGCGGGCTGATGGGATCCATTTGGGACGCAGTGGGACTCGCCCGGCTATCTCGTGGGCCCGGCCGGCCCGGCCTGGCCGGCGTGCTGCAAGCGCCAAGCCGTGCCCTGCCTAGCCAGCCTAGCCGCCTAGCCCAGGCCGAGACAATAGCACTTTGTTTCCAGCCACGCCCCGCCCGGCCAAGGACTTCCCCCGCCCGGGCCTGGCCGGCCGGCCGAGGTCCGAGCGCGGCGCTCGGCGGCGCTGCCCCCGGAAGGCAGGCAGCCAGGCAGGCAACCCCCAGAGTGATTGCGTCCTCCCTGCCAAGGTCGTGAACGCCCTGCTAACGCCCTTGCTAACGCGGTGCCTCTCTGTTTGCAGATTGCGGTGTTCCACGTCCACGTCGTCGCGGGCGCACAGGTGTGCGTGAGCAGGCAGTGCAGCCCCGCCCAGCGCTGCGCGCGGTGCGCCGTCAGGGCGGCGAGGGCGTGATGCGCCCCGTCAGTGCGCGCGCGCCGCCCCGCCGCTGAGGACGCCGCCGTAGGGACCCGCGCCCATGCCGTAGAGCGCGACCGCGGTGCCGCGATGCGCGAGGGAGGGTCGGGGTGGCCGCCCCGCACCGCGGGCCCCCACGGCCCGCACGGCCCGCACCCCCACCTGCGGCCCCTGCCGCCGGCCGCCGCGCAGGGCTGCGCCGACGGCGACCTGCTGCGCGCGCTGAGCACGCCGCCGGACTACAGGACGCTGCACGTAAGGACACTTCCATGTTTGCCATTCTGGTTTCCGATTTCCGGTGTGTGACGTTGTCTGTCTCGTCCCGCAGGACTTGCAGCTGATCCAGGGCGCGCTCGCGGGGCTGGACGCGCTCGCTGGCTGCAGGGAAGCCCCGCTGCGCGCGCTGAGCCGCACGGCGCGGCTGGAGCGCCACCAGGCCAACGACGTCCTCTACCAGTGAGTCCATGTCGCATCGCCCCCGCCCCCCGCGGTCCTGCACTAGAAACTGCAATGGGTACAAATCGCGGCCCTTTTTCACGCGCCGTTCGAGCACGTCGACGGCTAGCCCATTCAGGGCGCTCTGTCTCTCTCGCAATCGCTGGGCGCCCCGTTGCGGTGCGAGAGAGACAGAGCGATGGAGTGAGCCTGCCGCGAACCGGGCCCTGGCGGCCCTTCTGGCCCGGCCCGGGCCACTTTGGACGTGATTCGACCAGAATCTGGCTGACCGCGTGCCGGTGTGCCGGTCAGCGCGCCGCCAAAATAAGAGGTGGCCGACTCTCCCGTTAGGGCGGCGGGCGCGGCGGGCCATCGCCGCCCTGCAACTGCCCTCGCCCTTCCCCCCCTCCCCTCCCCCGCCGGACCACTTTGGCCCTGTTTGGCGCGCCCAAAGGGAACAAGCCAGAATGTGTTGCGGTCGGACGACATTTCGAGTTTCCAGGCCTCGGCCCAGACCCCCTCTGTCCAATTGTCCAGTTGCCCCCCTCCCTTTCCCCCCGGGGCCCTTCCCTCTTTAGGTTAGCAGTCCCGGCCCGTCACTCAGCTAATAGGCCGTAGCCAATGGTTTTGTTGGGCCCGTCGTCCGGGCCCGGCGTTGAGTAGGGTCGCGCCTGGCCGAGGGAAAGGGAAGGCCCGTCTGGATGCCGCCTCGAAATGAAAAAGCGTTCTGATTTGGATTGGACTGATGGCGTGTCTCTGTGTGTCCGCAGCACCGGCGAGCTGTCCTCCTGCTGGTACATCCTGCTGTCGGGCTCCGTCTTCATCGACGGCTCCATGTTCCTGCCCCGGTCCAGGTACGTCTGTGTGGCTGCCAGTCTGTCTGCGGCGGGGGCGAGGGAAGTCCGCGCCGTCCGGCGGTGGCGGTTTGCTCGAACTCGTCGAGTGTGGTGGTCCCGGCCTGGTCCTGGCGCCGTGCGCGCCGTGCTGTCCGGGACGTGCCGCGTCGGTGCATTCCTGCATTGGCGGCGGCACGGTGGGCACGGCGCGGCGCACGCGAGGCGCGATGCGTCAAGGTGCAGCGACGCGGTGCAGCGGAGTGCAGCGGAGTGCCGCCGGACAGTGGGCCTGCCCTGCACGGCGTGCCGCGGCACCGCGCACCGCTGCATGCACGCGGGGACGCGGGGCGCGGCGAGGAGGCGGGGGAAAGCGACGTCCACGACGACGACGCCCTGAGACGCGACGCCGCCGATGCGAGCGGAGCTGGCGGAGCGCGGCCGAGACGGCCGAGACACGCGCTCGCGGCCCGAGCCGAGCCGGGCCGTGGCGTCGCGTTGTCGACATTCTTCCCACTCTTCCCAGGGCGGCGTTGCCGCTGTGCGTTTTCACGGGTCCAGAGACGGGTGAAAAGGGTCGCGAAATTGGCCGGCGGGGTCAGGCCGGGGGAAGTCCAGGGCCGCGGGGAAGGGCGTGTTAGGCCCCGGGTCGCTATTCCGGACGTTATCGACGCGCGCAGAGCCCCAGCGCCGCGGCGAGGGCGACGCGAAGCGGGCTTTGCGCGACTGTACGGTGGGGCCGCACCCGTCCGCTCGGGACCGTCGAGCCCTCGCCGGGCGAACTACGCCGTGCGATTCGACGGGGTCTTTCTCTCGCCGCGTCCGGACGCTCCCCAGCTACGCGTCTGTCGCTCCAAACCGCGCTGTTAACGTCAAAATTGGGCCGATTTGGGCGAAAAACTGTCCCGCGCGGAGACATCTGGCAACAGGGCACGCGTCACGGATTGGAGGCTCGGGAGAGAAACGCAGGATCCAGGGCGCCGTGACTCTCGAGTGCTTGTCTCTTCGCTCTCTCCAGACTCGGGCCTCTGGGAGACATATTTGTTTTGAACTCGCTGTGTTTGTTTATCGGGGGTGTTTTTGAGGTGTTCGCACTCGCGGGGGGTGTGGTGGAAGAGTGCGTGGTTGTCGTGGGTGTGGTCTGAACCCCGAGGGGCGTGTGGAATCGCCCTGGACAAGTGGCCGTGCCGTTCTGTGCTCCGCTGCTCCGTGCACCGCCTCCATTGCTCAGGCCTCCCAGTGCCTGGCCCCGCTAACCCTCCAAGCTGGATAAGAAATCGCCCTGGCCTGCATCTCGCCCCCAACCCAGTCGTAGCAGACCCCACGATGCTAGCCAAAGGTACGGGGAGGCTCCGCGGGGCCTCAGCGACCACGGGAAATGTCACAGCAGGTGTCACATCTGACGGGAGCGCAGAGGGGAGTGGCGGGGAGGGGGTTTGTTTCCATTTCATCTGGAATGCTGTGATAGCCTCGCCCCTGTGTCCCTGGCTAGATTTGATGGCAAGGTGACTCTGTGCAAGTGGCTGCTTTGCAATTGCTGACTGGTCTGGGCTGCCTGCGCCTCTGTGGGAGAGCCACTGCTGGGGCTGTGGTCTTACCTAACCACTTGTTTACTGCCCTCATTTACTTGATGGACTTGTCGCTCAGTTCAGGTTGTTTGGGGACTAGATAGTTGCCGTGTTTGGAAGTTAGCTGTCATTGCTGTGTGATTGTTTCATTTTTGTTTAATTTGTGAGCATTGTATTGGTTGGTTCAGTGACAACTTTAACCTCAAAATTGTGACCGCTACTGTAATCACATTCACTGCTGTGGTTGGCTTTGTTCCTGGTTATAAATGACTATGTTTTGAACAATATTTCTAGTGGCCCATTTTATTTGTATTAAGTTCAAGGCTTTAGCAGCATGTTATCAGTTCATATCCTGATAGATATTCCTACACACTAATAAACTTTGTTTGTTTTTTCCATTCATTCAGTTTTGGCAAGCGCACCGGTGGCAGTGCCAGGAGACCCAATGAATGCTTTGTGCTGGAACCCTCTGAGATGATTGTGGTGCGTTTTCAACCTGCTTACTTTAAGCAACTTTCTCAATATTTTCTCTTGCGTGTATAAATTTTATATGTATGTGGTTTATTTAGATTGACTACCCGGAGGCTCAGAGCTACCGGGGAAGGCCGCGCATTCAGGGAGGAATGCCCAGTATGGACCGAGGAGTCAATCTGGTGCTGGACGACGCGGTAAGTAAACTTGAAAACCCTCAGTTTCTTTATCAGAATCACAAACTTCTGGTTAATTTGTTTTTCTGTGGTTTTAGTTTGGGAACGCGCGGCCAGAACTTTATCAAAAGTCAAATCGGAGCTCTCACTCCTCTGATACCTCATCTGCATACTCAGGTTCAGACACCATGACTAGTGTGCATTCCTCAGTTGACGCCGATGAGGTTGATCTCTCTGGCCTCGTCGAGTCCATTGTTGACTCAGACGAGGAAGAGGATCTTGCAGAAAGCATGGATGTAAGTTACCTTATAGTGCTTTCTCCATTTTCCAGGAGGATGTCTTACCCAATTTCTTTATTTCACACATGGCCTTATATACTTTTCAGAGTTTGACAGTACGTGATACTGTGCGGGAGTGCCTGGAGAAAGATCCTTCAGAACGGTCTGAGGATGATATAGAAACACTCCTTGAATTCACACAGCACTTGAAAGCATTCACAAACATGACACTCTCAGTACGTAGAGCACTCTGTAGTGTTATGGTCTTTGCTGTTGTGGAAAAGGCTGGCACCATAGTAATGAATGATGGTGAAGAGCTGGACTCCTGGAGTGTGTTGATCAATGGTCATGTAGAAGTTGAACATGCCAACGGAGACACAGAGCAGCTTCATTTGGGTGACAGGTAAAATTTAAATTATGTATGGACTGTGGAAAGTGAAAACATTTTCTTTTACTGCCTGTTATTAAAACCTTAATATCATTATTCAGCTTTGGTATCTTACCAACAATGGATAAACTCTACCACCGAGGAGTTATGCGAACACGCTGTGATGACTGTCAGTTTGTGTGTATCACGCAAACAGATTACTACAGGATTCAGAGCCAAGGTCAGGAAAATACCAGAAGGCATGAGGAAAACGGGCAGGTAGTGCTGGTCACTGAGCAACGGGGCCTCATGGATGGTGGTGGCCGGCGTGGACATGTAGTGATTCGGGTAAGATTTTTATGACCGTGTTCCAACAAAGCACTCACAGCTCAGTTCACAATGATTTGTGCTTAAATTTGTTTTTCTAACTCAACAGGGCACACCAGACAGGCTCATGCTTCAGTTAGTAGAAGAAAACTCAATTATTGATCCCACATATGTAGAGGACTTCCTGCTCACACACAGAACATTTATTGATAATTCATTCTCAGTTGCCAATCAGCTTTTGGAATGGTACGACATCTTTGTATATAATATATCAATTGATGTGTCAGAAGTGCTTTGTGGCATTAGTTTAATTTTCTGATGTGTTCACTCCAGGTTCAAAGAAGAAAGTGTAAGGGACAGAGTTACTCGGGTAGTTCTCTTGTGGGTGAACAATCACTTCACAGACTTTGAGACAGATCCTTCAATGATGGAATTTCTTGAAATGTTCGAAGCTGGTCTTGAACGTGAGAAGCTGCTGGGTCAGCTCCGATTATTGAACATTGCATGTGCAGCAAAAGCAAGAACAAGAAATGTTGTGTTGGCAAGACCATCCCGAGACGAGCCTCTCCATTTTTCCATTTTGGGTGGCTTTGAAAGGGGATTTGGCATTTTCATCAATAAGGTAGAAAAAGGCTCCAAAGCTGAAGATGTTGGTCTGAAGCGGGGAGATCAGATTTTGGAAGTCAATGGTCAGAGTTTTGAGCATGTTAATCATGCAAGAGCTTTGGAAATACTGAGAGGCACAACCCATCTCAGTATAACTGTCAAATCCAATCTCCTTGCTTTCAAGGAAATGCTCTCTATGCCAGACAACTCTCCAAGATCACGGTCACGCAACAAAATGTGTGAAATTGCTCGACTCCAAGCTGACCCAAGAGCTCGGTTGGCATCAACAACAAATGCCAATCTAGAACTACCTGCATCACTTGGGATTTCAATGCCTGATTCAATTTCGATCCCTCCCCCTTCTTCACCACCCCCCCTTGGTCTCAATTCTCCCAGTAAAAAGGATTCTGCAGGGCCCAAAGGCTTTAATACCCTGGGTCCCAAACGACGGTTACAGAAGGCCCTTATGAAAATGAACATTTTGCCGAAAAATACTATCACGTATGTATTTTTATTGTTTTACTACAAACATTAGAGTTCTTCCCAAATCACTGGAAAAGAATTAATGTTGGAATATTTCTTTCCCCCATAGTGACATTGTTCATAGTGATGACTCAGCCTTCAGTCGGTCGGCAAGTGCAAGCAACTACACCGGTGGTAATCTGTACCACAGTCACAGCAACCCTGATCTGGTTAGTTTGTGTTATGAGGATCCTAGGGGAGCTGATTATCCAGAGCATGTCCTGAAAGTGTACAGGTCAGATCAAACGTGCAAGTATCTTCTTGTACACAAGGTAAGGTTTTATTCATTTTTTAATTTTATGTTTGTTGTAATTTTAGCGAAGTTTTTCACAATCTTTGTTCTTTTTTTCTTTTTTATTTTCAGGAAACAACTGCACATGAAGTTGTGATGCTTTCCCTTCAGGAATTTGGAATGACCGATTCCAGTTCCAATTTTTCCCTTTGTGAAGTGTCTGTCACTGAGGGAGGAATAATTAAACAACGCCGCTTGCCAGATCAACTGCAGAACCTTGCAGAGCGTATTGGCTTATCATCACGGTATTACCTGAAAACAAATGGAATTACTGAGACGCTTGTTGCGGATGAAATGGCACCAGAGCTCATAAGGGAATCCCAAGTTCACTTCTTACAACTAAATGCTGTTGAAGTGGCTGTTCAGCTTACTCTTCAAGACTTTTCTATTTTCCGCCAAATAGAGAGCACAGAGTATGTAGACGACTTGTTTGAGCTCAAAAGCCGTTATGGTACCCCAATGCTCACCCAGTTTGCAGAGGTACGATTCTCTCTTCCTTTCTTAATCTTAACTAAGTATCTTAAAACTTGCTCTCTTACCTTCATAATTTCTCTTGAACAGCTTGTAAACCGGGAGATGTTCTGGGTTGTCACTGAAGTATGTTCGGAACCTAACATAGTCAGGCGGTTCAAGATCATAAAGCAGTTTATCAAAGTTGCCCGTAAGTAAAAAATTTTTACAATCTGCCTTTATTAAAAAAAAAATTTCATTTTTTAATGCAATCTCTTTGAACTTTCAGGTCAATGCAAGGAGTGCAAAAATTTCAATTCCATGTTTGCAATTGTTTCTGGTCTCGGTCATGGTGCTGTATCTAGATTGCGAATGTCTTGGGAAAAATTGCCATCGAAGTATCAGAGGTTGTTCAGTGACCTACAGGACCTGATGGACCCGTCTCGTAACATGAGCAAATACAGGCAGCTTGTCTCCAGTGAACAAGCACAACCTCCCATTGTGAGTGTAGCACACGCCTGCACCAAACCTTAGTTTTATCTGTGAGGGATAAATAATAACAATACCTTTTCTCGTAGATTCCATTTTACCCGGTTGTGAAGAAAGATCTCACTTTCATTAATTTGGGCAATGACTCAAAGGTGGAAGGGCTTGTGAACTTTGAGAAACTGAGAATGATAGCCAAGGAAGTTCGAACTTTGACAAATATGTGCTCCTCACCTTATGACCTTCTGACAATGTTGGAATTAGGTTGGTGGTACTTTTTGGTTTTCGGAGATATATCATTGTTTGTTGCCCTTCGTCCTTGTTACTCATCCATTATTATTATTAGGTGGACAACCACCCTCCTCTGCGATGGTCGCCCTAAACCAACTCACGACAGGTAGTGGTGCCAGCGGAGGTCAACCTGGAGCTTCGACTGTGAAGAGAAGAAAGAAATCAGCCGCTGCGCCCAACCCCAAAAAGATGTTTGAGGAGGTATTGTTTCTACCTTCTTTTCTTTTGAACCTTATTTTTATCTTGATCAGAGCATTTAATGTTTTTATTTTCTTCAGGCTCAAATGGTGCGTCGGGTGAAAGCATACTTGAGTCACATGCGAGTAGTGAGAGATGAAGAGAAGCTGCACGCTCTGTCTTTACAATGTGAGCCTGCTGGCGCTGCCCCTGGTTCCAATCCACCACACCGACACAAGCGCCACCCTTCACCAACATTATCGACCACAAGCTCTGCTAGCTCCGTCAGCTCTGCCTCTGCGGGAGAAGGGAGACGAAGTGCTGCCCCCAAATTTGGCACCGCCTCTCCTCAAGCAGTCCGGAAAATGCTTGCTCTGAGTGAACCTGGCAAGACGAGGCCACATCAGCCGCGGCATCCTGGAGCCGTCGCCATCCCCAGTGGCTTTTCCCCAGGAGCACTTAGGCGAGGCACAGAACTCGCTGGCTCTTTGGCTGGCAGTTTTGCTGGTATGGTGGCCAGAGCGAGCCATGAGCGGTCGCATTCTGACACACCAGCTGTGCGACTTTCTGCCGAAAGCAGTTCAGTGACATCTCTTTCCAACTTACCGCTTCGCAAAACTTTGACTTCGGGTGCGTTTCTATACACTTTATTTGGTGCCTTGTCTGTTCTCGTTTATCAACCACTGAGCTGTTTTATTATGATTCAGGTTCAGTTACCTCCAGTGACTCAGGGCATTCTACTCAGTTGGACTCCAGATCAAACAGTTCTATGGAAGTAGCCAGCAGTTCTGGTGGAGTTACTTTTAACTCTGTCCCAGGGGGATCACCACCTTCCTCTCAAATAAGGCGTCACTCAGCACTCCAAGGTACTTTATTTCATCACATCCTTCTTTCACCTCTCAAATATCAAATAAACCAAAAGAGCCTCTCAATTTAAAAATTGAACTGTCCATCTCAGTGACAACTTAATTAAATCAGGTTTATCCTGTAGCTTATAAGTGGACAGAAATTTTTAAAGCAATATGCTTGGTGCATGAGATGTTCATATTGCCATGATGCTCTTTAAAATGAATATATCAACTTAATTCTGCTTCCGGGCGATGCACCAGATAGAGCAAACCTATACTATGTCTTATGTGGAATCTTTGGTTACACTTATACATTTGTGGTGCTTGGTTTGCAAGGTGCTTTGCTTATGGATTGGGAATAATTGGTGCATGATGCGCATTGTCATTGTGGTATGTTTGGTTGCTAGGCAAGCTTTGGTCTGTCGCTCCATTTCCGCATGCTGTGGCTGTCTTGCCTCCAGTGCCACCTCGCAGTGAGTATGATGCTACTGTTACGTTTGCATTGTGAAAGTTGTCTGTCTTGTCATTGTTCGGGGTGGTGCTTACTTGCTGCTTGTTTGCAGGTGGAAGCATGGCCCCGCCACCTCCTCGTCGTGCGCCACCGGCCTACACTGTCGCTGCGCACATGGCTAGGATCCACCGCTTGGGGAGGGCGCATTCCCATGAAGGGGTCTCTGGGGGTTATTACCTGACCGAGCCAGAGGAGGATGGTGAGTTCATGCCACATCGCTTCCACTCGAGCTTCAGGTAGGAAATTCTTCTGTTTAGAAAAACAAATCAAAGTGCAAAGACGAAAGTAATGTTTAAGTTGTTTTAGTGTTGTTACTTTTTCTTTCATTTGGTATTTACCCTAAGCAAAAGGAAAAAAAATTCAAAGCCATGGAAAAATATTATCTCATATTTTATTGAAATCCGCACCAGAAGCTCAAGTGTAGCGCTTAGACATGCATTGATAGAAACTCCGTTTTCTTGTAATAAGTATACTTATTTCTTGTTTTCTCATTGTTTTCAGATGATGAGGATGCCCAGGTTTCAGCTGTGTGAAAGCAATGGGTGTCAACAACATTGGATATGGTGCAGGAGTATACCAAAGATAGCAAATAGTGAAATTTAATATATTATCTGAGTGAGTTGACACTTACTTGTATTAAGTTGTAATGAAGATGTAAGTAACTGTAGACAATTTCCCTGTTTGGTGTGCTGCTAGCTCACTTGATAGAATCCCTCCTTGTGAAAGATATTAGGTGTTTATTAGGACCAAATTTTAATCTGAGAGTGAAAGCAATAACCTTTAGACGTGTTGATTTTATGTAATAGTGTTTATCTTATGGTGCTAACAGCTGACTGTATGTTTGCTAATATATGTCTTGTCAACGACTGTAATCTCTTTTACTTCTCTCTGGGAAGACTGGTTTATTTATCTCAAGAGACTAAAGGTGCATTTTCTTTTATCATAATTTTTCAACTAACATCTTTCATTAGTTTGGTAGACAGCACACCTTCGAACATTGAAAGACGACTCTCACTCTGTTAAGTTCCAATTGTTTGTTTGCAGTTTTACTTTATTTGCCTGTGAAATTTGGTTAAGATAGTTACCATACTATTATAAATGTATGTACAGTATCAATTGTTTTCCCCTAAGCCTAAAGCTATGCTTGTTTTTATTATTAATGTTTACTGGAATCGACTCTAAAAATAAGTTTTATGTGGTTATTGTAACCCCCTACACAGAGATTATTATATGAATTATTACAATTGTATAACATATCACTCACCAATTGCACTGTGAAAATTTTGTGATTGCAGTGTGGTGAATGATTCTCATTATTTTTATTATCCTGCAAAGATATATTTTGTATTGTAACATTTATGAAAGAATGCGATAGTCTCTCTCAATGAAAGGTGCTATTTTGAACCTTTCTGAATGTAGTGTTAAGTCCACCCAATCATGCTGCTATAGGATGTATGTTGAATTTTATTTTGTATTAATGTTGAGGAATGAAAATGAAACAGATTTTGAAATATAATGATCTGTGTGTGAGTGAAATTTCTTTGACGATGTGCAGTGAGAACCTATTTTCTTTTCTACCTTTCAGCCAGAACATCTATTGGGCTGGCCACTAATTGTCTATGGTTCTATTGTAGTCTAAGAAAGAGGTTCTCACTGTGTCTAGTCAAAATGATCGCAAAGGAATTGGCACTACCAAAGCTTGCTTGGTGAAATTCTGCGCCAGTATCTTGTTGGTGTTATTAATAATTGGTCATTTCCAGGGGGCATGCTCACAGCATTTTTAACGCTAACTGCATATTAATTTATTATTTGGATGCATACCCCTTTTTCGTACTCACTTTGGTTTATATTGAGAGGTATGTGTAATACCTGCATAATATATTCAGCTCTACATTATTTATAGCTATTCCAGAAAATATTCACACTACCCTATGTTTTGATGCATTTATGTGTCTCAATGTAAGAGGTACTGCCTTGGAAATGACCCACAAGCATTTCATTTTAAATTGTGATTTATTATTTTAATGTTTGGGTGAAGGCTGGCTTTTTAGAACAAGAGTTTTAACAGAATGTCCCACGTGAACCACTTTCCCCTCCCCCTTTCAGTGGACTGTTGTTGTCTAGATTTAAGTCTTTGTGATCCCAGTTTCCCCGTCGATTCCATTGCTACAATGTGTTTTACTGCACTGCCTGCTTTTAAGCATTTCACTAAACCCGTAACTTTAGGAAGAACATCACTGAATCACCGTGTATAAAAAAATACATAAATGTAAGAAACCTGATTGAAATGAGGAATTGTAATAGAAAGAAGTGCACTTCCTATTTAAGTTTACCTGACTGAATTTAATTGTTTTGCCATTGTTGACAAAGAACAAGTATCCTCCAAATCCAAATTAGTTTGTATCTCAATGTAGTTACTGTTTTGCTATAGCAGAATTATTTCAGATGAGTTCAAGTGATGTGTTTTAAATTTTAAATGGTAGTACCCTTTCTTGGTATCCTACTGTTTGACTCATTTTCATTCATACCTTATTTTGTTGACTGTGCATTTAGCACAAATGTTTGCTCCCTGGAACTGCGTCCCACCTATAATGAAGGATGTACCCATCTGAGGAATTGTAGGTGTGATGAACTCCATTAATTTTTTCTGTGAAACATGAGTGTTGTTGATCAGAGCTGTGATTTTATACACATGAACAAAGTTTGGTCTGTTTGTGAGCTTACCTTGCAGCAATAGTCAAATTGTGTGCGAACACCAAGGTTAAGACAAGTATTGAGAAGCTGATCACTTATAAGACTAGGTTTCGCATTCCTTATTTCTATCCCTTTCCTAGTCTAAGTGACTGTGCTTGACACAACTCTTTGTCGCGATATTTTTGTAATTTTAGTATGTATATATTCCCTCTATGTTGATGGATGATAAATATTTAAATGTCACGTGTATATTAGAAATGGATCATGTTTTATATTGGCTACAATTTAGATGATTATTACTGAACCCTGCATCCTGCCCATCAGTGTTTTCAAACCTTCACATATCAACTCAAATCCTGTTGTTGCAATGTAAACTGAAAATGACATCACGGAATGGAGCTACTAATACATGTACTTCTGTTTTAAAATTGTTAATTCCTTAGCATTTTATTCCCAGCACTGATGGTAGAATAAAGGTGTAAAATTAATTGTGGTGTTTTTTTTCACAAACCACCCCATCTTTCAGTTAACGTACTTGGGATCAACACCCAGGATTTTCTCCTCCAAAGTGAGTGTGAGTAAGGACAGCAAAAAAGAATTCTGAAATCTGGTTGATGAAATTTATTTGCAAGTAGGTAACATACATTTCTAAAAATCACAGCATACACTAGAAACTATACCTACAAGTTCATCAATCTTAAATTACACTAATAATTAAATACATAAATATTGATACTTCAGATCTATAGTAAACACACAAATAAATGTACAGTTGTCTGGCCCCCTGAGGGTTGGACGATAGCTTTGGAAGAATTCCCTCGGACCATTACTGCCGAACGGGTCTGTTTGTAAAGCCTTTAGCAATGCGAGGCGGCGGCAGGAAGCGATATGCGTTCAGAACTAATAAACCGATTCGCGTCCGCGCGTCAGCGGAGTGGGCGGGCGGCTCCCTGTCGTCGGGACCGATCCGAATTCGGACTGTCCGACGAACGAGATGTCGCGGGAATGACATGACATTCACTCAACCGGCGAGAGGGGGCGGGGCGGGCACTGACTCCAAATGCACGAGGGAAGGCCGCCGGCCAGGGCAGCGCCAAAAACGAGAACGAGGCGCACGTGCGACGTGCCATGCGTTCGACCAGCCCCCCCCCCCCCCCCCCCCCCCCCAGCGAGTGGCAAGGCGACACAGTTTTCCATAATGAAGTTCCCTCGGGCAAGGCTAGGCTAGGCTGCCGCGAGCGGGCGAACAAGAGGCAAAGTGCACCGGGGTGGTGGTGGTGGGATGGGTGGGTGAGTCACTCGTTGACTGGCGGGACGGAGGCGGGCGCGAGTCCTCTAGACCTCTAGACCGTCCAGAGCGACATGCGGAGTCGCTCTGCGGTTAGCGAGGCAGTTTCCGTCGTGGACCCGGAAGTGCCGGAAGGCGGAAGGGAAGGGAAGACGCGGTGCGCGTCAGAAGGACTGGCGCACCGAGTTGAACCAACGTGACCGGACCCTCGCCTCCGCATTGCTCCGCATCGCAGTGGGGGCGACCAGTGTTTGCTTTGCAAATCAGCCCCGCCACGGCGCGCCTCGTGGTGCAGGCAGGCCTCGCGGCGCAAAAGCGCGCCTGAATTAGGAAGCAGGAATAGGGGGGAGGGGGGGGGGGCCGGGCCTGACCAGGCATTCCCCATTCACCGATTTCTTTTTCTGAACCGGAAGGGCCGTGTAGTGTGGCCAAGCCCAAACTCCTTGACGCGGGGCGGGGTCGAGCCACGCGTGCAACGTACCTGCCGGGTCAGGGGTCGGCTAAATCGGTGCCGGGCGCTTTCTACGCACCAACGCTTCCCCTGCGGCCTGGCCGGCCTGGCCTGGGCAGGGCACCGCGTCGTCGCGGTCCTCGGCGCTCGCATTGGTCCGCGAGCAGCGAGGACGGAGGACGGGGACGTGCCACGACCCACACCACACCGCGTGGACGGCGGACGGGGTGGACGGGGTGCGCGGACCGCGTGCTACTTACTGATAACCACTCTGAGATCTCTCACTCACTCACTCTCACAGACACACACATACACACGAATACATATTTGACAGGGTGAAACGATGCAGTGAATAACGCACACACACATGCACACACACACACAGACACACAATCCGCGCACAGCAGGTGCGGCTAAACTATACACAGTAAAAAGTCCTGCTTGGAAACATCACAGTCACGTGACACGTGCAAAATACGTGTGCGGGCGGCTTAACATACTGAGGTGGGGCGGAGCCGCGGGGTGTCCGTTGGCCGAGGCACCGCCAGGCCACACCATTTACAATAAATGACAAAACCGCGCAGCGGATAGGATAACCCCTTGACCAGAGAGGGCGAAACGATAGCCAGTCGGCCAGCCAGCCAGCCGCCGGGACCTGGTGGTGTTGGGACCAGTGTGTGCAACCGTGCCGACATGGAGGGTGGCTTCTTGCGTCCGCATTTTCGGCCGGCCGGGGTTTTTCGCACTGCCATGATGTGGCCTTGGTCAGGCCTTGGTCAGGGAGGGCCGCTCCGCCCGTGCGACTGTCCGTCCGACGGGCGGCGCGCTCCACTCCCTGCAGTCTGTCTCGGAGCACGGCGCACTGCGGCTCACAAGTTGATGGGCGAGATGGAGCCCTGCAGCCACGCCGTCACCAGGATGGCGACGAGGCAGACGAGGCTCATGAAGACGGAGGACTCCTTGGGGGCGGTGCCGTCGGGCCCGGTGACGCGCTTCCGCGGCAGCCGCAGCCGCCGGTAGCCGAAGAGGTTGGCGGGCCGCAGCGCGGACGGGCGCATCCAGCCGCTGGGCTCCACGTCGTGCCGCAGGATGTAGTCGTCGCTGTAGATGTCGTCCTCCTCGGCCTCGGCGCCGTCCTCGGAGTGCGAGAGCCGCTCCTCGGGCCGCGGGTGGAACTCGCGCACGTCCACGTCGTGCAGGAACTTGACGCGCGACGTCTTGCAGGCCACCGAGTCCTTGCGCCAGAACAGGCTGCCCGAGTCGCGGCGGTCCAGCTTCCAGTAGCTGTCGCCCTCGGCGTCCACGTCCGGCGGCAGGGTCACCTTGAGCACTGCAACACACAAGCAGACGACGCGTCAGGCGAGCGTCAAGGGCCGTCCTCGCGTCGCGGCACGCCGTTCCCCGCCCTGTCACCCTCGCCGGCCCAATCGAGGCCCGCGGGTCTGAGACCGGCCGACCCGTCCTGCCAAACGACCTGCAGCCTGCCCAGGCCCCGTCAGCGTCCGCGCTGGCGTCACACCGTCGCGCCTAACCTAACCTAGCCCAACCAGTTCCAGCGCAGGCTCTCGATCTTTCGATGCAGACGGCGCGTTCACTTTCCAGCGGCCAGGGGCTGGCCAGGGGCTGGCCGGGGGCCAGCTGGGGCGCGACAGAGACAGAGCGACGAAACGACTCTCCGCGCGGCAGCAGTAGGTCGCGTCCTTGCGCCACGCCGCTGCGCCGCTCTAGTATCAGTACAGTGCGGATTCGATTGGTTCGATTCCGCCGGCCTCCTCCAGCCCCGAGGCCTGCCCGCGGCTTGCCTCACAGGAGGAAGCGAGGCGACTAGGTCTATATCAGGGCGGCGGCGTGGCCTGCCTGGCGGCGGCACACTGTTGTGTCGATAAGGGCTCCGCAAACAACGCGCCGGTGTCAAAATAGTCCGTGGGGGAGGGGTCCGGGGATAGGCCTGCGACAATGTACGCGGCTGGGCTGAGTCACCTACTCATTCCGAGGCGGTTCGTTGACACTTTGGGCCTCATCGAACCTGAACTCCAGGCATTGCGCCGTCTCTCTCGCACCTGCATGGAACGCCCCACGAGAGCGAGCTAGACAGAGCGACGAGAGGGCGGCTTCGGGCGGGGGAAGCATCACGCCACGCCGGCGGGACATCGGCGACGTCCCGGTGACGCAGCGACATCCGTCTCCATCCGCATCATCTGCATCCATCTGGCGGCTCATCGAGCCAATGACGGAGGGACGGAGACGAGGACGGAGACGTCCCCCGCCCCCTCTCGGAGCTAACCTCGTCGGCGACGTCTCCCTCCAGTCCTTTAGCCGAGTCACACAGGGCGAGAGAGGCCTCGAGAGAGACAGAGGCGTTGTCTCTCCAAAAATGGAGGACATCACAAACCTCGCGCGCGCATGGCCCGGAAAAAAAAGGCGCACGGTTGTTTTGGAGCGCACGCGATGGCAGGAGCAGCTCGACCAAACCTATTTCGCCCGAGCTGCGACGCGCCACAGGCGCCACAAGTGCCATCGGGAATCGGGTGAATCGGATCAACAACGATTATCTGACACGACACTGCACGCCGGGTTGGCGTTACGAAAGTACGCATCGCGCTGCGTGGCGGGGCGGTAGCGGGGCGGGGCGGGGCGAGGCGGGGCGGCCGAGCCCCCGGCCGGGCACGCGTCGTGTTGACCCATCCCCGTTTTCTCCCTCTCTCTCCCTCTCTGTCCCTCTCTCGCTCTTTTTTGCCGCTTACGGTATCGGCGGCCATCATCTCGGGCCGGGCAGCGCAGGCCGGCGGGCGCCGCGAGGGGCCATGCCGCGGGCCATGCCGTGGGCCATGCCATCCGCGTGCCGCGTGCCACCAGCGGAGCGATGCCGAACACCGCTTTGAGTCGCTCCGTCTCTGTCACACTCACGGGGCGGCCCGTCGTTCCGCGCGGGTGCGAGAGAGACAGAGAGACGGCAGTGGTCGCTCTCGTTCATGTTCGCGATGTCCGCGATGTCCGCGCCGCGGCGTCCTGACCGCGCGCGTGCCCTTCTCCAGCATGCTCAACCCGGACAGCGCTTTCGTCGCTCTGTCTCTCTCGCACTCACGGGGCGCTCCGCGAGAGAGCGAGAGAGACAGAGCAAGACTGCTCGCCAAGGTCGGCACTGTTTTGAAAATACGGCGTCGCCGAGGCAAAGCGAGGCGACCGCCCTCGTGCAAGTGGTGGCGGATGGCGTCGCGGCGACGACGTCAAGACCAACGCCGCGAGCCGTCTTCTGTCTCTCTCGCACCCCAACGGAACTGCGGCACGCCTCCCCGAGTGCGAGAGAGACAGAGCGACAGTCTCGGCGTGAAAGGCGAGGCGGTGTGTGAACAGCGTGAACAGGTGGGCAAGGCTCGTCATGACAGGTAAGGCACTTGGCCGAGCGGCGCAGTGCAGTGCCTCGGCAGCCTCGGCAGCCTCGCGCAAGAAAGACCAGTCTACACACACACTCGCACACAACAAAAAGAAGGAGAAGAAAAAAATGAGAGAGAGCAAAAAGTTGTGGCGATCTAGAGTGAGGGCTAAAAATGGCGCGCGACTTCCGCGTCGAGGCGTCCCAGACGTTCCCAGACGCCCGGTCGCGACGTCTCAGGTGCACTAATCTCCATGACGAAGCGCTACAACTCAAGTGCCTCGAACTTCGAACCTCGACGCGACGCATCTCCCGGGTCCGCGAAGATGAATCAACTGCAACCCCCCGTGTGTGCAATCGGTGCAATCGGTGCCGTCACCACGAGGAACGGAGAAAAGAGGGCGGTGTGTATTTTCTCTCTTACGAAAACCTCCCAGCTTAATCTGTGCCGAGGAAAGGGAAATTTCCGATGCAGGGAGGCGACGGCAAACAAATTATCAATTTTGTTTTAATGAACCACGTGCGCTAAACGCCGCCGGCGCGGAGCCGCAGAAGATTGGTCTGTTTCATTGGAAAATACTAGACGCCTCGGGACGGCCTGATTCGTCAACACCCACACAGTGCATCAGCCACGCGCTGCCCCCCCCCCCCCCCCCCAAAACCGCGGCGTCCCTGCGGCGTCGGCAAGTCACCCCTCCGACGTCAATATCGATACATCGCGCCATCAAGTCATCACGAAGCCAGCCAGCAGAGCGATATGTCATCGACATATCCGCTGTCGTCGCTCCGTCTCTCTCGCACTCGCGAGTCGCTCCGTGTGGGTGCGAGAGAGACGGAGCGAGGCACCCCCAGCGGATGGCGGGCGACCCACGTGGCGATGCTGGCAGTCCGTATTGTTTCCGTCGGCGGGTTAATCTATGCGCATCGGATGGATGCCTGACAGCGAATAAACTTATCGCGCCAAATTTTCTGTCTCTTTTTCTCTTTTTCGGGGGCGGCGATACGAGTATGGCGTGACTGGGTCTGCTTGATGGAGCGCCGGTGATACCAGCGTCCAGTGCAGACACCCCCCCCCCCCCTTCCCTCCCTCCCCCGCAGGCGGAACTACAGGACCCCCGCCCCCTCCCTCTTCGTCTGTTTTTGTTTTTCGACTGCGCTACTCCCATCAGAAAATGAGGAACCTGAATGTTTGGGAACTCCTTTTTCCACTCCGGACCAGGATGGAAACAAAAAAACGAATTCAAAGGAGGGAAAACCCCCAAAACAAAATGGATCACTCATTTTTTTTCGTGTTCCTGCGTTGAGCACCGCGTTTGGCAGGCCGGGCAACATACCGCCAATCTACTGCGCTGTTGTAACATTCTCCCACCGGTAAATTTGCACAACCAGTTTCCGTCATAGTGAGTTACTTCATTTCTTTCTCACTTCGCTGGAGTCCGACCGATCTCCCAAATGAGCACTGAAGGTCAAGTCGCGGCCGCGGCATTCGGCCGGCAAGTGCGTCAACACGTGAACGTCTGACGTTTCCCACACTGCCGCCGGGATGCTCTGGGTATTTCATTTCCCACCCAGAAGCCGGCAAATCGCTCCATCAATAGACCGGCCTTTCCCGCATGAATATTTGATGAACTTATTTATGTTCCTCGCAGACGCGGGGCCGGCGAGGCTTCGACGTCGCCGTGGCCCAAAAGCGTCGCCCTCGAAAGGCGCTCGCAAATATATTCGAAGGCATTGACTGGCAAATCACCCCAAAGGCTTCTCGCTCGACGAAAAAGGTTTACGTTTCAACGAAATACATTGTCAAGCAGAAGACATGCAAAAAGAGCAACGACGTGTTTGCCAAGTCGAGTGGTTCAATCGGTTTGCCCCGCGAGGCACGCCTCCGTGCCACGGTCAAGGCCGCGGCCTGGGGCATGCCTGCAGGTGTGTCCTCAGGTGTTCGGCAGCCGCCTGGTTCGTCGCTCTGTCTCTCTCGCACCGCCACGGGCCGCCCCTGAGTGCGAGCGAGACAGAGCGACGAAAAGATCCTTCGGCGTGAGGCGGCTGCGGCGACACTTTCAGACAGCACGACACACTTTGGCGGCACTCTCACCCACCTGGCAGGTCGTGCTTCAGGATCTCCTTGTGGTCGCCGGCGACGCCGCTAGCGACGCCGCTGGGCAGCATGGTGTCCGTCGTCATGGCGATGAGGAGCGTGAAATCCGCCGGTGTGAGTCCGCCACTGCTCACTGTCCGTCCACGCCACTGGTTTGCACTCGGAACTGCGGGGGGAGCGCTAGCGCTACGCGAAGGGGCCTTCCGAGGGCTGGGCGGGAGCGGGACCGGCTGCGAGGCACTGCGAGGCGCACCGCGAGAGAACGGCCAGACGACTGTGTACTGTGTCGGTCCGTGTCGGTCCGACGCGAGCCGCGACAGGCGACCCGGCCCGCGGACCGCCCCGCCCCGCCCCGCCCCGCCCCCTTCCCCCTCGGCCAATCAAAGATGCCACCGGTCTGACGGGACGGGACTCCGCCGAGCCCACGAGGCCTGGGGCCTGGGGCCTGGGGCCTAGCCGCGCGGCCCGGCCACCACTCCAACGGCCCCGTCCCGCCAAGCCTAGTCCAGGAACGGTTTCCAAGTGGGCCATTGGTGTGGTACTCGAACTTGTTTCTGTTCGACATGTTATCAGCCCTTCAGGGGCGGGTTTCACACAGGGGCTGCCCCCACCCCTCGCGGATCGCCTCGTCAGCACCGACGTAAGCCACGCGTCACCGCCACCACACCCCCCGCGGAAAGGCCTCGAAAACGCCGCCCCTAATCGCCGGGCGTCGAGGACAGCCTCCCGCGTTCGCACTTTAGCGCCGCTCGAATACAAGCTGCGCAAAAAGAACAACTAACAACAACAATAACAATAACTAACAAGGACCAACGGGCGGCGCGCTCCCGGTCGGCCCGGCCCTCGCCGAACGCGTCATGGAGTCATTCCGCGGCGGTTAGACCCGGGCCGAAAAAAGGAAGAGGAGGGAGAAGAAATCTACGAGCGGGAGGACAAACGACGTGCGTATTTGGCACGTTCTATTTGCGTCAGCCAACCCGGTCAGGGCAGGGCTTTGCCTGAGCTCGCCATGCAGTGTGCCCGCTCTCCAGTCCCACAGCTCCTCCTCCAGGCCGTGGAGGCCGAGCGCAGCAGCGGCGGCGCGGCGGCGCCCCGCGTGAAGCGCCCGACGAAGCGAGGGTAGGCCACCCCGCACGGCGACATGTCGTCGCGCAGCCTACCTCACAGGCGCTTCGAGCCGGGCCGGCCGCGCCGCGCCCCTCACGCACTACGCCAGCTGGGGCCCGCTGGGGGCTGGGGGCTGGGGAAGGGCGTGTTTTTGCGTTTCGGGCGCGCGCTGCTCGCTCTGCGCCGACGTCATCGTCGTCAACCTGCCCTGCCACACCGCAGCACCGCCCCTCGACGGCCAGCCGCGCGCTTCTCACCGCCCGCCTCCTTCCTCCGCGTCCTTATCCTCACCACAACAACACCACAACACTGCGGCCGCGGCCTGGCCGGCCAGCCAGACCGGCCAGCCGGCGAGGCGAGGGGGCCCACGGCAGATTCCACGCGTAAATACTCCAAGTTGGCCGCTACGCCGTGGCTACGCAGTGCTACGCAGTGCCGGCAGGGGCCGCCCATCCCGCCATTCAGGCTCCTCAGCGCTCCGTCTCTCTCGCACGTTCACGGGGCAGGCTGAGTGTGAGAGAGACGGGGCGCGGAGCTGAATCAGTCCGCACTGCTGGCCGTGACGTCATCCGCGAGAAAGCACGTCGCCGTCGTCCCCGGCCGTGTTTTGGTCCGCGCCGCGGGCCCCGCTGCTGGACTGGAGTGTACCGGGTCACGCGTGTCGCGCTGGAGGTCAAGGTAGGACTCGGCCGCTTCAAGACCACCGCCGAGTCCGCCTTGCTGCTCAGCGAGGTTCAGGCCGAGGGATACGTAGGTCGCCAGGCGCGATTCGTACTCGTGACATGCACGCGCGTGAACGTGTGAGTGAGCGCCTGACCTGACACATTAGTCCAGTCAAGCCAATAACTCTGATTTGCTGCCAAAGCGACCCCGAGGCCTTCGGGCGGCGGGCGGCGGGCGGCAGGCCGGCGGGCCCCCAATGGAGTCAAGTAGGCCGGACGAGCGGCCGTCTAAAATGGGAGTCATGCGGCCGCGACGCCGTGGAGTCCGTCTTCGTTAAGGCCGGGCCATTTCCCAATGAGAGCAACGTGACCGACTGCCACTCGGCACCCGTTCTTCGTGATTCCTCGGCCAGCGCTTCCAACTTCCACGGAAAGGGTACTTCAAACTCCAAACGCGGCCCTGCCCACTATCGCCGTGTTGCGGTGCACCAGCAGGCCCTGGGCCAACACCCTTATTTGGTGATACGGGGTGACTGCTCGCTCGATGAGTTGCAAGTTCAAGAGCAGGCGCACCTGGGCGCGCAGGCGGGCCCCTTGGACATCGGGATCGGCACCTCGGCAACAAGTCTATCTATGCGAGTGTCTGCGGCAACCTTTGCTCCGGCACACCGGCAGACCTTTGCACCCGCACGCGCCGGGCTGCAAGTGCGGATGATGACAGAAGGGAGTAGCGGCCGGTACTGGGAGTGCTGGCTGCGGCGAACCACTTGGCGCGGCCCGCGGTATCTTTCGCGACACAGTCCCCACGATACGCGGCTCTGCTCCTCCCCTGCTCCTTCAAGTGGGCTTTGCTCGCCTCGCAGTGCAGTGGTCCCCACGAGTTGTGCCTCTTTGTTGTTTAATCCTCTCCATTTCACTCTAATCGCAGCGACCTGTGTGTCCTGTACTCCGAGTCCGCCCTGAATCGCTCTCTCTCTCTTTCTCTTTCGCACCCGTGTGGTCCATGCGAGACGTCCCGAGTGCGATAGAGAGGCATAGCGATTCAGTCGGTCGGTCAAATTGCCTTCTGTGTCACCTTGTTGCGTTGCCCGGATGAACTGAACCGCGGCATGAGGCATCCTTCGGGCTGGTGTAAAAACATAGGTGTGGGTTGGTGACGCCAGGCCCCCCAATGAACACCTGTTTGTGGAGCTGGGCGCCAATTTCGAGAGCGACGGAAGCGTGGATCCCGACATCCTGGCCCGGTATTCGCCTTGCACAGCCCGCGCTGTCTTCTTTCCTACGTTCGCTGACTGATTGCCCAAGCCGTTTGCAGGTGTGTGTGTGCGCGCGTGTGTGTGACCGCAGGCTGCGCGCCGCGCTGCGCGTTTGGACAGGTACGGCGGATTCTGTCCCGCGGACAAAGAGCTCTCGGCGTTTGTTTACCCCGAGCCGAGGGGCCGCGGGGCTGCGGGGGCCGAGCCGAGGGCCCAGGGCGAAGTCCCCCCTCGATAGCAACCGCTATCAGAGTATCGGGAGGCAGCTGGCCTTATTGGAGACCCGCAGGCACCGGGCAGGTAGCCGGCGTGGCGGCCGGGCCGGCCGGGCGCCCTGCTCCTTCAAGTAGGCCGGGGACGATGCCTTTTGGCGCGCTCCTGCCGCCCAGATCGACGTCAAGTCGTAGGTCAGGCCAAGCCACCGCATCCGTACGCGGATTCAAAGATTCGAAAAAAAAAAATAAATTAAAAAATGGCCGCCTCTCCCGTGCTTCCCGCCAAGTCACCGTGTTTGCGCTTTTTGCTGCAGCAAGCCGACTCTTTGTCTAGGCGACTCATCATCATCCAAAGCGTCGTCGCAGGCCTGAAAAGAACACACAGAGAAGATGGTGCCTGACTGCCCTCCTTAAAAAAAATTCAGCCATTGTTCGCTTTTTTTAATTGAGTAAGGAAATGAAAAACTGTGCCGCCGCGTAGTCCTCCACGTTGTGCTGCGAAAACTTGACGCTAAAGCCCTACTCCAAGCGTAAGCTCCTTGATTGGCGGGGGCGCGATAGGCCACCGTCCTCACACCGGTGTCGCCAGACGGTGGGCTGGTCTACCTCGAGGATGGCAGCTGAGCGATTCCGAAGAGTCGTTTCGTCGCTCTGTCTCTCTCGCACTCATGGGGCACTCCGTAAGGGTGCGAGAGAGACAGAGCGACAAAGCGATCTTCTGAATAGACCATTTCGCTGGATCCACTTCGATCCCTCGAAAAAACAAATGCACCGGAAGTCGGGTAGCGTCGGCCAATCAGGAGCCTCCTTTCATCAGTGGTAGCGCCTAGCCTTGATGAAAGGAGGCTTCTGATTGGCCGACGCTACCCGACTTCCGGTGCATTTGTTTTCTCGAGGGATCGAAGTGGATCCAGCGAAATAGTCTATCACTCGGCAGGCGCTGAGTGCCCGGCGGACCCGGCGGCACCCGCCGCTCTGCGTGTGACTGTACTGGCACTGACCAGCCCATCGCCATCGCCAATCGATAACACGTGTGTGTTGTGGTGCCGGTGTTGTGGCTTCAAGAGCGAAGCACCGTGGACCGTGGTCAGGACCAGGCGAGTGGGGAGTGGAGGCCCGTGGCGGGCACTATCTGCAGGGCCGAACTCTTTACCAAATTTAATCTTTGTTCAGCTCTAAAGGGTAAAAACTGGGGGCTTTTATTAAAGCTAGAGGCATATACTATCAAATGGATAGGTTCTTGGAAAACATCAGGGCAGGAAATATTTGCATTCTCATTGCAAAGTCGTCAGATACCCTTTCTGACCATGGTCGGTGGATCGACGTCACCGCCTGCTAACGGCCTGAGGACGTCCAACTTTGTAAGGAGAATGCAAATATTTCCTGCCCTGATGTTTTCCAAGAACCTATCCATTTGATAGTATATGCCTCTAGCTTTAATAAAAGCCCCCAGTTTTTACCCTTTAGAGCTGAACAAAGATAAAAAATGGTATACTATGTGGCCCTGCAGATGGGGCCCGCCGCGGATCCTCGCCAGACACGGCAGTCGACCCCCGCCGCCGCTTCCTTTTATGTCATTTCCACGTTTAAAACCGGCTAATCCGAGATAAAAGGTGTTCGGTTTACTCAAAAACGTCTTACTGAGTGCGCCTCAATATATATTTTTGCTTATATATCCTTTAATTCTGAGTATTTTCGTTTCTTCAAACTCCTACCGACCATGGTCAGAACGCCAGACCGAGCGTCCGTTCCCGAGCCGAAGGCATTTATAATTCTCCTGTCAGGACGCCGTGTTCAGCGCGCTCAGTTGAAATTTCCCGCCACAGGGGCTACTGTGCTGCCACCTGACGCTCAGCCGTTGCACTATGATGAGAAATTGTGACTTTGTTGTTTGTAAGCTGCAGCAGAAATAACCTCAACAACTCGTTTCGTGCGTTGTTTCAAAGAGCAGAAATCGCCTTGGACGGGTTCTTTCTGTGCGCGTCCTTTTATTTACATTTTCGACAAGACGGGAAGTTGCTTCAGTTTCCGCGAAAGAAAATGCTGGAGCTCCAAGCGTACGGCAGTGGCAGCGACAGTGACGGTGAGCCTCAAAATGACGCAGAGCCGACGGCGCTACACCTGCAACCCATGGACACTTCGTTAAAATCGAAAATGGTTGCTCTCTGTGCTGCGCCTCATGTCGTACCACTGGTAAGTTGTAGCTGTAGTTAACACCTTCCGATGTAGCCAAATTTCTTCTGACCTTGGTTATAGTACTTTTGGGTTAGTGTACTCCTGTTTTCACATTTCTCCACTTTGTTTCCTCCTACCAGTTTATTATTTATTCTATTCTATGCGGGAATTAATTTTTTTGTCTTGAATTGCTTACTATGAGATGGTGCCTACACATGTGTTTTGTTTTTCAGGGTGCCAACGATCCCCGCCCACTTGTCGATAGGACCACTAAAGAAATTTCATTTAACCTTAAGTATGAAGACCTGTTTGCTCCTGAACTGGGACCTCAAAATCCCAATCAAACTCAGCAGCAGAAAGCAGCAAGGAATATGTTGTCAGGGTTTGTGGAGGCTGCTCACATGGATGCTTTCCAGTTTGAGAATCAGCGCCGAACATTTACAAGCTATGGTAAGGCACTCTGAAGCCAGTGCAGTTTCTGTAGTTAATTTTTTTATTATTCCCTGTGGCATTCATTTTATCTGTGTTTTTTTTCCTCAGGTTATGCATTAGACCCCAGTGTAGATGCAAACACTGTTGAAGGTGCCAAATCCATTGGCTCAGACTTAGCACTGCAGGAAGCTGGAGGTAAAACAGTGTTTGAATCAACTAGCAAACGACCTCTGGATAAACGGAAAAGAAATAAGAATGACAACCCAGATGACATAGAGGGGTTTTTGGGTCCTTGGGGCACCTATGTTGATGAAAAGAGAGTTATGAAACCCAATGAGGTAAGTTCCAAGGTCCATATAATCCGTAAGTTCGCTGAACCATCTATTCTTGGTATTTTGTACTCTGTTCTTCTCTGCATTGTTTAGGAAGAGTCTGCGGAACTAGAAGAGATCTTGGCTAAAAGACAAAAGAAAGGAAAACAGATTGATGAAAGGCCTCTGGAAGAAAAGACAGTTCTACACAGTAAGCATTCATTTCATGAATAGTTTTATGTCTATAAGAACCGTTTATTGTAATTTCTTATTTTGATTACAGTCAAGGAACCTTTCGACTACCAAGGCCGTTCATTTATGCATCCTCCTCAGGATGTTGGGGTGAATCTGAAATCAGAAGTTCCCCCAGATCGTTGCTTCTTGCCTAAGAATCTTATTCATACATGGGAAGGCCATACAAAAGGAATATCTGCTATCAGATGGTTACCCAAAACAGCTCATTTGCTGCTGTCTTGTAGTATGGATTGCAGAGTAAAGGTAATTTCTACATTCCACATAATTTAATGAAAACTGGTTCTGTTGGACGTAAATCTTTGCATTTTAAAATGTCTTCTAGATTTGGGAAGTTTACAATGATCGCCGTTGTGTCAGAACTTACTATGGACATCGCCAAGCTGTCCGTGATATTGCATTCAACAACACTGGAACACATTTCTTGTCTGCTGGTAAGCTGTATTTTCTTCCTATATTGACTTTTTCAAACATTATCAACTTGATCTCTTCAACTTTTTTTATGATCCTTTAGCTTATGATAGATATGTCAAATTATGGGATACTGAAACCGGAGAGTGTGTATCTCGATTCACCAGCCGAAAAACCCCATACTGCTGTAAATTTCATCCTGATGAAGATAAACAGCACCTGTTTGTTGCCGGAACGTCAGACAAGAAAATCATCTGTGTAAGTTACTTTTGAAGTTAACTCAGGATGTTTTTTTTATAAGTTAGATACTTTTTTCAGTCTTTGATTCCTGTCTTTTTGCAGTGGGATACACGTTCTGGAGAAATTGTTCAGGAATATGATCGGCACTTGGGCTCAGTTAATACCATTACTTTTGTTGATGAAAACCGTCGCTTCGTTACGACTTCAGATGACAAGAGTTTGAGAGTGTGGGAATGGGACATTCCTGTGGACATGAAGTACATTGCAGACCCCAGCATGCACTCAATGCCAGCAGTAACACTCTCCCCTAATTACAAGTGGTTAGCCTGCCAGTCCATGGACAACAAGATTGTTGTTTTCTCTGCTCTGAACCGATTCAAAATGAATAGGAAGAAGACTTTCTCTGGTCACATGGTTGCAGGATATGCTTGCTCCATTGACTTTTCACCTGATATGAGGTATGTATTGTTTGCTCACTAGGATTTGTTCAGTTTTAAATGGTTCTTTCTTTTGTCAAGGTATCTGATCAATATTCTGTTTTCTTTATTTAGCTATGTCATTTCTGGAGATGCCGATGGGAAAGTTTATGTATGGGATTGGAAGACAACCAAGCTTTTCAAGAAATGGAAAGCTCATGACGGTGTTTGTATTTCAACTTTGTGGCATCCTCATGAGCCGAGTAAGGTTGTCTCTGCAGGCTGGGATGGTGTTCTCAAATTTTGGGATTAGATTTTCCTTTTTGTCATAATGAAATAATCTTACTGTATAGCACTTAGGTACCTGATACATGTAAATAAAGTATTTTCAGTATCATATTATTTTTGCTCCCACTGACATAAGAATTTCCTCTTCCCTTATTTTTGACACACCTCAAGTTGGATTGAGTTCAGACTCAAAAAATCCATATGCTTTCAATGAAATCCATTTTTTTCTCCATTAACTTTCTTGATTTGAACAAAAGCCAACAGCGCAACAACCAAGCTTCCGCCGTCCGATGTTCTTTTGTCCACCCGCTTCCCTGTTGTTGTTGGCGGTGATGTTTTGTTGTGGTCTTTTGACAATCTTAGGAAAACTTTAAGTGGAGGAAGGAAAGTTGCCCTCCTCAAGACACATTATATTGACATTATCCTCTGCATTGAGATGCACTCTCATTGCGTAGCATAGGTCGCGTCGGCATGGAGACGTGACAGTAAAGACCTAACCTACATTGTTCTCAGGTATTTTTATGCTGCTGAGTTTTACACTTTCTGTAAATTTTGCCTGTACATTTAAAGAAATTTTCATCCGCTCAAACATTGAAATGCCCAGGCATCTGTCCTTGTGGCGTCTCTCGATGATGCAATGTTTCTTTACCCTGGAGGCAATCAATTAAACAATTTATTTTTACGATGTCTTTAGAATCTTAAGACCGATATAAACAACTATGAGACAGCTTTGCAATTGAACTTTTTCTATGCAGATATAGCCATGTGCACGTCAGGAGACCAGTCGGAACCTTCCCTGGGTCAACGAGTGGACTACCAAGGGTACCGGGGAACAATCCGCTTTGTTGGAGAAATACAGAATCAGCCTGGTACTTGGGTTGGAGTTGAGTGGGATGATCCTAGCAGAGGGAAACATGACGGATCTCACAATGGAGTGAGTTACTTCAAAACAAGGTATGGTTTTCTTGCATTTCGATACAATGAATTAAGGTCTGAATGAATGAATTGATTAATAGAAATTATGTGATTTTCTGTCAGCCACCCGACATCTGGTTCTTTTGTTCGATCAACCAAGTTAAACTTTGGTATATCTTGTGTTGACGCCATTCATCAACGATATGGCAAAGTAGAAGGATCTACAGCAGGAGTTGATAGTGATGCCATCTTCGAACTAAAAAAACAATTCAACATTCCATTTGTTGAAATGGTCGGATTTGAAAAAGTCAACTCACAGCAAAGGTTTCTAGTTAACTCTTTTAAATGCCTATAATTTTGCTGTTGCATTAATTTTTTTACAAGAATGGTCATATTTTCAGCCAGTTCAACAACCTGACAGTTGTTGACTTGGGAGGTGATCTGGTCAAAAATGCTGGAGAAGAGGGTGAACTTGGTCAGTTGTGTCCATCTGTTAGGGAATTAGTTCTGACCAACACCCTAATAAAGGATTGGAGAACTGTTGCTGATATCACAAAACAGCTCGCAGCACTCAACCATCTCAATGTTTCGTATGTATTGTGATGTGAGACAGATCCGTGTACATAAGTTTGCCAATAATAAAAATTCAAGCTTTCCCCAATTTTAGTGAAAATAAAGTGGTTGTGCCCACTGAAGAAGAAGCTCTTCAATTGCAGAGTGCATTCAGAGCATTGAAACGGATAGTTCTTAATGGTGTGGGCTGCACTTGGAAAGAAATCCTTATCTGTGCCACTATGTGGCCAGATGTAACCACAGTCTCAGTAAGTTTGCCACAATTTTACTGTAGTTCATTAGTAAGTGGTTTCAAATCCTATTTCATCCTGAATTACTCTTAGGCCCGGTTTAACAGAATAAATGAGCTTGAAAGCCCCCATTTTGGTGTACTTTCGAATTTAACTTCACTGTATTTGCAATCAAATCCGATTGTGGATTGGACTCATGTCAACAAATTGGGAAACCTTTTAAGGTAGTATTCAGTCTGGTTTGTTACAAAAATTATTTTTGTTGAAAAGTGTAAATAATTTTATTTTAATCTATGCAGCCTTCAAGTTCTTCATGTTGGAGAGACTGGACTGAAGAAGGTTTTCTTTCCTGGTGAAGGTACTACAAGTCTGTTCCCTGCCCTGATTGAGCTGAATCTCCAAAGCAATGAAATAGATGATGTAAGTACATTTTCTTACAACTAAGTTTTGTTATTAGCAGGACAACACCATCATCTCTATTCATGATCTTTGTTTTCATGATTTCTTGCAGTGGAATTCAATCAATGAACTCAACAAATTGAAGTCTCTGCAAAGTATCTTATTCCAGTCAAATCCATTAATGGAAAAACCAAAAGCATTTGAACTAATTATTGGCAGGATTAAATGTTTGAAGGTACAATGAGATACTAAATATAGTGTGAAGGAGTAAAACTTGAAGTGAATCTGCAATTCTCATTTCTTTGTATTCCAGAAACTAAATGGAACAGTGATCCTTGATCAGGACCGCAGAGGTGCTGAATATGATTACATGAAGTGCTATGGACGTGAATGGGTAGCTGCAGTGAACAATCCTGTTCTACTTAGAGTGTTTCATTCTAACCACCCTCGTTATGCTGAGCTTGTTGAGAGTAAGTTAATTCTACTCTGTAGTTTATGCTCATTATGTATTTTTATCAAGATTGTCTGATGCCTGATATTTTCCTTGTTACTTTAGAACATGGTTCCATCACAGAGGAAGATATTACAGCAAATCCAGCACCTTTGAAAGCTCGTTTGATAAAAGTTAGAATATTTTGTCCAGGCAATGCAAACATGCCAGAGTTCCAAAAACGAGTTCCCAAGAATATGACTGTCCAAAAATTAAATGGATTAGTGCAGAAGCTTATGGACACTGGTGGTTGCATGCCATCACTTAAAGCCATCAGTGCTAAGGTTTGTATTTACATATTTCTTCACTTGAACAGAAATGCAGAAAGTTTTAGTTTCAGGTTGATTTTGTTTTAACCCTGAATATTTTTTCAGGCACCTGATATTGCAGTTTCCCTTGAGAAGGATATGCAGGATTTATCTTTTTACTCTGTGGATGATGGAGATAGTATTGCGGTCAGTTGGTGAGCAATTAATATACCGTTTACTCGAAGTTTAATTTATTGGAGTGTGCTTCATGCACCAAAAATTAGATGATAATCACCTCTGTTTGGGTCATTGCTGTTCACCATGTTCACATTCAACCTTACATTTCTTCCCGTTTATGTTGGAGTACTAATAGTTGGTTGAGGTATTGTAATCAGACTGACATTGCACCTAACTGAGGGAAAATTACATCTGTGATACCTAACTTAAAAATTGAAAATAAAGCTAATATTTATTAATTTAATTGTATGCACTGAAAGATTGCCTCTCCTCTTGAACACCTTCCTTCAAATAGAAGGCCATCACAATATTTCTAAAAAATATATCTTAAGTATTTAACAATGGTCTTAGCGCAGAGACCCTTTGAAACACATTTCAGTGATGATGCACACCATGCTATGCATGCAGTACTCAAAGCTGTGAACACCCACATAATACTGTACAGGTAAATTGATATTATATGAACTCTTACACTTCTCTTTACTGTGGTGTTAGTGCAGAAGTTCTTATCAGACTGTGCAGTGGAAAAAGTTCATGATGGTCAATACTCAATCAATGCACATGTCGCAGTGCTAGAATAAATTAATTCTCTCTTCCTCAGTGAAGCTCAGTAGCTGAAGGTGTGACCAATGATAGAATGTATCAAGAATTCTCAAGGATAAATAACAAGACTACTGAATCAGACTGTAAGATTAAGTATACCATGTAATATATTTAAGGTCAATTTTACTAGTACAGAGATAACATTGCTACACTCTAAAGCTGTCTTGATGGTGACATTGAATTGAAAATTCAGGATATTTAATTTAGAATTAATTTGAAAAGAAGAAAACAAGACTTTCTAAAAATGCTGTTTTAACAAAAAAAAACTCATAAGTGGCCACCCGCTGCTAAATGAAATACAAAATATAAAAATAATCCTGGTCATACACACACTTACACACACATCACTAGTTTCAAACATACAGTAAAGACAGCAGCATGCACAGGAAAATCCAGCATAATTGATGCAGACAAAAACCCAGAGTAAGACAATGTCTACTTGAACTGTAAAGAAAACATTAATACAGCACTCAAAAAGAAATCAATAGAAATGATTCAGAGATATCTAAACATCAATTACATTAAAACTGTCTTGATTCTTCTCTTTAACAGTGATTGCATCCTAAAAGAGGAAACGATAATATATGATTTGGAGACGTTCCCTTCAACTGTGTCCATCACATCATCACATGGTTTTCAAGCATCTTCTTCATTATCATCTTCATCTACTCCCTCTTCGCCTCCGTCTTCTCCTTCCTCACCACCTTCTTCACCTTCAACGTCACCACCATCATCTTCCTCCTCCTCTCCTTCTACTTCGACTACAACAGAGTCGTCTTCACTGACATCATCTTCACCTTCCACACCATTTTCAACTTCAATGTCAGGCACAAGGTAGTACTGAAGAGGGTTGGGCCATAAGTCATCCTTTATCAATTCTGCAACATCATCTGCAGAGGGGTCTGTGTGGTCAGTAAACCAATTGAAGAAGGTTTTTGTCTCCAGAAATCTTTTTCTGCCTTTGTTGACACCATTTCTCTCTTTGTTTTTCTTTGAGAGATCATTTTCACCCTTCCATTTGATTGTAGTACTCTGAGAAGCTGGATCGCCTGACGAGCCGAGGTGGAATTCCTTCGTTAGAACCTCATTTTCAAAATATGGGTTCTCACCAAAGTGGAAATTGATTCTGTATCCAGACTTAATATCTTCGAATTCTTCCACCTCTAATTTAGTCATGTAATGAAGAGCATCTTCTTCGTCCTCTTCAAGAATATCAGAGATCTGTGGGTGGTTCACGAAAGCAGTAACCCAAAAGTTTGGTATCCTCTTGATAATATCGTTACGCTTTTCGAAGAAAGGTTTTCTGAGTTTGTTGTATTTCTGCTCTACTTTCAAAATTTCTTCACTGGCTTTCTCATTCAAGACATCAATTTCGTTTTGACAGGCATCGATCTCTTCTAAAGCCTTCTGTGTTTCGACATCGTAGTCCCTGCCTTCCTCACCCTCAACGGAACCCTCCTTTCGTGCCTTCTTGGGAGAGGGCCCACTGGCCGACATCTTGAGTGCTTAAAAGTGGTCCAGGTACAAAATTCTCAGCTGTCCCGCCAGCCAACCTGAGGAAAAGATCAATAGAAATAAATTAGTTTCATAACTGGGAACAAAATAATATATGTATGTTGGTGCAGAAAAAGCACTTTATTCCCAAGCCATTCTGTCACAAAACTTAATTTAAATAAACAGAGTTTGTTTTAAAATGTTCACTTATAATAAATAAAAAATTTAGTAAAGATTGCTGGACAGAATTGATCAGACTTAAGTAGAAGAGTCAAAACCCCAGAATTTGGAAGTGTTTAACCTCACCAGGATTGCATCTACATAAAAACCAAAATTAATTTAATATGCTGGTTGAAGTTGCTCATAACAACAAAAGATAGTTATCAGTGGTGCTAAAGAATAGATACAGAATGCAATGTGACCAGTATCTTAATTTTACAGAATTAAAGATACGAGATCGAAAAAACAAACAAGACAAAAGCAAGCCGAAAGGCCGCACCGCATAGGCGCGCGCGCGCACGCCAGCTTCACTCAGAACAAAAAGGTGAACCCTGATTCACAAAATCGATGAAGGCCAAACACCGAAATTTTTTTGCATAACGCAAAATAAAAGACGAAAACAAAATGCCGCGCCTAATGATGGTCGCAAGTACGGTATGAAATTCAAGAAAACCGGCCGGTCCAGAGCATCCAGGCCAAGTTAGTGTGGGCCTGTACTGGTTCGCGAATTGGAAATAAGGATAAAATAATGATAGGGGTTGAGCAGCACAACGAAACTGGAATTTACTTAAGAAAAGCAAACTAGAATGTGGCAACTCCAAGCCCCAACCATCGGATCTTACTAACGCCGACTAGAAACTTCAGGCCCGATGAAAGCCTACTGTGCGACTAGGTTATGGATACCCTATCTCCACTGACAAACGAGCACGAAAGTAGGTTGAAGCGCCGAACAAAGGGTAACAGCTCGTCAAAGACACGACCACCTCAGCCCAATAAATCAGCTTCACTAGCTTAATCCACGAAAATTTAGCCTGTTTAATCGAGATAGTTCGATTTAGGCACGTACGATAGAAGCCATGCTTGGCGCTACTCCCTACCGGCACGAACGGCCCAGGAGTTAAAGATTGCAATCAAACTCGGTCAAAACAGATACCGTGGCATTTACCTTGGGCAGTGGCAGTTGGGGCGCGAGGACAGTGATCGTCCTTCGTCAGTATCTCGAAATTCGGCGACGCGAAAGTTAGTTGAAGGCACCGAAACTCGGGCTTGGAGCTCCTAAGCGTACGAACACAAACAAGTCAAGATGGTGTCATTGACTGACGCACTACTCCGCACGGCGATGGTCAACAAGGCTGTCATGTTTGAGGAACCAACGGGACAGTAGGTTTGTGGGAGGAAAAATCGACCGTTAAAATTCAAAACATAAAAAAGTTGATTTAGGTCTGTCGATATTGGCTCTCAATTAATTTCATGAAATGTACTAAAGCTGAGCTGGCGAAGCTGCTTTGACTATTACCGCCGAAGTACTTCCGGTCGTTTGAGCGACGTTCAAACAAGAAATTTCTAATTATCCGTTTCCAATTCGCAGACGCGATGCCCTCCGACCCGAAATTCCAACATGCCGACTTATTTCCTGCCCCAAGTGACCCAGACATTCCCTGCGCATCCGTACAAGAAACGAGTGTAAATCGCGATTTAAAAGGGGGCTACACTCATCCGGAAGATGGAAGATGAATGTAGTTCCAATCCAGACGTAACGCCCTCCCTCCGCCGCGCAAAGTAAAGACCCTTATTTTTGAAATATTGGGTCACCTTGGCCCTTTTTCCGTCGCCACACTAGAAGCCAACTCGTTGTCTAGTCAGGCCGCACCGTCGCGCCGTCCCTTTTGGAGCGTCTCGCGTCCCGTCGCCGTCCTCCGCCCTCCCACACACACATCGCGAAATGGCACTCGCGTTCGGCTCGATCCGCCATTCGCTGTCCCTGTCCCTGTCGCGTCCACTGCCACTTCTCGGTCAGTTCGCGTGCCGCTCTCTGCCAGTCTCGTTGTCTTTGCCGGCGACAAGGAACTTATCCTCCGAAATGGGCCTTCCTCGTGTGTTCATGGACATGACCGTCGACGGCCAGCCCGCCGGCAGGATCGTGATTGAGGTGAGTGTGGAGAAATGCCGGCTAAGTCGGTGCGGGCCGCGGCCGCCTAGACGTGGGTGAGGGTCTGGCCGAGGGCCGCGTCTAGGCCTACCGGCGTTTGCCTGCCTCTCTGCAGCGGCGCGGCCTGGCGCGGCCCCGCACTGTACCACCACTTTGGCAATTCACGGCGCGCCGAGCCGCAATTGGCGTTCCGGCGAACGGGCCGCACGCGCCGATGTCGCCCCTGGAAATGGCCAGGCGCGTTGAGGCGCGGCTGGGCCCTTCCCACGTGGGGCGCGGGTGCCCTAGGGTGCCCAGGTGCCCCGCGGTGCGAAAGTAGTCGCTAACTTGTTGCGGGGGACGCGGCCGGCTTGTTGCCAAGCACTCGGCGGGTCGCCGCAAGTCCGCGACGCGCCCTCGGCCAGCCCGCGAGCTGCAGCGCCGTCCTGGACCGGGCCGCCCAGCGCCGCCCAGGCCCCGGAGACGCTGCTAACCTCAAGTCGGCCGGGGGCCAATTATTTTGTTAGCCCGTTGGTCGATACGGGTTGCCCTCAAGGTCACCTACGCGGGGCGCTGGCCAGGCCAGGCCGCCAGGATTGACGGGGACGTGCGAATCCCTAGCATCTATTATGCAGTGTGTGTGGCTTGCGCCGCTTGCGGACAGCCGAGCCGAGTCCGCTCGTCTAGGTCATGGCTCGCCGCGAGGCAGGGCAGGGCACGGCAGGGCGCGCCAGGCCGGCGGAGGCGGTGCGGGCGGTCCGCCTAGCGACACCGCCTCCATGAGCAAGCTAGCGCAAGCGACCCCTTTGCCTTGCCCTGGCAACCATCACTCTCCCTCACTAGCATTGATTGTGACAGCTAGTAATTTTGGGGGTAAATGTAACCCCTGCCTTTTGTCGAGGCGGAAACTTGTTTCAACTTTTAATCCTGTGATTAACTTTGAACTTGTATCTTTTGCAGCTCCGCAGCGATGTGGTGCCCAAGACCGCTGAGAACTTCCGCGCTCTCTGCACTGGCGAGCAGGGCTTTGGCTACAAGGGCAGCATTTTCCACCGCGTCATCCCCAACTTCATGTGCCAGGGTGGTGACTTCACAAACCACAACGGCACTGGTGGCAAGTCCATCTATGGCCGCAAGTTCGCTGATGAGAACTTCACCCTGAAGCACACCGGACCTGGTGAGAATTGCTCAGTTATTTGAGAGTGGATGTTAGGGAAAAATGTATGTTATATCTTTTTCTGTTTCAGGCATCATGTCCATGGCCAACGCTGGTCCCAACACCAACGGAAGCCAGTTCTTCATCACCACCGTAAAGACCAGCTGGCTCGACAACAAGCACGTCGTTTTCGGCAGTGTTGTCGAAGGCATGGATGTTGTTAAGAAGGTGAGGATTTAAAATTAGTTAAATTGTTTCGGGCTCCTGGAAGTACTTGTACTGATTCTTCATTATGTTTCCAGCTGGAATCCTTCGGCTCTCACGATGGCAAGACCTCCAAGAAGGTCGTCGTTGCTGACTGCGGACAGCTCTCATGAAGTCCATATCTCAATTCCTCCTAGCCAACTTAAATTCTTTCCTGTGGCTATCTTATTCAAATTAACTGAATACCTCATTCCCATTAATGTTTTTTTTAATTTATGAATTGGAGACTGTTGCTGCATTTAGACAGTATATCATGTATGCCATATTATGGTGTTCTGTGATGTTACCATGCACCTTGTTGTATTTTCATTTGTGATTAGTGGTGTTTGCTGTCTGTCTTGTGTTACAAAAAAAATGATTGTCCCTCAAACTTCATTTTGAATCAATTTTATGTGGTGAAATACATCTTGCCTTCATGTTAAAGAGTTTTCTGACTGCTCCTAAACCTGATAATGTTCCATCAAATTTGTCGACAAGACTGTGCCTTGTTTCGTCTGAACTTCTCTTGGGGGGAGGGAGGGGTAACTACTTTGGAAAATTGGGGCTTAGCGACCGACCGGCTTGGGACAGTTGCGTGCGTCCCGTCCCCCTGTCCCTGGACTGCCGGGCCGGACGTGCGGGCAGGTCAAGGAGCTCGGGGGTGGCCGGCCGGCCGGGCCGGAGGGAGACCGTGACTATTGCATGAAGGGAAATGGGCACGGCATGGCCCCAAAGCACCGCCACGGCGCCACCATAAATCAATTTGCCCGGCCCAGCCCCAGCCCGTACACTGCGCTCAAATGTGGCGCCATTTGATCGAAAGAATAAAGGTTGAATCCGGGAGGCCGTGATTGGGCCCTTCTACCGGACTGCCAGAGCCCCCTGGTGGGCGTCGCTGGAACCAGCAAGCGCTCGGCACGCCACAGGCCCAGCCCCCCACCATCGCGACCCAAACACCGTGGCAAAACAAAAACAACTCGAGGCCCAGCTGCGAAGCGAGCTGCGCAGTACGATGCGAGACTAGACAACGAAGAAGTGCGACGTAGATTCGGTGCAAAGTGAAGGGCTGGATGTGTGAGCGGGTGCTGGTGAAGGGCTAGGGCTTGGGAAGCCAGTTGGCAGGTGTGTTTGAGTCAAGCCTTTGCTGGAGTCCAGCTCGTCCAGGTCGTGATCCTGTCCGTCGGCCGAGGCGTGACGCGTGACGCTCGCAACATGATGGACGAAGAGGTTCTGAACGGCAGCGACGGCGAGGCGGTGGAGGACGTCGGCCAAAATGGCGATGCCGCCGCCGCCAGCCCCGGCAAGAAGACCAACGGCAACGGCGTGGAGGAGAAGGGCCTTGCCTCGGCCGAGAGGATCAAGATTAAGGGCAAGAGGAACGTGCGCTCCCTCGCCAAGGAGGTGTCTGGGGCGGTCGGCGGTGTGGTGCACCCTGTCAGGAAATGGAAGAACAGCCGGAGGTCGCGGAGCGGCTTCAGCCGCGGCGCCCCCAAGAAAGGCAAGTTTGCGGACGGCGTCGGCGTCGTCATGTGTGTTGTCTTTGTCCAGGACGTGCTAGAGAGCCTGGAGTGCGTGGCACTGCGTGCAGTGCGGAGGCTTTGTTGTGCTGCCGCGTCCCCCGCGTGAGGCCTATCCCTTTCCCTTTCCAGGCTCCAGCCCTGCCCCTCCCCACCCCACCCCACTCTGCCCCCCGCCCCAGCAGGCTGCAGGCTTCCGCCTCGGGAGCGTTGGCTTCTAGACCCTTCGTCCTTCGGCGTCCTGCCGGGGCTGCGCAGGGCTGGCAGGGCGGCAGGGCGGGCATAGAGGCTGGCCTTGGTTGCCTTGGTGTGGGCACGCGAGTCCGAGGACCCCCACGAGTTGTTTACGCGTTTATCAGGGCCGCCGTGGGGCCACGGGGCACCGCGGGGGACGGGGCATCGCTGGCTACGCTGGCTAGGTAGCCTACGTGACGATCTGCCTAGTGTGGATGGAGAGAGGTGGAGGGGGGCGGGGGAGAGGGGGGGGGGGCAGCTGGCCGTTTGTTTACGTTGTTTACTCGGCTGAAAGTACCGGGTGGGGGCTACCTCCTCCCTGGTAGCGGCTTGACTAGTTTTTAAATTGATCCAATTCCGGAAATAAGTATGCTGCATATTTTATTTGCTATATCTGTTTTAACAGTTGTTTTGTTTTTATTTAGGTGGAGCAGGAGGCAAGGGCGTGTGGGGTCAGTTGGGTTCGGAGTTGCAGGAAGTGGATGAGGACATGAATGACCCTAACTATGACAGTGATTCCCTTGATAATGGTGATATTGAATTAAAAACTGTGATTCCTCAGGCATCTGATGAAGAATTGCAGGTCAGTAGCAAAAATATTTACACTATTAATTTTTTATGTGTAATGATGCCCATGTATACATTTGACATGATTTTGCTTTCATGAAACATTGTATTACAGAAATTAGTGGAGCCCATCATTTTGGAGTATTTTGAAAATGGTGATGCTTATGAGGCTAGTCTTGCCCTTGATGAAATTAATTGCGGATCCAAACGCTACATGGTATGAAGCCTTTTTGCTGTCTAGTAATATTTTTCCTATTTACCTTGTATGTCTGGACACTTTTTCTTTCCCCCTCTAGATTGCACAGATCATCATTGAAATGGCTATGGACCACAAACCATCTCACAGGGAGATGACCTCTGTTCTGATCTCAGACCTTTATGGTCGCATTCTTTCTCAGAGGGACATCTGTAAAGGTAAGGAATGAATATTTTCCCATTCTGATGCTGTAGCCAAACAAGAAATAAAAAATAAAAAAACATGTCTGTTTCTTTGTAGCATTTGATGCTCTCTTGAAGAATTTACCAGATCTCATTCTGGATACACCTGAAGCTGCCACTGTGCTTGGCAATTTCCTTGCGCGTGCCATTGCTGATGATTGTATTCCACCCAAGTTTATTGAAACTTTGAAAGAAAAGGCTGACACCGAAAATGCAAAGTGAGCAGAATGGCTTTGTGTGCTCACCTTAATATTATGCAAATTAGTTCATGTTTCATAGGAGCAATCATTTTCTTTTCCAGTAAATCTCTGTCCAGAGCTGAGACCCTGCTGTCTATGAAGCATGGACTTGTGCGTCTGGATAATGTTTGGGGCGTTGGTGGAGGCCTGAGGCCAGTTAAGTACCTGATTAGACAAATGAACTTGCTTTTGCAAGAGTATTTGTCATCTAGTGATCTGCAGGAAGCTACTCGCTGTCTGCAGAATCTGGAAGTGCCCCACTTCCACCATGAGTTGGTGTATGAGGTGTGTAATAGTTGATGTCTTATAATTATTTTTAACTCATAAGTTTTACTGTTATTATTATTATGAATAATTAAATTTTTTGTTTCTCAGGCTGTGGTGATGGTTTTGGAAGCCATAAACCACCACACTGATGAAGCCATGTGCAGGCTTCTGAAATCCCTTTCCAATGCTATCATCATCACTGACGATATGATGGAAAGGGTAAGACCATATCCTCCCTGCAGTTATTTGTTCAGATTCCCCTACGCATGCTGACAATGTTCTTATACTTTCAGGGCTTTTTGCGTGTTTATGAAGACATGCCGGATATATGCCTTGATGTGCCACTTGCGTACACTGTACTTGAGCGGTTTGTTGAACGCTGCCAGAAAGCTGGTTTCTTGAATGACACCATCGTGAAAAAGATGCCAACCCGAGGCCGCAAACGATTCGTCTCTGAAGGTGATGGCGGCCGTGTCAAGGATCACAATTTCCATTAAAAGATTCCTGCACAAACCTCTGGTCTTCATGTTTATGATATTTTTCACCAGTGAAAACTTGTTTCTGTTTTAGTTGTTTTTCTTTCCGGTATGGTGCATACCAGTATCCTGTACTTCCTGCTCTATTCTTATTTTTGGGTCAGAATATTTCAAGGCCAGAGACACATGTATTTGCATTTAGTATGTATTACTGAATGTCAGAGCCATTCAGCCTATTTGTTTTGTCCATATTTTCTTGGGCTTTTCTGTCTTGTTTTTCCCTAATCTTTGCTGGATTTGTGAAGTGATTTTTCATTACCTGTAATGATTGTGATTGGCCTTTGGAAGTTGTCATTATAGTAATTTCTATGTAGATGTTGGTTTGTTGAATGCAGGCCTTTATGCTTGTTCAGTCTTTCTTTGGATATGAATATGAAGTGTTGGAACTATCAAGTTTAACTTTCAACATAGTAGTTGTTGATTCTCAAGTCATTTAGTCCAACTCTCGGAACTTATCTATGTTCTTTACTCTTGTTATCATTTTGAGGTGACATTGGCAAAGGTGACTTTGGTGCTCATGGTCTGCCTCAGCTAATGTCTTTGTCTATTTCTAATTGCTTTTAAACGGAATGATGTTAACAGCTTTTATGCACCTTTTGTGCATTTTTTGAAAATTTTGATTGTGTAATGTGTACTACTAATCAGTGGATTGATGATGAATGGGAGGAAAATAAAAGTACAACTGATAAAAGCATTACATGTTCTTTCTTTACCCCTGCGTATTCTCTAGTATTCATCCTTTCTTTTCTACTCCTTTCAAAGGAGCAAAAGGAATCAGTTGAAACAGGTCTTTTAAAATGTGGATTAACTACTTAACATAGAGTTGAGACCGCAACACCTGGTCTCTGCTGGGATGACCTGTCGCACCTGAACACCCCTCTGTCCCAAGGTCCGGTGGGGACTCGGGGGATGTTGTGTTTGGCGCCACTGGCGCAGGTCAGGGTAGGCAACAGGCATGCCGCCCCGCCGCAGGTGTCTCGATGACGGTTCGCATCAAGTTCGTATGGGTTCCACCGTGCCGGTGGATCTCCTCAGCACCACCCACACAGCAATCCACCCGTTCGCGCTCTGGCAATTAACCGCCGCACTGTCACTAGTGCGTGTTCGCGTTAGAAAACCCCAAAGGAAAACGTGCATGTGGACCACCGGACTGTTCAAACCACCTTCCGCCTCCACCCGCTGTCCGTTTAAGATGGAGTGAGAGTCTGAGAGTCTTTTGGTGGTCGGGAAAAAATTCGCTTTTTCCTCTCAAGACAGTCTCAGGTCTAAGAGCGCTCTAGAAACACAGATGGGCCGTGCCACAGTGGAGCACTACTTCCCGAAATAGGCCACCTGCGACGCTGCGCTGCGCTGCGCGACGAAAGTAGTCCAGCGTCTTCCTCCGCTCCGCGCAGTGACGCTGGGTGACGCGTTGGGTAGTCGAGCTTCCAGGCGTGAGATCTGCAAGAAGAATCAAGCGTCCAAGACAATTCAGGGTCAAAATCTTGTGCATTGTCTGGTGCGTCCTGCGGTTGATATGCTCCTACGATCCTGAAACAAGTAGGTTTTCCAGTGTGACCTTGTGTGTCCTGATGTGTGGCGGTGAATCGTAATAGAAGGCATCCGAAGGACTAAAGAAGTAGGCTAGCCTAGGCAGTGGGGGCCCCCCCAACCATGTCGTATCCTTGGCTTGTACTTTCTATCCTCTTGTCAGGAAATTTGTTGCGGCCTGCGCGTCGTCCGTGTTCTCGCCTATCATTGCGAGTCGTTCAAAATTTCTGAAGACCTCCCCACACTTCACCCGAAAGGCTTTCTTAACCTCGCCGCCATAACATAACAGAGTTTCGCGCCGGTTGCGAAGTGATGCAGGTGGCCTATGGCCGCCGTTCCGTTGTGCCCACTCTTTTTCAACCTGAAAATAATTTGAGCCCCTCTCTGGAGGTTGAGGTTATTCCTCCCTTTTCTTCGCCTCCAGCCAAATAATTTCTGCGGTAGAGCTCAGTCCAAGGGGTATCTTAAATGGGTATTAAAAGTTATAACAAACTTATGGGAATCAGAGCCACTATTATTCATAACTTAGGTCCTTTCCACTGGAGAGCAGGTGTCATTGCTGTGTCCATGTTTCTGTTTCAGGTTGCACCTAACAAAGATCCTACTTGAAGGTGACGGAGAATGGCAGAAGCAGCGGTTAAAATGCCTGAAACAAGTGGCAAAAAGAAAGGCGGGCCAAGGACCTATGGAGGCCGATCTGGGAAAAAGATCAAAGCAGATCCAGATGGTTTGCCTGGTAATTTACTAGACTCAAATATTTTCGGTCGTTTCCAGAACAATATCTGTAAGTTCAATTAAATTTTGCAGATGATGATCAGGGCTCTGGAGCGGAGGAGGAAATGGAGCCTCCAATGTCACCTCCACCTAAAATAGGTAATTATCCAATTTTAAATCGTAATCTTTGTTATGTAGTAGTTATTAAACCCGAATCTTGTAAATTATGATCTGTAGGTCTTCGCGTACGGAAACTGCCTCTGGCTAATGAAAACATTGAAACCAGTGAGGAATCTGATTCTGGTGCCAGCAAAAAGAAAGGAAGGAACTCTGTTAACAACAATAACAACCAAGGAAATGGTTAGTTGTACAACTGTGACATTCTTCTTACCTTTTGTGGAAGTTTACTTTGTCGACATTTGTTCATGTCTTTTTGTTCACTTTAGGTAAAAATACAAGAAGGAAGGCGGCTACTCCAAAGCAGCCTGCAGACAATACAGATGAAACTGACGAAAACTCAGACTTTCAGGATGGAGATGTTGGCCCTCATTCATCTAATGCCCGTAATCAGCACAAATGTCCTATCTGTATGAAGAGCTTCCCAACTATTTCTGTAAGTGTACCACTTCAAGTGTTTGTTAACTGTGGTCCTGATAAATTAACACTGTTGTAATCTCATCAATTGGATGCAGAGCTTAAAGGTTCATGAGAAGAATTGTGAACCAATGCCATCTGATGCTGATTTCCGAGGAGGTGGTGAGATGATCCTGCCTGACAATTTGGAAGATGTTGAGGGTAACACATTCACTTCATTTTTTTGACTCTCAATTGTTGCTTTGTTTTGGTTTTATGGTGATTTTTGTTTTGTTTTTGCAGACATGGAAGGAGATGAAAACAATCTGATGGAGCTGAGCAACATCGCTGCTGATATGCCTGGAAAATGCCACTGTTGTGGAGAAGACATGAAAGGAGCTCATGAGGTATGATAGACTTTCAAATACTGCTAATTTGTTACTTTTACATAATTTTTTACTGATCTTGTATCACTGTCTTTCAGAATGGAGAGTTCTCATGCCTCGATTGTAACAAGCAATTTAAGCTCAAATCCAGTTTGGAGCGTCATCGACGTGTTATTCATGCTGAGGGAGACACATACTCTTGTCCTGAATGTAATGCACGTTGCCCTGATAAAGGAACACTTGCCAGACACATGTATACTCACACAGGTATTTCTTTTCTTAAGTCTTTGTACCTGTGCAAATTGAATTTCTCAATTTTAGACATGGCTTAATTATGCATTATTTGTCCTAGGCTTGAAGCCATATGAATGTGATCGCTGCAACATAAAATTCAGTAGGAAATACCACTTGGACCGCCATGTGTTGCAAAGTGGTTGTGATGGCAATGCGCGTCCACAATACCCTTGCCAGGTAACAGTCTTATCTTTGTGTAGTGTCTGCAGTTGTTGAAGTATTGAGTACTGAAAATCCCAATTCTGAACAGGTGTGTGGCCGAATGTTCAACCGTAAAGATAATCTCCGAGAGCATTTGCGAGCTCATGCAGGTCAAGTTAAGCGCAAGCGAACATACACATGTGAAATGTGTGAAAAGGAATTCCAAGGCACCACTCTTCTTCAGATTCACATGAGGACCCATACTGGTACGAGTGTTCAGTTTGATTTCTTTGCTTCCATTTAATTTATGTTAACTCATTGAAGTTGAAGAGTTGTCTTAATTTTGTCCCATGTTGCAGGTGAGAAACCTTATGCTTGCTCATACTGTCCGAAGGTGTTCCCCTCAAGTAGTGCAATGAAAAAGCACACCCGCATTCATACTGGTGAAAAGCCCTATGAGTGCAAGGAGGTAAATAATCATTCTCATTTTCTTCTAGTTTAATTTTAGTTGCAAACTCTTCATTACCTTTGTCTTGTTTTCAGTGTTATGCTAAATTCACTGCCAAGGAAACATTGAATAGGCATATGCGCACTCACACTGGGAATAAGCCTCACAGTTGCAAGTACTGTGGAAAAACTTTCATTCAGCTGTCTCAGTTGAGAGCTCACATCTTCCACCACACAGGTATGCATTAATCTTAGTTGAACTTAAATAACCTTATCTATTGTCTTTTGTTCATTTATTTACTCTTATTGACCCCTAAGGTGAGAATGGCTATACTTGTGACATCTGTAGAAAGGCATTCAACCGCAAGTCCCGACTTGATTTGCATGTCAAGTATGTTCATGAAGGAGCAAAGCCATTTGAATGTACCGAATGCAACAAGACCTTTGTTCGTAGAGAGGACATGTCTCGTCATACTGTTCTCCACTCCGGGCTCAAAGCTCACAAGTGTCCAATTTGTGACAAGACATTTGCCATGAAATCATCACTTAAAATCCATTTGTTGACTCACACTAAGGTATGTCCAAACTAAGGACTTTATCCATTTGAAACTAAGTTTCACCTTATGTCATTTTTTTAAATGCCTGATTTTTATATTTTAGGAACCTCCTCGCTCCTGTGAAGAATGTGGACGTGCATTCATCCGACAAGATTGTTTGCTACGCCACATGCGCACCAAACATCGTGACATGCTTGAAAACATTATGGCTGAAGCTGAGAGGAAGAAGTTGCAGGTTCAGTTGCTTGTTGCTGCCAATGAAAATAATGATGGTGAAAGTGATGGTTATCCTCGTACCATTCAAAGATCTGCCAAAAATGTTTTGGAAGATGCTGCATTGGCTGAATCGGTATGTATAGTAACGGTTTTAGTCAATCTACTACATTTGCGTCAAAGTGTTATTTAAAATTGGCTAATTTCTGCAACAGGTTCGTGAGCTTCTTACTTTGTTGGTTGATGAAACCACTCTCCGCAACTTTGGGTGGCCTGATGCCCCAATTGACGAGCTGTTGGATGCAGTAATTAAGCGCTGTGGTCACCCTTCTGCAGGCTGTGATGACATGCCTTACAGTGACAGGTTACGCCACAATGCCAAACTCCTATTTACTGTTGTAATTGATGACCAAGCTGTTAAGACTCTTCTCAACAATCAGACTGTGGATGAAGTGATCCTGCATGTTTTGCGTCTTGCTAAGTCGTAAAATGCTGTACATATCTTGACATTAGCAACCATCTTAAATGTCCTTTGCGGCTATGTTCTGTTTTTTGGATTAAACCAGTCTAATGACAGGATTGGTGAGGTCAATGTTAAGCTATTGGTTATGTTGTAAATTTACACTGTTTGTTGGTCTTTACTGAAGTGTATTTATCAGTTCACACAATGACCTGAATATTCTTTAACAATTTTCCAAGAATCAACATAAAATTAAGTGTCGGTCTGCAATCTTTTGTCATCTTTTCCAAGAAAGTGCAAGGGTTATACATTGGAAGAGTATTGCTTCCAAGATTTTATTTAATTGCGGACATTATTTTCTTTATTGTACTGAATATGATAGGCCTAGGATAATTGAACAATTATGTGAATGAAATGTATTTTCCTTGTGTAGGTGAGATGACTGTATATAATTTAGATTTAGGTAAGGTGACCCCTGAGGTATTATATTTTTGCCTTAAATTGTAGTTTTTTTTACATGAGTATTATCCAGGACTTTACCTGTGTGTAGTAGTTTCAATCGCTTGAAATTTTTTACACTGTCTTGGTTTCTATTATATTTTTTCTAGCAAAATTATTAATTAAATTTAATACACATTTCTTGTTTTGCCGGCAATGGGCAAAATTATTTTTCTAATTGAGGTTTTATGTGGGGAGTATCAAAGATGCCTTGTCTGTAATTGTCAATTCTTAACTATTAATCAAATGTGAGCAATTTTTGCTGAACCTCTTGTGTCTGATCTATATTGTGATGGTGATTTTCAGTCCAGTGATTATCTTCCATATCTGATGTTCTCATGTACTCATGTATGATGCATTACGTGTTCTGATTTGAGGTTGGCAGGCTCCAACCTTATGTCTTCCTTCCCGCCTCACAATTTTCTGATAGTGCATGTTGAGGAACACAATGTATCATTGCTTTGATAAATCCCTATTTTTGTCATGTATTTTCTCATGGGAACTGAATTGAGTAATACTTGTTTCTAACTTCAAATCCAAGACCATGAAATAATGTGTAAACATTTCTTATGGGTTCAAGGTTAATTAAGTATAACAATAAAGTTCTTCAAATTTTATTTAACACTTACTTCATTTACCCTATGTAATCCTATTATTAACAGTACACCAAACTATGCACTATGATGCATTGAATGATGGAGGAATACTCAGTTACTAAATTAAGTGAGACAAGACAACAGTCATAAGAAGACCAACATTTCATTCCTGCAATCAATACAGGGCTGGTTGAACAAGCCTCACTTCCCTGTTCTTGTTCTTGACATGATCTTTTAGCATACCCATCACTTCAGTTTCAAATTCAGCAGGAGTAGGCTTCACACCTGTGGCCCAGTAGAAGATATCCCAATCATTGCTAGGCAAATTGATGAGTCGGTCATACTGCTGGAGGTGCTGTTCAGACATGGTGTTGAGATGTTTGGCAGCAAATGTACTCAGCAGCAGGCCATTTTCCAGCATGCCTCGCTTCCGGGATTGGTAAACAAGCCTATAAAACAAAATTGCAACTGAAAGCTTTCCCCACTCAATATGATAATACTTCTTTACACATCAGAGATACAAGAAATTACCTGGAACGCTTAAGCTGCACCGGTTCATGCTCCCTCTCCTCGTAAACTGGGATCCATGGTTCTCCAGATTCTGATGGAGATTTGGTGCTGTTTGACATAAGTCGGGCCAAGATGGGGCGGTTCGCCTGGAACAAGTAGAATACGCCTCAAACATCACCCTAAACAGTGGAAACGATAAAGGTATGCAATTTTTAGTAGCTTTACGATACCTCCAAAATGTTAGGGAGTTTCATGATGGGACAGAGTTTATTTAACTGCTGGCAGATCTGAAAGGTAGCCAATAGAAGTGTTGTTTAAGACTTGAAACACAGCAACCAGACGTACTTAAATTAAAGTTGCAATTTGATTCCATTGCATAACCTGATGTTACACAATTCAATCACTACAAAAATGTGTTAAACGAAAATGTCAAAGCGTACCTGGGACGCCATATTACACACAGCAGATCAAGCCTTGACAAAAGTATTGTCAAATTATAATGAACGAGTTTCGACTCGACTGACAGGCCACTGTATGTGTTATCACGAAGTCAAAATAAAAACTGCTAAAACTAACGCGTAGCAGAAGCCTCGGGCCGGGGGCTGCTTAAGTTAATGGAAGCAGCTATCAGTTGCCTTTAGACAAAAGAAAGAGGCTGCTGTTTCCGCCGTTTCCGGTTTCCGCTTTGGTTGAAGTTGCAAGTAGTGTGTCAGTAACTGAACGCGGTAAATCTTCCGTCGGGGAAATTTGCGCATGCGCAAGGACACAAACTCCAGCAGCAGACAGCTAGCAGACGACAGTGGACGCGACGGAGGGGCTGCAGGCTGAACGGGTTGTTGTGACGCATTACTTGGGCCTGGTTTTAGTGACACGGCCGTGACAGGCCAGGGCCGCCAGGGCGAAGGGCTAGGAGGCGTGGCGGGCCTTTTTGGAACCATTCGCGGCGCCCTTCAGGTCACAATTCTGTACCTGCGACGTCCGTGGGTCCCCGGACCCTCTCCCCCGAAGGGCTCCAGGATGAAGAGCACACGGACGTCCCGTCTGCCGAGCCTCCAGCGAACGATAGAGGTAAGGGGAGTCAGTCCCTGAAGCTGTTTCCAAAAACTGACATAACTTCAAAGACAGTTTAAGGAGTTTGTTTCAAATTTTGCCCCCAGTGAATCACAATGTTACACACTTCCCCTTTTTGTGTATTGATTTTTGACAATGTTTGTGCACCACTGCTGAAATGTTTTTGTTTCATACAATGTATGCTTACTTTGCATTATAGGCAATGTGGCCGACCAAGAGGACTTCTCAGCCACACCATGAACAACTTGACGATGAGGATGTTGGTAAAAGTAAAGAGGAATGTGATGTTGAGCGATGCTTAAAGCTTGTCATGATGGATTTCAATTCCTCACCTGACGGATCTATCGAAGACTTGAAGACAAAGCAAGAAAATGCTGCCCAATGTACGATGGGAAATGAAAAGCTGAAGTCGGCCAAGAAAGCCATAGGGCAGAAGCACAGTAAGTATTCAGCACTGCGGTGACACAACAGGTGCTCAAACTGCTAATCAGAGCTTAAATTTTTTCAAATGACTTTTTCAGACCAGAAGAAGTGCGCAAAATGCATGAAACTCTATTATGTGGTCAATATTCTAGTTGAGGTAAGCAGGTCTTCTGAGAAAATCAGAAATTACCATCTCCAATAAATACAGTCCTGAAAATTTGATTGCATTTTGTTTAGGGATGCCTTATGGCTTTGGTCAGACAAAGTTTGGAGCACGTCGATCTGCTCATCACCAAGATGGAGCTGAAAGGTGTCACCGATCGCGCCGTTTTTCATCAGTATTTGCAACATGGCCTAACTCTTTCTGATAAAGTAGACAGCTTTTATCAGCGTCAGGATCGAATGTTCAATGCTTTTAAAGTTTGTGCTCGAATGCGGCACTCCAAAACTGCTCAAGATTTAATTAAGCAAGGCTTTGAGCTTCTAAATGAAATGAGAGAGCTGAACAACAAGTATCAGGTATCTATTGATAATTTCTGTAACCTTATGGCAGAAAATGCGGGTGTGGAAGTGAACTAATGTATTTAAAGAATAGCTTGTCTGGTTTTGATAATTTTCAACAAGTCAGCTCCTGTTGAAAGATTCATCTTCATTATTTTTGGAAGTAATCGGCTCTATCTTTTGCATTGCGAAGACTGCATTTTCAATCTGAATTTGCCATTTTATCCTGCAGTGTCATTGTAGATCAGAAAATAATGATGTCACTTTAAGAGAAATCTGTTGTAAATAAATGTAGTCAATAATGTGCAAACAAGAAAAATATTTGCATAATAATCCAAAAGCAGAGTGAACATAATGCACTTTTATTTAAGTCTTCAACTTTTATTTCCAAAACTTCAATTCTTCCAATGATAGGATCCCTAGAAGTTGTGGTAGTAAGTATGAAATGATAAATTGTATGCTTAGCTTTGTAAGATTGAAAGGCTGAAGCTTATGAACGTATAGGCAAATCTGTGTAAGAAAAATGAAGAAGAAAGAATCAAGCTGTTCAGCATATTGCTTTGTGATTCATTGTTTTTCCTGTCCCTTGCCTGTCTGGCTCTGGCAGAGGTTTTCTCCTGGATTAGATCAGGGGAGTACAATGGGATTTTTGTGTGATGCTACACTTTACAATCAATCTCCTGTCAAAAAAGATTGTTGAAGTAGATGCTTAAAGGGTTGTAGATTTTAAATCACTTTACTTCATTGACCCTGTATTTACTGACTTGTTTTGTTGCATGTTTGTGATATGTGATTTTGTGATCCTGCTGTTAGAGGTATACCCATGTCCTCAAATTGATCTATTTTCTTGTCAAGTATAAAATCTTATGATACTGTTAAACAATATCAATCAGGCTGTAAAATTCATGTTAACAAATTCCTATAAATTTTTGATATAGTATTCCCGCTTTTTTAAAGTTATTAATTCGTATGTGTGTGCCAATAATGGGAAATGTTAATTGAGGGGACGAAAACGAAGTACAATCATACAAATTTATTAACTGTTGTTAGTCCAAGAAAAATCCTTGCTATTTTAGCTACTTTTTGAAAAACGTTTTTCTTATATGTCTTCTTAAGTGGTATTTTCCCCTTAATTAGTAACTCAGTGCAAATGCACAAATTTGGCATTTATCTATTTGTAGTACATAGTTATGAGGTAAAACAAGGGAAATTGTTCGGTAAGTGTAGGTGGTAAGGTAAGTGAATTTAGTCTTGTACAAATGCACTCATTGCTCAACGAGTGCTCTTTTCGCCGAGTTGATACTTAGAATGAAATTATTTCAGTCATTCCTTCCCTTTATTCACTTTAAGAGGAATCAAGTCACTTACTTTTTAATCTCTTGGTTTTGTTTAGAAAAATTCAATAGTACATTTCAAATGCTTAAGCAAAATTTTGCAGAGTGCAACTTTGGCATGGTAGTGCATAAATGTGGATCTATGCTTCAATGCATAATTTGGTATATGTGATACGTAGAAACTTGTGGAATCAAAGCATTTAGAATTTAAACTGCTTAGGTATACCAGTACTTGAATTGTGATGGGTGGGACAGTTTGAGTGAGCTTGCAGGCTGTGACATGATACCTATGTAAATTATTGTGGAAAACTATATCCCTTCTTAAATGTTGCACCTTTTCATCCAATGTGAAAATACTTTCATAATAGTGATGACTTTGCTTTTACATCTAATTTTCTCAAAAATTCATCAAACTTAAATGAGGGATCAGATGTTAATTTCTTCCCAATGGTGCTCTATGCTGACAGCTCTGCTGATGAAAGTTACTCTCGTTAGGAAAAATCAGTGTGTTTCCCTCTTTCATTATAATTATTTTAGACTATATAGATTTTTTTCTTTAAGTGAGCAAGTCAAACACCCCTAGAGAGGCAGAGAAGTCCAAAAATAGCAATGAGATAGTGATGGGCAGAATTTGTTGAATTCAAAATGACATGACTCTTAATTCCGTTTTGTATTTGCATTGCCTATTCTTGCTTGGAATCTGCTCTTGTTGATTCAATTTTATTTTTTTTTACTCGGTTGTAGCTGGGTTGCAGCCTTATGATGTCTTAGTCTGGCAGACGTGGGTATTACAAAATTGTATTGCCAGAGTTCGCTTTTCTGAAGCTCTTTATGAAGGAAAGAAGGAGACGCTTAGTTTTGTCAACTTGAATAAAAATACGCAATAAAATCAGAAATTTGAACAGATATTTGTCGTAGTCATTGTGATCCCCTTACAACACCCTAGACACATGTGGTCAGATTTTACTTCCATCTGCAGTCGCTGCAGTTCAAACTCGGGCGCTCTGACACCCCCTCCTCCCTCCTCCCCTCACCTCAATCTGAATCTGAATCTGAATAACCACTTTCACCCAACCCTAGAGTTTGTCTGCCTGTGTTGTGTTGTTTTATGGATTTTAATAACAAGACAAGAATAGCCAAACACCTTAAATCACCAAACATGACATTTGATGAACCAAAAGGAAAAATTCATAAGAGTTTTCTGCGTTTCGTCACAGATGTCAAGCAAGGGTAAATTTGAAACTTGTGGAGGCTTTCTGCTAGGGTTATGTACTCACTAATTTCAGATTCCATCATTTATTTACATCATATCATATATTTCAGGAAGTACCATGGGTCATTTGAAATTACAAGTAAAACAGTTGATTTGCTCAAACAGTTGATTACGGATGAAAACTTTTCTAATGCACAGTAAGTCTGGTTCACTTTTCAATTTTGCACAAGTTTCAAAAGATGGTCCATATGTGGAGTGTTTAATGATCGTTATTGTTTCTCTGTAGGGGAATGATGGATACAATCCGCACCCACGGTCGGTATCTTCACAAGGCTCTCCCAGTCCATGCTTCTGTGGGAAACATGGCTCGTAGAGTGTTGAAAATAGTTCGCGAGGAATACGCTGCTGGGCGTGAGGTGTGTTTCGCAGTGCTTATCATTCCTATTTTTTCACATTAAATTGTTTTAAACTTAATGGTCTTTTGTTTTTATGTGTGCGTAGAACAAATCTGAGGAATTGGATCCTCAAGATTCTCTCCATAAGATTGTAACATCAGTTGATATTGGAGAAGACTACAGTAGTCCTGTACCTGATCTGAAATCAGGGGTTCTAGAGCATATATCTGAATTCCAAATGGAACTGGAGACTAGGTATGTCACAATGAGGTGGCGTTTCCCTTGAACTCTTTCATTTTTTATATTTTGCCTGGTTCATGTATTTTACTTCTTGTTTTTCCAGCATTGATAATATAGCACAGCAGGCTCAAGAACATATTCATTCCAATGAGATAATTTTAACCCTGGGGATGTCTCATGTTGTTGAATCGTTTCTCAGAAAAGCTGCTGCCCACAGGAAATTTGATGTTATTGTTGTTGACTGCGAACCTTTAGGCAAGGTATGTCAGAAATTGCACATGAAACTCCTACCCTTTTCTCTGAATTTTACTAGTTCCTTGTATTTTATTGCAGGGTCATGAACTTGCTGTAAGTTTAGCAAAAAGCAAGATTAATACAACTGTCATAGGAGACAATGCAATTTTTGGTATTATGTCCAGAGTGAACAAGGTGATAATTGGAACTCATACTGTTATGGCCAATGGTGGTCTTCGAGCATTGACATCATGTCATTCTGTGGCATTGGCTGCCAAGCACTGTTCTGTTCCTGTAAGTTAACGACACTTTGCTCTGTCGGGGAAGTCTTCTAAGATTGGGAGTTAAATTTTCTTACCTTTATCTGTTTTTTTTTTTCAACTGCAGGTTATAGTCTTGGCTCCTATGTACAAATTAACTCCTCAGTATCTGTGCTCCTATGATCAGGATGCATTCAACAGCTATGTTGCACCGGATGGAGTTTTAGATTTTTCAGATCATCCCACTTTGTCTCAAATCAAACGCTACTGCCCTGTTTTTGATTATGTACCTCCAGAACTAGTGACCTTGTTTATATCCAATACGTAAGTGAATTTATGTGCTACTAAACATTCTAAACATTACTTTACTTTTACGCCTGTACCTACCTAATGGAAACATTTTACTTTCAGTGGCGGCCATGCACCATCCTATGTTTATCGTCTCTTGAGTGAACTGTATCACCCTGATGACTACGAATTTTAGGAGGTACTGGAGTCAGGGATATTGTTGAGTTTTCAGAGTTCACTAATATATTTTTGTCATGTCAGCATAATATTGGGACTAACCATAAAAATTAAAATTCATGCAGCAAACTGTGTTGGTTCTTTGTTTTCATAAATTGTGGTTTAAAGGGATTATACACAACAATTTTTTAAAAAATAATCTTTAATTAACTTTAAGCATTGATGCAAACATAGAACTTGCTTGGCAAAATATGGCAGTTGTGTCTCAATATAAGCTCAATAAAGCGTTCAAGAGTCCATCATAACTTCTGCTCAGACCCCATTGCTGTATATATTGAGCTTATCTGTAGTTACATCAGTTCACAGCTACTTTGTACTCTTATACAAAATTACATTCTGGTTCTTGTACTTTAAAGTGCGAAGCTCATTTTCATGTCCAAGTTCAAAGTAGACTACCGTCAGGCAACCACCTTCAGCTGGGATCTACAGCAAGAAGGGTTTTACTCGATGGAACCACCATGAAATGAATGTAGGAACTGCTCTGTGACATCAAAATCATGATGACACTACATCTTTGTTGCAAGGTTGCAAAAGATAAGAACGTGCTATATTTATTGGCTTATAAAATGACCTTTCCCCACTAACTACAATTGTCTTTGGACTAGTATATCTCACTGGCCAGTCATTTCATTTGCCACAAATATGAAGAGTCACTGGGTCTCATACCTTTGTTAACCACAAACAAAGAGGCAGAACCTAACCGTGCACTTACTGAAAATTCAAGCAGAACTGCTAACATGTTGTTCTAAATAAGGTATGCATGTACCAACAAGTGCTACAAAACACAGGCTTAAGTGTTAGTAAGAAAGAAGGTGGAAGAGAGAAGTAGAAGCAAATTAGCTTCGCACAGGCAAGAAATATTTGAATACAATTTAAACACCAAGAAACACACAGAAATATATGATAAAAAGCTTAAGGAAGAAGGGCAAGGTGGTAAATGACCACCAGCTACAAACTGTTAAGGATCATGAAAATCACAATATCAATGTTCAATAATAAAAAAGGCAGAACAACTATGAAAGAAATCTCACGTGAATAAATGAGAATTTGTACTTGAAGACGAATGCATCACAGACATGGAACTGCACAACATAAATCATACCATACGTCAGAAAAATTATGGCAAATAGAAGAATCCTTTTTTTTAAAATACTTAACAGTTAAAAGTTGACTTAAAAAGAAATACAAGCTAGCTTTCAAAGACAGTTGGAGGTACTTTAAACTTACAATAACTAAGTTTCCATTAATATTCTATAGCAGACAGCACGAACAATACGAGAGTAAAACACATATATGTTTAAAAAAATTATCACTTGATCAAAATAAAAGGCACAACAACAATATGAAAGTCAACAGTTATGTAAATATAAATGTTAAAAAGAAAGGAGGGGAAGTTGAATTGAGCAAGAAGATTTGGTCAAAGAGCCAAAGAAGATGGTGCAGAGCAAAGATTAGTTTTGATCAACATGTGAGGTCCCTTTACAATTGGAGTTTGAGTATTATCCAGCAACAATGTATTCTGTGCGTTTGATGATAAATTTGGGATTTTACTTTCCCATCATATGTTATTCTGGACTGTAATCCTCTAAAACCTTCAAAACAATTAAAATTTTTTTGTTGAAGAGTTGAAAGTGCCAAGAGTTTGTGCCTCCTCCAAAACAACAGGCTTTTACTAAAGCACTAGGGCTTTAGGGTCCCTTGAAAACAGGCCTTTAGAGCACTAGGGCTTCAGGGTCAGGAGGTAAAAGCACCTCAGCTCTGTTTGAGGGAGGGTGGGGGTTAATATTGTGAGACTTCATGAACCCTATGAATTGCGTTGGTATTTCCGCGAGTACTTCCCTTGCCAAGCGCAGTCTAGCTGTCTGTGGGTCACCTGAGGTAGTAAACTTATTGAAAGGTACAAACTGGACAATGTCACGAGCAGCTCGCTGTTTCCCACTTTGAAGGGCCACAGTATCAGCATCCAATGTTTCCATGGCAGCAAAATCTGCATTGCCAATACCAACTATAATAATGGACATTGGAAGAAATGATGCAGAAACTATTGCCTGAAAATGATAAATACAATATTTAAAGTCCAAATGCAATGATAACACTATTTTTCACCTGAATGTCAAAAAGGACCAATACAAACCTGAACCGTTTGTGGCATATCTGTTATCACCCCATCAGTAAGGATCAAGAGAATGAAGTAGTTGGATCCATCCTTGTAAACACTTGCAAATTTGGCCACATGATTTATTACTGGAGCAAAGTTAGTTGGCCCATACAATTGTACCTGGCGAATACAGCTGTGATAAGCAGCCAGAACACCTTCAAAATAAAACAGAAACATGACATTAAGATTGTACTACATCGGGTATGACCTGCTTGAAGATGAAATGAGGATGAAACAATACCATCTATCCCAAAGCAGTATGGGTTATCCGGTTGCATGTTGACAAAGAACTCATGTGAGACACGTCCATCTGGTGGAAGTCGGGCTCCGAATCCCAGCACAGGAAACTGCTTGTCAGAGTCGTAGTCTTGAATAATCTGGCCCACTGCCCGGATGGCTAACTCATATGAGTTGGGAATGTTGCTCACAAAGTGCAAGGATTCTGGTAGAGAGGGATCACCATTGGAGCCTGGACACAAAATGAATAATTAATTGAATAATTAATAACCCCTGGTTAATCTAGCTATGTCACCACACAATAAATGTAGTCGCATTATGTTTGCTAGCTTTTAGGAGTGGAAATACTAACCAGTGAAGTCAATTGCAATAGAGCAGTGGAGCTGTACTCCTCCCTTAATGTAATCCATGAAGGAGTTTATTTTGCGGATTTCAAAGAAGTCTACTTTGATTGTTCCAGAATGTGTGTATGCATCACCTTTTCTTTTCTGAAATCACAACACAAAGAAAATTAATAGGTTTATTCTTAGCCCCATAGCACAATAAAAATGAAGCAGCTAATCCATTCTTTTAATGAGCATGCAATATTTTAAAAGTGCTCTATGTGTGCTGATGAATTTTAGAGCAAGCATGCACATTAGTCCAATACCAGAAATATGTGAAGTATAGGATAATTATCCCAAAACCCACAATCTAAATTGTATGACAGACGACTCTTTTAAAATAAAACAAGATATTACTTACAGTAACTGTTGAAAAGAGTTATTTCTATAGCTACCAAAAAGTTAGACTGCCATTTCTCAAATAATGATCAGTGCAAAATAAAACTCTAAAAAGTGTACCAAAGCTCATTAGTTAACAAAGCACTTATCCCCCTTTCTGTTTCAGTAAAGAGAAGCTTTGTGTTTGGATAATTTCTAGATTTCTAACAGATTTATTCAATTGGTAAGGAACTCTGGCGTTGAACCTGCCTTAATTAATTTAGTGTCGAGAGCACACACAAGTACGTGCATTTCAGAGTGAACCTCAGAATTTGAGAGGTAGGTAAGTTAAGTAAAAGATGATAGAACCTTCTTATCTTCATTGATACAAGGAAATGAATTAGCAACCCCAGGCTGACTTAGTTCCTTGAGGGTGACATAAAATTCACCAATGTAGCTGTGGTTTCCACTGGCATTCCAATCAAAACAGGAGATTTTGAGGTTGCGATCATAGTCACCATTACACAGAGTGCGCACTGGTATCGTAAATCTGTTCCACTTGGGATTCAGGGTACACTTGATAACCTGTAATAATGAAAAATAAAATGCAACTTTAGGATAATCATTATGGCTGTTGGTAATGATTTCCCGGTGGGAAATTCCAACCATATTTTTGATGTTACATCTGTCCTTACCTCAGTTTTGTGCACCACGCTATAATCACCTGACTCCTGTGATTTGGCAATGACTAAGAAAGGATCAGATTTGCCAAAAAAATCTTTCTTGTCCAATTTGTGTCCACTGAACTGAATAATAACTTCATCTTTTAATGCTGCCAGCTCCTCTGCAGTTAAAATGATAAAGCCTTTGTCACCACTTGTGCTTGATTCCACAAGAGGAAGCTTCACCTAAATTTGAAGTATTTGAAATATCACCAAACGAATCAAAATAACAATTAATTTTTAATGTTAAGATAAGACTGTTACTTTACTGCAGCTTTCACACTTACCTTGCCATTTGAAATAATTTGCCCCAGGGAACAAGAAGCTGCCCCCAAAAAGTCATGATCACGCAAATCAGAACTATTCGAATCTACGTCGTATATATCAAACTTCAGATTTTGTTGCTCCTCGAATCGATAGGGAAGTTGTATCTTCTTTGTAAAGTCTGGATCGTGATTATTACTAATAACTTCTGATCGGAAGATTTCCACCCAGCGCTTTTGTCCAAATGGTTGTATGAATGCCACACACATTGGGTCTGACTTAGAAAGAAGATCCTTTCCTTTCAGTGACCTGAAATAGGAATTTCAATAATATCTCTGATGGTTTAAGGCATAGCAAGGGACTTCTGACTCATTGTGGTTTTCTGATTCATTCTCGTTAGTGAGAGCCTGGATCAGAAGAACTTACTTCAGCCAGAAATAACGAAAAACATAGACAACGCTGTCCCATAGTAGTGTGTGAGTTTCATTCAGTAGACGCACCTGCATGAAATTGTGACTTCAACCTCAGAGGTGGGTTGGGCCGCAGTGCCCGGTACGAATGCTGACATATTTCGTCTAATTTTCGAAGCACCGCTGGTTATGAAAAGTTGTCAGCCAACCTAATACCGACTAAAGGGATCGCTTGGATGATCCTGAATTCTTTGTCATCACAACCACAACTAACTGTTAACAATTAAGAGTATTACTGACAAACCTCACGTCAAATATGACCACAGGTCGCCATATTGTTTGGCTGTCTGCAATCCCCCCACCACCCCCACCCATTCAACAAATAAAAGCCAGACAAATGCCTGTAACGAAACCAAACAAAGGAAAGGTGCGTTTGCACCCACAGGTTTGCCCTAAATATTCCGACTTTTGTAATATTCGTGATTACAGAAAACTGAAAAAGAAAGTTAAAGTCGAAAAACTCTGTCTCCATGGAAACTTTGAGACACTTGCCCGCCTTATTTAGGTGGTTGGTAGGACTGCTTAAGTTTTGGCGGGCTTAAGCGCTTAAGCACACTTGGCACGTATCGCTTTGGAACATTCTCCGAACAAAACAGATACCTGCACAGTCAAAATTTATCTCCAACTACATATTGGCGAGCAGATTCGTTATGACGGACAAGAAATAACTGGCTCCTCTTTGGACGGGATGACCGCCGAAAATATGCTCTGCGCCTGGGAGGTAGGCAGCAAGTCACACTTTGACCTGGGAATGCCGAGGAGTTCCGAGGCCCCCCCTTACAACAAAAAGTTGCTGGTTTTCTACTGCAAGGTTTGCCTGGAGTGTGCTTGTTCAGTCACCACACAATATGTCATTGACATTTCTGTGTTTTCCCGAGCACCGGGAGACCCTGTGCACGTGCACGCCGTGGCACTTCCGGGCATCGGGGTCATATCCCTGCGTCCCCTGCGGGGCGCGCCCGGAAAGTAGGCAACTCGTGATGCAATCAGCATAATTTGCCCGCCTGCTGAAAACCAAGGTATTCGTGAAGCTTTAATCCAAGCGCCTTTCTAAGCGTACACAAACTGTTCATGCGCTTTCTTCTTTCTAAATGCATATGGGAGGGCAGGGAGGCGTAAAACTTTTCTGTGCTCGAGTTGAAGACCTCACCGTGGCCGATCGACAGATCACGATGTGGCCGACGTGTTGGTTTCGTGGCGGCAAGTTCCCCGACCCAACACTAAAATCCGACACTGACGTCGCTCAAATTCATTTGTTCATTCCCATCTCCAGCTATAGGGCCCAATTTTCCGGGACTTTGCCGGCCCACTACTGTCAGCGTTTCCGACTCGTTCCGATTGCATCCGCAAGACGCACGTGGTGCATGGCTCATCGCTCCACAAATCACAATAAATAAAAACATCCTCTCCGCCATGATTAAGAATGGTCTTTCTTCGGCCCTTATGGGTACTGGTTCATTAAAAGTTGGAAAGAGAAAAGTTTTCGTCGAAAATTCCGTGGCGCTAACAATGGCGCGCACGCTGTCGTGCTCACCGCATGGTGCTGCGCCCTGCTCTGCCGCTAGTGGCTCTTATTTGCTGTAACACCACCTGCATGTTTTGTTGTGATATATTTCTATTCTGTTTCATGGAGCGCCAGTCCTTACTTTAATTGCTATTTCTGCCAAATTGTTACTACGAAAAAAATCCACCGTTCCGTGTATGTTACCCAACCTGTACGGAAATTCCAAGATGTCTCCAACGTTCTAGTGCGTCGGAATTTTTGTTGCCTAATATACCTCAAAGCATAAATTGTGAGTGTGATTGTACTTAACTGACGGAAATTGTGTGTCCATATCATTGTAGAATTGTATTCTGCTTCGCCTTACGAGGAACAAAGAGCCCAATGTTCACTTTCACCGGGAGTTTGTTGGCCTTTCCGTAAGGCAGGTTATGGTTGGTCCTGATAGTTGTTCAAGGTTTTTGTTTGAACTCCACCTTAATTAGCGACATTTTTCAGTTTTCTTGATTACATTTCGTTAATTTATTTATGATTATTTGTTTTAACTGATGAATGATGCTTTCTAGTATTAAAAGCTCAGTATAAATCTCTACTTGTTCTGTTTTATCGACCTTGCGTATTGTGTTACCGGAGTTGTTACTTACGTATGTCGTTGCCTTAGGCCTTCAAGTCCGGTAATTCAGAATCCTGGCTTAGCCTCCCTCTGCCACACGGCACTGGAATGTTGGATGAAACCAGTGAAATCAATGATATCAGCGTCTCTGGTCGGCCGCGAAGGCTTGGCTAGGTTAACACGGGCGGCTGCTCTGTTGCTCTGTAGAGGGGTAGAGGACGACTAGTCATTCAATATTAGGTTATCGAGGCATATTATATCCCACTCAAACGTTACTTAAATTTCGACACTTACTTATGGCTCTGTCTGGTCTCCTTCTATTCGACAGTTATCGCTGCATTCTGGCCGCCGCTGACGGCAAGTTGGTAGCAGATTTGAAATCAACAGCCTATGCGGGCGAGTTTGACGCCAGGTCTTAACATGTCCGCATCGCGCCTTCTTCGGAGGTAAGGAGGCAATCCACGACTAAAAGATACTCTTATCACGCAAACATGGCACATTTTGTAGCTTTCTGCTCGCACTTTAAATAAAACGCAGTAAAACTTGGTTTGTGAGAGCATGGGCAGGGGGATCCCGGTCGCGACCTTGGCTGCCTTAAGCGCATGAGTGAGCGGCAACTTTTCGCTTTCTAGTCGCTAAGAATTTGTGCAACATCTAGAAATATGCTGATCGTAGGATGGAGCGTAGGGAACTCATGTGCTCTATCGTGTTGCCTTCATTTCTTCCGAGGCCCGCGCTTGGCTCGCCATTTGTGCTGCGCGCCAAGGCCGCCAAGGCGCGATGAATGCCGCCCACCGCGTGCACCGCTGCGCTCAAATTTCAGTGCCCATAGAACGGCACCAGTATAACCGCCTCGAATCCGCGATTTTAGTGTTGTAAAGACGGGCACCACCTTTTGCCTTTTGCACACTTTGTTTAGAGCCACCAGGGAAGGGCAGGAACTGACTCATCGCTACCCCACGCGTCAAAGACGGGAAAACATCGCGAATCTGTCGCGCGCGGGGTGGCGACGGATCAGATTTTGACACCATCCGTCTTCATTCTGCTCGCACTTCTGTTCTTATTAATTATTAATGCTGATTTTTTGTTTGTTTGTATTAATAGGTTGTAGATGGCAGAAATTTTCCTTTTGCGGGCCTTGCGCATACCTTGCACTGAATATCCAAGGACATCACGCTACAATCAGCATCATGGATGACACCAAGCTCAAGCAGAAATGTCAAGTCGTTCTTGTGGACTGTTTCAAAGGGTTTGGACCAGTCTTGGATAACTATGCTGAGGAACAAAGTCCGACCAACCACCCGAAACTGCCTTCCGATGGACAATGTGCCTCAAATTTAAACACATTTGGACAGGATAGCCTCATTAGTGGCGGTAATAAGGGAGTTGAAACTAATAATTCCATTATTTGTGATAAAAATCAGTCTCAGGTGGTGCTTAAATCTATTTATAAGAATCCTAACGGAGAGAAGAAAATTCGAACAACCAGAAGTTTTGAGCGTGTACCTACGTCAATGATTCCTCAACACCATGAAAATCATCACCTAGACAAACTTGATAAAAATAAGCAGCACAAAATAAAAATCAGTAATATCAATGTAAATACCCGTGATAGTGGTGGATGTTTAGGTGTTCCAAAAAATGGTACGCTACCTAGATCATCAACCAACAATTTGGATTGTAAAGGCGGAAACCCTCATGAACCAGCATCAACTGATGAGTTATTATTGGATCCAAAAACTGGGAAACTTTACAAACCTGTAGCATCAACTAATGAGTTTATTTTGGAGCCAAAGGACAGGAAAGTGTCTAAAGCTGCAGCATTGGCCAATCATTCACTTGTGGGTCAAGAAGACAGGAAAATGTCCAAACCTGCAACATCAACTAAAGACTTGATTTTGGACCCTAAACAGAAGAAACCATGCAACACTGTGGGTTCAGCTGATGAGTTGGTTTTGGATCCAAAAGAGGGGACGCTGTGCACAAACCCTTCATACCCAATGCCTTCAGTTGGCCTCACCGTAAATGCTGGAATTGGACACCCATTACCCTCTTTGTCAGCTAAGTGTGTACTAACGTGCCTTGATGAGTGCAAGAATTTACTGACATCAGAATATGCTGAATTTTGCTCTGCAGTCGTGAAAAGTTCACCTCTTCAAAAGAATAAAAGATTGATTTTGCCCATCAAGGATGACCGAATTCTTCAGCTCATGCAGATAAAGTGGAATTCTAAAAGTTCTGTAAAGCAGGTCTCTTTGCCTGATTCCTTGAACTCTAATGTATTGACAGACAACCATTCAACCAAATCTGAAAACCATTCTGAGTTCTCTTTGTCTGGTTCCTTGAATGCTGCTTCATCAACTGCAAAGCTTACAGCTGAACCTGGAAAGGATTCTCAGGTAAACGAGAATTGTGAGAATAAACAGTTAGGCAACCAGACTGCTCCACATCCAGTCACCAAGAGGAAGTATGTGAAGAAGAAGTGGCCTGCACGCGACCAGAGCGATGGAAGCAATTTTAGTTCTGGAAGTGAATGGGTATCTTCTCGGAAGCGAACCAGACTGTCATTATTGAATGATGATAAAAAGAAAGTTTCATCGCTTGAGACAGGTATTTCAAATCAAAATATCCCTGGTATGAACTTGCCTTCTGTCGACTCTGAGAAGAGTGTTCAGTCCCATACAAAAACTTTGACCAACCCTTTAGATAGTGATGATGACGAAATGCGTACAGTTACAAAGAAAACTGCGTTTGAGATTTTAGAGGCACCATATGATCCAGATGACATCAGAGGTATAAACAAGTCTGAAGAGAAGGTGGTGAAACCTAAAGAAATAACTCATGGCAAAGCATCTTCACATGTTTTGCATGAACTTCGCCGTCTGAATGTAGCTGTATTTGATATGCCTGCCTCTTTGGAAAGTGTGGTGTGCGGAACACCTGATATTTGCCGGCTAGGATGTGTGTGCAGCAGTCTTTTTTCAAGAGTTGTGAGAGACAATTGTGGTCTAGAAAAATGTATGTTCGGTTGTAGTTGTCTCAAGACTCCAAGTATTAACAGAGGGAATCAATCTTACACATGGGTACAGAACAAAGCAAAACAAAATCTAGCAAAAGAAGAACGTTTCTTCAAGCAAACAGTGGTGCGGTCCGGCAAAGATGATTTAATTCTTGTTGAAGGAAAGAGAAAAAGAGAAATTAAGATGCCCAAGAAATATTCTGATGATTATCTATCCTTCTCAGATGTAAAACAATCTAAAGCCTCTAAAGACTGGTTGTGCCCTGGTGAAGAAATTCCTAATAATGTTGGCAGCCACTCTAAGCAGGCTAAAAGAGTAAAGCCTGCAGTACCTTCTTCAACAAATGATGAAAACCCGCCTAATCCATCAACTGACAAAGAGCCCACCTCAGAACCTTCAAATCCAGTTCTCCATGACTCTGCCCGAACTGCATTCTACGATTATAAATCAAGCAATTTGTTTCAATACAAGCAGGAACAACTTCAATCTGATGAATCCGCTGAGAAAATTGATGCTGGGTCTGAGCTTTTTAAAATAACATCAATTCAGTCCCTTGACCAAAACGATTGGGAAGATTTTGGCATCGACAACTCTGCTGATTCTGTTGCTCTGCCATCCTGCTCATATTTGTTTGATGTAAATTGTGTGAAGAAAAGTCCTGGCCAGGTCCACATCCTAGCATGGGATGCGTTGTATAATGACATTGTCAGTGAGACAGTATTTGTGTGGTATCAACCATGTCAGCCAAAACCAAATGTATACTTAACCAATACTCCTAATGCACCTTCTTATGATTGCCTGAATCTTCACCAGATTGATGTGGGAAGCGAAGCATTCAAATCTTTTCCAAATCATTTAAAGGCTCTTAAGACTGGGTGGATGCCTGGACCAACAACAGTAAATGATGTGTGCTGGGTTGTGATATTTCAGGGATCTAACTGGATGATTGTGGGATACATACGACGGAAGCAACCTTATGGCTTGTCTGAACAGGTGGAAGAGGCGGAAAAGACTTGTCACAGTGGAGAGGTAGACATTCTTCCATCAATCGATGAAGACTATCCAAGTCGCTGGTGGGTGATGGATTTAAGTCAGAACTTTGACTTAGTGTACTTCATGGATTCCAAGAAGGCTCTGACAAAACGCCAAATGAAAACACTGCTGAGATTGTCAAATGAATATTCTGAGAGTGAAAACAAAGTTCATCGTATTCTTCTCAATCGACAAAGGCCTAATATAAATGACGCCCCAACGTCATGCCCTGATTTTGGAGCTTACAGCATATCAAATCATCCCAATAAAGTATTTATTGGTCCGTATCATTCCTTCAATGAACCCAAATTTCAGGTGTACAGTCAGAAGGCTGCACCCAATGGCAAGATCCAATTTTTGTGCGTTCCCCTTTTCTATTGCGGGGATGAAGAATGTGTTCGAGTCACGTCTCAGGGGGTGTTATCTCTCCATTCAGAATCTCTGCCTGATGATCATGTTAAGGGATTCTGGTACCAGAGCTGTGGAAACAATTTAAGGTAATTAATGCTTTGTTTTTATCTCATTGAGTGTAGACGTTCTATTTTGTCTCTTATTAATTACAATGATAATGAATAGGGAATCCAGTGAAAAGCCACAACTTGCTGATACTTCAAGTGAAATAAAATCTTCAGATGGCGGAAGTTCAGGAGATTTGATGGAAGTGGAGGAAGATGAGGAAAGCTCAAGTGATATATCTGTAGGGGATCACAACAATGATAAGCTGCCTGAGGATACTTCAGTTAGCGTTCTTCAAAATGTTGATTCAGTGAGTCCTTCAAGTGAAAGTGTTGTCAGCAGTCAAGATTCGAGTGATGATGATGAATCTGACATCCAATCTGATATTGAAGGAGGGGAACCCAGGCTGGTAAATATGCTAGTTTCAGAGACATGTGTGAAATTTTTTTGTTTAATTAAACTCATTTTACTTCTTTTCTCTTTTTGAAAAGGTATATATGGTTCCTAATGACTCCAATATTGGATATGTGACACTAACATACCTTCCTGGGGGAGCAATATCTGTACCACATTTCACGGAGACTGCCTCACTTAAGTTTTACCATCACAGATCAGAAGTTGTCAATGAATTGAACAGGTGAATGTTTCAAATGGAGTATTTTTGAACATGTTGTGTTCAGCTCTCTTTATCAATTCCTTTCCCTTTTATTGCAGACTTATCCACAGAAAGTTATCATGCTTGAGTAGAAAGTGTTCAGTTTTTCTGAAGGATGATGATTTGTGCACTTGTGTTCATTGGAGTTTCACTAAGAAAAATCCAAACTGTGATGAGCCCAAGTTCACTCCAGAGATCTTCAATGGGTTCTTTGTAAGGATATCTCTTAAAAACTATTTTTTTTTTCATGTCTAATTTAAGAAAATGAAGCAATTTTATTAAATTCTAGCATTGTTTAATTTTCAATATATCTTTCATGTGTTTAGATGTTAACTAACTACGGACTGCTAGATTTACGATCAGCTGAAGAAAGCATTGTTCAAAAACTGGGCAAGGATTGGGTGGAATGGATGAAAAATGATCAAATCAGATTAAAACTTCAGCACTGGAAAAGTAAGGAGGAACAAGAAGTTTTGGAAAAGAAGTTGAAAACAATTTTATCTGCTAACCAGGACTTACCACTGCTTGAAGTTCTGTCAAAGGTTGGTCATATTTTTCCCAATATTTTATACTTATTGAATTGTGGTTGGTTTAATTGTTACGGTTTTTTTATTTTGCCTTTTGTTGTTTTTTAGGCTACTGATGAAATAGCAAAACTGAAGGCAGAAGACCAGCTGCTAGACTATGAAAGTCAGTCCCAGAAAATGCTGAAAGAAACACTCATCAGTTCTCTGTGCCGCAAACTTGAAGGTAATCATCTTTCTCACTACCTGTGATTTTAGTTAGGCACTTGAAAATTGTTAATTACGCAAAGCTAATAGGAAAAGAACAGATGATCATAGATTTGTGCAATTTTAGGTATTCCTGTGGAGGTTGTTCCTCAATTCTTGGAGCACTTGGAATTCAGTCTGCTTTGGGAAGTATTGGAATGTATGAACAATCGGTGAGTCACTATTTTTGAGTAATTGCTAGCTGATTTAAATGAGAGTAAATAAAATAATGCTCTTTTATGAATTTTCCCTTAGGAAAACTGTATTGATATCAGTCAGTAAGTCAGCATCTCAAATGAACGGTAAAACTAATGTCAAGAAAAGGCGTGGAAAGAAGAAGATGCGACCTAAGAATGTAAATTCAAAACTGGCACCCAAAGCTGCACCCAAACCACAAATCTCCAGCCCACGAAGGAGAGCCCTGCAGTACATGGAGAGGCTAAGGGAAGAAATCAGACAGGAAGAAATGCAAAAGTTGAAGACTCAAGGGAAGAATCCACAGACTTCTCAGAAAAAACTACAAGTACCTCCAAAAACATTGCAGAAAGTACAAGAACCAATTTCACTGTTAAAAACTTCACGCAATCAAGTGGCCTCCCTTGAATCTAGTCCCAGTTCAAGCTCAACAAATGACGGGCTGCAGTTCAAAGAAGGTTTAGCTTGTAGAATGGCTCCATTTTCCCGTATCAACATTTGTGTTGAGGAAGGAGGAATCAAACACTTGCCGGTCATGTCGCCACCATTGATGAAGTCACCTAAAGGGTCTCCAGAAAAGCCAAACATTCTTCGCAAGAGTAAACCAACTTCAGTTGGGGTTACATCCCCCGTAAGACTACAGGCTCAAAAGCAAGCTCGGAAACAGGTTTTTCAAAACAAGCTGGAAGAACCACTTTACCATGAGAATTCTGTAACAAATATGCCTGATTCATCTGCCACTCCAGTAGATTCTGATTTTGACCCCATTTCTTCTCTTCGTATAGCTTCTGTTGTTTCTCAAGCCACCAGTGCCTCTTCACAGGACCCAGATGAACTGAACCCTTTGGAATTGAGCAGCACTGTGTGTCAAGGACCTGTGGAAACTTCTGTAGCAAACTGTGTTGATCCTGTATCTTCCTTGCGTATAGCTAATGTTTTCTCGACCAGGGATGTCTTCAAAACATCCCCTCAAGCTAATGATTTTTCTTCTTCTCATCTGCATTCTGATCCTGTATCCTCTTTGCGCATATCCTCAGCCAGATCTGATGCAATTTCTTCCATTTCATCTTCTTTGTCAGCGAGCCTAGCTACTGGTGATCTCTCAACACCATTCTTGAAATCAAATGGACCAGTGCCTTTAATTAAATCAGCAAAAATTATCTCCGGTTCTGTAATAAGTAGATCTATGGCAGGGTCTTCTCAGAATACTGGTCAGGCTGTCTCAAAACCCACAACAACCTTGTTTAATAATTTTATTGTTTGCTCCAAAAACAATGAAAAACAGGTCAAAGGTGTTGTACCCAACACTTTCAACCTGCTTTCTGGCAAAAGTATTTCTGCTGACAAAAAATTGAAAACCGTACATGTTATGAAGGATAATGCCTTTATCACATTTCACTCCAAAGTTCCAACTTCAAATGTTTGGAACCAGTCTATTCTCAGTAAAGCTTCAAACTCTTTACCATTAATTAAGAACCAGCATAATTCTGAGGGTGCGTCTGCTTCAAAATAAATTTATATTCCCAACTTACAGTTGCATTTTTAAGTTTGTTAAAAAAAATTAATTAGATCACACACATTGAAAAAAACATTGTTATGTGATTGCCTGACGGTTTCTTTGGAATCTACACCTTTTTTTTCCAGATCTTGACAGATACATGTTAACGCTAGCATTAGGTTGTTTTGTTTGCTTTATGTCTTTTTTCAATTGTTATGTTATATGATATAGTGTATTTGTCTGTGATATTATTTAAGTGATATTATGTTCATTCCGATAATGTTAGTTGGTTCAAGTCAGAGTTCAGTAATATACCTCACCATATTTTTAAGTTTTGCCATGTTACAAGGTTGATCTTATTGTATTCTGAACTATGAACCAAGAGTTTGAACTGTACCGTGAATGCCTTAAACTTTCTTCTTTTTCTCTTTCATGCCATTTTCACCTTTTTGATATAACACTTGTAAAAAATAAGTTAGTTTCCTTATTTGAGTGCCCTTTGTTCCTTTCTTTTGTAGGTTTTATTTCTTCATTATTATTGAGAATTACGCAAGCTATAGAACCATTTTCTTGGTCTCTAAATTTTAAGTGAAGAAACCCTTTTGGTGTCTAGGACCGTCACCCCTGCACACAAAATTTCAGATGTAGGCAACTTTGCTTCATGCTTGGAAGAATAAATAAATTTATTTCAAGTTTTAAACATTTCTATTTAATTTTTCTTTTTTATAAAAAGAGATCAAATACATGACATGACATTCATACAAACAAGAAATACATAAACATACAGACACTCATAATAAATTATGTCACATTCATTCAAACACATTTTTCACTGGGCTCTACCATTCAAAAAAATTTATCAAAACTACTTGAGATCATGTTACTGATTACAGTGGTCAAACTTCATTTATAATTGCATTTCCTATCACAGCTAACTGAACAAGTCTGCTAACATTTTACTAATGTAAATTTGTATATGCTGTTGAAGAAAGAAGTGTCCCATAGAATCTTAGGGAGGGGACAAACTTGACATGTATCAGTTAATCAGATCAACCCTAAAAATGTTTACAGTTGGTAATCGTCACACAATAGATGATAGGGAAGAAAGCAAGAGTAAGAGAGAAAGATTGCATTGAAGTAAACTAAACAAAACATGAACACTTCCACAATCGTTTTAGGCTGAGATCACAAGCTGAACTACTTCAATCAAATGGTTGCAGAATTATTTGGTATATTATTCACAACTTAACATATGTTTGTAAAAAATAAATTTGGCCAACAAGCTATCTTTACTTTTCTATTCACATAACAACAATATTATATAGGTAAGAAATAATAGAAACATTTAAAGCTAGTAAGAAAACAGGAGAACTAATACTGTCAATGCGCTTCACAGTCACAAAACGAAAAGCATCTACCTCCTGATATTCAAAGCGCATTCACAAAATTAGTACCGACCGACAGAAACACCTAGCAGCCTTTCAAGAACATTTTTTCGTGGACCGACCACCGTTTGTAAAAAAAAAAAAGGAAAAAATAAACAGGAAAAAAATAATAAATAACAAATTCTCTAACATCAGTCAAACGCAAAACACCAACAGTGCGTGCCCTTACACAGGACTCGCAGGGGAAGGGGCTGGAATGTGGGGTGGAAAGGTAACTTTAAGTCACTGGGTTGAGGGCCCAGATCACTCCCCGTCAGGCAGGCCTAGGCGGGGCCTTACAGCCTGGAGGGCCTGGACTCGGCAGGGGGCACCGAGGGCGAGCCGCCGTCTGCCGTCGTCGGCGACGTGCAGAGCCCCGCAGGCTGCGGCGCAGGCGGCGGCCTGTCCCTGTCCGTGGGCAGACCGCGCTGGCGCTGACGCGGGGAGGCGCGAGGGTGTGGGCGTGGAGAGGGGGCGGGGGATGGGGAAGGGGTGGCCGGTCCGTGGCGTCAAAAGTGCACGTCCGCCACGTCTGTGGGGGTGCCAGACATGTCTGGCTGCCGGGGCTGCCGGGGGTCGTCCATGGCGTCCATCATCATCTTGCCCGCGTAGGCGTACGGGTACACTCCGGCGGCGGCGGCGGCGGCCTGCGCGGCGCAGGTCTGCGGCAGGGCGGGGATGGTGGTGGTCGGCATGCTGGCGTGGCCGTGGAGGCCGTGGGGGCTGGCGGGGGACGCGGCCGACGGCGAGGGCGGTGCGTCGGTGGCCATCCCGCCGTTGCCGCCCACCAGCGCGGCGGCCTCGCTGGCCACCAGGCGCTCGATGTGCAGCACGACGCGCTCCGCCGCGGACGCCGACACCCGGGTCAGCTGGCACGCCCGCGACACCGCGGTGCACGCCCAGGGCAGGTTGAGCCCCCGCACTGCGGCGCAGATGCTGGCCGTGGCGAGCAGCGAGGGCGCCGTCTGGATCAGCTCGGGCTCTGGAACAAACAGAGACAGAGGGCAATGTCAGCACGGTCAAAGCGTGTGCAGGGCAAGGACAAGAGCGCGGTCAGGCATCGCAATCGCCCGGAGGGCAGGCAACCCAACGGCCACGGTCGTGCGGCGGGCCCACAGCTTGCCGCCTGTCTGGAGGAGGAAACTAGGACCTCTTCGACTTCCCTCCCAGACTACACTCCGAAATCCATTTTACTCTCCCACTTCCCAATGCGAGCGAGGTGAACCCAGGTGCACCGCAATGACACCACTCGCTCCCCGGAGAGGACATCCTCCAAAACACTAATCAAATTCGTAATTGCCCCTTTCATTTCATTTCGAGGCGTCCACTCGCAGACGCAGGCCTAGCTTGCATCCGCATCCGCCAGGGGGCGGCACTAGCGGTGGATTTGATCAGACGGGACCGGGACCAAGCCACTCCAGAGAATTGTTTGCAAGCCCCTGCGGGGAAGGGCGAGAGGGGGGAGGGGGCGGCAGCTGTGTCGATTCCAGAAGGGAGGGGGACGCATACCCACACACCTGCTCGTCGCACCGGAGTTGAGCTACCGGAGGCACACCGTAGAGCTCCGGGGTGGGGGGCCTCGCACACACGTGGTGGGCCTCGAGGCCCCAGACCGGCCCGTCACGTAAATCGGACTGCGTCGATGGCGGTGTCCATGAACGAGACGAATGGGACAGTCCTCGACGAGATTGGGAGTTCGGACGGGAGGCGAGGCCTGGGGTGGCCTAGGGTGGATCGGACGCGTCGCCTGGTCGGTCAGGACGACAGCAGCCCACAGTCCGGCGCGCGATTCCGCTGGACTTCCCTGCCGTCCAGTTCACATGCTGGCGCAACGAGGAGCGGGAGGGGAGGGGTTTTAAAAATAGGGTTTAAAGAGAGCGGCCCAAGGCGGCCGTCCCGCTATCTCCGTCTATCTCGCTGCCGATACGGATCTTGGCGCTTGGGACAAACAAGAAAAAGAGGAGACAGGTTATGGGAGTCCGATTGCCAGTTCCCACACCGCGCGCGCCGTCGAACACTATCACGTGTGGGGGCCGATAAGCGAGGTGCACGTAACTGTACATTACTCCGGGGCCAAGAGCCACGCTTAGCGGTGGTAGCCATCGGGGTTCTCAGGACTCGCGACGCCAAAGTCTGCTGCCGGTGTTGGTGGTCGCGACCGCGCCAACGGGGGTTGCGGCCGAGCCACCAGACGCAGCACCCCACACGTAAAACCAAAACGGTGGAAACGGCCGGGCTAGGCCGGGCCAGCGTGGCGTTCCCTGCGGCGTCAGCCGACGGCGGCCAACGGCCCGAGGCGCGGCCGTGCACGCCGAGCAACGCTCGCCGGACACCGCCTTGCCACTCCACCGTCGGAATGTCCGACTGTCACAGTCGCCCAGGAATAAATAATATCCCCGCGAAGGGAAGCCAAGAAATCGATCGAGATTTACAAAGGTGGCGGGTCGGCGGCGGGTCGGGTGCAGGGAGGGGTGCCTCGGCGCGGACGCGAAGCGAAGCGGGGACCGGAGGACCGCGGCGGAGGAGCCGGTCTAGGCCGCTTGCTTGCTCGCTTCCCTTCCCAAGACGGCCCCGGGCTGCCCCGGGCCCGGGCCCCTGACCCACCCCGTCCCGTCCGTCGGCGTCTTCAGGTCGGGCGGCCCGGCCCGGCCCGGCCATTACCATGAGAATGGCGGCGACCTGGCGGCCGGATGGTCTCGCGGCGCGCTGCGCGAGGTACGGCATCGTACGGCACCCTCGCGGGACGCAGGGACAATGCGTCATCAGACGCGAAAACTGCATTTCAGTTCAGGTCGGCGACCCGCCCCGCCGTCCCACCGATATGTGGAGCAGCCGGGGCGGGCGAGGGGCGGGCCACGACCAGGGCCAGCACGGCCACGCCGACCAACAACGAACCTTTCCGGGCCGTCGCCTCGTCGCCTCGTCGCCTCCGCGGCTCGCAAACCACCTCAGCTAGCTTAGCTAATGCGATGAGTCCTAATGACTTAGACTCTAGGGCCGACCACTCATCAGGACTCGAGTTGGGGTTGGCCGGGGCCGGCCACGCGGGCCTATCTGGCATCTGCCCGGCCTGGCTGGACACAGCACCTTGATAACGCCTCCCTCAGTCCAAATAAAGTGAAAACACCCAGAGCGCCCCCCGATGGCATAGGTTTGTTGCAGTACGCCGACAAACACCACGCACTGCAACGACGTCCGGTGTAGGTACGCAAACATCCCGGCCCCCTTTTGATGCTCTTCCCCGGGCCTGGACGGAAGACCGAAAAAAAAGATGAGCCCGTTAGACACGGCGCTGTCCGGGGCACGTGGGTACCGGCGTACCGCGACGTGGATGTGCTGCCCGTATGGTGTGCCCCGGTGGCGGGCCCCTCCGCCGGACTGCCCGGCTGCCCACACTGTACTACCGAGAGCAAATAAAATCGGGGAGGGGGGGGATGTGTAAAGTTTGAGGTTTGTGGTCGAGGAGCAGTGACAGACTCGACAGAAGAGGGCGACGTCCTCGCTGCGAACCAGATAAGACAGATTTAAAGCCCCACTCCTCTGTGTGTGTGTGGGTTTGTGTGCGCGTACGCACAGGTCGGGCCGCTGGTGTTGGGCCCTTCCAGCCAGCCCCCCTGCCCTTCCACACGGGAGCGCCAGGTGCATGAGGGAATGGCCCAGGGCCGAGCCGCCCAGGGCGGGGCATGGCGGAGCAGATGCGCCTCCGATGCGCCCCGACCTACACCCCCCCCCCCTCCACCCCCACGCCGGCTGCAGAGGGGCCGGCCTACCCGCTACCCGCCTGACGGGGCCCCGCCGAGCCCCGCAGAGCCCCCCGCGGGGCCTTCCCTCCCCCCTCCCCGGCCGGACGCATCCGCCCGGGGCAGGGCCGGGAGATTTAAACTGTGACGTCACACGGGCCGAGAGGCCTGGACACGGCGGCCCCAGCCCCGCCGGCCCCACCACAGCGGCAGGTGCACGCGCTTCGCAGGGAAGGGCAGAAGGACAGCGTGGCCTTCAAAAAAGTCCAAGGAAATGGCGAGGGAAGACAAAAAAAAAATGGAACTGTCGCGGGTTCAAACACCGGGTACACACGAATTCCCTCGGATATTTCTTTTTTTCATCCCCCTTCATTTTTTTTTACCTGGCCGCGGCTGATCAGAGCAGCGAGCTCCCCTAGTCAGTCCCGACCCAACGGACGTCGCGAGCACGGGGAAGGCGAAGGCGCGGCGGAGGCACGGCGTCGCGACGCCGCAAAGCCTGGACGCGTCGCGTCGCCTTGGGGATGGCGGTTACACTCTCCGAAGGAGGGGAGGCGGGGAGGGAGAGAGAGAGACGGATAAACTGCTTTGTCGCGTGCGTACGCGTCTGCATGCACCGCGAGCACCGCGGCGAGCACCGCGAGCACGCCGTCCTCCAAGACGGTGAGCATCGAGGAGGCGGGGATCGCGGGGAGGACAAGAAAGTGCGCCGTCTCGCCGTCTGCAGCTCGCACGAGGCAAGGCAGGCAACCCCAACCCCCGCGACGCCGACGGCGGGGCGGCGGGGCAGCGTGCAGTCCGGGTGATTAAATTTGAAAGAAATTGGCGGCGCGGAGGCAGCGGCCTCTCCAGCAAAGACGAAAAAACACGACCAAGAGAAAAGAAAACAAGAACAAAACCAAGGCGGTCAACGACCAACCACCGCCGTCAGAAAAATAATCAGGAAATTTTATACGAAACGATGGCAGCAGACGTGGAACAGTTAAAATTTGACGAGGCAGGCGTGTTCGGCACGGCCGAAAAGAGAGAGGGAGAGGTTGGAACTCGAAGACAGAGACAGACAAACAGACGGACCTCTGGAATATAACGACTGCACCGCGTCGCGCCGTCGTCTCCGTCGTCGCCGGGGTGCACCGAGGCCGCCATGTGGCATTCCCCTAATTGAAGGAACAGGGACACACACAAGACGCCCGTCTTTGTGAGAAGGGGAGGGGGAAGGGGGGGGGGGCAGGGCGCGTGCCCGCGGCGTCACCTGGCCGGACCGTTGACCGTTGAACGCGGCTGGCTCAGGCTGCCTGTCCCAAGTCCCGGCGTCCTGGCCGCGGCAGGGCGAGGGGGAGGGGAAGGGGGAGGGGCGGACACTTACCCCCTACCCTAACCCCGCGAGTGGCGCGCGGCCGCCGGCACGGTCTACGGCACGGGCGCAGGCCGCAAAGACGACGTCGGCCACGTCGGCCAGGTGAGCAATGTCGCGGGGGTGGGGAGGGGGTGGAAGACAACGTCCAAGGAGGACCAGTGCGGCCGAAGCGCGCGGAGGGGAGGGGGAGAGGGCGGCACCACCGCCGAACGGGACGATGACCTCACACACACGCACACACACACTCGCCTCCATTACCACCCCGGGCACACACGACCCCACCCCCATCTCAGCACGGTGCCGCGATGTGTTCGTTAGAACACGTGCCCGGGCAAGGCCCCCTTGACCACGCCCCGCCCCGCCCCGCATGCGACGCGATGAACAGACCACACTAGAGAGAAAGGGAGAGGCGGTTTGCGTCGCGCGGTGGTGGTCACCGCTGCTAGTGGAACATGCCAGCGCAGTGCACTGTAGTGCATAGACTTGAACGCGCGCGGGGCACCAGAGTGCCGGACGCTGGCCGCCCTCTCCCTGCACTCCCTGGAGTCATCGCCATGATCGTAATCAAGCTTTCAGCAGCAAATTTTTCGAAATAAAAATATTGAAAAACGAAAAGAACGATCATGCGCTTGCTTTTGCTGACCTCCGCTCCGGACGACGGCGACGTGGCCGGCATGAGATGCAAGGGGCGTATAGCGGGGCGTACGGCGGCGAGCGGCGCGGCCCAACAGGTGGCACGGGGCGGGGCGGGGCGGGGCCGGCCAGAGGGGCAGGTGCAGCGAAGGGCCTGGCAGCGCCGCACTGCCCTTGCCTCGCCTCGCACGATGCGCCCCGCCAGCCTCGCCGTGTCTTGACGTGTCTGGGCCGGCGGTGCGGCCCGGCGGTCTGGCACCCCTCCCACCTGCGGCTGCGGCTTTGGCCGTGGAGTGCAGCAAGCAGCCAGCAGGACAGCGGGATGGACGTAAACAACCGTGCGTACTCGCACACCGGGCAGCGGGCACACCGTGTGGCACACGCCGGGTGCGCCCTCCGCGACGCGCGGCACCTCCATCTTCATCTCCTTCTTTTTCATTCCCTCTCCGTCTCTCTCTGCCTCTTTTCAACTCGCATGTTGCTTTCTTTCAATGGAGCAGCAGGTTAGTTAGAAGCGAGCAGCAGAGCAGCAGTGCGTGTTTTCTGCTCGGCAAAGCAACGGGAATATACTTTTTTTTCATTTTGGTAAAATTTTCGTAAGGGGACGCGAAATAAAAGCTGGGAGCCGCCCGATCGCGTTCGGAATCATTTGAATGATTTCAGCGAGCTGGAAGTAAAGGCACGCGCGTTCTGGAACAGTGAGCGAGTTTGGCGAGTTTGGCGAGCGGCGCGATTCGCGAGAACGACGCGACTGTCCCTCGCCATTGTTGTTGTTGTTGTTGGTGCCGCCGCCCCGTTGTTGTTGTTGAATCTCTCTCTCTCTCCAGACAGGACGGGGACGGGGCGGACGGGGCCGACGGGGTCGCAGACACTCTCCCCCCAGTCCCTGCAGGGCCCGACCTACCCTCTCTGACAATGGGTCCGCGCGGCGGCACGGCACGGCACGGCACGGCACGGCACGGCACGGCGTGTCGCGTCTCGGAGACCGTCAACGAGGCCGTCGCCGTCTCGCGATCGTTGTTAGACGAAAAGGGGCCGCGGAGGGGAGGAGAGGAAGTAAGTAGTGCATCGAGCAGATGTTTGAGGGGAGCCAAGACGGTGAGGGCAGCGCAGCGCACGCGTGCGGGGGGAGGGGAGGGGGAGGGGCACCCCATGCCTTCCCTAAGACGTCTGGCGTTCCCCGACACGCTCTGTCCGCTCACCACCCCTAGCGCGGCCCCCGCCAGCCCCGCCAGCCCCGCAGAGCGCACAGAGTCCCGCGGATTAACACAGCGCAGACCGAGCGTCCTCAAACCGAACCGCCACACACATGGAGAGAGCCAAAAACCAATAAAAAATGAATTCCGGTCAAACAAGGAATCGAACAACCCCGAAGGAGCGGCCCAGTGCGTGTGCCCGGCGCCCGTCCGCAGCATAAGCAGCCGTTCTTATAAAAATTTAATGATCCGAGGCACGTGCTGGCATAATTTACCCCCACCCCCGTTCCCAGTGCGGCGGCCGGGGCCGAGTCCAGCCGAGCGTGACCGGGGACGGCCCCCCAACGAGTACCCCAACGAGTACCCCAACGAGTACCCCAACGAGTACCCCAACGAGTACCCCAACGAGTACCCCAACGAGTACCCCCAGTCGAGCACCCCAACGAGTACCCCCAGTCGAGCACCCCCGCCAGTACTCACCGGTGTAGCAGAGCGCCACGAGGGTGTGCGCGTGCCTCCGCACGGTGGCGTTGCGCCGCGTCCAGGACACCCGCTCCAGCACGTGGTCCACGTAGTCGAAGCCCGTCACCGCCGTCACGTTCCAGTGCAGCTTGGACAGCACCAGCAGCTCCCAGCGCTGCGCAAAACAAACAGAGGCGACATCAGTTGTGTTGTCACAGAATCATGTGGCGCAAAAAATGGCGTAAGCCGGAAGCTCCGGACTGAAAAATTTTGCTCGGCGACATTCTGGTGGCGTGGTCCTGGAGGCCCGGAGGCCCCGGCATCGGGATTAGTGTCTGCACATCGCCCTTCTTGTTGAGGATCTTGTTGTTGTCGGCGGGGAGGAGGGGCGGCGGGGGCGGCGAGGGGGTGTGGTGGGTGCATCCAGAGGGGGCCGGGGGGATCACGGAGGCGGGGGCGATGCAGGCGACGCAGGCGATGCAGGCATTGTGCGAGGCAAGCATAAAGGCCTGCATCCCAGGTGTGCCGTGTGGAGGCCGTGAGCCCCACGACGCAGGTAGGGAAGGCAGGCGGAGGCGGGGGAGGCGAGCCCCTCAAAGACGCAACCACAGCGCAGCAGCGCAGGCTGAACCCGAACAGCGTGTCGCCGCGCTCGCGCCCTCTCTCTCGCACCCCTGCGGGACGCCCCATGAGTGCGAGGGAGAGGGACACACACAGCACCGCGAGCGAGGCCGAGGGCTTCAACCCCGCACCGCGCAGTAGTAGGTTGATTCCGAGCCGTCTCTCTCGCACCCTTACGGGAGGCTCCGTGCGTGCGAGGGAGACGGAGCGACGAGAGCAGAGCCGGGGGAACGGGGCGACGAAACGACGCAGAACCTGGCCGCCGCGCACGACGCCACGCTCGCTCTTCAGCGCGCAAGGCGTGCGCCTCAGCGGCTTTTTCGCGACGCAGTCTACTTTTCCAGCGCGCCAGCACTTCCCTCTGGTGTAGTAGCGTTTACAGTGCCAGTCATTTGGTCAATCTTCGAGACACCCCTTCGCCTCGCTTCCTTCTTCGCCTCCTTCCCTAAAGCAGGACGTCCGCCCCGGTCGGCCCGTGGGCCTTGCCGTGGGCCTTGCCGTGGGCCTTGCCGTGGGCCTTGCCGTGGGCCGAGGCGCGTCCTCGCTATCGTCATCGCGTCATCTCATCGGGAGGGGGAGGGGGGAGGGGGGAGGCCATTACGCGACCCCCTCCAGGCCCTCCCTCACTAGCCTCATCCCGCCGGGCCGCAGGTCGGACAGGAACACCTGTTCCCCGGAGTCATTCCCTTCCCGTAGTACTACCACTACCGCCACCCGAACTACTACTAGGGTGCCCCCTGCCCCTCGCCCCTCCCGCCCGGCCGGCGTGGCCTCCACGGCGACGCTCCGCGCTCGGCCACCGCAGCAAGAAGGTTCGCGTCGCCTTGGACCGGACGTCCCCGGGTCCCGGAGTCTCTGCGGCGGCGGCGCGGGGGAAGACAGAGAGACCCGGAGGAAGCGTCCGGGACCGAAAATGCCCCCGCCATACACGCCATCGGTTCGGAGACTTGGGGTGCGGAGCGGCACGAGATGGGCCGGACGGACGGACAGGCAGGCAGCGGACGGGCACGGCGCGGCGCGTTGCGACGGTCAGGCCCAGATTTAATTGAATGGGCCCCACCCACCCCACTGTATGCTCACGGCGGGCACGGCGGGCACGACGCGATCCAGACCACGGGAAAGGGCAGGTGTGTGCGTCTGGCTGGTGCGATGGCGTGCGCCTTGGCGTCGGCCGGACCGATTAAGGTGGTCCACGGCGACCGCGTCCACGACGCGTCGCGGACCCCGAATTAAACGACACCGTCACCCGTTTCCCATTCACGCCGTCGGAGTCTCTGTTGTTGTTGCTGCCGTCGCCGCCGCTTTTGTTGTTGCTGTTTCCACCCTTTCGCTCAAAAGTGTCACACCGAAAAAGAAGGGATCAATCAAAAGGTGACTCACCCTGAGCTCGTCCGGCACGATGCTGTGGTCCGAGTAGAAGCACAGCAGGTCCACGCCCAGCGCGTGGCACTGGCGGATCTTGGAGGCGAGCAGGAGGCAGACCGCGGCCGCCAGCTGCAGCTGCTTGCGCGAGATGGCGCACGCGCAGAGGAAGCGGTCCAGGAAGTTGACGGCCAGCGGGAACACCTGATCCTCGCACTGCTGCTCCTCGCAGACCTTCCAACAACAACAACAACATTGGGAGTGTGTTTAGGCAAATGACCCTCTCGGCCGCCGATTCGTCGCTCTGTCTCTCTCGCACCCCTGCGGCCTACGGTCGACAGAGCGTGATTGCCGAACGGCTGTCTAGGCTAGGCGAGGCGTGGCGTGGCGTGGCGTGGTCGGCGGCGCGGCCGTTGCGACTTGCATGATCAAAAACACACACCAGTTGCACGGACTGGCGTCGCCGGCGTCGCGGGCGTCGATGGGAGATACCGACCGCGCAGGGCACGCAACAGGGAGGGTGGGGGAGAGAGTGCAACACCTCCACTTCCACCCCGTGCCGCTGCCACCGCCGCCCCTGCCATAGAAAACGACTTGTTGAGAGCAGCGGAGCAGCAAGGAGAAAGGGGGTGGGGGCGGAGAGAGAAAGACAGAGCAGGCGCGAGAGATAGAGGTGAGAGTGTGGCGACCGCGCCGTGCTGGAAATCGGAAATCAGCACAAATTGCCTCGGGGGGCGAATTTTTCCGTTTTTAGATACGCCATACATGGAACCGGCCGGCAGGGGTGTGGTCGCCGCGGCCGGTACAGTACAGAAGGGGTGACACGGCGCACCGTTTTTTTCTCGATCGGAATGGGGGAAAGGAACGGCACAGAAAAGAGACTTGGAAACCTGAATCTATTAGTGATCGGCCAGAACAAAACGCCGAAGTCGCGAGGGTGCGGTGGCACTTCCCCCTCCCCCTCCCCGCGTCGTCTGGAGTCGCCCCGCCGGACGGGTACAGTACAGACAAACGGGGCAACTAATCATGAGAACCAAAGACACGCCGACCCGATTCAGATTCACGTTGCGATTCGCCGCACCAGCACCGGCCGTCTCTCTCGCACTCGCGCGAAGCGCCAACCGCCGCCCGTCCGCGTCTCTGTCGCACGCGTCGCGGCGTCGCGGCGTCGCGGCGGCGTCTTGACGTTAGGCAGCCCCGCCGCGTCGCGCCGCCAGGACCGTTAAAAGAAAACAATGGAGTTAGTCGCTGACCTAGGCCAAGCCGGCCAAGCCACCCCCCGAGCACGGCGGGGCAAGCCACCCCTAAGGAGCGGCGAGAGAGAGAGAGAAAGAGAGAGAGAAGGGAAGGCGTGGGGCCGTGGGGTGGCTCGGGTCTTATAATGGATTAGCCGTTTTCAAGGGAGGGGCGGCGAAGACGGCGGGGAAGGACCGAGGGGGAAGAAGGAGAGGAGGGGGGGGGGACATGCAGCGCAGCCAGTCCGTACCTGCACCCCTCCCCTCCACGACGTACCGCGACGGCGTTCCCTCCCCCACCCCCTCGGGATGCACACGATGCACAGGTAAATGGGAGTAAGGGAAGGCAGGCCACGCCGCTCCGCCAGGGACTGCCTTCTGCTTTGTTGCACTGCAAGACCGAGGCAGGACCCTGGCAGGACCCTGGCAGGACTGCAGGACCCAAAGACGAATGGCGGTGGGGATAAATCAGGGATAAATGAAAGAAAGAGCCGAGACTGCCGTGGTGCGGAGCGCAGCGACGCGGAGCGGGACGCGATGTTGATTCTAGACGGCATGCCGATGTGGCCGCCCAGACAAATATGGGCGAAACGAATATAAATCGATCCCGATTTCGATTTGCCAGGAGGTTTGGTCGCCTTGGTCGGGGTGCAGGCCAGCCAGGGTCCAGCCGAGTGACGAATGTCGGGAATGGCAGCCTGTCACATTCGTAATCACCTCCAGTTTATTTTCAGAGAGGGGCGGCTTTTCGAAAATTAGTGTCTTTATTTGCAGTTTCAACTTTTTTAAAAATTTCAAATTTTATTTTTTTTAAACTTGAATTTTAATTCTCAACTGTAAAACTAAATGTAATTTTGCAGCCCCACGTGGGTTGTCAGCATGGGGGACCACCACGTGGTGGGCTGAAAGCCAAACGCCCGAACACGTAGGCAGCCGGGTTGTCAGCCACGCCGTGCAGTCAGTCGCTTTCTGACAGCCGCGCCGTCAGCGTCAGCTGTCAGCGATTCACGAAACCCGCAAAGAATAAAGAATCCGCGGAGAGCGCTGCGCAGTAAAGTCCGGCCTCGGCCGTGTCAGCGCCGTGTCAGCCGAGTCAGCACGACGCGTCAGCGTGTCAGCGATCCGGCAGGCAGTCCGGCCTGAACTCGGAAGAGCTTACGCCCGAGTCCGTCACCGGGGCGGTGCGGGGCGGTGCCGTCGCCGAGGTGCCGTCGCCGAGCTGCCGACTGGCGGAGACAAGCTTCCAATGCATCGAATGTCAAAGTGACAGTCGCCCGGCCGTCTCCCGTAACGCGACCGGCGGCCAGGGCGGCCAGGGCGGCCGGGGCACGCGGGCCGCGAGTGATAGTCCGCCAACAACACGACAGACAGGCGCCACACGGCCACACCAGGACGACACGTCAAGACAGCGACGACTATCACGTGCACACACACACACACACACTCACCTCCAGCATCCACGTGGAGACCACCTTTCGCATGTAGGGCAGGATGTCCTTCTGCACCACCACGAAGTAGTTGCACTCGGGCACGTACACGGTCTCGAGCTCCAGCAGGTTGTGCAGGACGCGCAGGTCCTCGAAGATGACGGCATCGCAGGCGGCGGTGTGGCCGGCGGGGGCGTCCAGGGCGCCGGTCGGTAAGGCTTGATCGCCGGAACCCAGCCGGTCGCAGGCCAACTCCTCGGCGCACAGTAAGTCCATCCTCGGCCAGGCGAGCCAGGCGCCAGGGGGCAGGGCGGGGGAGGGGCCGGGGGCGAAGGGCCGACGGGGTGCTAGCACGCCGCCGTCGACATGTCGCTGTCGCACTACACGGCGTGGCTGGCGAGGCGAGTCGAGACGCAAGGCTTGCCGGCGTGCGCCCGACGCGACTGTCCCGCAACGCTCGGCAGCGAGGACTGGGCCTGGCCGTGCGCCGCCCCGCCACGCCGCCGCCACGCCGCCCTGCAGACAGCACGCAGCACGCGTTGACCCGGGGCTGCGTCCGGGGCGTCGAGACTGCCGCAGGCTGTCCCTCTCCCACCCGCTCGGCCGGCCGGCACCACGCCCGCCGACGCGGAGGCAGCCGCGAGCAGCCAGGGTTGTGTCGGCGCGACGCCAGCGCGGCGCGGCGGCCGCGGCGCGAAGCTCCGCGTACGGGGCACGGCCTGCACGGCCTGGGGGAGGGGGTGTCTTTACCTCTCTACCTTCTCTACCTGGGCCGGCTGGCTGGCTGTGCTGGCTGGAGTTGTGTCGCTGATTGGCACCTGGGGTTCTCATGCACCGAACATCTGCTGCGGGGCGGCCCGGCCCATTGTGAGCGTAGCGTGCTGCCGCCGCCGCCGCTACCGCCGCAGCGCCGTGTGTGGATGTGTAGTACGGGGTGCCCCCCTCTCCCCCACCCCCTGCCCCTACCCCCGCCTGCGCGTGTATAGGTATGGGGGCAGCAGCAAAATGAAAAGTGGAAGAGGAGGGGGAGGGGGAGGGGGTTGAAAAGCGCAAGTTTGATCCTGTTTGATTTAGTTACGTGTTGGCGTGCAGGGTCGCCTGACCGAATGGGAGTGAAAGCGAAAGTGAAGGGCAATTTCCTCTGTCGCCACCCCTGCTAACGCCTGCTGGCCTGTGCTTTGCGCCTTCCCTCACCCACCGCACCCTCGCGAGGGTTATAATGCCTCACCTTGTCGCACCGTCGGCCGACAAGTGCACGCGGGGAGTCGTTTCGTCTCTCTGTCACACTCATCCATAGCATGCCGTCGGGGTGCGAGTGAGACAGACAGTGGGCTGGCGAAGCGCAGCCGCGCGTCAAGTTGGTCAAATGGGCCCCGAGGCGCACGGAGCAACGCGGAAGAGCGATTTGTCGCTCTGTCTCTCTCGCACCCTTGCGGAGAGCCCCACGAGTGTGACAGAGACAGATAGCTGCTTCCCGTTTCCTCCTTTCGGCCGCCGACACTGTCCGCATCAATGGACTCATTGAAGGCGGTCGCTTCCGGCCAATGTCAGAATCAGGACCAGAAGGCCGACCAGAAGGCCGACGGCCCGTCGATGCGCTTATCTCGGTCCGCGCTTCACGCCCCCACACTGTAGCGCCCCACCGTAACTGCAGTCACGGCTCAATGCTCAATGATCTAGAAACAAAAATGTTTCCCACACCGTTTGCTTATTTATTTGCTCGAAGCCTTTCTACCTTTCCGACTCCGCGGATCGGCCGACCAATAAATTCCCTCCCAACGCGTCTGTCCTTCCCGTCCCCGTCCCTCCCATCTGCGCCGAAAATGACGGAGCGTCTCGGAGACGCGGAACGGAAAATGGAAATGCACACGGCAAATTCCGTGCAATCACTCCCTTGATCTACTGCGGGCCTGGGCGGCTGGGCGCGAAACGCGGTGAATCAAAAGCCATTTATTCGGGGCGGGGGGGGGGGGGCGACTCCAGTTTCCCGTGATTTGTGATGCATCTGCGCCAACACGGCGTGACACGCCGCCGTGCGTCTGGCCCTGCCCGTCTTGCCGTTGCCAATGCTTCCAATGCCTTCCTTTGCGGTCACCCTCTTCTCTTTTCGCGTAACATCGTTCTAAAGACGAGCAGGGCGGCGACGCTGCCGGTGATCGCGAGACGGAGGCTGTGGCTCGCCCCCCTGCAACTCCTCAGCCTCCCTCCCCCTGCCGGCCCGCCCGCAACCCCCTCCAAATCTGACGTCTGGTCGGTCTGGCCCAGCAGACTGATTCCGAGAAACGCTGTCGTCGCTCTGTCTCTCTCGCACCTACACGGGACGCCCCACGAGTGCGAGAGAGACAGAAAGATGGACCCTCGGCATCAGTCGGCAGGCAGCCTCGTGGCACGGGCCACCATGACCTCGCCGCGCAACGCCGTGCCGCCGCCCGTGCCCGCCAGGCCAGGTGGGGGAGGCCGACGGCGAGGCGGGGGCGGAGGGGGCGGCCGGGCCGGCGGGGGGCGGGGGGCGGGGTGGCCGCCGGCGACACGGCCGCGTCAAAGGGTTGGACCGCTTGACCTTAAACTTGAACTTGGAAGCGACCGCCGCGGTGGCGCTCCGCCAGGTGGTCTGCGAAGTGGGGAAGGGTAGGGAAGGGTCTCGCGGGGAAACAAAAAAACGCCTAACAACGTCACATGAGGCTCAGCACGACTCTTTGACTGCCTTCTAGGCGCTGCTGCCGTTCGAGCGTTCGGGTGCTTTGTCTGTCTGTCTGTCTATCTGTCTGTCTTTCTGTCTGTCTGTTTGTCTGTCTGTCTGTCTGCCTGCCTGCCTGCCCCGCTATCTTGACTCGACGATGCACCTGGCTTCTGCCCTATTGAGCGCATGTGCTGTCACCTTTTCCGTGGCGGGGCTCGGCGGGGCCACATGCAGCTTGTGCCGTAATCAAAAGAAAGGCAGCACAAGAATAGAATGGGGTGCCCGAGGTGGCCGTGGTGGCCGAGCTGCCCCTGGGGGTGCTTACTGGTGCGCGGTGCTGACAGTGGTTCCAACCCTCGGAACCCTCGAACCCTCAAATGGGGCCCTAGCACCTAGCGGAGGCTGCGGAGTGGAGGGGTACCGCTAGCCGGCTAGCACATGCAGCACCCCGAGGCCTTGGCCGTCGCCGCGCAGCTGGCCTTGCAAAGCATCGCAACGCCAAGGGCGTCCAAGCGAGGTCGATCCCCGATCCCCTTGCCGGTAACGCACGCTGCACCAGAAGGGAAGTACACTGTACACCGACAAAAATTTCAATTAAGGCTCGCGGACCGCGGTCCTACCGCACTGCTTCGAGGCGCGCCCGTCTTCAGCAGGGCGATCGCGGAGCGGAGCGGAGAGGCAGGTGGCGCCCGCCCAGAGCGTGGGCTTCCCGCCGCGCCGCCGTGGAGGTTGGGTTGCCTTCCCATGGCGTTGCCCCATCCCGTTGCCCACCGCGTCCGTCTTCGGGTCTCGGAGGAGGGGGCGTGACGTCACCACTTTCTCCCTCGCGGAGAAGGGGCCTCGCGGGGCGCGGCGGGGCGCGGCGGGGGGCCGCGAGGTGCGTCTGGGCCGCGCGCCACGGCGGGCCTCCAGTCAGGTCCACACGGCGGCCACGAGAACGGCGACATGGCGTGCTCGGCGTGCCGCGGTGCGGGGGCACTGCGACGCCTGGGGCAGCTGTCCAGGACGCCGTCGAGGCCGGCGTCGTCCTCGGCCACGTCGGCCGCGGAGGCGCTGCTGCACGCCGACCCGGCCGCGGCGTCCGCCGGCGCCACGCCCGTCAAGAGCTACGCCGAGGTGCCCGGCCCCAAGCCCGTGCCGCTGCTGGGCAACTCGTGGCGGTTCCTCCCCGTCGTCGGTGAGTCGAGTGCAGTCGCACGGCCTCGTGGGGAGCTTTGTTAAAGCGGAGCGACAGCGACCGCCGGGGAGAGATTTCCCTGGCAGCCTTGGACTCGCATGCGAAAACCAAGTGTGAACCTCAGAGCTTCAACTCTGACCCTCGCTCGCGAAATGTGCGCCCAATGTGTCACTGTGACTCATCGCTTTGCAGGTAACTTCCGCATCGAGCAGATGGACCGCGTGTGCCTGGGGCTGCACGAGCGCTACGGCGACATCGTCAAGGTGGCGGGGCTGATGGGCCGGCCCGACATGGTGTTCGTCTTCGACGCCGACCTCATCGAGCAGGTCTTCCGCGCCGAGGACGCGCTGCTGCCCGTGCGCCCGTCCATGCCCAGCCTGGACGCCTTCAAGCACGGCATCCGGAAGGACCTGTTCGGCGACCTGGCGGGCGTCATCGCCGTGTGAGTGTACACTGTGGAACCCGCGGACTCCTGCCGGCACTTTCTGACGTTGCTCCGTGTTGTCGCAGGCACGGGCCGCGGTGGCTGGAGTTCCGGACCCGCGTCCAGCAAGTGATGCTGCAGCCGCGGACGGCCAAGCGCTACGTCGGGGCCATCCAGGACACCGCCGAGAGCTTCGTCACCAGGTGCGCCACCGCCACCGCCTCTACCGCCCCACTGCGGCCTGCGCGGCAGTACAGAACGAGTAGCACTCTCCCACACTGACACCTCTCCGTGTGTCTTCACAGGATTCGCAAACTTCGCGACAGCAAGGGAGAAGTGCCGGCAGACTTCGTCAATGAAATCCACAAATGGTCTCTCGAGTGTAAGTACGGCGGATGAATGCATGAATGAATGAATGAATGAGTGTGGCCAGCTAATCGGTGGCATGACGCAGCGATCGCGCGCGTGGCGCTGGACGCGCGCCTGGGCTGCCTGGACGACGCCCCGCCGGCCGACACGCAGGCCCTCATCGACGCCGTCAACACCTTCTTCATGAACGTGGGCGTGCTGGAGCTGAAGCCGCCGCTGTGGAAGATCTTCCCCACGCCGACGTGGCGGGCGTACATCGCGGCGCTCAACGACATCACGACGTGAGTGTGGGGTGCAGGGCGCTGCTCTGCGGACGGACGAGTCCAAGGGAAGTCACTTTGGCAACTTTGCTGCAGCATCACCTCGCGGTACATCACGCGCGCGCTGGAGGCGCTGCAGGCGCTGGGAGAGGACAAGAAGGCCGAGCTGGGCAACGACGCCTCGCTGCTGCAGCGCGTGCTGGTGGGCCACGACGCGCGCACCGCCCACATCCTGGCCATCGACCTGTTCCTCGTCGGCATCGACACGGTACGCCGCCGCCGCTCCAAGTGGCTCCCCTCACTCGACGTTCATCTAACTTTAACGCCTTCCTTCGGCGCAGACCTCCGCCGCGCTGGCCTCCGCGCTGTACCAGATCGCGCGGCACCCCGAGGAGCAGGAGACCCTCCACCAGGAGGTGGCGCGCGTCCTGGGCCGCGACGGCGACGTGACGGCCGCCGCGCTCGAGGACATGCCGTACCTGCGCGCCGTGCTCAAGGAGGTCCTCAGGATGTACCCCGTGGTGATCGGCAACGGCCGGACCCTGACCGAGGACACGGTGGTGGCGGGCTACCGTATCCCCAAAGGGGTGAGTGCGCCCGGATGACTGTCACTTCTCGAGTTGTTTACAAACGGCGGTTTCATTGTCCGGCTCGCCGTCCGCCCGCAGACGCAGATCATCTTCCAGCACTACGTGGCCAGCAACCAGGAGCGCTACTTCCCCGCCGCGGGGTCGTTTCGGCCGTCGCGCTGGCTCCGCGAGGAGTCCCCGCAGTGCCCCGTGCACCCGTTCGCGTCGCTGCCCTTCGGCTACGGCCGCCGCATGTGCATCGGGCGCCGCTTCGCCGAGCTGGAGCTGCACACCGTCGTGGCCAAGGTGGGTGTCCCGTTGTGGCGTTCAACTTCACCGTCTCCCTCTGGACCCTCACACCTCTCACGTTTCGCGTCCATTCCTTTTGCAGATGGTGCAGAACTTCCGGCTCGAGTTCAACCACCCGCCACTGCCGTACCGCGTCCACCCCATGTACATGCCGCACGGCCCGCTCAAGCTCACGTTCCACGCTCGCTGATGCCCAAGTCATTTTCCAGTCATTTGTTGTTTTTGTACCATTGTAAATAAAAGCTTTATTTTTATTTTTTAATTGCTGTTGTCATTGATTTCCCTTTATTTTCCACCCACGGTAAATGGGAACCGACTTTTCCTCTGGGTTGAATTGGGGTTGAGAGGAGGGTTGAAGGGGCAAGAAAATCCAAACTTTAACAATATACAGAAAACATTTATTTAGGACATACAAAAAAACATAGCTTTGCTTTGCTGTCTCAGTCTCGCTCCACCATCTTGAAGCGCAGCTCGCCGTCCGGGGCGTACATGAACGTCACCTGGTAGTCCAGGGGCTTGTGGTGGTACTCCAGCCTAAAGCGGCGGACAAGCTAAAAAAACAAGAACAAAACCCATAAGGATGAATTAAAAAAAAAACAAAAGCATTGTATTGATAGTTAGAACAAAAGTGGCAGGAAAAGGCCCACCTTGGCGAGCAGGACGTGCATCTCCAGGTCGGCGAAGCGCCGGCCGAGGCACATCCTGGCGCCGTGGCCGTAGGGTTGCGAGGCGAAGGGGTGCACGTCGAGCGAGGGGTCGTGGTTCTTCATCCAGCGCTCCGGCAGGAACTCGTCGGCGCGGCCCGCGTACCGCGCCATGTTGCCCGTCACCACGGTCGGGAACACCAGCTGCACCTGGAGCAGGCCGAGGAGCGCGACAAAGAGGAGTGAGGCGACGGAAAAAAGAGCAAGCAGGGGCGGGGATTCGAACCCGGCGACTCACCCCCTTGGGCACTCGGTAGCCGCAGATGGTGGTGTCGCGCTGCAGCGTCCGGCCATTGCCGATCACCGTGGAGTACATCCTGCGAACCAATCACAAGTCAGATCGATTCCCACCCAATCACTGCTCTAGAACGAGTCTCCGCGCCGTCGTCGCCCACCTGAGCACCTCCCTGACGAAGCCCTTGGTGTAAGGCAGCTGGTCAAGGTGCTGCGCCGTGAGCGGCGTGTCGGGGTCCGGCAGCACCCGCACCAGCTCGGCGTGCATCTTTTCCTGGACCTCGGGCCGCGTGGCCAGCTGGTATAGGATGGAGCACACCGCCATGGAGATCTGCGAGCATTCGAAACCATTCGTAACCACGCACCAGCGCGCCAAGTTTTTCACAAAAATAAATTCTTGGGCCTTACCGTGTCGATGCCGACGAGGATGAGGTCCAGCGCGAGCACGTAGGCCAGCTTGCGGTCCGGCTGCTCGGCCAGGATGCGCTCCACGACGGACAGGTCGCCGTCGGCCGACGCGCCCTGGGCCGCCTGCTTCTGCTCCAGGCGCTCCATGGCGCGGTCGATGTGCTTGGTGCACACCCTGCCGAGCAGACAGAGGGAAGGGTGACGCGGTGACGCGGTGCCACGGCCACGGCGAGCCAACGAACCGCCGTGGCGGTAGGCAGCCCAACGTGCACCTCGGCGGCGCCGGCGGCCCGCGCGCCGGGCTGCACGCCGTGCGCCACACTGCTCGCTTACTCGATGAAGTAGTTCATGTTCTTGACGTAGTGCGTCCAGAGCGGGATGACGGGGATGTACCGCCAGAAGGGGAACTTGAGCTCCAGCACGGCCACGTTGCGCAGCGCGAACTTGGCGGCGTCGATGATCTTCTGGGGCTCCGAGTCGGCAGGCAGGTCGGGGTCCAGGCAGCCCAGTCGGGTGTCCAGGGCCACGCGCCCGATGCCTGCGGTTGCATTTGAAGTTGGAATCAGTTTCAGAACAGGCACTGGGCCACGCACAGCACCAGACAGCATCGACACTCACACTCTAAAGACCATTTGTGAATCTCGTTGTCGAAGTCCTTCGGCATCTCCCCGTTCTCATCCCGCATGTCTTGCATTCTGAAACGTGAAACACAATACAAATGAAAAATTGCTTTAATGCCGCGCTCCGCTCGTCCACCTGTCCCGGCGTGCGTGCCAACGCATCATTGCCACCGCCGGCTGCAACGTCCGGCGGAGTGGGTCGGAGTGGGCCGGTGTGGGTCGGAGGGGCTCGGAGTGGGTCGGAGTATGGGTCGGGGTATGGGTCGGAATATGGGTCGGAATATGGGTCGGAGTATGGGTCGGAGTATGGGTCGAAGTATGGGTCGGAGAGGGTCAGAGTGGGTCGGAGTGGGTCGGAGTGGGTCGGAGTGGGCCCCTGTCGGTGTGGGTGCGCCACCAGCGAGCAGCGCGAATAAATGGCCGGGCAGTAAAAGCCCATAAGACAAGGCTCCGCGCGATGCGGTGCCGGGCCGACGGGGCCGACCCACATCGGCGGACCAGGACCAGGACGCTGCTGGTGGGAACCCGCGGGGCGGGGAGGAGGGGGCGGGGAACTAGGCGGGGAGGGGGGGGGGCAGCGGCGGGCCGCGATACGAGTTTTGGGTGGTGTCCATGCGCTTTTCGCTTTCTCTGCGTGTCCGGTCGGCACGCCACGCCACGCCACGCCACGCCACGCCACGCCTCGGACCTGGAAGGACCAGCCGGCACGATTTTGGCCTTCCGATCGCCAGTCCGTGTGTCCGTCCGTCTGTCTGTCCGTCTGTCCGTCCGCACGCCTGCGGCGACGATGCCCCTCCATACTCCTTCCTTACCCACCTCTGCAGGAAGCAGTTGGTGACGTCCTCGATGGGGCCGATGTAGGTCCGCACCGTCTTGGGCTGCAGGCAGGGCCGCTGGACGCGCGACCGAAACTCGCGCCAGGCCTCGCCGTGCCTGCAAGCAGCGCCAGCATGGCCCGGCTCAGAGGAGAAAGAAACCCAAATACAGCGGGAACTGGACCGCGTCGCGCCAAAGCACGCGCCACAGCGCGTGGCCCCCAAAACCATCGTGGAGAGGAAATTAAAAGCAGATCCACTGCGAAAAGTACTCACACGCCGACGACGCCCGCCAGGTAGCCGAAGAAGTCCTTCCGCACGTCCGACTTGTACCTTGCGACAGAGGAAAACAGTCACGCCAGCGTTCTGCAGCGGTCTCTCTCGCACCCGAGCGGGGCATGCCTTGGGGCATGCGGGCCGCGCCGTGAGTGCGAGAGAGAGGCCCGTCGGAAATGAAAGTGCGGCGCCTTTGTCCTTCCGAGCCCCGCGGGCCTGCTGCACAGTGTAGATGCAGGCTGCGGCCCTATCCCGGCCTACCTCACGATGCAGGGCATGGCGGGCCGGAAGGGCGTGGGGCCCTCCTGGCGGTACACCTTCTCGGTCTCGTCCGCGTCGAACACGAACACCAGGTCCGGCCGGCCCACCAGGTTGGACAGCTTGACGATGTCGCCGTACTCCCGGTGCAGCAGCCCGGACACGCGCGCCAGGTCCGACACTTGGTACTGGCCTGGAACAATGGGGCGTTCGATGGATGGATGTGACGGCGCTGCTCTGCTTCAAGCAGAGCCTCTGTCTCTCTCGCACTCATGGAGCCGTGCGCGGGGTGCGAGAGAGACAGAGCGCTGTAAAAGGAAAAGGCGCAGACCGCAAGGCGTTATCGCCTGCTTCTGAACTGAACCGTTTTTGCCTCTCGCTGAAGTGGGACTCGGACTCGGCGCCCTGCCCTCCTCGCGCGTTCAACTCACCGACGACGGGCAGCAGCCTCCACGTGTTCCCGATGAGCGGCAGCGGCGTGGGCCCGGGCATCTGCTCGTAGGGCAGCCCGGCGGCCTCCGCCTCCAGGGTCTCCACGGCCTCCTCGGCCTCCACGGAGCGCGGGCAGAGCGGGGCCGTGCCGGTGGACCTCGGCCGGCGGCCGGAGGCCGTGGCGGAGGCCGTAGTGGCGGAGGCCCGCAGCCGCAGCCATCCCCCCAGCCTGGACATGACGGAAAGCCTTAGTGGCAGCGGGGCCGCTTCGTCGGCATGCCCCTCGCGACTGCGGCCGCGGCTTGGGCGACCGGATCACCGAATCGCGCGGTCCGTTTTAATCACGATGGGGAATCGGCAGAGGCAGGTGGCGACAGCGATACGTCGCCTGCAGGCTGATTCCGAGCACTGCTTTCGTCGCTCTGTCTCTCTCGCACCTGAACGGTTCGCCCCGCGAGTGCGAGAGAGACAGAGCGACGAAAACAGTGGGCTGACAAGGCGATAAGCGCCTCCAGCTGACCAGCTTCTCGGGCTGCTACACCGAAAAGAACTCCCGGCGTTGGCAGTGCAGTGCCGCAGAGCCGCACCTGCACTATGCGAATCGTTGAATCGCTTGGCAGTGGCGCGGCTGGACCGCCGCCAGTGACGTCGAATGGCTGCAAAGCTCTTCAAAGCTGCGGATGGCGCCACAAAGCACAAGGCCTCCTCAAGGTCGCGCGCCTAAAGGGTCGTGCGCAAACCAGCTGACCTACAGTAGCCCCCCCCTCCCCCTTTTTCTGCGACCCGGATAACCTAACCTTCCCATGTACTTAAGATGGGGGTGTGACTTTTTGCGGACCCCCTCCCCCTTAAATGGGTTACGTGGTATATCCGCGACACCAAACCGGCGACAAGTTTCAAAATGTGGCAGTGTCTCAGAGATCTCTGCTCGCTGCTGTTTGATTTGGGGTTTCGGGGGCGCCCGGTCCGGGCGGCTCGAACCCGAAAACCCAGACCGGCATGCACGGAACCCTCTCCTCCTCCGGTTCCAGTCACCGGACAGGACACCGCCGTCTCGTCGCCGGCGAGCAACATGCCAGCATGCCAGTGGGCCGACAGGCCGCAGACTCCAGGACTGGTTCAGGGTTCGTGCACCGGCCGCACCGGACCGCACCGGACCGCACCGGACCGTGGGCGCGGCGGCGGAGGGAACGACAACCAGCGGAGAGACTCCTTGGCGTCCTTGACGGTCCGGCCAGTGCCCTGCGAGTGTGTGTGTATGTGTGTGTGTGTCAGTGTGTTGCATCACTGAACCGACTGCAGTGCGTAGCCGCGTGGCCTGGCGTGGCCGTGCTCGCTCACCACCACTATGGACCGGCAAGGCTGGCTGGCAAGGCTGGTGCGGACGCCCCAGACCTAGCGGACCGCCGTAAAGAAAATACCGAACGAAACCTTGAGTCGCCTTGAGTGCGAGGCATACTAGTCGGTGCAGTGGTCTTAGAAAAACAAAACGGCCGCGAAATGCGCGTGCACTAAATACGTAACAAGGAGGTCGTCCGCTTGTTTTTGTTTGTCAAAGTGGGACAGCTTGCTTGACAGCTGGAATACCTCTTTTTTTGGGTTCGTCGCGCCTTGGGGGTGGAGTCGGCAGGTTTTTTTGCCAGGGTTCAGTAACCTAATCAGAGTTAAAGTCTTTCCCAAATTCAATCATAGCATTCGGGTGGAATGTGCACTCCAACCGTCAAATTGGGCACTGGCTTGCTGAACCCTGTTTTTCTCTTTGTTTCCCATGTGGCGCGGGAGCAGCTGGGCCCAAGCTGGGCCGGCCTGCCTGTCGGGATGACTTTCCGTTCCCGAGGTTCCCGTCGCTGCCCCGGCCGAGTTCCCGCAAAAAAGGAGCGGCAATTTCACGGCGCCGGACGAAAATCGGTGCAGCCGCCTCAGCGCCAATACATAGTTAAAAGTCAAATTAAAAAACGTCCCTCTTTAATTTTTTTTTAAAAATGGGGCGCACTGCACGTTGTGTGAGAGAGACGGAGTGAGACGATTCTCAGGCAGGTGGCAGCCAGAGAAGAAAACTACGTACATCACCGAGGAAGTTTCGTGTCACAATGCTGCACGAAGGGAAATTTGGAGCGATTCGCTACTCACCCTCTTGATGTGGCCATCCTGGTCACCGTATCCGTTCACCGCATAGCGTCACGCCCACACTCACTCACACACATTCACACACGCACACTCTCACGCTGTCACGCTAGGGACGCGTGACGCACGCGTGACGCACACACTCACACACACACACACACGCGCGCGCGCAGCAAAGCACTCCAGGACACTATTGCTGAGACAGTGGCGGGCCAACTAAGCGACTCTCCGAACCGCGAGGCATGGCGCGGCATGGCGCGGCCTGGAGAGGAGGAACCCCCCCGCCCCCTTTCACCCTCCCCTCCCCCCTCCCCCTCCGGCCCTAGGGACCCACCGGCGGGTTGGGGAAGGGGGCGCTGGGCCGCGCTGGGCCGCGCTGGGCCTGCCTGGCCGGGCCGGTTCAAAGGGTGAGGCGGGAGCAGGGAGGGGATCAAAACAAGGAGGAGGAGAGGAGGGGCGGGAGGTGGGAGGGAGCTAGACTCCGCCACACTGCTCTGCCATGGCTCTGCCCACCTGTGCGGCATGCGGCAAGGAGGTCATGGATCCCAGCATCAGCCAGCATCAGCTGTCTCCCCCTTATGGCACAGCGAACAGTCTCTGAGTTCAACGCTGTTATTGCTGCCAGCACTCGCAGTGCACGACTGCTGCAACCTGTTGTGTCTGCTTCCTCTTCGTTGCCAAACGTCTTGAGGCAGTTTGGTTGAATGACTGAGTGACTGCGGCCGGATGGATGAATGAATGAATGCTTGAATAACCGAACGAAGGTGCGATCGATCGAACGACCACTTGTGCTGGGCCTTTGTTTGAACGCCCCCTTTCGCTAGTGATTGAGATTGGGCGGGCGGTCACCGCCCGACGGAAAGCAGACTGCAGCGCCGCACCCCGGCGAGCTTCGGACACTCTAAAACCGAACAGCCGAAGGTGTCTCCGGTTCGACTCCGGTTCGCGCCTAAACGGCCTCCTCCACCCGCACCTCACCCCTCGCCTTGTGCTCGACCCGAGAGGTGCTGCCATCTAGGTGGCTAAACGCCGGTCGGGCGCACGGGTAACCGGCCGCCCGGACTGAAATCTCGGGCCGGGCGGCCGCCCCGCCCGACGAGCGTTTGGGCGGGCTGGGCGGCCGCCCGGCCGGCAAAGACGTCGGGCGCGCCATGGCGTCGCCGCCCGCCCAATCACGAACACTACCTTTCGCTACCGGACGCCCACTGGCACCTCGCGGTGCCTCGCGGTGGTCAGGGAGCCCAGCCCGCTGGGTGCGGCCACACGTAAACACACCAAACAAACCGACCAAACAAAGCGAGCACGCCGAGCCGTTGCAAGCCGGCTGCACCGCCACACTGGTGCAACGCGACTCCGGCACACTGTAGGGGAGCCAGCCGTGCCCTGCGCCTGCTACGCCAGCTCTCCCTTATTGTCCGTGCAGTGCAGTGCGCGTTGCTGGCGTTGCTTCTGCGCGACGCTTTGGCGCGACGCTCTTCCTGGCCGCCGCGCGCCAACGCCAAGCCGCGCGCACAGAGAGGCGACATGAGGCGCATGGCGCCGCCGCCATTGTCTCCATTTGGCACCGCGGGGGCGGGAAGGGAGGGGTAGGGGAAAGGGGGCACTACTGAAAGTCGTCAGCATACGCTTTCTTGCCGCGCGCTGAAAAAAAAACAGCGCTGACGACTAGCAGGTCGCTTCGTCGCTTCGCGCGCACACGGCGTTCCCCCCCCCCTTTTCCCCTTTGGGGACCGCGGCGGCGGTATGAGAAAATAATCAGTATGCAGTGTGCTAGGCTAGGCTGCGCTGGCTGCGCCTGTCTGCGGTCGCGCGCCTCAAGGCCCCGATGGATGCAGGACATAACTATGCCACTGTAATGCCCAGGCCGAGCGGGCCGAGCGAGCGGGGCAAGCACCGCGCAGCCGCTGTGGCGGAGGGGAGGGGGAAGGGAGGGGGAAGGGAGGGGGAAGGCCGGACGGGTTGGCAACCCAACCGACTCCGCGACCGGCCGCACACCTCAGCGCATACAGTGGGCCGTGCGGGCAGGCAACCCAACCAACTCACGTGGAGTGCGCCGCGCTTGGTAGGCAACCCAACGGACACGCCGCGAGGCGGACTTTGGCCTTTGTAATTGCAAAACGCCTGCCGTGGCATTCCAAAAAGCCTGTCAAGAAAAGTCCAAAATGCCCGATTTTTCGATTTTTTTTCAAAATACGCAACGTTGTCATAGTTAGACAGAAGAAGATCGTGTCTTGTTTTGATCCCGTTAACTTTGTGCCTATCACTTACCATCCACAAAAAAAGAAAAGATTTGTTTGAAAATAAAGGCAGGTGGTGATTGGATGAGACTGTACCTAGATAAAAACGCCTTGATTCGTTCCATGGCAGCCCACGAGGGCGGACAAAGGTATGCACGGAGACAATTAGAGATAACGAAAACGGTCAGCACGACTTGTCACGTTTCTCGACGTGAATTATTAATCGGCTTGGAAACGTGATGCGTCAGCAGGAAAAACCTGCGCGCCGTTATCTGTTCTCGGAAGAAGCCGATAGCGGAATGTTTAGCATTACCACGGAATAAACAATTACTTCTTTAATTCCACGCCTCCTGCAAGTGAGGTTCAGGGGAGGTTTCTACCGATACACTGTCTCTCGAGAACGAAATGGGCCTCGAAATGGGGCTTGTATTGCACAAGCATTGCGCCCACGTGGTGCTCTGCTGCACTGTTGGTATCGCAGCGCCACTTGAAGGACTTGAAGGCGAGGAGCCGCCAGTATAAAGGTTCGCGGCGGTCCGCGCCGGCTCACTCCACGATGAAGACCTCCATCAGCATCGCCCTGGCCCTCGTCGCCGCCCTGGCGTGCGCCCACGGTCAGTGCCCAGCCCCTGGAAGGGCACTTTGTTCTGCTCTCCCCCTAGCTGGAGTCGACCATCGCGACTAAAATTATTATTATTTTGTATAATTCTATTTCACTCTGTGTGACTGCTTAACCTGCAATCGCAACTCTTTGGACAGGCGCCGCCGTGGCCAAGCAGGGCGTCAGCCTGAACCCCATGGTCAAGCCCATGGTGTGGCCCATGCCCAGCATCGGCGGCGACTTCATCAGCGAGGAGATCATCGGCGGCACGGACGCCGACCCCGCCGAGTTCCCCCACCAGGTGTCCATGCAGGTGTCCATGCTGTGGATCGTGGAGCAGCACATCTGCGGCGGCACCATCCTCAACGAGGAGTGGGTGCTGACGGCGGGCCACTGCGTCAAGGGCGTGCCATGGTACACCAGCGCCTTCATCCTGGCCGGCAAGACCAACCTGGGCGTCAAGGAGGCGGGCCAGCAGCGCAGCGCCGTCAAGAAGATGTTCACCCACGAGAAGTTCCGCGGCGGCGTCGGCCCCTACGACATCGGCCTGCTGCACCTCAAGACCAAGCTCGTGCTCTCCGACACCATCAAGCCCGCCAAGCTGCCCGCCCAGGGCGCCGTCCCCACCGGTAGGTGCCTGACACTGTGAGTTCTGCCGTTCTGGTCGTTGGAACCTTTGGTACTGAAGGGGCTCTCGGTTTGCAGGTCAGGCCACCCTCAGCGGCTGGGGCAGCATCAGCACCTCCCAGGAGCTCGTCATGCCCAAGCAGCTGCAGAAGCTGGACCTGCCCATCATCCCCTTCGACGCGTGCAACGACGCCATCCAGAAGCTGTCGGACGCGAACGGCGAGAAGAACCCCCTCGTCGAGTCGAGCAACGTGTGCGTCGGCCACCTCGACAAGGCCGGCCAGGGCGCGTGCAACGTGAGTGCAAAGTGTTTTCCGGCGAAGTGTTTTCCCACTTTGTTGACCATTTTCGAAGCTCACCCAACATTCCCGCCTCTTCCAGGGTGACAGCGGCGGCCCCCTCATCCAGGTCGTCGACGGCGAGGTCGTGGTGATCGGCGCCACCTCCTGGGGCTACTTCCCCTGCCAGGCCGAGGCCGCCCCCTCCGTGTACACCAAGGTGTCCGCCTTCGTGGACTGGATCAACGAGAACATCGCCCCCGCCCACTAAACCGGCCGCTCGCAAACTCCCCCTACCAAAGCTGCATACCAAAATAAAATCGCTATTTATCTCGCAACAAACACAACGCCGTTTCATTGACATCGTTTTATTCGGTACCAGGTCACAATTAGGTACAGAGCAGGCAAGTGGCCATTCTCTCGTCCTTATTAAACGACGATCAAATCTCGGCGAGTTGACTTTGGCCGAGTGACTCGATAAGCCTCCACTTCACCTACTGACGTGCGTCAGGAGCCACTTGGACATGCTCCGCCTTATCTTACATTCCCCGACACTAATCACGTCTAGGGAACGCCGAGGAAAACGTTGGAGAGAAAATGGGATGAACCAGTGAAAAAAAGGTTGTGTGTTGGCCAAAGATCAGTTGTGGTCTAGCCTTTCAAGTCAAGTCAAGACATCCCCGTGGAGCCCCTGCCATGGGCGAGGTAGGCACCCCGCTGCAGAGGCGTGTGGCGGCGCGGCCTACCCGGCGCGGCGATTGCGGTGCTACCCCAGTCGCGTGGTCACGCCGGCGAGGGCGTCCTTCATCCACTGCAGGTGGTCGGCGTGGGTGACGTTGGTGAAGGTGTAGTCGTTGGTGCCCTGGCGCAGCGACACGACGCCCTGCAGGTACCAGACGCCGTCGCGCTCCACCACGGCGCCACCGCCACTGTCCCCCTTGGCCAGCCTCTGGTCCGCCTCTGCGAGCACAACAAGAAGATGACGGTCGCGGTGACGCCGCCGGAAGACGGAAGACGCAAGACGCCGCCACTCACCGCTCTGGATGATGGAGCAGAACTTGTCGGCGGTGATGTACTTGATGAGGGTGTCGGAGGCGCGGCGGTAGCACGTCTTGGTGGGCAGGAACGGCATGTTGACGTACTCCAGCACGTCGAGGGCCGCCGTCTCGTCTCCCCAGCCCGCCACCTGCGCAGGGGACAGTGTGAGTTCGTGGGTTCGACTCCCGGCCGGCGCGGTGTTTTCGAAGGCGCACTCACCCTGAGCGTCTCCTCGGGCACCAGGGTGACGCTGGGGTCGACGCAGACGGTGGCGATGCTCAGCCCCGGCGGCACGGGGTCCTGCAGCTCCACCAGCGCGATGTCCCCCAGGTAGTTGCTGACCTGGCCGCGGTACGCTTCGGGCACGTGCAGGGCCGACACCTTGCTCTTGTGCACCGTGCCCTTCTCGACGGCGTCCCAGCCGCTGCGCGTCTTGCCCAGCGCGATGGCGTACCGCTCGGCCGGCAGCACGCGGTTCAGGTTGTGGTCGTAGAAGCAGTGGGCCGCTGCGGAGGAGCAGTTCAACAGGGTGGCCAACTTTATCCTTGGCAGTGTAGGCCCTCAAGTTGGCAGTGCCTTACCTGAGATGAGCACGCTGGGGGTGACGAGCGCGGCGCCGCAGGTGAAGCGGTACTGGTTGGCGGCGGCGTGGCGCTGGTACACGGCGGCGTGCCAGGGGAAGCTGTCCACCGAAGCCACCAGCCCGTTGACCGTCAGCGCGTCCGTGGTGGGCGGCCGGCCGCACTCTGGGGGATGGAGGGCACGGCTGGGTAGTGTTCAAGGGTCGAAGGGGCACGTCAGCGCGCACTCACCGTTGCCGAAGAGCAGCTTCCTGTCCTGGCTGCACTGCCCGGTGTAGGGGTCGCAGGCGCCGTCGCGGCAGTAGGGGCACGTCAGCGCGCAGTTGTTGCCGTACTCGCCGACGTCGCAGGCTGGGGGCAGGAAAGGGGGACATTAAGTTTCGGCCGATATTTGCGAGTCGCGAACCAAAAAGGGTTGTAAAAGGTTACCCTGGTCGCAGGTGTCCCCCTTGAAGCCGGGCGCGCAGGCGCAGGGTAGCCCCGGCGCGCAGAACAGCATGCCCCGGCAGCCCTCGCCCAGCGCGGAGCAGCTGCCGCCGCAGTCCATGCCGTACTTGTTGGCGCCGCAGCCTGCCGGACACAAAGAAGGCTCAGTTCGTGCTCGGCACCTCTCCCCGGAGGACGTCGTCCGTGACGTCATCGTCGAGGCTCACCCTCGGCGCAGGTCGGCCCGCGGAAGCCGGGCGGGCAGATGCACGCGCCGAAGTCGTCCTTGATGCCGCCGTTAGCACACCACCGCGCCGCTGCGGAGGGAGAGAAATTCAGCGCTCGCTGTTAAGATCCACAAGGGTGGTGTTTTCCCGAGTACTCACGCGCGGCCCTGGCCTGCCGGGGAGCGCCCCAGGACACGTTGTAGCCCGGCACGTAGATGGGTAGCGATGCCTCGCCCACGATCATCACGTCCTCGTCGTCTGCAAGCAGAGCACGCCGTCAAGCCGGGCAACGGCTTCGCGCTCCGTGGACTCGGAGTGAGACTCACCCAGATGGTTGCAGCCGCCCACCCTCTGAAGGTGCACGGTGCTGCCCCTCTTGGGGAGGTGGGCCGACACCACCAGGCGCCACTCGGAGCGCCGCAGGCTGGCGGGCAGGTCGACGACGGTGCGGTTGAACCTCCAGGCGTTGGCCTTGCCGAACAAATGACAAGTTAGACGGGCTGTTGCGAGTGCTTGAACCTGGTACCGGCAGGCAGTGCGGTACCTTGTCCGGCCGGATGGCGGCGAGGGGGAAGTCCGTGCCGTTCTCGGCCCTGGCGAACACGTTGAGGCCGGCGTCCCTGCTCGACGCCAAGTAGACCACGGACACGCACACCACGTCGGAGACGCCGCCCACCCCGGGGCTCACCATCTCAGCCCCCGCCTCGCTGGCGGACCAAACCGCGTCTGCGACAGAGAAAACCGTGAGGCTGCCGTCGGGGCAACCAGAGGCCAGGTTTGTACTTCGCACTGACCGCGGATGAAGGTGGCCACGCTGAAGTACGTCTCCAGCTTGAGGCGGTCCCGGTCGGGCTCCAGCGGCATGGTCACCACGTCGCGGGGGTTGTCCTCCAGCCACACGGCCATCTCGTACTCGCTGCGGCGCTGCACCACGAAGAGGTTGGTGCCGCCCTTGGCCACGCCACCGCGCGAGCCGCAGCTGATACAGCGCTGTGGACAGGGCGCGGGTTCAAATACAACCACAAGCTCAGGTTAGATCAGCGGTTCCCAACCTTTTTCGGTTCGCGACCCCAAATTTGTAGCCAAAAATTTCCGCGACCCCCAGGAAAAATTTCGCGACCCCACGCGACCCCTCCTTTAGCATGCCTTTGATACAAAGTGCGATAATCTGCCTTAGTTCGGGAGCACTGTTGTCTCAAAGTTGATCAAAACGGTCACAAGTGTCTTTGAAAAATCGTGTTTTGGGCCGACTTTAGGCATCCACTGCGTCTGATCCGAGGCGGTATGGCGTCCTCCCTCAACGGGCAATTGGTCTTTGGACCTTCCTTTTGCATGCCTTTGTTACGGAGTGCGATTATCTGCCTTAGTTTGGGAGCAGTACTGCCGCAAAGTTGATCAACCCACGAGTTTTCAGACATTTGTGCCCGTTTTGATCAACTTTGCGGCAATACTGCTCCCAAACTAAGGCAGATAATCGCACTCCGTAACAAAGGCATGCTAAAGGAAGGTCCAAAGACTAATTGCCCGTTGAGGGAGGACGCCATACCGCCTCGGATCAGACGCAGTGGATGCCTAAAGTCGGCCCAAAACACGATTTTTCAAAGACATTTGTGACCGTTTTGATCAACTTTGCGGCAGTACTGCTCCCAAACTAAGGCAGATAATCGCACTCCGTAACAAAGGCATGCAAAAGGAAGGTTCAAAGACCAATTGCCCGTTGAGGGAGGACGACATACCGCCTCGGATCAGACGCAGTGGATGCCTAAAGTCGGCCCAAAACACGATTTTTCAAAGACATTTGTGACCGTTTTGATCAACTTTGCGGCAGTACTGCTCCCAAACTAAGGCAGATAATCGCACTCCGTAACAAAGGCATGCTAAAGGAAGGTCCTAAGACCGTTAGGTTAGCCGTTAGATTTTGGTGGCTTTTGGCAGCTTTCTCGCTCACCGAGTCCAGGACGGGGTTGTCCCGCTGCCGCACCAGGCTGTCCGTCGTCACCCAGGTGCGGTAGTCCAGGCGCTTGTCCTTGGACACGCCCTGCACGCCCACCACACTGCAGCTCTCCGACGAGCAGATGCCGAAGCTGATCTCCACGCGGTCGTAGTTGGTGAGGTGCACGCGGACGCGCTCGCCCACCGCGATCAGGTCGCCGTCGAGCCGGCCCACGTCCTCGCTCTCTGCGGACACCGAGTACCGTGGCGTGTTAGGGTTGGGTTGTGATAGGTTAGGTTAAGTTAGGTTAGGTCAGGCGGTGCTCACCATGCAAGTAGGCGGTGGGCCCCAGCCCCGAGAACATCTTGAGCCGGTGCCTGTCGGGCTCCAGGGGCACGGCGATCGCGGCACTGCGGTTCTTCTCGTGCCAGACCTCGAGTCCGTAGGGCGACAGGCGCGTGCCCGCGAACGTGTGCTTGGTGTCCTCCTCGAAGGTCGCGTTCTTCGGGCCGCCGCTCTGCCAACCGACACAAAGATCAGAAAAGAAGGAAGCTTCGGAGGAGGAGTGTCGGAAACGGACTCACCAGAGCCCACTCGCCCTGCTTGCCGTAGAACAGGTCGTTGGCGCGGATGATGGCCACGTCGTAGGCCATCTCGTAGTGCTCGTTGACGCCCTTCATGAGCATGGAGGCGCACGCCTCCTCGCTGCACAGCCCGAAGGCCAGGCCGCCCGCCTCGTTCTTCCTGGTCGTCAGGCGCACCCGCACCGTCTCCCCGACGGCCACCGAGTCGCCGTCCAGCCGCTGCGGCTCTGCGGACCCACCACGTCAGGCAGGGTTGCCGACCTCAGCCTGCCCCAGCCTGCCTCGAAGAAGTTGCCCGGTAGGCAGGCAACTCTCCCGACACTCGCATCGTGGGAATGTTTGCCTTGGGCCAAAAAACACCAACAGCGCAGAAGGGGTATCGCCAGTCTGCGCTGGCGCGGTGTATCGCGGCGGTGGCGATACCCCGCGCTGGCGAGCGGGTACTCACGGATTGGCGGCGCGGTGACGGGCGACGCCTCCTGGGTCCACCGGTCGTTCTCCCAGCCGTCGCAAGGCCCGTACGCCGCGCACTCGGGCACCTGGTCCTCGACCTCGGCGGCTGGATCGGATCACGGACGGACTTGGATCAGACTCGAGTCCCGGCGCCAACCCTGGCCCTGGCCCTGGCGGTCTAGACACTCACCCATGACGCCGCCGCCGATGCGCAGCGGGAATCCCAGGGCGTTGGTCCTGGCGTGCACCTCCACCGTCCCGTTGGGTATGAACTGCTGCAGCGATCCTGGGTTCAAATCCCGCCATTAGTTCTTTTGTTTAAGGACTTCTCCGCAGACAGTGTTGTCTTACCCTGGGTTTTCCACGGCCACATCTGGCGGATTTTCGTGCCCCAGTCCGCGGGTCCTGCAACCGACAGCAAGCCTCGTTCAGTGTTAGAGCAACCCCAGCCCTGTCCCACCCTTGCCCCGCTACTAGCCTTCATCGCTCCAAGTCCTCTTCAGCCGCACGATGGTGGTCACGTCGAAGGGCCCTGTCACCACAAAGAGTTCAGGGGGTGACTGTCACTGTGTTACGATCCGAAATTTGGGTTGAGTTTCATGGGAACGATTCTCACCGGACTGCGCCAGCGCGGACGCTGCAAGCGCTGTCAGGACCACAGCGTAAAACATAGCGCGCCTGCCAAAGTTAAACAACAAAAATAAAACCCAAAACACACGATGTGTCAGTAAAACAGTGGAGGCCTCCATGGTTTACTTTTGCCACCACCATCTTTCCATGTCTACTTGATCCACCCCCGGCCCCGCACGGTCCCCACATAAACAACCGCCGATTTCTCATACTCACGGCGCCATCGCTGTCCTGGACGTCCTGGACGTCCTAACCTCGCACCGGCGTGGTGCGCACTGGAGGCGTGCCGGCGCCCCCCTCCGCGTCGGCGCGTCCGTCCGTCGGTCCGGCCGGCTGAGCGGCTGTCGGCCGACCTGGACCGGTTCGGCAGTCTAGCCAATCGCAACGCAGCGTCCGTGAGTCCGTGACCTCGAGAAGCCGCCGACGAAGATGCAGGCGGAGTGGCCGCCACCCTTCTGGACCTTTGAGCCCTCGTGCTTCCGCCCTCCGGCAAGGACCGCTAAAGTGCAGATAGCTTGAGGAAAACAAAATGAAGGAACTGAACTGATGAAAATATTATAAGTTTTGTTATGTCTGGCGCTCGCGTGCCACCTCGCATCTTTGTTTTGACGTCATAGGAAGGGATCGCCAGACTCCAGTTCCTGAAGTCGTTCTCCGACCCTGGCCGCCCAACGCAGAGAAATATCTCCAGCCTTGAACTTGCTGGTCCGGACATTTAGCAAACAAAAATAAAGATAAAATCGTTAAATCACTTCTGACACTTAGGTGACGAAGATTCCTTGTGTTGCTCCCTCTGTTCTGAAAATCTCAAACAAATAGCCGACGGCCTCAGCACCTCAGCCATTAAGGCCAAACTTGTTGTTGGCAAAGTGTGTATTTTTCTAGGACGCCGTGACCTTTCCTTCGCGCGGTTTCTGTTACGCCACTGGAAACGCCTACTCGCTCCGGTTCGCACTGGATCCGTCCATCCATCTTTTGGGATTCTGCGGCGAAGATGTGCGTCAGCCACTGCACTGACCATCAGCTGGCCTTGCATCCACTTTTTAAATGTGTCCTCCAAAAGCGCATTATTATTGTGAGTGTTCGTGAAGGCAGTAAATAACGGTTGCCCAATTTGACGGCGCGCTCTATCAAGATGAAACACTTCAAGTTTGCGAGAGAAATGAATGACAAAGGAACGCGTCGACTGAGGCTCAGACTCGGGCTCAGACCGCAAACGACGTGAGTGTCTCTGAGTGTGCAGTGGAGCGAGGTCGCTCGCAAAACGACGCCACGGCAGCCGTTCCTCATGCCCTCTCCTAGTTCATCAAGAGTGTCTTGTCCAAATGCGGGGTACTGAGTGTAAACGAGTCAAAATGCGTCAGGAGGAGATCATCAAGTCTTTTATTTTGAGTGAGTTCCGCACGCCACAGCCAACTGGTCCAAATCTTGCCGTCAGCCTCTTTGCCGGCCATCGCAGGGGAGGCTGCAATCCGCGTCGCCGGCCGTGCAAGCTGGAACAAACATTACAAAACATGGTTTTTAAGGGGAAATGACTTTGTGGGGGTTATTTTCACCGGAATTTTGTACTCGTTTCGACTACTGACCCTGGTCGCAGAGGTCCCCGCGGAAGCCGGGGGCGCACGAGCAGTACAGCCCCGACACGCACAGCACCACTCCCTCGCAGCCTCGCGCCGGGCACCGCAGTTCGCACCGCGCGCCGAAGCCACCCGCCTGGCAGCCTGGAAACGCAAACCACAGATCAATAGACGGCATTAATTTATGAAATTCAATTTTATTTATTAATTTTATTTGCACCAACCTGCTTCGCACGTGGCGCCCACGAAGCCTGCCGGACACGCACAGCCGGAAGCGGCGCTCCACTGGCCTCCGTTGACGCAGCCGCCTGCAGACAACACGCTTCGCCTTAATGCGCATGCACACTGTAGAATGCCCACCGCGAGCCGCCTGCTTAATTTGTCATAACGCGTCGTTCCGGCGCGCGGACTTACGAACGGAAGCGACCAGTATGACAAATCACGCGCTCACCTGCAGTTTGCCTTTGCAGGCGCCGCGCGGGGTTCCAGGAGTTCCAGGAGTTTGCAGAGTTCCAGGAATTCCAGGAGTTTGCCGAGTTCCAGGAGTTCCAGTCATGGCGACGTCTGCGTCCCGCCGTGCTCGCCGCCACCACCGCCCTGTCGTATTTTTCTGAAAAGTCAACATTCCTTACAGGAACTATAACTAACTACGCGCAGAGGCGTTGCGTCACACTGCTCCTCACCCAGCGAGCACCGCGACACGCTGCGGATCCGCGTCCCGGGCGCGGAGGACACCGCCAGCCGCCAGGACGCCGTCGTCGCCAGCGACTCGGGCAGCGAGGACAGCACGGTACGCCGCCGCCAGGACGCCGCCTGCAACCAAAATGAACGTGAATCTGCGGTCGAAAGGCTGGGCCACACGGCAAGGCGCTTACCTGGTCGGTCGCCAGCTCGGCCAGGGCGGTGGGGGCGTCATCCCGCTCGGTCAGAGCGCCGAGGGTGATGGCGTTGTCGGGGCTCGGCGACATGTACTCCAGCTCGACGCACAGCTTGGCGCCGGGCGCGGAGGGCGCGGGCAGCGAGGGGCTCGTCAGCGCCGACGCGGGGTCCTCGCTCACCCAGTCGCGTCCTGGCGGTCGTTGGAGAGGATTCGCGGATTAGTGGGACCGACAACAAGCGGCACCGGCGGTTCGAACGGGCAGGCTGACCTTTGACGAACATGATGGAGCCCGCCGTGGAGGCCACCTTGAGGCGGTCGTTGTTGTCGGGCGTGGGCACGGAGGCCCTGTTGTCCGGGTCGTCCTCGAGCCACACCTCCAGGGTGTCCTCCGCGGCGCGCCGCACCACGAACACGTGCTGCTGGCCGGGCGTGAAGCTGGCGGGCCCCGTCGGCTGCAACATCGTGGTTTGTAAGTGACGTCAAAACCGGAGCACTCCGATGAGCCGCGCGGCGTACCTGCTGCAGCTCGCTGCCGCGCCCCGACACGCTGTTGGTGGCCACCACGGCCGTGGAGAAGCCCATGGTGTCCCCGTCGGCGCCGCGAACGCGCACCACGCCGCAGGAGATCTCGCTGCACAGTCCCAGCACGAGGCGGCCGTCGGGGAAGGCCACCGACAGCGACAGCCACAGCGTGTCACCCACTGCCATGGGCCAGCCGTCCACAGCGCCGCCTGGGGGGCAGAGCAAGGGTAGTGAACAGAGTTTCACGCAAGGGAGGGAGGCAGTGAGACACCCACTTGCTTCCAGGTAAGTGTGGCCGGCGTCGCTGTCGGCCTTGAGGACGGCCTGTCCGGGCTGCAGCGGCACGGCCACCTTGGCGCCGGGGTCTTCCTCCAGCCACACGTCGGCGGCGTGCTCCGAGTGCCGGTGCACGACGAAGGTGTAGTTGCGGCCCGCGGTGAAGGACGGCGCGCCCGCGGCCTGCGGTTTCAGAGGATCATGGATCAATCCACGCGCCAAGTGGTTTGTTTCACTGGCGCCACCATTCCCGTCAATCTCGCTTTTCTCGACACCTGGACTTCGCTTTTCGCTGAAGGGACTGACGCGGCGGGAAACGCACCTGGCTGAGCACGTCGCCGCGGACGTCGCCGACGCTGTTGCCCCTCGTGATCCTGGCCGAGTAGGACAGCGGCGCGGCGGCCGTCAGGCGCACGGCGCTGCAGGCGCGCGCGTCGCACAGCCCCAGGGCCAGCCAGGCGTCGGGCCGCGCTGGTCGGAAGCGCACGCGGACCCTCTCGTCCACGGCCATGGGGTAGCCGTCGACGGCGGAGCCTGCGGAGCGAAGGGAAAACATGAACTGACCACAACACAGAGCGCCACCCACGTCCTAGGTAGGGCTTACGTACCAGGGAGCAGCGCGGTGGAGCCCACGGCGGACACGACGTCCAGGACGTCCTGGCCGGGCTGCAGCGGCAGCGTCACCTCGTTGGCGCCCTCCACGTCCACCCGCACGGACATCTGCAGCTCCGCGGGGCGCCGGACCAGCAGCGTCAACTTGGAGCCCACCTCGAACGTGTCAGGGCCGGAGATCTGGGGACAAAACGCGGCAAACGGGGAACCGATAAAAAAAAGAACTTTCGGCGCACGAGGCTTATCGTCCGGGCGATCTGGACGAGGTGCCGCTGCGTGAAATGTAATTGAACAACGCCCCCTTGTCAGTCCGAGCGGTCCGAGCGGTCCGCGCCCCCGCCCGGGCCGGCCTCCACAAGCACGCCCTTCTCAATAAGGGCGAGGCGTTTTGCCCGTTTTGCCGTGGCGCAGTATCCGCCATCGATCCACGTCACGCGCCACCGCCGCGCCGCCGCGATGAGCGTCGAAGCCCTCATTCCGGTCGGCGGTTGGGCGGTGGTGCGTGGCGGTCCAAGTTTAGGTAAACAAGTGCGAGACAGGTGGCTAGAACGCCATGGCGGGGCGTCGTCTGAGCTCCGCGGTGGCGGCTGCGTGGGCGGCGGCGTGCTGCGTGCTGGCCATCGACGGCGTGCTGTCGCCGCCCCTCTTGGGCGCGCCCCCGGAGGCCGCGTGCGCGCTGTCGCTGCTGCAGGGCCTGCTAGACCAAGGCCGAGACCCTCGCCTCTTCGTGATCGGCGACGCGCCCTGGCTCGGCGCGTTCCTTCGCCTGCGACCGGCCACGTCCTCGGTCATGCTGATGCACCAGGACACGTACCGCTGGCCGGAGCGCGACTGCGTGGAGTGCGACGGCCTGGCGCTCGTGGTGGCGGACACCCCCGTCGGCCTGATCCACGCCACTCCGGTCCTCGGCATACCCGTACTCATCCGCACCGTCTTGTGGACGTCCACGCCCCTCGGCTGGGACCTCATGGACAAGCTGTTCCTGGCTCTGGCTCCGAAGTGCCTCGCCAACACGCGACTGGTCCTCACCGCCTCCAACGGCATCACCTTCATCTACAGCAACCCGTGCTTCTGCACGGCCGACCCCGAGCGTGTGCGCGAGTTGGACCGGTGGGTGCCGCTGCGCGGCTGGCGTTCTGGGGGTCTTGAGGGCCCAGGGATCACAGTCCTGCCCCCTCCGTGCAGGGGCTGGCAGAGGCCGCCGGGCAACCGCCTCACGGCCTCAGTGAGCTCGTCCGAGATGACCAACGCGACGGGCCTCTTGAAGAAGATGCAGGCCTTGCTCCACGACTTCGGCAAGCACTTCAAGTACACCGTGGACGTGCGCTTCGAGTCGCCCTACGTGGCCATCAAGCGCGCCGTGCACTGCCGCATGGACCTCATGTCGTTCCCGCTGACGCTGATGCGCAGCGTGCACAACGGCCTGGCCAGCTTCCCCTGGGAGATGCAGTCCGTGTCCGTGGTGGTGCCGCGGCAGGCGCTGGCCGGCCGACACCACGGCTTCCTGGGCGTGCTGCGCGTCTTGGGCGCGCTCCCCATCGGACGCTGGTGCGCCGCGGGCGGCGCCGTCCTGGCCCTGGCCCTGGGCCTGCTGCGCTGCAGCGGGGACGCGGCGGCCGTGGAGGCGGTGGAGGCCGTGCTGCAGGCCTCGCGACTGGTGCTCATGCAGTCCGTGGGCAGAGGCAAACTCGTGCGGCGGCCGCTGCTGGTCTGCTGGCTCGTCCTGGGTTTCGTCACCACCGCGTCGTACCAGGGGGAGCTGCTCAGCCTCTTCACCGTGGCCCACCCGGCCGAGAACATCAACTCCGTCGCGGAGCTCGCCGCCAGCAACCTGACCGTCCTCCTCCGCAGTCCGGCGTACGCCAAAATCTTCCAGACGGACGCGCTGGGGCTGCGGGTCGGGTACACCTACAAGAACAACACGGCCGACGTCCTGGAGTACATCCGGGTGCACCGCAACGCCACCACGTTCCTCAACAAGGACGTGCTGGCGGACTTCGCGGAGCTGATCGTGGACAAGGAGCTGCACACGTTCACCATGCCGCTCAGCTCGGCGAGGACCTGGATGATGGCGATGGCGGGCTCGGCCCTGGAGCGCGACATGCGCAAGTTCCTGGGGCGCGGCCACGCGGCGGGGCTGACCCTCGAGCCCGTGGGGCTGTCCTACCACCCCGAGATAGCCTTGATGGACGCGGCCAAGCGCACCCGGTCGCGCAGGACGTGCGTCCGCGGGGTGAAGAGGCTCAGCCTCAGCCAGACACTGCCCGTGTTCGTCCTGCTGGCCGTGGGGCTCGCCTTCGCGACGCTGGCGCTGCTGGCCGAGATCCTGCACGCCTGGGTGACAAGGAGGAACGCCCCGAGGTTCGCGTTTCTGCTGTAGCTCCCTGGTGACCGTACTCACCTCCTCCAGGACGGGCCCCGGCACCAGCACGCTGTTGCCGCTGGAGGTGCGGGTGGCGGCGGACAGGCGGCCGCCGGCCGCGCCGCCCACGCCGACCGCGCTGCACGACGCCGCGCCGCAGAGCCCCACGAAGAGCCAGCCCTGGGCGCTGGACGGGCGCACCTCGACGCGGACCTCCTCGGCCACGGCCAGGCGGTAGCCGCGGTCCGCCAGGGCCCCTGCCGCGCCTGCCGGGCAGCCAAGCATTGACGTCACAGAACAGGTCGCATCGCAAGCTCCCCCGCCCCGCCCCGCCCCGCCCCGCCCCGCCAACGCGCAGCAAGGCAAGGTCGCGGGGAGCATGCCCACCTGCAGGCTTATTACTGAATCGCAGGAGCAAGTCAGTGGTGAGAACGTTTACAACGCCGCAGAGCAGCGAGAACACCGCGGCAAGAAGACGGGACATTAAGTCTGAAAATTAAGGCCCTTTTCCCTTTTTCTTTTGAGCCACTGCGAGGCGTCCTCACCCAGGTACTCGACGTTGCCGGCGTCGGTGGCGACTTTGAGGAACTTCCTGTCGCGCTCCAGCGGGATGGTGGCCTTCTTGGAGGGCGCGGGCTCCAGCCACACGTCCATCAGGGTCTCGGTGCGCCGGTGGACGATGAACCGCAGCGTCTGACCCCTGACGAAGCGGCGGGGGCCGCGCGTCTGCAAGCGGACAGGAAAGGTGTGGAAAATTCCGCCCCATTCGGGGCAAATTTGAGGTTGTGCTCGTCGGGGCGACGCGCGGCGCGCCGTGCGTTGACCTGGCTTACCTGGCTCTGCCACACCGCGCCGTCGCCCACCACACTGTTGCTGCTGGTCACCCTGGACGTGAAGCTGAAGCGGTTGTCTTCGGTCGCCCCGATGACCCCCACGGCGCTGCAGGACGCCTCGCCGCACAGCCCCAGGAACATCCAGCCCTCCTCCCGGGTCACGGTCAAGGCCAGGGTCACCATCTCGCCGACGGACACCTCGTGGCCCTCGCTCAGCACTGCGGCGTCAGAGTCGTTTCACACTCGTCGAGGCACAAGCAGGCGGACGAGACCGAGGAGGCGCTCACCTTGCACGAGGTTCACCGGCCCCACGGAGGACGCGGTCTTGAGGCGCGGGGCGGCGGCCAGGCCCGGGGGCAGGTCCACGACGGCCAGCTTGTCCTCACCGCCAGCCTCGTCCAGCCACACCTGCAGCTGCGCCTTGCCGCCGACGTCGGCGTGCTGCACGGCCAGGCGGACGGCGCGGCCGCGGGGGAAGCCCGCCGGCCCGCGCACCCTGGCAATGTCCCGGCCGTCGCCGGAGGGGTGGTTGGTGTCCGTGACGCGCGTGGAGTAGCTCAGGCCGGCGCCCGGCCGCACCCCCACGACCCTGACGACGCCGCACGACGCCGCGCCGCACAGCGCCACGGCCACCGCGCCGTCGGCCGCGTCCGCCGCCACCTCCAGCAGCACGCGCTTGCCGGGCTGCAGCGCGAAGCCGTCCGTCGCCTCGCCTGGGGGAGGAAGCGTGTTAGCGAAAGAGGCAGCGACGGCAAGTCGGGAGGCACCGCAAGTACGCACTGCGGAGGAAGGCCGTCTTCCCCGCGTCCGAGTCCACGATGAGGCGCTGGCGGTCCGGCTCCAGCGGCACGGTGGCCTTGTGCTCGGCGTCGCCCTCCAGCCACACGTCCAGGGCCCACTCCGTGCGCCGCAGCACCACGAACGAGAAGCTGCCGCCCACGGGGAAGGAGCCGGGCCCCGACGCCTGCAAGCACGCCGTCGACGCGTGAGTTAAGTCGGTGAGTTACCCAGTTAAGCACACTGTTAAGGGCGCCTCCACGCTGAGGGTCTTGCTCACCTGCTGCAGCGTCTGGCCGCGCTCCTCCGTCACGCTGTTGGTGGTCGTGATCCTGGACGACCAGCCCATGGTGTTGTCGTCCACGCCGGTGATCCTGACGACGCCGCAGCCGCGGTCGCCGCACAGCCCCACGTCGAGGAGGCCGTCGCGGGTCACGTCGAGGCGCACCACCACGCGCTCGCCCAGCGCCATGGGGTAGCCGTCGTGGCGGCTCTGGCCCTGCGCGAAGGTGACGTTGCCGGCGGCGGAGGACGCCCTGAGGAAGGCCATGCCGGGCTGCAGCGCGACGCTCGCCTTGTCGCCGGGCCGGCCGTCAAGCCACGCCGCCAGCTCGCCCGCCGAGCGCCGGTGCACCACCACGGTGTAGCGGCGGCCACTCGGCAGCATGGCGGAGCCGCCCGCCGGCGCCTGCAACCCCCAGGACACCATGTTGTCGAACGGGAACGATTAAAAGTTGTGTCCGCGTGCGCTCTGCTGCACTCACCCTGCTCACTACGCGAGCCCTGGGGTCCGCGACGTCCTCTGTCGAGGTGTAGCGGGTCTCGAAGCGCAAGCCGGACGAGTTGGTGGCGCCCAGGACGGCGATGACGGCGCAGCCCGCCGCCTCCGCGCACAGCCCCACGAACAGCTGGCCGCCGCGCACCGTGCTGAGCCGCACGCGCACCTGCTCGTCGACGGCCAGCGGGTACCCGTCTCCGGGCACGCCTGTGGAAAACAGTCAGGGTTCCGGCATCAACTTAAGTTAACAATAAACTTTTTTCTGGCTAAGACTTTTCCTGTTTGTTTAGTTTTTACAGATTAAAAGTTTAAGACGCACTTACTCCGCTCTTTGCGCCAACGGCCGGTGCTCCAGCCCGCACAGCCCTCCGTGGAGCAGGCTGGCAGGTAAGGCGCGGGTTCTGAAACACACGTCAACAATAATAACAACAATTACAAACACACACACACACATCCGTGACCCCTGCCCCCACGAGTGAGAGAGAGAGCAACGCGCCTACCGACACTCTGCTCATCGGCGTCCTGCGGCAGCACGTCCACGTCGCCCTGGGCGGCCAGTCCTGCGGAGGCCGAAGCGGACATTAATCGACTGCAAGTGGGAGGCCGAGAGGGACGAGTCTAGCGAGTGACTCACCTGAAGGCCGGCGCCACAGCGAGATGGCCGCCGTCGCCGCTGTAAAAACGAACAGTGTAGAGCACGCGAGTCCCGAAAGTGAGAGGGCAATTGCTGCACTGCTAGGTCACTCACGTCCGTCGCTGGGCGCGGCGGTGTCCCCTGCGTAGCACACCGGCGGCGTGATGGGCCTGGACGCCACCATCGCCGGCCTCGGCCTGGTCGTCGTCCGCCGGGGCGGTGGCGGCGTGGTGGTGGTCCTGCGAGGAGTGGTGCTTCTAGGCGTCGTGGTGGTGCTGGTGGTGGTCGTCCTCGGTGTCGTGGTGCTGGTGGTCGTCGTCGTCCTCGGGGTTGTGGTTCTGGGCCTAGTCGTAGTTCTCGGCGGCACCGTCGTAGTGAGCACCCTGTCGGGGAATTCGATCATCTCCTCCTCGGCTGGCGTGGTCGTCGTCGTCGTCGTCGTCTGTGGCTGCTGCCCCAACAGCTGCAGCATGTCGGTGGGCCGTCGGGTCGTTGGGCGAGTGGTTGACGGACTCGGAGGCCGCGTGGGTGGCGGACTCGTGGGCTCCGTGGGTGGCGGACTGGCGGGCAGCGGCGGCGTCTGCTCCGTCCACGGCCACTCCGGGATGCTCTCGGTGGTCGTCGTCGTGGTGGAAGGCCGCGGCCTGGGTGGCCTGCTGAAGCTTGACGCCCCGCCAGAGGCACCAGCGAACGGGGAGGCCCCGCTAAAGGACGAGGAACCATCGACGGAAGCAGAGCCGTCGAAGGAAGAGGATCCAACGGAGGAGGAGGATCCACCAGCTCCGCCAAACATAGAGGAGCCACCAGAAGAAGGAGATCCTTCTGAGGAAGACGAACCACCAGGTGTACCAAACATAAACGAGCCACCAGATGTAGATGGTCTGTCGGAGTTGGACGACTCTTCAGAGGTGGACGAACCACCAGGTAAAGTGCCAAACATGAAAGAGCCACCAGATGTAGATGGTCCATCGGAGGAAGAAGACGCAGAGGCACTAGACGAAGACGATCCACCGAACGCAGATGATCCGTCTGATGGAGGAGAGTCAGGCGTACCAGACGTAGGTGTTCCTCCAAAGGTAGATGAACCACCGGACGACGAAGGCCTTCCGAACACGGTCGATCCTCCTGACGTGGAGGGCGTATTGAAGGCAGAGGTTCCACTAGAGGCGGCGGACCCAGATGATGCACCTGAGTTGGGTTGCCCGCCGAAAGAAGGGGGCCTTGTAGGGGTGGACCCTGGTGACCCGTTGAACGTAGAGGACGCTCCGAACGACACGGAGCCAGCAAACGTCGCGAAGCCCCCGGACCCGGCCGGGGAGCCGCTACTGAACTGCGGCGGTGGCGGTGGCGGCGGTGGCGGGGTGGCTGCGTAGTTCACGCCGATGCAGCACACGTTGGGGACGAGGCCCTTGCCGCTGGAGAAGCCGCACACCTGGGGGAACACGAGCCGGTCCAGGTCGGCGTACACCGTGGGGCAGCTCGGCAGGTAGACGCACGTGCCCATCTTGCGGTGCCGCAGGTGGAAGCAAGCCTCGCCTGCGGAGCGAGAAAGCAGTCAGTCTCAAGCGGCCTCGGCCTTAAAAGAAACCAAATGAAGAGCAGGCGGCCCTACCTTCGTAGTGCATGGCGCCAATGTCGAAGGTGGCGTTGGCCTGGCCGATGACCCCCAGCAGCGCGCAGGAGAGGGTCAAGGCGGCAAGCACTGCGCCCACCACGCGCACGCACGCCTTGGACATGGCTCCCTCGCGTCGCTCCTCGCGACACTGGAAGTGGACCACATCATCGGCGCTCGGACCGTGGCCGGGGCGTGGCGTGGCGCGGCGGGGCGCGGCGGCCGGAGTCCCGCCGTCTGCTCCGCCGGCTACGCGGCACGGCGGCAGCGGCCGCATCGCCGCCCCGTCGCTTCCGCGCTGACCGGCACCTGGTCGCCGACCTCCGGGGTGTGGCGGTGAGGCGGCCTTGGCGGCCGAGGCGGCCTTGGCGCGGCTCCTGTCCTGGACTCGCGCGTCGTCGTCGTCCGTCGTCCGCCTACGCGTCGCCGGCCGTCGGGATGTGCGGGAATGTGCGGCCGTGTGTGGCGCTAGGTCGGGGTGACCTTATGTCCGCTTGCCGGCCAGTGGTGGACTGCCGCGGTGCGTCCGGGCGTGATGCGTGCGGACTGGGGTCCGCTCCGTCTCGCCGGGGTGGGGTGCTGATGATGCCGCGGCGTTGACCTATCGATACTAATTCCTCGTTAGGGCACTTCCAGCGCGGCTCGGAGCGAAAAGGAGGCGGGGGTCTGTTCGGCGCCAATCATGGCGGAAACTTTGTTTACTTCTGTCGGCGGAGCGGTGGGGACGGCACGGGCCTTCTTCATTCGGAGTCGCGGTTTTGTCTTTTGGCGCGAGTGTCAGCGGGAGGTTGGCCACACTGCGGAGGCGGAGCAACTGCCAAATAATCCAAAACGCGCGCGAGAGCGGTCACGCGCCGACCACGCGGACATATGGCGATGGCTGATGATGGTCCGTCGGGGCGGGCGGGATGCAGACTACGTCCAGACGAGATCCTGCACGCCCTGCTCGCCACTGCCGCGGCATGGCCAAGGCCCGCGGGGGGTGGGGGTGGGGGCAGTGGGAAGCGGCGGTCTATACCCCACGCGGAGCAACTTGTTTGGAAGGACGGTATTTAGACGCGCTCTTGCGCGTGGAGTAGCGCTGCCACCGCCACTCTAGTGGGTGATGCCCCGGGATGGGTTCTCCCGTCACGACCACGGCTTGCACTGCCGGCGCGCCGTCGGCGGACGTGTCTCGAGGCCTGCCGCTCACTGCCAGTGTACGAGATAGCACCTCAATGAGAGGCTGGAAGCGCAAAGTGGCGCGAAACGTGAAACTCGGGACACGTGTTACTCTGTGTTTTTTCCCGACAGAAAAAAACAAACAAAATCACGCAAACACGTAGGAGTTGCATCTTCAGTCACTACGTGGGCAGATAGGCCGACTACAGACAACAACACCGTCGATTCTCAGTCTTTATTCATTCTCAACAGCCTCAATAAATTAAACAACAAATTACAAGGAAGACGCCTCTGGGAAGGAATGAGCGATGAACGCCAGCGGACAGCTCATCCATTACTGCGTGCTTCAACAAAAATAAGAAACTCGCTCGCTTTCTTGGCAAGCAGTGGAGTGGGCGAGGTGCGGTCGAAGAGTCGCTCTGTCTCTCTCGCCTCCCTGGGGACCCAGCCGTGAGTGCGACAGAGACAGAGCGACGGCGCCGGGTGGGCCACCCTCTCGGTCGTGTCGCTACGAGCGGTGCCACACGGTGTCCTCGATCCAGGGCAGGTAGTGCGACACGCGGGTGTAGACGCCGGGCGTGTTGAAGCCGCAGAACTGGCCGAAGGACACGACGCCCACCACGTGGAACATGCAGTACGGGTCGGTGGGGAAGAGCTGCAGCGGGCCGCCGGAGTCGCCCTGCGGACGGGAAGCACGCGGACGTCAGAACGTCAGGCAGACCGAGTTACTCAGTGAACCAGAGGGTTGCCTACACCGTACTTGCCTCGCACGAATCCCGGCCCGGCGAGCCGGCGCAGACGTGGCTGTCCAGGATGCCCTGCGGGATGCCGTTGCCGGTCTTGCCGTAGGCCTTCTTGCAGGCGGCCAGCGGCGTCATGTCCAGGCTGACGGTCATGAGCACGCTGCTCTGCTCGCCGTCTGCAAGTCACCCAAAGCCGTTACCACTTCGTTCATCGTCGGCGAGGTGCGGTCAACGGGCAACACGCTCACCCCACTCCGTGAGCCCCCAGCCCGTGGCGGTGGCCTTCTTGTGGTTGCTCTCGACGCCGGGCTCGGCGCTGAGGCAGGCGGGCCGCGCGAAGCCCTCCTCGAAGACGGCGTCCTTGGCCAGGCGCAGCAGCGCGATGTCGTGGTACTTGGAGGGCGGCTTGTACTCGGGGTGCTTGATGCGCTCGGCCACGGCGATGAGCTGCGGCCGCGCGCCCTCGTGGGGCTTCTCGGTGCGCAGGCGCGCCCCCAGCACCACCCACTTGACGGGCGAGGTGGCGCTGCAAGCATCGGCATCAGGTACTCGGGGGCCACAAGAAGTATTTTTGAAAAATTAGCCAGGGTGCTGTGCGCAAGCAGAGCGTGCCGCCGAGGTGATGTGATCGAGTGCTGTGAATGCGCGAATGCCGTACCTGTAGACGCAGTGCGCGGCCGTGAGCACGAAGCGCGGCGAGATGACGGTGCCGCCGCACAGGTACTGGATGCTGCCCTTCTCGCCGTAGCCTAGCATCGCCTGCGGCAAGGAAGACACATCGTTGAAAAGGCGGTCGCCGCCGTCCGAGCGCCCGCGAAAGTCGGGGTAGGCAACCAGGCCGCACCGCCGCTCGACGGGACGGCCTACCTCGCAGGCGCTCCGAGCGGCGAGGCTGCAGAGGCCTGGCCTAGCCCTGGCAGGGCGAGCTCACCATGTGCGGGTACTCCTTGGCGCGGGCCTCGCGGCCACCCACGATCAGCTGGTCCGTCTTGTTCTGCGACTCGCAGTAGTCCACGAAGGTGATCTCGTCGAAGGGGAAGGTGACGTGCTTGCTGGCGCACGTGTAGCGCGCGTACCGCCGGCACACTGCGAACAAGTGCACGTCCGTCAACCAGCGCAGCAGAGTGTTACGCCACTGGTAATTTCGTCGCGTGAGACAATCAATCCTCCTTGCAGGAAACACAGCCCCAGTCGAGAAATTCTTTAGCGGTACTCGTTAGCACTCACTGTTCCTGGCGGTGTCCCCGGGCTTCCTCGCCGGCCCGGACGACGCCGCCGCCGCCGCGTCGGCCTTGTCCGCGTCGGCCAGCGCGCGGAGGCAGGGCTGCGCCGTGTCCGCGGCGCCGGGGTTGGCGGCCAGGATGACGGCGGGGGCGGGGGGCGGCGTGGGGCCGTCCGAGGGGCAGCACACTGTGGGCACGGAGTCGCCGCGCTTGAAGGCGCACTGCTGGCGCTGCGTCGTCGTGGTGCAGTCCGAGAGCTGTCGGCACGTCCCGCCTCGCTTCGCCTTGCGGTGGAAGCACGTGTCTCCTGGAAGCGCCGCAGCCAGAGTGAGTGTGAGTGAGCACGAACCAACACTCGGCACCGCCACCGCCGGCCTACCTTCCTTGCCGGCCACCAGGGCGACCGCCAGGACGACCAGCATCACGACGGCCGGCGTCGTCGACATCCCTGAGGGCCTCATGTGCCGCGGCGTGGCGTGGCGGCGTGGCGTGGCGGCGTGGCGCGCAGCCTTGGTGGACGGCCGGACACTGGACGGGCCTCGGCCGCGACCGCCGCCTCGAACGCCTCGGCTCAAGCAGGACGAGTCCCAGTGGCGGTACCGCGTACCTCCGCGCCGCAGCGCCACTGGAAGAGGGAGGGCGGGGGGAGGGGGGGGGGTGCAGCGATCTCACCCGACGCGTTGGCGAGCCGCGGCGGCGTGACACGATCCGGGAAACCCCCTCGGCCTCAGTGCTCACTGCGTTACCCAAATCTCTCCTTTACCGTTACCGTTGTTCGCGCGGTCGAAATCCGGGGTGGGGCAACAAGCCCCGGGCGAACTGGCCGAACGGACGACGAGGCCTTATGGCCTTATGCCCTTATCGCCGTTGACCCAATTAACAACCTCTATTTTTGTTTACAAACAGGGAAACAGTAAGCAGTGTTCTCAAATCTTGGGTTCTGCCCCAGAACTGGTGCCTTTTTTCCGCGTTAAGCTGTAGAGAATTTTTCCCCGGTCTGTTTTTCTGTGTTTATTACGAGTGATGAGCTTGTGACGTCAATAGGACTTGGCTGCGCAGTGCCAGGGCCTCCTGGCAGTCTGCGATCCAGCATGGGAACTCCGGATGAATGCCTAGCCGAGAGGTTGTGGTCGAAGCCTGGACACTGTGGTAAATCACATCGGAGAAGGGCGTAAACATCCCAGAAACATCGACGTCTTTGCGTAAAATTATGAACAATTTTCGTCCTTGTTGACGCTGTTTCGGAGATCCTTTTTTTGGACGAGCTCGAAAGTTCCATCAAGTTTTTAATTTGAATTGTGTTAAGCTTCATTCGGTGCAATGTGCCGTGCTGTAGGCCTCCTGGAGTTGACTGTACTCGCTGTCGACTGTACGCACACGCGGCCCGGGCGGCCTATGTGTGCGGCGTGGGCTGGGCGGCGGGGCCCCTATGGCGGGGCGGCGCATCCCTGTCCAGGACTCGGCCTCGGTTCAGTCCGAACACAGCCGAACGACGGCCCGACTCGACACAGCCCACCTCCCCCCTCCCTGCGGTGGTAATGCCGCGCCTGGGAGCCAGGCAGCCCGCCCCGCCCCGCCCCGCCCCGCTGGTGAGCCGAGCGACGCGCGCAGGGCGGGGCGGGGCGGGGCGGGGCGGCCCGGTTCCCGCAATACAACGCATGCAGAGCAAGGCGGGCAAGGCAGAGCCCCGCAGAGCAATACAGAGAGACCTCTCCCTCGGTGCTGAGCGCCTGGTACCAGTGCGTGGTAGCGCGGTGCGTGATGGGCCTGGATGGGCCGGATGGGCCCGGAGCACTCACGAATCCCAGTCCGAAAAGGCCGCCACGGTCCAGCCGGTCGCACTCCAGCCTCACACCTTGCGCTCGGCGGGTCTGTCCAGAAAAACGCGGATATTCGCGTGAACTCGCAGACTGAGAACATTACACTGTTAGTGCAGGCGTAAGCGGATGGGAAGTAGTCGCGTGCCAGGCACTGTGCAGGCACTTCTAGTCACTTGCAGGCACGTTCCAGGCACGGGCCGAGTTTGACACGCTCTGCCTCTACGGAACGGGGTCTTTACGCCAGCAAAACAAGCCGTTTGCTTTGGTGTTGATCAGAGTGTGTAATCTTCATTGATTTTGTCGTCCGCGAAAGGACGATGAACCCAACTCCCCGAGTGGTGTTGTCGGTGCCTCGTCCGCGCCTCCTGCTCCCACCGCACGCTTCCACCGCCTCCACCGCGGCCGACGCCGTCGGATGGGTTGCCTACCCAGCGGGCGGTGACTGGCAGGGCATCCAGTCTCGCGAAGACTCTCTCTCTATTTCCGTTACAATGAAGTCACCGCGCACAGTCGAATCTCCCATCTGACATTCGCCACTCGAGTTTCTGGCTGCGATAACAACAGTGTTGATTGGACTTTGGGTATCTATCAGCAGGCGCTGGGTGCATTCACTCCTGACACGCAGCTGCCCGGCGATTGATAAGACGAACTACCCTGTCGAATCAACAGTCCTGCCTGTGCTCGACAGACGACAAGCCAGTGGCGGGAGCGGGAAACTGGGGTAAAGAACCAGCTGCACCCTGACTCATGGCATAGCCAGGTTTGTAAATCCAAGATGAGAGGGAAAATCGGTGCAGCAACAATGTTATGCAACAAAGATAACGGGTTGTGTCGACGAATTCGATAATCTCCGTGGAAACATCTTATCTCGACTCCAAATCGTAGAAGATGAGAAAAAAGCGCTTCTTCACGTACTCCTGCAATCTCAGCCATTCAGTTTGCTGGGTGCGCCTGGACGTCCTACACCATAAGCCGTAGGTCTGTTGTTTTTGGACTGTTACTGCCAGTATTTGAAATTTTTTAAACAAACTAGAGTTGTTTTCATTTGATAAAATCTGCAGTAGTATTTGACCATCGACTGAGGTTGTGCGTGAATCTAATTGGAAAAGGGTTTGGTGCAGTCATGGCTCCTCCGGGCCCGCTCGTCCTGTGCGGGGTGCTGCTCTGCGCCCACGCCCTGCAGGCCAGCATCCTGTCCGGGCAGTCCGGGCGGCTGGCCGTCGAGGACACCGCCAACGAGGAGTACGCCGTCCCCAAGGACCTGCTGATCGGGGCGGGCATTTCCGCCCTCCAGACGGAGGGGGCCTGGAACGAGGAGGGTAAGCGGCTCTGTCTCTCTCGCACCCCCAGCGGCGCACCGGACCCGCCCCGTGAGTGCGAGAGAGACAGAGCGTTGGCGGTGTGCGCAGGCCGGGGCGAGAGCGCGGCCGACCACCTCCTGCACGAGGGCAAGCTGTTCCCCGGGGGGCCGCAGCACGCCCACGACCAGGCCGCCGACTCGTACCACCGCTACAAGGACGACATCGCCATGGCCGTGGCCCTCAAGGTCAGCCAGCGAAGCGAGCAGCCACTCTGTCTCTCTCGCACCCCCGCCAAACGCCCCGCCTCACTCCCTCCGTCTCTGTCCAGCTCAAGCTGTTCCGCTTCTCCTTCTCGTGGACCCGCCTGCTTCCGACTGCCGACGTCTCCAAGCCAAACCAGCAGGGAGTGGATCACTACCACCAGTTGATTGATGAGATAATCAAGAACGGGATGACACCCATGGTGAGTGCAGTGCCAGCTTAAAAAAAATCAACCTGAATTTTGACAGTGTAGTGCGTACAGTTGTTTCCTTCCTAGGCCACACTGTACCACTTCGACCACCCTCAAATCCTGGAGGCATCGTTCGGCGGCTGGGTGGGAGAGCAGATGGTGGACAAATTTGAAGAGTACGCTCGCTTCGTGTTCCAAGAGTACGGCAAAAAGGTAATGGTCGTGCCTCTAGAAGTCCCCGTTGCTGTCGCTCCCCAGAACGATTCGCAGAACGCGTTCCTCTTCGCTGTCCAGGTCAAGCATTGGGTCACCATCAACGAGCCCAACGTGTACTGCACGTACTTCGTGCTGGCCTTCTCCGGGGACCTGACCCACCAGACGACCAAGGAGAGGTTCAAGTGCATCCGGAACAACATTCTCGGTCACGCCAAGGCCTACCACGCCTTCAAGGACCTCAAGCTCGAAGGTGCGCCATTTTATATTTTTTTACTTTACCTCCGAAGGGTTCCCTTTTTCACCATGCAACTTCCGGTACAACTTTGAGAATTGGTGCTCTGTTGGCAGGCGTGGTCGGCTTCAGCGCGCACACCATCCACGCCACGCCCGCTTCCACCCTGCCCGAGGACGTGTACGCCGCCGACGCCTTCAACCAGTTCCAGTCCGGGTCCACGCTGCAGCCCGTGGTGACCGGGGACTACCCGCAGGTCGGTCAGCGGCTGGCCAGCAGACTGATTCCGCCCAAGCCCAAGTCACGCGCTGGCGTTCACCGACGACAATGTCTCTGTTTTTAGATCGTGAAGGATCTGGGCGCCGAGGCGGTGGTTCCCTTCACCGAGGACGAGCAGGCGCTCATCCGAAGTACGTACTGCTGCACTGCCTGTCACTCTCGCCTGTCGCACCCTTACCGGACGCCAGAGGCAACCGCTTAAGTCCACTTCCTCCGTCGCGCTTTCAGACACCGCGGACTTCATGGGTCTGAACGTGTACTACAGCATGACGGCCACGTACAACGCGAGCCAGAGCGACGACAGCGCCAACGTGCCCATCTTCGCCCCGGGCAAGCTGGGCCTCGAGTTCATCCCCTTCGTCCAGACCAAGAGCAACATCAAGGGGGACATGACTCAGCTGTATTCGGAGGTAACGCGGACGGCGTCTCATTTTCGTGGAGCGAACGAAGCGTGCCTTCTAACGACAGTCCTGGCTCTCCCGCAGGTGACTCCGGACGCGCTGGAGAGCGTCATGCTCTGGACCTGGCAGAGCTACAAGGTGCCGATCTTCATCACGGAGAACGGCTTCGCGGACGTGGAGAACCTCGGGCTGAGGGACGGTCGCCGCGCCGTCTACCACAGCGTGAGTCAAATGCATGAGCTGGAGTCGGTTCCACAATGGAACAGTTTAATTTTCCGCGTGTTGAACAGGCCTACCTTCGCACACTCATCAAGACGATGAAGGCATTCGACGTGCCCGTCCTGGGGTACTGCGCCTGGAGTCTCGTCGACGCCTACGAGTGGAGCGCCAACTTCGGGTGAGTGTTCCAGAGGGAGCGGCAGACCTGTGCATCGTGTTCGGAAAGGTGTCACCGTGCGGCGCTTCGGCCTTTGCAGGCGGAGGTTCGGCCTGGTCCACGTCGACTACGAAGGCGGCACGCTGGAACGCAGCCTCAAGGACTCCAAGGACTTCTGGATCACCATGGCGGACACGGGCGTCGTCCCGCTCGTCTCCTCGGCCAGCGGCCAGTGCGTCTCCACCCTCGCGGTCCTGGTGGCGGCGGCCGCGTCGCTCTACACTCAAAGGCTATAGAATCGGAGCAATAAAGAAACCTTTCGAAAAGAAGTGCGATAACTCGTCGGCTGCCTGTAGCGCCTGCGAGGTAGACAACCCTCCCGTCCCGCAACACACGGGTGAGGAGACGGTGGCCTAACTTGCCCCTCTTCACCCCCCCCCCCCCGGTTATGGTTTGAGTGATTACTTGTCGACACTCGATTAGTCATATTTTAGGCAAGGCCGAACATAGGGTTGGTCCCTAAGTTGCCAGTAGGCACCTCAAGACTTTGGTAAAACTGGGTAAGGAAATCCTGCTTGGAAAAAAAACCTCATATGGCAATGAACGGTTTATTAACATTCTCTAGATAACTTTACATTATCATAGACTCAGTGATACATAGTTGATGAATAGCGTTGTTCAAAGTGACTGGGGTTTCTGACCATGGGGAGACAGGGCCGTGCCAGTGTGTGCTTGGCCTCACTACTTTTTGGCATCAGAATCTGCCCATTTCATAAACAATATACATGTAAATACAATTAAGTTACACTACTACTCCTCCAGCTAGGAAGACTAGCGAAATAAAACTTTGTATAAATAATAATAATAATAATAGAATGTCCAATGCTAACAGAATATCACAAGTTTGTTGTAACTCTCCACGCGGTCTGAATGTATTCAATACAGTGGCTTGCTGTGAAGCACGCAGGACTACTCCCTGAAGCAAACAACTTGGGTATGTGATAAGAATACATAGTACAAAAGGTACATAATCTGCTGTTAGTTATGGTTACCTTTTATGGGAAATAAAAACTTTTGTATTAAAAAGGTAAATCACAGATTATGGATTCAAGTAAACAATACTGCTGACACACAAATTTCGACGAACGTTGGCAACAAGATAACAATTATTTGACTTGTTTGACATTCTCTCTTTCTTTGTTTATTTTTTGGCGGAGGCCAGGATCAGTGTGTGTGAGATACACTGCAGGTAGACACATTCATAAAAGAAATTGATATGGCTTAAAACTGTTTTCACACAACTTACATAATTCTGATCCAGCCTTCCACATTAACAACGACAAAGAAAGGAGTTTCAATTAACTTGAATTTCAAGGACCACAGCCCATCATAAATACATTGACATAGTTGTCAAAAGCAAAATATATATTCAATTTGATCCTATATCTATCTTTTAATTGAAAAATCTATGTAAGTAGCACAAAAATAATACATTATAAAATTCAATATGCCATCAAAGAACAACATTTGTTTTCTCAAAAGAATTATTGGAAAATGATGGCAAAAAGGTAGACAGGACAAGTGGCTGACCCATGATAACAGATGTTCAGGAAAGAGTTAAATACTTATGATATATATTAAGTGAATCAGGTACATGGTGATCAGTGAAGTGAGAATTTCAAATTGGTGTTTGAAAGCAGACCCAAAAAAGAACACCTGTTGAATAGTGATCACTATATCATGGAATGATGCAACGCCACCACACGATGTACCGGCGACCAAACAAGATGTCATGATAAAAATACTGTACAATAACATCCATCACTTTTTGCTGGTTGTTTTTGCTGATAATCTTGCAATTTCTGCACCAAGAGTGTCAATGTTCTCCTAAAGCAAACAAGAATACCATAAATTTATAACTCTTTAATAGTGAAAAGATTGTTATGATAAAATGGAATGCAAGGGCATGGTGTACCTTCAGAGTAATATTCTTCAAAAGAGTGTCTTCTAAAACAGCCTGAAGTTTACGATTGATCTCCATGGACAACTCTGCTGACATGGTTTCATCGGTTTTTGATCCATACATGCTGGCCATTATACCTGATTTCTTTGCAAGATCAGCCTGAAGAAAAACAATAATAATTAAAGGTCACTTGTAATAAAATAAGCAATGGTCATTCAAGAACACAACAGTCAGTACTACATATCAGCTACACAAAGCTACCCATAAGAATTAAGTCACACCCGTTACCTGCTTAGGCTTAGAAAATCCAGCAATAGCATGCTGCATGTACATAAAAGGAGATGAAGAGGGTTTAGAGTTATGTTAGGGTTTGTTAGCTCTTTTGTGGTTTGTAATATGAGGGAAGCATACCTTGTTCTGATCCATAGATTCAGATGAGAGAGCTCCTGCTGGCATCTTCATGACAAAATTCTGGATAAGTCTTGTTTTCTTCTGGAGTTCACTCACCAAGACTTGTGCGTGCTCCTCCATGAAATCTAACTTTTCTGCTTTCTTAGCATTTTCTTTCTGTAGTTTAACTAGACGCTCAATAAGTACATGTTTGTCTGGCTCCTAGAAATCAAAACAAGAACAAAATTGAGTTGGAAATACAAAATGTAATTAGGCTCAAGGGAAAAACTTTTGATCATACTTGTCCATTTGGAAATACAATTGGGGGAAGGATAGGAGATGGCGAAGGTTCACAGACAGTATTGATGGATGAGCTAGATGAAGTACGAGAGCCTTGAGCAATTGACGTGCTGCTATTACTACTGTGGTGACTGCTACTTGCACTGTTCTCTGCTATCTCTTGACGTTTGCGTGACTGTTGAATTTCTCTGGTCAATTCACGTATAGAGGCAGCATGTTTCCTTTTAAGCACTTCAATTTCACCCTGTGAGTCTTCAAGCTGTTGTTGAGTCTGTTCCAGACGATGAGTGCTCTCTGCCAGATGGCGGGCTAGGATAGAATTCTCTTCCTGACGCAATTTCTGTTCTTCTTCTAACCCCTTAGTAAGGGATTGAACCTTGGTTTCTGCTTCTGTCAGTCTTCTTGTCAGGGGTTGTTGTTCACCTTCAAGCATTTGAGCCTGTAAGTACAGAACAAAATATAATAATTGGCCATTAAAAAAAAAAATGAAATAAATCACTATGTCCATTTATACAGAATGAATACTAACTTTTGCTTCTAGAGCTGAAAATTCAGATTGGAGACGCACATTCTTCTCTGTAAGTTTTTGAGTGAAATCTAACAACTCTGCCTCTCTTTCCCGACATGCTGCAGCATCTTGCTGGAGTTCAACATTCGTTTGTCTCAGTCGCTCCATTTCATTGCGGCATGTGGAAAGCTGGTCCTCATTGCTGGAAAATATTTTTTTCATATCAAAACATTAACTAAGACGACTATAAACCATTAGTATGCGACACAAAATTTAATGATAGCTTACTGTTGGAGCTGTGCTCGCAAAGACTCCATTCCCACAAGTTTTTCTCTCAAATCTGCAACTTCCTGGTGATGCTTGTCACTTTCCTGCTTCAAGCGTGACAATCTTTGGTCTCCATCTAATCTATCCTTCTCTAGAGTTTGCACCTAAAATTTTAAAAAATAAATAAATAAAAATGTACCTATTAATCATGATTTTTACAGGGCTCAGAGGGAGAGAGTATGCTTGAAATAAAATACATTGGCAATACCTTCAAAGACAACTGATTATTCTCGCTAATAAGAGCTTGCTGTTTGGCTTTTAAGGAGTCTACCTCTGCCTGCATCTGCTTCAATGTGACTTCAGTATCGGCTCTTCCATGCCTCTCCAAAATAAGTTTCGCATGCTGTTCACGTAGTTGATGGTCTAAAAAATAATAATAGCAGACATACTTGAACTAGATTGACTCAAGAAGCAGAACAGGTTTAGATTATAAGCCTGAGATCCTTACCAAGTGATACAGCTTTGTTTTCTTCAGAGACTTGAAATGACTTGATGGCATTTTGAGCGTCCTTATGAGACTGTTCAGCTTCTAATCTAGCTTCTTCTAGCTTTCTGATAAGATCTGTAATTCTTTGTTCAGCTTCCTGTGCACAACAAAAACAACAACAAAAAAAAATCATTCACGATTCAATTTCATCTTTACAAATGAAAAGTTTCAACTTTACTCACCTTTTTGCTCTCAGATTCCATTTTTAATTTATTCTGAGTCCACTTCAAATCCTCTTTTAGTCTCTGATTCTCTCTGTTCACAATGCTAAACTCTTGTCCCTAAAAGATTGCAGAAAAATGAACAGTCAAGAGGGTTCAGAAAATGGGTGAGTACGTAAACAAGTAGTACTAAGAGAGAATACACACTTTTGTTTCCAGTGCATTGTTTGCCTTTTCTTTCTCAGATTGCACTGTTTTCAATCGATCTGAAAGCAGATCCCTAGCTTTATTAGCTTCTCTCAATCGCCGTTCTGCAAGTTCCAGATCTTTTCTTACAGTGATTACAGATTTTTCGCTCATAGCATATTTAACAACCATTCCCTCCTTGTCTTTGTTCGCTGCTTCGTAGAGCTGGGTTTTCTGCAACATAGGTCCTCATGATTCTCAGTGATCAACTTGAAACAACATGTATGGTTGCATGAAGAAATATTATGATAACTAATTGTTATAATAATCATAATTACTTTCTCTAAGTCAGTTTTGAGTTGGGTAATGGTTTGAGTTGCAGTACTTTCTTGAAGCTCCAAACGAGATCTTTCATAAGCAAGCGCACGCTCAAGTCCTTGAACTTCTGTGTAATGATCATCTCTAAACTTCTCAGAGGCAAGTTTAAATCTTCAAAAATTTAAAAAACAAATCAATTGAAAACCAAACTTAAAAAAAAGTGGAAAACACAGAGGAAAAAACAACAACGTACTTGGACAGTTGATATTGCAGACTTTGTATGAACTCTGCAAGTGTCAGGTGTGATTCATGCGCTGGGGAATCTTCTTCAGCAGGAGTATCAATACCATTCACACCATTTTCTTTTTGCTTTTTAATGCCAAAGCCCAGACTTGTGAGAACCTTGTTTAATTCTAACAGAATGCATTTCTCAACTTCACTATTGTGAAGAGGACTTGTTTCTTCTGAGCTTGGCACCGACAGAGATGTTGAGGAGCAAGGTGTCACTTGGCAAAGGTCACTCTCTACTGAGGTCCTGGAAATATCCTCAGCACTTGCATCATTTCGCTCAAAAGTTAGTTCAAAACCATCATTCTGGTTATTAATCTTTTCATCAGAAAATGTCTGATCTCCTGTGCTATCTGATACACTGGAATTATCAGTTTCAGGCACTTCTTTGTTTGACAAACTCGGCTCGGTAGATATTTCCAACTTCGGAAGGGGCATGCAATTCTCTGTAGTGATTGGATGATCTAGAGCTGGGATCAAGTCATTTAAGATGTCTCCCTTAGCTCTAACAGAGCCATTGATTTCTGATGGTTTGTCATTCAGCGTGTCAAATTTTATGTCTTGGGATAAGGCACATGCGATAGGAGACGATGAAGGAGGTGGTGTTTCTTCGTTGCCCTCACATTTTTCAGCATTTGATTGCACCATTTTGGTATGATCTTTGTGTGTCTTATTGAGATCACAGCTTTTTTCTCCCAAGCTCACATCTATGAAGTGAGGAGTACTTTCTAATTCTTCCATGATTTACTAACTGCAAAATTACCCTGTACAAGGAAATAAAGGGAGCATACATTATAACGTAGATAGGATGAGCCTCCTCTGAACTTGAAGATGTCATGAGGTTCTTTTAGAATAAATGAAGTATCAAAATGAGAAGGCCGTTCAAGGATTCTCACCTTTCAGTAGACAGAGATCTGTATTGTTGATGCAAACAGTGGCAATGATCAAGCCAGCAAGTTTTCATACAATCAATCACTGCAAATACCAACTGCTGATGGCTAGTAGTCGATGGTGCCATTTTATCGTTGGCATGACAGTAATAGGTGTAAGCACATTAACTGTCAAGCTGTTAACATTTGACACAAATGTCAAATAACACCTTAACCTGTACTGTGACGTATCGCGTTTCTGACCTATATATAAAGAGGTTAGTTATTTCTTGAGGGATTGGATACATTTATCCAGGTTGAAGCACGAGTTTGACACAAGTACTGAACACTGGTAATCTGACATATAATTGGTTCAAACTCATTCAAATTGTGTTTATGAAAGTAAGGTGCTTTACCAGAGGGAAGAAGGGGAGGAATGCTGCTGTTCCGGTCGCAGCATAACAAACAGACGACATATTCGTTTTAAACATTAGGGCCACTGTTGGTCACCATATTGACTGGAAGTGCTAAAAAGACATTGTTCATGAGCATAAACCACATTCTCCTGATGATTAAATGCCTTGTATTTCCCGAACAAAGACTTCCAGCTGTCCCTTAACCTATCTGTCGTCTGCTTGTTGTGGTGACCGAACGGAAACCCTTCTTCATCTTCTTCTTCATCCTAGAGAAAAAAATAAACAAAACAAAAAAAACAACCCAAAAAAAAAGTCATGAGTGTGTTGTTACAAGTTCATTGTTTGTAGGTACATGTTCAAGTTGCGTTCGCGTTGTTCGGCCTAAATCATATATACTGCGATGACAACCGAGAAACCTAATTGGAACCAACACGATTTGAGGAAATATGATTTTCCTCTGGATGACATTCCTAGGCTGAATTGTATGGACCCACAAGTAGATGAACTTATTAGACTGAAGGTTAGTGTTGTCCTTTAATTGTTATTTTTAAAATGTCTGTCGGTTCATGATTTTATTCTACCCCTTGAATTTTAAATCATTAGCTTGAAATTGCTGATTGTGAATCTGAGCGCTGAATCATTTTTCCCGGTGTCTTACAGAAACCAGTAGTGTTGACGGGATCTAATCTCGTTGGTGCTGCATCTAAATGGAATCTAGACTACTTAGAAGAAAACATGGGCAATGGAGATTTTACCATATTTGTGAGCGATAGGAACCAATTTAAGTTTTTCGATGAAAAGAAACTTGCGGAGATTGCGTCTGTAACTGGAGCTCATGTAAAGGACAGATCGAAGAAGGAGTATGAGAGACCTGCGAAAAGCACTACAATGAAAATTCGAGAGTTTGCCAGACGGGTTAAAGAGTGGAAAGACGGCGATGAGAGGTAAGAAAAACCTTTTAATTTACGGGAAGTAAAAAGTTGAACCAGTTGGTCTTACACATTATCAAGAATGTCAATGTCAATCGAATTCATGAACCTCTGACAGGATGTATCTTCAGCAAGCCTTAAACAGCACTTCTGGAGCTGGTGTGGTTCAAGATTTCATTCGGTTCCGCTGGGATTGGGTGACAGTTAAACAGAAGCTGCATAATTGGGGAAAACTTACCTATAATTTGCTTCTCATTGGTTTGGAAGGTTACAACAAGCATTTACCTATCTTACTCATGTGTTTGTTAGTCTTGTCACTTGTTTTCATGGTACCTTGGTTTATTTCTTTACCAGGCAATGTGACCCCCTGTCATTATGATGAGCAGGAGAACCTCTTTGCCCAAATACACGGCCACAAAAGATGCATTCTCTTTCCTCCGGAACAGTTTGAATGTTTGTACCCTCATCCTGTTTGGCATCCACATGATCGCCAAAGTCAGGTACTGCACTGGCTGGAATTATACACCTTTATCTCATGTAACTTTTAAAAAAAAATTATGCACAAAGTTACACCCATGGGCATTTTAATTTTCAGGTTGATTTAACTGACATAGATTACAGTCGATTTCCAAAGGCTCAAAATTTGCATGGAGTTGAAACCGTTGTTGGTCCAGGAGATGTACTCTACATTCCAATCTACTGGTGGCATCACATAGAGTCTGTGAAACCTGAAAAGTATTCAGTGTCTTTAAACTTTTGGTACAAGGTAATTATGTTCTCAATCTCATTTTGGAAAAAAAGTGTGTGGAGAACATTTAAGTTTGCATTCATCCCTTTTATTTTCGTTCTCTCTTTCAGGCAGGTCCTGTTGGCCAGGTGGAATATCCTATAAAGGGCTATCAGAAGGTTGCAATCATGCGAAATGTTGAGAAAATGCTTGCGGAAGCAATGCAAGATCCTGAAGAGGTGGGGACTCTGTTAAGGACCATGGTCAATGGTCGTTTTTAGTTTTGACATTGAGCTTTCTTGTTTGTTGTTTTTGTTGTTGCATTCATCTGTACTGTAATCAATATTGAAGACTGCACAGGAAAATGGTTTGACGTGTGATGAAATTTTAAAACCATCTGTTAAGTTGGGTTTAGCTGTTGTCCTCATCTATTGTCTCAAGAGATTTGCACTAGTCCACATTGAAAACATTGGTTTAAGCATAATCAGAGATAAATTAATGAATTCTACCTTACATGTATTGAGTTGACCCCTATTTTTAGGGTACTGTACTTAATTACTAGATCCTGTTAGGTATTTTTGTACACTATTTTTCTCTTTTAGTCTATTATTTTAAGTACTATTTTTACAGTCTGTGATAAAATATTTCCTGCTTGTGTATTGTATTTGTCATATGTCTATTTATTTTATTTCACAATGGGCACTTGTTTTCATGCACCATTAGTGGAAAATGGATTGACCTGTATGCTACTCTGTGTGGAAGGGATCTTTTCTTGTTAACCCTTTCATGTAGTTTTGTGCAGCAGGGTCATTTTCTTTGAAACTGATGCTACATGTCTGTGTAAGATGTCTTATGTGCAGCCAGGAGTTTTAAAATGAGTTGATGGCCATGATCACATTATTGCTTCATTTATAGATCCCTTTCTGTAGCTATGAGAATAGAGAGCTCTGATGAGCAAGAGGTACACTCAAACAAGATACATAAGTTAGTGCAGCTTTATTTAGGTAAACATAGCCTAAATGAGCTAAAGATCGTGCCTAATAAAATTTCAATAAGAAACTTAAATGAAAATCAAATTAAATGTACATTGTCATTTGCGGAATCTCTTTCATTTTCTTTAGTACTTTTAAAGTGGTAAAAGAAATTGGGCAGGGGGGCAAGGATTAAGATGCGAAAGCTAACTTGATACATAAATAAATAACATTACAGTACTATGGGGAAAGTAGGCTTGATAGCTTGTGCATGCAAACCCTCTCAGTTCATCAAAATTCTTGTCTACTTCACATTTAAAATATCTAGTGGGATTGAACCTTCAAATACCACCTGAACATGTAAAGGATGAAACTATTTATTGCCTCTATAAAAATGTATAAATTTCATAAAAAGCATAATTTAACACGGGTAAAAGCATTGCTTCCATTAAACACATCAAGCTGAACTAGATACAGCAATAAGAACAAAAAGTAAGACCCTCATTTCAGACTTGATACAAACATTCATCACAATTGAAAGAAATAGTCTAGATGACTAACACTCATGCACTGTTGCACAAGACTGAAACCAAGCAATGGAGAAGAAATAACATTAGGAAAAACTATAGTACTTAATAAATCAGTACCTATCACTAGCAGATTCCATTTATGAGTTGATTTAAAAAATACATCACATATGATAACATTAAACATTTAAACTAGAACAGAAGCCCACATGGTAAGTGTCGAGCAGTTACAGTGAAATCATAACGTAAAAAAATAGGAGAATCATTACTTAACTGGTCCTAAAAAAAAAAATAGAACAGTCTGCTACACTAACTAAATTGATTGAAGAATTTTAAAACCATCTAGGCATTAAAATAGAATTAGCACAAGACATTTTCAGTAAAAATAAAAGTGGAGGAAAATAATACATGGACTACTCTCAGTGAGTACAGATTTCATTGCATTTCTCATGTCTCTAATTAGGAAACAAACTTTCAATGATTTCATTCAATTCAATTTCATTATTGTATAGGGTAGAAAAAATTCATAAGCAGCAAGAGATTCATTCATGGCTTATCCATACAGTTCTAACTGCATGAAAGAACATACACAATTCATACACATTTTGAACGAAACTACATCAGCACTTAGGCTAATATGTACAACCTTCAATTAAAATAAAAATGTATGCAAGGTTTGTTTAACACATTACCCTTATTTGGTCTAGCAAATTTGAAAATTTAAAGATCACAGCACGTTTTTGTAGACGTGATTACACACACCTTCTGCACGCAATTCAGGAGCATTTCATATCATTTATCTCCCATAAAAGCTATGTTCTCATAACTGTTCACAGCAGCAGAATATCTGAACGCACAAGGCACAACAAAATACACTGAAACAGTCAACAGTTAACAACTGCCTCAGACAGAATGAACAAAGCTATACTTCGCGGGTCAAAAAGCACCCATTTCATTTTCCATGAATGGAAAGCAAGGCAGAAAAGTACAGGCGGCCATGCCCAGCAATGCTGTTTGCTGTACTATAGTCCATTACCAAGCTCACAAAGCAGGTACTGCCTATGCACTTGTTTCCAGGTGGCCTGTCCTCAAGGGAGTAACTGACCAAAAGGCTAAGAAATTTCAATCACATCAAAATTCTTACCGAAGCACCACTGACCAAAATAATACAGTTTTAATGATTGTGCTGAGAGAGTCCGGAAGACATTTAGTGATAAATTAAGTATCTCAGAAATATTTCTGTAGCACCTAATGTCAGTGGCCAATTAAAGAAATCATTTGACGAAAGCTCATGATAGTCCTTAAAGCAACAAGAGGCAGTTAAAAGAACAGTCTTTGTTCCATTGCAAGGAACTTATGGACAAGTAAGATTTAAACCAAACAAAGAACTTACATGCAAAATCAGTGTTAAGCAAAGTTGTATAAATTTCATTTAGAACCTCATGACAAAATTTTGGACGGACTGACAATATTTAGGTTTGGATGAGAATCCATGATGAAATTTTAACAATAAGATCAAAACATTTTACCTCTTCACTTAGCCAAGTACACACCATCTGAGGAACAACTTCACACTTTCACACATTTTATTTGTTCTTGAAAAATGAAGAAAACTTTCTGCGATTAAATCACTTTGCTTCACAGCACAATAATCACTGTTCATTTCACCAATAGATTAGGTTCGCCAGGCACACATTCTGGCCACAGAGCTCCATAATTTTACCATTGGCTCCTTATATTTATTTCATGTCTGTTCTTTCTTGAGCATTGTGCGGAGAGAAGAGATTTCTAACTGTTTCTGTTTGGAGGCTTGTGCAGAAATCTGCGAGGCCATGGCAACGGCCAGTCGTGCTGGCGAGGGACCTTGACACCAACATTCCCTTCAAAATATCTGAATATTGGAAACCACCAAGCACGAGCCAAGAAGTTGTGAGGTCCAGGTTTCTGAAACAAAAATGGGGCATCAATATGAAAGCATATCAATATCAAATTGATATTAAGAGGGAGTGCACAAATTGATGAGGTGGAAAAATTACCTTTAAAGACGAATTATTAGCAAGAGTATGATAAATCCAAAATGTTCTTGTAGTGACAAAGTAGGCAATTAGTATGTCGATGGTATAGTGTCCTCTTGCAAGTAAGACCATGAAGACTGCAGTCGTGGATGCTATGCAAGAGAGCCATGACAGTAACTGGAAGATTCGTTTTGGTGAATCCGGAGAGTCTGTGGCACATAAGGGTCAAGATAAGAAGCTTAAAAAAACCCAACAATTTTGCACTGCACTAGAAATTCCATCTATCACTTTACTCACACTCGTTGATTAGAAGATAACAGATGGTGAGCATAACAGTGTGACCACTGTAAATAAAATCTCCACAGTATGTTTGCTTCCCATTAATGGTCAGGCCAAAACCAGACATGAGTTGCCAGACTCTAGTAGTAAGCAGCCAAGGGGTTGTCTCATTTGCTTTTGGAGAGCAATAATAAGTAGGGTCTGACATGGGCAGTACCGTAACAAACATTGTTACAGAACGCATCAGGTACAGTAAGGACATCATAAGGAACAGTCTCCTAAACACAATGAACCTGAAATAGATAACAACTGCTGAGAAAATGTCTCATTGTCTTGAAAGCCTCAATTACAATATAGATAGCTTACCTATGTTTGTGAAATAACAATACAAGGAAAGTGACGTTTGTCGACACCACAATAATAATTTCAGAGACTGTAAGTGCCCATGGAACTTTTGGGAAAAGTTCAAAGAATATGTCAGGTAAGGGACCATAAGTTTTTTTGTCTGGAACGCGTTCATGCACCAAAGACAGAGACGCTGTTGCCATAATAAAACCAAATACTAAACAGAAAAATGCTGAAACAAGGTAACTAAATTAGTTCTGTGGACTTTTCAATATTTCAATACTTGACAGAAGTGCATGTAAATGTAATGGGTACTGGACTGAAACATGTGATAACAATTCCATTCACTCACCCATAAGTGTTTTTAACTTCTCCTTTGGATACCTCTGTTCTTCTCTCTCTGCTTTTGGGATACTTATTATCACAGCCCCATTGACTTTGCCACCAGGTCGACCATCGTCTTCACTGTGGTCATCTCTATCCTCTTCGTACTCTACCGTGATGTGATTCCCATTCTGGAAAAACCAAAAACACAATCAGAGCCTGAGGCGAAACAAACTCGACACAACAAAATAGACCAAAATCGAGGACATACCTTGGTGGGAAGAGGGAGCAGGGGCTGCCTCTGGATGAGATCCGTGTCACTCATGCTGGAAGCGGAGGCCTGCTGGTTGTGCAACGGAGACAGGGGAAGTGCGCCGGCACTGCCAAGGCTGCCCAGGCTGCACCCTCTCAGCGGCAACGGCTTGTCGTGGTCGTCTTCGTCGAGCTTGCTGTTGCTGCCACTGTTTTGCCGCTCAAAGCTGCCATAGTCATTGTGGCTGATGGCATTCTTGGGATCCCAGACCATCCTGCGGGCAGAAAGCATGTCTTTAAAAGTCGAACCATCATTTTCCCGCTTCGAACAATGACAGAGTCCCCACGTGGCCCCAGCCCGAGCCCGATGCGGGCGTGCCGTGGCGTACCGTGCATCGCACACGTCATCCTGAACTCATTATGTCACTTAAAGTCCTTGGCCGCGCTAGGCTGGTACCGCTGGCGCGCTAGCGCCAGGCCGGCCGGCCAGGCATGCTCGCCCCGCCACATCTTCAATTGGCCGGTCAATTTGCCAGGCCAGAGCAATACCGTACATCAGCCCGTCAAAAGCGAGAGGAGAGCACACGCTCATCGGCCGGCCACCACACTGCGAGATGGACCGCCCTGGCCGAGTTGGTTCATCCCCAGGGCGTGAGACAAACTCGCCGCACCCTTCCTCTCTCTCGCACCGCCACGAGTGCGAGAGAGACAGACGGTCATTCCCTGCGGCTTCCGTCGTCAGTGCGGGCGGATTCCGCGCGAAACGGGGCGAGACATCGAAGCATCCCGAACACGCTGCCGAGGCGGGCGGAGGGGAGGGGAAGGCGGTTATCAGCGGCAGACTTCTAGAGCACCACGCACACCACACTGGCAGGCTGCCGGCGACGGCCAGCCACAGCCAAATAAAGGGTATTTTTGAACCTGCGATTTAAGACAACGGGAAACAGAGGCGGGGGCGGGGGCTAAGCCAGCGGCGCGAGGGGCCGAAAAGGGGAAACGGCGGACTGGCACCGCAGCCATGGCGGCCATGGCCACTCACTGCCTGGCGGGCCTTGGCGTGCCCAGCCACACACCAGTGCACAGCCAGCGCCCGAAGTGCGCAGAAAAACAACATCAAAGCGACCGCCAGCGAGTGCCACTGCCGCTGGGGTCCCGGTGGGGTCCCGGCGCCCCATGCAGGGCCCTGCCGCCCGTGCTGGGGTGCGTTGGAACAGGCCCAACCCCCGGCCGCCTCCACGCTCATTGCATGCACAGAGTGCGACAGAGGTGGAGAGAGAGGGAGAGAGGGAGAGCACGCACGGCTATGGCGACCCATTTGGGCGCCACAAAGACCGCGGCATCCCCCCCCCTCCCCATCCCCTGCACGGATTTGACTGACTGCCCTTTCCTTTGGCGTCGCTGGCCCGCCCCGCCCCGCCCCGCCCCGCCGGCCGCGCCACCAAAAGGGGGAGACGGAGGGAACGCGAACACGCACAAGTGCAAAATGGCTTCGTGATTGATGGCTGAGTATTCACGGCGCAGTCCGGCCGGGCGGGCGAATCCCCTGACGTACCGCCCCGCCCCGCCCCGCCCCGCCCCGCCCATGGCGCCACGCCCCCTGACCCCATAACTGCCCCGAGCCTGGCTGGCGCTGGCTGGCGCTGGCCTTCCCCGCCGCCGTGCCTGGCCGTGCCCCCACCGCGCCGCGCTGCCGACGGGGCCGACGGGGAGGCGGCGGCGGCGTCCTCGGGGGACTCGAGGACGCGCCAGGACGCGCGCACCGGGAGCAGCCTTCAGCCTTTCACGGCCACCGCCAGCCCCACTCTCTGTCGCACTCAGGGCGCCTGCCGCGAGGGTGCGAGAGAGAGGGAAGCCCCGCCTTCAGAGTCCTGGTACGGTCACGTAACTGCGTGGCCGCGTAGCCGCGTAGGCACGGCCGGGCAGGGCAGGGAAAGGAGTCGACGTGGGCCGGTCGCTCTGTCTCTCTCGCACTCGTGGGGCGTGTCGTATAAGCGCGAGAGAGACAGAGCGACTCTCTGAATCAGTCTGCCGCCGCGCTGTCTCACGCAGGCGGAAAAAGGGACACCAGCCTAGCGGGGCCCGCGGGGCCTAGTCAGTCGAGGGCCACTTGTCGATAAGCCTCCGCGTGTGTGCGTGCGTGTGACTCGGTACCCGCGAACTCGGCCCGGCCGGCACACTGGCACCGCGCCCTAACCCAGAACACTCTTAGGACTCGCGTACCCGTGCAGGCCTGCTGCTGCGGGGTCGCCTCGCCACCGAGCTCCGCGTCGTCCACGCCGTCTGGCCGCGCGCCAAGCACGCCGTCGTCTCGAGAGCGCCACGTCACGCCGCTGTCTGGTCCAGCCCGCGGTCCCCGGTCCGCGGCGCCCCCGACATGAGGGGCATCCTCTCCAATCAAAGAATCAGAGGGTTGCTGACCCTGCGGGGGGGGGGGGGGGCAGCATCATCGGGTCGGGAGCAAGTGTGACTGACGCCTGCACTGCGCACTGCCGGCACCGCCACGGCGTCCTTCACGTCCTTCACGCCGCGTCGCCACGCCGCCGCACGAACAATGGGCGTAGCGCGTAGCGGTGGACGTCATCGCCGTGCCTGGCCGAGCCCCGCCGAGCCCCCACGAGGGGCCGAACGGCCAAACGGGGGCAAAGTAACGACGGGATGCGGGCGACGACCTCACACCAGACTCATTCCGTCTATCTCTCTCCCACTCATGGGGCGTCCCGCGTGGTGGCGAGAGAGACAGAGCGACGGAATGAGTCCTGCAGAGAGGGCAGGGCCCGGTGCGGGCCACGACGCCGAACGGCAAAGACCGCCGTCGAGCAAGAGTTGCCGCTTGCCATCCCCCTTGCGGGCCTTGCGGGCCGGGGGAGCGGACCGAGTAACCGAGCCAGCCGCTAAATAAACAAGCAGACAGCCTCTAGCATATTAAAAGCCCATCCCGTACAGCGACAGACAGCTTGGCAGTGGACTCCCCCCGCGCGGCGCCGCTGGAGAGCGTCGTGGAAACCAAACCCACACGACGTCGAGGTCACTGCGTACCTACTTGTAGGCGAGCGCGGCCGGCGCGGCCATCGGCCTTCAAAAGCCCCGCGGCTCGCGACGCGGGGGCCCCTCCACGGCGCCCCCACCGGCGTGTCCGCTTCGCCCGGCCGTGTACACCCAAACAAAGACGCGAGTGCGCGCCCCTGGGCGCCCGGGCCCCTGGCTGGTGCCCCCACCGGCCGAATCAAGCATCGGCGCGGCGATGACCGCCCCGCCCCGCCCAGTACGTAGCAGTACAGGCGCGGCGCGCCAAAGACGCCGACCGACCGACGACCGGCCACGCCGACGACGCAGACAGCAAATCAATACAAAACAACCCCCTCTCTCTTCCTCTCCCTTCCCCCGCGGCGGGGCGGGGCGGGGCGGGGCATTCGCAGCGCCTTTCCTTGCTTCCAAACGCCGCCATTAAACTCTTATCGCCGCTGCATCTTTTACCGCCACCGCGGGGCGGGGCGGGGCGGGGCGGGGCGGACTGTCGCGTCGCGAGAAGGGCCAGGCCGACGAAGAGGACGACGGCCTCGCCGCCCTCGACAGGAAACTGCAGCAACAGTCGCGCTGCTCCTCTCCAAGCAGCCTCTCTCCCACCACCGCGCCGCGCCGCCAGCAACCTGACCACCGCAAGACGCGAGGCCGCGAGGCGCGAATGAGGACATGACGAAGTGCGTGGTGCCCGTCCCTTCCTACACACTCCTCTCCGTAACGAACCCGGCGTTTCGCCGTCCTCCAAGGGAGGTTTGAGGTTCGGCTCCGAAGACGAACGACTTTTATTTTTTTTCGGACGGCGTCGGTACTTTAGGCGGGCCGCGGCCGCCACGCTCGAGCGGCGGTGCCGGCGCCAGGGCCTCCAAGACCTTGGCGAGGAGCGGCAGGGGCGCCTGCCGAGGCGCGCGGAATCTGGGTTACGCAACACCAGGAGTGCCACGGACGGCCAGGCCGCCACGCCGCGTCGGAGCGGAGATAACTGCACTGCACAGCAGCCAAACATCCAACCTGCGTATGAGGCCCGACTCCGCCACTGTAGGAGTAAGCCGGCACACTCTAGGACTCGAGGCACGCGCTCTCAAGCGTTCCCGCTTTCCCAATCCACTACTATCACCCTCTCTCTGTCTCTCTCTCCCCGGCATGACTCATTCATCCCCGCGCGGCCGTGACAACAACCGCCGTGACGTCACTCACGGAAAACGGACAGAAATAATGCAAAAAGACAAAGGCTCCGTCCGGCCGGCCGGCCGTCCTGGGATCGAAATAAGCCTCGCGACCCGTCAGGCCGTATGCTAAACGAGGGCACACGCGCTGTCCCGTGGTGCGCCACTTTCTGTCTCTCTCGCACACCCACGTGGAAGTGGGAGAGAGCGACAGGACGTTGCCTGAACTTGGGGCTTTTGTCAAGTTGGCGCCGCGGCCATGCAGTCAGAGTGACGAGGAGCTCGGCGATACCAGTGTCGAAACAGGGGCCCACACCACAACAAACAGACACCTACCCCCACCACCACCACCCCCCCGCGGCCTCGCGTGGCGTGCTGCCGTCGGCTTCAAGCACTGCACATTTTCGTCGCTCTGTCTCTGCCGCACTCGCGGGGCATTCCGAAGGGGGTGCGAGAGAGGCAGAGCGACGGCTGAGCAAAGGAACTTCCCCTCCAGGCCTCGTCACGCTTGTCACAGTTGGTCACAGCGAGCCGTCCCAGTCGCCCCGGTCACACTTCTCCGTACGGTCGACACCTCATCTGCATGCGTGCGACTCGACTCGACTTCCGCGACGCGGCGAACACTTCTTTCGTCGCCCCGTCGCTCTCGCACACCCCACAGCGGCCCTCGAGTGCGACGGAGACGGCGACAACTGCTCGGAATCGAACGAACGGCAAGCCAGGCGGCAGCGTTGTTGTTTTGCCAGCAGGTTTGGCGGTGTGACGTGGCGGTGGCAGTGGCGCGGCCGAGCGCAGCTGACTCAGAGTCCGAATCGGCGCGGCCGCGAACCCATTCCGAGAGTCTCGCTCCGTCTCTCTCGCACTCGCGGGGCGTGCCGTAGGGGTGCGAGAGAGACAGAGCGACGACAACGATTCTCGGAATCGGTCCGCTGCGCGCGCCGCCACCATCGAGAGCGACCGCCAGCACCGCGTCCACCACCACGCCCACGCCGTCCTGGCTGCGTCGTCCACCGCGTGCTCGGCGCGCTCCTGGGCCTTCACAACACGCCGACCTCAGCGGGCTTTCCGCGGCCGCGGGCACGCCGCGCACCGAGACCAATTGGGCTGCAAGTTCCAAGGGCAATTTGGTTCCAAGTTCCAAGGGCACGAGGGCCTTGACGAGGGCCTGCTCGGCGCGCTCCGGCGTCGGAAAAGTCCTCACGGAAGCCGGGCAAGTGCCCACGCCTAGCGCTCCGTTACGTAAGCCACACGGATTCCTACGCGTCGAGCCGTCTCCCCGCTGGCGCAGCCGCGTTCAAATACCAACACTGCGCACGCGCTTTCCGAGTCCAGACTCGCGGGCCGAAGACGGACGTCCCTTGTCCGCACGTCGAGATAGCGCAGAGAAAGCGCCGCAAGGCCGCCGCCGGTCAGTCACTCCTGCAGGACGCACAGTGGGCCAGAAGACCGGTGGAGGCGGCCAAAACTCTAGACGCGTTTTGAGCTCCAGAGTCGCTAAATGGGCCTCGAACCGAACGTGTGACCCCACCAATGGATTGCTCTTCGAACGAGGAATCCATTGGTGGGGTCACACGTTCGGTTCGAGTCCCATTTAGCGACTCTGGAGCTCAAAACGCGACTAGAGTTTTGGCCGCCTCCACCGGTCTTCTGGTCCACTGTGGGACGCCGAGCGGGCCATCGTCCCGCTGTCGGTCGCGCCAGCCAACACCAACAAGTACCTGGCGCCAGGCCCCGCGCGGGCCGCAGGGAGAAGCGCACGCCGAGGGACTCGGGGGCATCGAGGTGCCCGTCGGAAGGACGCCGTCGACGCCGTGGACACGCACACCTCCGCGACGCACTGCTTGCCCTTGCCGCCGCGGACGCGCGATGCACACTGACTGCCCGGGCCGTCAACAACGCCGGGCCGGCCAACCCTACAGCCCGCCGGGCCGGCTCTCTCTCACTCACACAAACACACACGCGCGCGCGCGAGGGGCCGCGAGCCCACTCCAAGCAACGGGGCAGCTTAGCGCGGACAGCACGACTGCAGCACACTGGCGGCCTGACGGCGCAGCGCGCAGCGTGACGGCGCCAAGACGGCCGCGGCCCACGGCTGCCCACGGACCGACCGTCACTCCCTCCCCTTCCCTCCAAACGGGGAGGGGGAGGGGGAGGGGGGCAGAGCCACTCCCAGCTGACTCACTCCGCTGGACCGGGCGCTTCCAGTGCCTCCAGCGGACCGAGGTGCAGCCGGGTGCAGCTGCACCTTGAGCTGCACTCGCCGAGGACCGAACAGACGGACGCACATCTGCATCCTCGGCCCGGCCGATTCGGGGAACGGAAACGACTCGCGTTACGCCGTTACGCGGACCAGACGGCGCGGTTCCCCCAGTGCACCAGCGCGCCGGTCGCGTCATGGGACGCCACCTCGCCAGCCACCCACGCGACTTGGAGGCTGGGCGGCTTCACGAGGTTTACAGCCTCCTCCACTACACTACTTAAAAGTAATCCGCCGTCCCTTAATCTCTCTCCACTTGAGCAAGGACACCACGGGTGCCGACACAGATAGGGAACGGCAGGGAAATGGCTACTAGAGGGGCAGGGCACTTTCACCAGGTGTTATCAGCCAGCCCGTCTCGAAGCAATACAATCTCGCCATTGGCAGGGTATCGATAAAAAGAGGAGCAAACATGTCAGATCCGTCTTGAAACGTTCTCTCTCCGTCAGCCAAAAAGTCTGGGAGAAGCGGAATCATCACTCAACTGCCTCAAAGTTTTACTCGGGGAACCCTCCGGAGATGCTACAGCAAATTAAATGTGCAAATTTGGAAAACGTTGGAGATCGCAAGGCGCTCAAATTGGTTTGAACCAAGTCGTTCGGGGTCGCTTCGCTGCCACCCTCCTTGACCAATCCAATCACGTGATGGCCGCACCCCCTCCGATTGGGCGCCACTCGGCGGGGTGTTTACCCAGCAACAGGCCCGACAGGCCCGACAGGCACGCAGTGCGGGGTGGCCGGGTGGCCGCGACCTCGCCGTCGGTCGCCCCGACGGCCAGCCAGCCAGCCAGCCAGCCAGACCCTGGCGATCCGTATCAACCCCCGTCGCGCACCCTCATCGCACCGCCAGCACCGCCAGCAGCACGGAGCACTTGGTGGCCGTGCAACACGCTAGCGCGCGATAGCGCCACGGCGCCACACGGCCACGCACGGAGCGCAGGGGCGGATCCAGGGGTGGCCTATAGGGGGGAGTAGCACTTTTAGCCTACTTACAGAGGCAAAGTAGCACTTTTTGCCTACCTTTCAGGCGGCTATCTAGGGGCTTGGGGGGGGGGGGGGGGCAGAAACCCCATCCCCCCCCCCCCTGTATCCGCGCCTGACGGAGCGTGGAGCGGCGTGGAGCGGCGTGGAGCGCCCCGGAGCGCAGTACGACACGCGTGCCGGCGGCTTGCCTACCCGCCGGGCGGCCATTACCATTACCATTAAAGGGCTGGACCACCCGGCCGCCCCATTTGCAAAGTCCAGTGCGCAGTGCGCCCGTCTCTCTCGCACTCGCGGCGAGTCCGCACTTACCTGAGCAGGGCGCGCCGCCATGTTCGGCCGGTCTCGACCACCACGAGCTGCAGCTGCATAGCCCGTTACATAGCGAGCCGCCACCGGGCGCCCCTGCCCTGACTGGCCAGCCTGCAGCCCTGCGGAACAACAAGCAGAGCGTCAGCAAGGCCGCCGTCCTGGCGAAGGGCCGGAGGGTCGCCCCCCCGACCCTTCAGGGCCCCTCCAGGGCGGCCCCATGGCGCCGACCCTTCGGCCTTCGGCCCTGGCCACCTCTTCCGGGCGACGGGGTGTTAACGCCGACGTGGCGAGGCGCGAGGCGCGTGTGTGCACACAGAGCAGGCCGTCACAACAGAGGAGGGGCCGGCCGGGTCGATGTGCGGGGCGGGGCGGGGACAGCCGCCCTTCGTCAATATTAACCTCCAGGTACTCCTGGCAGCTGACGCCGCGCGGACGCCGCGGCCGCCGCGGTCGCGGGTTCGACCACAGGCCGGTCCGCCCTTCTAGTTTTCCTCTATTGTTACCCCCACCCACCCCCGTCGACCCGATACGCGATCGGTCAGTCACGGCCCGGCCGGCTATTTTCGTCGCGCAGTTTCGCGTGTGCAATCCACTCTTATTCTTTCCTTCCCGCCGAGTCCGGCGGTCCGCCCGTCCGTCCGTCCGCGCAGAGCTAAATCGTTTCCACGGTTCGGCGTCACGCAGGAAACAGCGCTACAGGCCCGACCCATTCCGAGAGTCGTCGCTCTGTCTCTCTCGCACTCCTGCGGCTCCCCGCACAGGTGCGAGAGAGACAGAGCGACGAGAACGGAATCAGTCCACCGGCCGCCACGGTCAGGCGAGGTGCATGACGAGGACCGAGGGGTGGGGGGTGTCGATTGGGGTGCAGTAGCAGTGCAGTAGCAGTGCAGTAGCAGCGCGCCACGGAGTCTTGAAGGCCGCGAACCCATTCCGAACAGAGCTTTCAACGCAAAGCCTCCCTCGCAACCCTCAACGGCCGCAGGGGGTGTGGACTGAGGGACGCCGACGCCGGCCGACGGACACACAGGGAGCCCCTGGAGAAGACGCCGCTCTTTGCGAGGAGAAAAGGGAGCGGCCGTACAGAGAGGGCCTTAGAGGATAACTATCAGGGTCGCACAGTGCGATCGGGGCGACGGGGGCCCTTGGAGGGGTAGAAGGGGCGAGCGGACAGGAGACAGGCAGACGGACGGCGCCCGGCTCGGCAGACGTATAAAAGCCTCAGCGGGGCGGGCGGCGGCGCGGCGGCGCGGCGGCGCGGCCCGCGGGGGGTTGCTTTTACAACGGCAAACGGAGGCCAGCCGGGCCAGACGGCGCCGGACGCCAAATGTCACGCCGCGCCGACACAGCCAGACGAGTTTCCGACACGAAAAAACAAGAGACATTGGAAAGAATATGGAAATCTAAGCGCTGACGAGATTCGGTCAACGACGACACACTGGTCGGGCGGGCAGTCCACCTGGCGACTCTGCGGCTGGTCAACTCTCCTTTTTGACTGTTTACGCTGCCGCCCCGCCCCGCCCCGCCCCCGGCATGATTCGCTGTCCGCGTCGCTTATCGGGCGATGGTACTTCGACTGTCGAGTGGCCGCGTTAATCCAAGTGGATAACCCTCACTCCACCACACTGCTTTGCTCCATGCCGCCCCAGTCAGTGCTCTCTCACGCCGTCTCTCTCGCACCCCTGCGGAGCCCTGCGGAGCGGCCCACGAGTGCGAGAGAGACAGCGACGCGGACGGTTTAGGCACGCCCCCTCGAGCATTGCGTCACCGCCGCCACTGACCCCCGCGGTGGCCCCAGCGCGGCCCCCTCTTCGCTGCCGCGGTGACTCGGTGCCTCAGAAACCAGAGTCAGGAACTGTCCTTCCTTCCTTCCGTCTCCGCCGGCCTCCGCCCCCCACGCCTTTTTCGCCGGCGCAGTGGTTCCCACCTGTGTGCCTGTGGCGCCGGGGGCAGGGGGAAGGGAAGGGGGCACACCCGTCTAGAGGGGGAGAGGGGGGCGTGAAGGCCGAGCGTCCGTAAACAAAAGTGTACTCCCTCCCCCTCTCCCTCCCTCCGAACCCCGTTAATCGTTAACCCCGCCTCAAACTGGCAAATCTGACAGAGGAAAGGCGGCGGTGGCTTCAGTAGGCCAACAGCAGGGAAGAAGGAAGCCCCATGACAGACTGCTCCACTAAACAAAGCGGTGCAGTGTCACATTCACCCTCCGCAAAGTCCAACGTTCCAACTGACACAGCAGCGGATGATGGCACCGGCAGAAAATCTTGTGCAAGTCGCTGTGTCTTATCACTTGAAACAGACAATTAGATCAATGCTCGAACGCCACAATCCCATTGCTCGAGAGTTGGACAAATACACAGTTCAAAAGCGGCGCTCAAATATTCTAAACATTTGCCAAATTGTCTACTAAAGAAAACTGAGTTCCCAGCTCAAGCTTGCAGGATGTAGTTCAGCTGGCTATATAGAATAATATTAAGAGAATAATCAACGACAGTGAATATTAAGGTTTTGATACTTGACTATCAAATGAATGGGGTACTTTCAGAGGCAGTCGAGTTATGGAAAAACTGACCTTTAATCAATCCTGTAAACCACGCACACATTCTGATAGATGTGCATTCACAAAGACATGAGTTTTGGTCCTTCCTGTACCACAAGCAAAGTAGACTAATGCAAAGGCGCCAAACCTGAGGATAAATTTGAGCGATGGAAGTAACCTAGAGTATTATGGACAGGAATGGAGTGGATATGTTAAGGAGCAAGAAACAAATAATGCCATGATTCTCATTAGGCACTCACTCATGTTCCTAAGAAAATCGGACCATGTATGCTTCCCAGGAAATAGGCAGCGCACTCACACAAAGCCATCAAACAGCAGGCATTACGCTTAAGTTAACGATAAATGATTGTAATGCTTTGATTACATATCTTGGCGCTCAAAGAAATTTAGCTGCAGTAAGAATCAACTATAGTTAAATCACAAATGTAGAGAAAGACACCCTTCACCAGGAGCAGACTCCAATGCTGGAGGTTATAGTGGTCCTAGCAGTATGTTTGAAGCAGCCCCAAAATAACCTAAAATGGCACACAAACAACCCAGCTCGCGGCACCAGCATGCCGTCGCCCGCGAGCAGAGGCGTGCCCTGGCCGACACCAAGTCTCGGGCCGTCGACGGCGGCAACATCATCACGCACTGGACAATTCCACGAATGCCCCCACATCCTTCGGGGAGAGCGGGTGCGGCGGAGGGCTTGCTTTTGCTTACCAGTCGGCCGAAGACTACGGCACCGATAATCCTGGTAATCCGATGACGCTGGCCAGGGCGGGCAGCACTCCCGGACACAACACTAGGACGAAAACGGAACGAGACTGGACTGGAACGACTTGGCACTTTTGTTCTGTTCGCTGCGCTGCGCTCTGACTTCGACGTTCAAGTTGACGGCGTAGCAGCAGCCAGCGCTGCGCGGCGCGGGGCGGGGAGGGTGAGCGGGAACGGAGCGGAGCGGAGCGACTCGAGCGAGTGAAGCGTGGAGAGCGGAGAGCGAAGAGCGGGTGGTGGGGAGACGCAAAGCACGCAAACCGCGCAAACGCGCCCGGGTTGGCGGCGAGGCGAGCAGGGGGAGGGGGGGGGGGGGAGGTGGCGCTATTTGGCTGTGAGATGCGCCGCCCGAGCGCGGCCTCGGCTCCACACAAAGGAGCCGGGAAGAAAAATTGCGAAGGCGCGCAGTCACTTGAAATGCAAATCGGTCGCGATCGCGGTTTGGTTCGGGTTCGGGGCTTTGGACCGGAGCCCTGGGGGCCCGCCTAGAGGCCCGGTCTCCGCGGCGGCGGCGCGGACGGGCAGAAGTGACACCGCCTCCCGACGAGGAAGACCAGCTCCCCCCGGACTCCCTGGACAGGAAGCAGACACCCGTGGGACACCGTTATCGGGAGCGAGAGAGAACCAGAGAGAGATGGCACCGCAGAGGTAGGCCCGAGATAACAAGTGTTTGGTTTTCCCTCATTGTCCCTTTTCCGCGTGGGTCCGCCTTATCTACGCGAGGTAGCACAGATTCCCCACGCACTGGAGCACACGTGTTGGTTTTCCCCGCACTTTGCTCTTATTTACCGCGGTTTTGGGGGCTGAAAGTCTATCCTCCGGGGTCTGTTGTTCGTTTCGTAACAGTTTGCCTCGAACTCGGACAGCAGAGATGGACGACCAAATAATGTGCTTTAAAACTGAGCGCACCTCCACCAAATGTGTTGTCCATGTGTTATCGAAAGGGCATTCCCCGGCTTTCCCCCCTTTTCACAGTGGCGAAAATAAGCGAATTATGCCGGTTCGAACTGAATCATTAAGACGAGTACTAGCGATATATAGTACTCTAGACTTAAAATGCTCGCACCGATGCCGGGGTTTGTCGCTCATCGCTCATGGCCAGGCGTTGTCGATACCCCGTCACTCGAGGTCCTCCCCGCCGCGAACCGCGGAGTATTGCCAGAGATTAGGAGCGAGGGCCGCAAATACTCGCGCTCTTGGTGGGAATGTGGATTCAGTAAAATTGACACGACCAAAACATTGACAATCAAGAAGGGAAGACGATTTATTTTTAGAGAAACATTTTGTTTTGAACAAATTGTCAGTATCTCTTGAGGTAAGACTGTTGTTTTCCCGTTTATGCTAATACAAAAATACTCTCTCAAAGCCCGTTTAATAGTTTGCTGTGAAAATATAATTAAAATACTTCAGAATCACAGAAGTTCTTTCGTAATACAAGGAATTTATGACTTCTATCTTTTAACACAGTTCAAGCTATGAGATCACATGTCAGAGAGGAATATTAAGAGATTTATCATCTAGAAATATACTGTGACTATGAAGTGAAGATTGAAATGATCCACAAACAGGTATCCTGGCCCAGCCAAAAGTAAAACACGAATAGGCTTTCAACTATTCCCAAGAGAGCTCCGCAAATGACATCAAACACATGGTGACGTCGCAACAAAACTCTAGAAACACACACACTTGCAGACCATGCTACCAAGGGCAAAGCAAGCAAAGACAATTCAAGATAATAGATGAAGAAGTGACTTATGAAGACTGCTCTGCTTGCATGCCCAGATGGGAAAGAAAACTTGTCCGGCCCCACAGTCATGAACATGTCAGACTCATTGCCAGCTGGTCTTCGACGTCGAACGAATGCTTTGATCACAGTGATAGCTATGACGTCCAACAAGAGCCCTGTGTGACAGAAGAATAAGTTAAAGATTTAGTAGTGTTGTCGCCATCTCAGTGAAAAATTTCATAGTGATGAATAACAACTTACCATACAAAAAATTGGCCTGCAATTGGTACAAGGAGGGGTCCGTGGTCAACAGCATGTAAGCAACCCAGCCAACAAGCCAGGGGACGCCATGGCAGGAAATCTGAAAGCAAGCGACGTGGGAATACAATGACAATTGACCGAGTCTATAATACAAGTCTATAATGAGAGGAATGAAGTGCTTCATTCATTCATTTACAAAGCCAGAAAGACAAAGAAATTAACCTCCAACACTTTGTGATGTTTCCTTTGAAGCAAATGAGGGGCAGCACGAGTTACCGCTGCACAAAACTTATTTGTGACGGCAACATCCAAGTCCAACAGGATGCGCAGAGCAGGAGGAGCACGGCGCTTTTTGTCATTGGGATCAGCCTGTAAAAATGAGAAACAGAGACTTAATTGCCAACTGAGAGACAATGGATGGGTGGCTCATACAGAACCTTAACCTAAATTGTTTGTAACTTAATTTCAAGGCACAAGTACAGACCATGATGAAGCCGGACGGAGCAGCACAGTAGACTGACCAATTCCCAAATGTCGAGTCAAGTTGTTGATAGACGCCGGGGCTGATAACACAAGCTGATAACTGTTGAGTCAGCAGGCACTGAGCATAGGGCACAAAGGTTAATCGCACTACACCTCCTTAAGTACGGTCTAAGTACTCAGAGTCAAAGGCAAAGCCGAACGCGCGAGTAAATAAGGTACAGCCGGCTCTCCGTGAAATAAAGTTTCCAATCGAATCGAGCTGACACTAACAGTTTGTTGTCGTTTCACAGCGTTTTGGTTCTGTCTTCTGCTTTCTGTCTGCTACTGTTGACAATGTGTGTACCACTACACGCCACGTTCAAAAGCTTTTTCATCCCAACATCAACCAACAAAGACGTCCAGAGCCTAGTCAATCCGCTCTATTTTTCGCAACACCCTTACTCGTCTATCTTTGACTGCGACGGTGATTTAATTTTAGTCAGGCCTTTTTTGTGGTCGTGGGGTTGGTAGGGCCGTAATCTCTCCACGCAGCAGCGGCGCGCTTTTTCAAACCACTGCGCCGGCCGGGCCGGGCCGGGCGACTACTGTACGACACCGACACTATCTCCCGGGCAGATAGGAGGGGAAGCGCACAGCGAACTGCACCTCGTGGCAAGCGCTTTTAGAAGCATGTGAGAATAGGACTCGGCCCCCAACAGTGAGTGGGAGGGAAGGACAGATTACTGCCTCGACAGTACAGTGTCTCGGCGCAGGAGCAGGCGCCGCGCCGGGGCGGCAGGGCTCGCCAAACATGTCCTATTGACAGAGCTGTGCCACCATATAGAGCGATGTTAAAAGCAGCGCGCCGACTCTCTGGTCGCCATGCCGCCCGGCGAGGCGAACCGTCGGCCAATCGGGTTTGGTTCGGGTTGGCGGCTCCTGTTTCCACCGACCCGCGGTACCGAGGCCGAGGGCCACTGGGGGTCGGTGGGGTCAGGGAGCCCGCGGCTCGCGACCGGCTGACTCTCAACAGCGGTTTGTCTGTCGTTCTGTCTCTCTCTCTCTCAGCCGTAGGGAAGGCCAAATGAGTGTGAGAGACAGAGCGACAAAGCACCGTTCCGGACTCGGCCTGCCGTCGGCGCCCTGACGGCAAGCCTGGCGGCAAGCCTGCTGGGGCTGCTAGTCTGCTGGTGGTCTATCAGTGTGCCGCGTCCCGGCCAGCCCCAGGCAGCCAGGCAGCCCAAGCATGTCGTTAAGCGCGTGTGTGGCGTCCGCGCTGCGGTGCGGCGCCGCGTCGGCCGTGTCGCCGACCCACGCCCTGTCGACGGCCAGGTTCACGTCGCGGTTCACGTCGCGCAGGCCGTGGCGTCGACGCGCCGCCACGCTGCCCGTTAGGGGTTTGGCGACCCTTGGTCCCACGTGGTGAGAACGGCCATATAGTATCGACTTGTTTTCGCCTTGTCCCTCGAGGATGCCGCGGCAAAAAAGCTTTAACTGCTTGACGGAATCCCAACCGGGCCGGAATGTTTGTTTGGGTCCCAGGACGCACACGTGTGAATGGCATTGTTTGGGTTGGAGACGCGTTGGAATGGGGCTCCCCCACCCTCCCGAAAAAAAACGACGCGTTACGCGTTAACTGTGGTGTTTGTCAGCAGGCTGATGAGCGCCGGCCCGGACGGGTTCGCGGCGGGGTCCCCGCCCACGTCCACCATGGAGGCGCCCTGCGCGGCCGGCGCGCCCGCGCCCAGCTACTGGCACCAGGTCGGCGAGCAGCCGCTGCTGTACGCCACGCTCGGCCAGCTCACGGCGCACGCGGCGCGCGCCCACGGCCAGAACGAGGCACTCGTCTGCATGCAGGAGGGCGTGCGCCTCAACTTCCAGCAGCTGCAGCACCGGGTCAGAGTCCGCCGTCCGCGCTGGTGGGGGTGGCGGTCCGACTTGACGCTCATGGTCTCCTTGTCCTCCTGCAGGCCGACCAGCTGGCCGCCGGGCTGCTGGGGCTGGGGCTGCGGCGCGGCGACCGCGTCGCCATCTGGGCCGGCAACTCCTGGAGGTGGGTCGTCGCCAAGCTCGCCGTCGCCCGCGCGGGGCTCGTCTCGGTAAGCAGCAGTGCGAAGCACCGACTTGACAGTGTGCTTTACAGTGTCCTGACCCCGGTCCCTGCCGCAGGTGGACCTGAACCCTCAGTATCGCGAGTCCGAGCTGGCGCACTGCTTGAAGCTGTCCAGGGCGTCCGTGGTGGTGGCCGGCGTGGAGAACCGCGGCCAACCCCTGCACGACGTCCTCTGCGCCCTGGTGCCCGAGCTGCGGCAGTGCCACGGCGACGCCGTGCGCTCCGAGGCGCTGCCCGACCTCAAGGCCGTCGTCACCATGTCCGACCAGCCCTTACCGTGCGTACAGCCGTCCCCGCGCCCCCGCGGCCTGCCAGCGCGTGACACTGACGTCTACCTGTTTCCTGCTGCAGGGGTGCGCTGTGCTTCTCCGAGGTCATGGCCTCCGTGTCCGAGGAGCGCGTCCGGGACATTGAGGAGCAGCAGTGGAGCATCAGCCCCGACAGCGTGGCCTGCATCCAGATGTCTTCGGTAAGCGTGGTCCGAGTGAGGCGGTGGGAGCGGCAAAGCCAAGCCAACCTTCCCTCTAACCGTCCAACTAACGTCGGCAGGGCACCACCGGGAAGCCCAAGGCGATCCTCATCACGCACCGCGGCGTCGTCAACAACTCGTTCCTCACCGGCAAGAGGCTGGGCCTGCACGAGGTGAGTGGCGGCCGGCGATACCCCGGCACTAGAGCGCACGCGGGGTATCGCCGCCGCGACGCTGACGCGCTGCCGCCTCTAGTCCCACAGAGTGTGCCTGCAAGTGCCGCTGTTCCACGCCTTCGGCACCGTCATCGCCCTCATGCCCACCCTGCACTTCGGCACCGCCTCCGTGCTGCCCGCGCCCGCCTTCAGCGCGCACCGCTCCCTCGAGGCCATGCAGCAGGAGGGCTGCTCCGTGCTCATGGGCACGCCCACCATGTACGTGGACCTGGCGCGCCTCGTCCAGGAGAAGGGGGTGGCCGTCGGCGCCGACGTGGCCATGATCGCCGGCGCGCCCATCACGCCGCAGCTCGCCAAGCGCATGGTCTCCACGCTCGGCGTCAAGAGGATCAGTGTGGGTGTCTCCCCCTCCCCGCGCCACGCTGGTGACCTGCCGAACAATAACGAAAACCCCGTTTGCTTTCTTGCAGAATGGGTACGGCCTCTCCGAGGTCTCCGCCCTCGTGTTCCTGGGCAAGGAGGGCGACTCCGCGGACTGCATGGCCCAGACGGTGGGCAGCGTCACCGAGCACGCCGAGGTGAGGAGGCAGGCCGAGGCCACACAGTGGGCCGGCCGCGCTCGCTGTGTGCTCGCTGTGTGCAAGTGTTTTGCATTTGCACTCTGCATTTCCAGGTGAAGGTGGTGGACGAGAACGGAGACACGGTGCCCTTCGGCACGCCGGGCGAGCTCATGATCCGCGGCTACCTCGTCATGGACGGCTACTTCAACGACGACGAGGCCACGGCCAAGGCCATTCAGCACGGCTGGTTCCGGACAGGGTAAGAAAAAGAAAACAACCAACGTTTAAACGAAACAAATTTAATGAAGATTTTCCACTGAGGGAGAGTTGTCTTCTCTTGCAGGGACAAGTTCGTCCTGGAGGAGAACGGGTACGGGCGCATCCAGGGCCGCATCAAGGACATGATCATCCGCGGCGGCGAGAACATCTACCCCAAGGAGGTGGAGGACGTGCTGGCCGACCACCCCGACGTGCTGGAGGCCGAGGTGGTGGGCGTCCCGGACGAGCGGCTCGGCGAGGAAGTGTGCGCGTGCGTGCGCCTGCGGCACGGCGTCGAGACCCTCTCGGCGGCCGAGCTGCGCCACTTCTGCGGCGACGCCATGGCCGCCTACAAGCTGCCCCGCTACTGCCTCGTCGTGGCCGACTTCCCGCGGACGCTCTCCGGCAAGATCCAGAAGTACGTGCTGCGCGACCAGTGCGCCAAGGCGCTGCAGGCCGGCACCCTGGACGACGGCAGACCCGCCGGCAGGACCGCCAGGGGCTAGTCGCTGCACGCGTGCGTGAGCCAGCGACAGTGTGTGAGCGTGTGAATGAGTGTGTGCGTGCACAGGTTAGGCGTGCTTCCTGTAACTTAGCGTAAGTCCTCGTCGTGATAATAAAGATAAGACAAACCATTTCACTCTCTTTGTTTCTTTCTTTCCTTTCACCACAAAGTTCCTCCTCTCATCCGCGCTGCTACGCTGCTAAGAGAGTCCGACGCTGCTCGCCTCGCCTAGCGCCTGCAAACTGGAGGCCCTCCAGCCGGCGAGCACGGCTGCTCGACGGGCGTGCCCGCCCGCCCGGCGCTCCCCGGCCCCATGCTGGTGGCACGCAGACAGCCTCACGATAAAAACCAGCCTGGCTGTTGTGCGCGCCGCCGTGAGTCGGCAAGTGTCGACTCGTCTCTCCGCCCCTCTCGCACTCACGGGGCGTCCCGTAACAGGCGAGAGAGACAGAGCGACGCTCCGGAATCGCTGTGCGCTGCGTCGCCATGGCGTCGCGGTACCCGCGTTACCCACCGGCTTGCGCAACGTGTTTGCCCTGGCACGTTGGCTGATCCCAAACCCTGCTCCCTTCGCTCTGTCCCTCTCGCACTCGCGGGGCGCGCCGTCGGGGTGCGAGAGAGACAGCGACGCGAGCGCGGTGCGGAATGACGCGACCGTCGCGGTGAAGAGAGTCAGCAAGCCACACGGCGCAGGAAAGCGGCACTTTGTATTCCTAAATTAAGTACAAAAACGGTCAGTCTTTAACAGGGTCCGACTCCGAAGCGACGACGCACCCGCACAGACAACGCACGCTCCGCGCTCCGCCCGGTTGAAGGGGTTCAGTCTCTGGCGGCGCGGCCGTTTTCGGCGTTGGCGGCCATCACTTGGTGTGGCGGCGTCGCGCCTCGTTGGCCGTGTGGATCCTGTCCGCCAGCCCCGTGGAGGGCGTCGGCGTGAAGGCGGGCTTGGGCTTGAACATGGCCGTCAGCGCGCACACTGTAAAGCACAACGACAGCCTTAGTGCGGTGGCGGCAGCATAATCTGACACACTCGCAGGCGGTACGCACCGTAGAAGGTGACGGCACCGATCCAGAAGGCCAGGGAGCAGTTGGAGACGAACAGCATGGGGATCACCACGTTGCCCACCATGGAGCCCGAGCGGCCCGAGAAGTTGGACAGGCTGAAGGCGGACGATCTGGAACACGACGAGGCCGTCAGACCGAACCGTCACCGCCCGGCGGGGGGAGGGTGAGGTTACCTGACGCCGGTCGGAAACAGTTCGACGATGATGTTGAGCACGGTGGTGAAGGCCGTGTTGGCGCAGCCCTCGAAGATGCAGGCCACGGCGAGCACGAGGGCCGGGGTGTTGGCCCAGGGCCACGCCACCAGCATGGAGCCGGCCACCGACAGCGTCGTTACTGCCAGACAGCCACGTCAGAAACAATCCAGGTCGAGCTACGGGTGTGGGGGTGAGGAACGAGCCTTACTCAGCACGGCCTTGGCGCCGACGGGCCGGATGATGAAGCTGGCAGCCAACTGGAAGCCCGCCCTGCAGCTCATGATGATGATGGAGTTGAGGTACACGCTGGCGTCCACGGAGTACTGCCGCACACACACATTGCAAACTGGCGGTCTCGCTACGCTGTAAGCGCCTTGGCGATGGTGGTACTCACCGAGTCGCAGTCCGCCAGGGTGAGGGTGGCGTTGCCGCCGACGGACGGCCTGTCGTCCTCCAGGACGCTGCAGACTTCGCGGCCCGTCACCCCCAGGGCCGCGTCGCGGTCCATCTGCGCGAACATCTGCGGCACCCACATGCGGATCGTGTTCTGGCTGCGGGCAAGGCGGAATCTGACACTCACAACGCACCAAGACTTGCAACCCGACTAGGCATGGCGGCCTGCCTGCACCCACCAGAACAGGATGAGGGGCTGCATGGCGAGCACGAAGCCGAGCGGCACGAGGAAGGGCTTGCGGCAGAGCTTGCCGAACTGGTGGACGATGGCCAGGAACGGGTTGGCCGGTTCGTCGCTGTTCCGCAGGTTCTTGAGCTGCAGCGTCTTGACGGGGTACGTGGCGGCGGGCAGGCGCGTGTTCTCGGCGAAGATGCCGGCCAGCACGCGCAGCGCGTCGTCGGGGCGTCCGCGCGCGGCCAGGTACTTGGGGGACTCGGGCAGCAGCAGGATGAAGAGCCCCGCGCAGAGGCTGGTCAGGGCCGTGACCAGCATGAAGGCGCGCCACGAGCGCAGCAGGTCAAACTGCAGCGGGATGACCCACATCGCCAGGCCTGCGGGCCGAACGGGTCAAGGGTTACACACTGTAGGACGTGCTCCGGGACGCGGGGCTCCGGGTGCAACTGACCGGCGTGCGCGGTGCCCGAAATGGCCTGCATCACGCCCGACCACATGAACACCTTGGAGCGGTACTGCGGCCCCAGCAGCTCCCCGGCGAAGGTGAGCGCGATGCTGGCCGGCCCGATGAGGCTGTGACAGAAAGGCCGGGGTTCGAATACCGATCAAGTGTATGTATTTTTTTTTTCGGAAAGAGACAACAACTCACAGCGCGCCGAGGACGACCCTGCAGATAATGAAGATCAACGATGACGACACGAAGGCCTGGAAGGTGGCCGTGGCCGCCAGCGCGAAGTAGGCCGTCAGCAGCAGCGACTTCCGGCCCAGCATGTCCGAGAGCGCGCCCCACACGAAGGCCGTCAGCATCATGCCTGCGCCGAGCGGTGCGGGTTCAAAAACCAATCTTGATTTTTTTTTTTTTTTTTTGCGCTTTCGATGTTACTCACCCACGTACATGGCCGCGTTGATCTGCCCCTTCTCCAAGGTGGTGAGGTTGAGGTCGCACTCGGCGGCGGGCAGGGAGTACGCGATGTCCGAGCCCACGAAGTTCTGCACCGCCATGGCCAGCCACAGCCCCACCAGTAGTTTGTTGTTGAACCTGCCATAACCTACAAACCACGAGGCAAAGTGTCACACTGTACACAACGGCCGCGTGTCCATCTTTACTCGAAACACACGACCCGCGGACCTCACCTGTGATCTCCAGCGCCTCCTCCAGGCCCACGGGCGCCTGCGCCTTGGCGTCGGGCACATCTAGAACAACTGCAGACACGGCCATGAGTAGTCAGGGGTCGCCATGTTTACACCGCGGTTGCATCATTCCGTCTCCGAGTTGACTCGGATTGCGGCCAACACCGACACGGCCAGGCCCCTGCATCCCGCACTCCTCGGACCCACGCCACAGCGTCTTGAACGGACGGCAAGGGCCCTACGCACCTGTTTTGGGCTGGGCATTTTTCTGCGTGTCTTGGTGCGCCATGGTGGCGGGGACGAGCGGCCAACTATAGAGGGCGTAGGTGGGACGGCACCTCAGACAGGACCGGGAGAGACAGAGAGAGAGGTAGAGGAGGGGGAGGGGGGACCAGCTTTAATGCAAGCGGTTGTGTCAACGGGCGCGTGCCTAAGTGGCGGAAAGATACAAGGACACAGCCAACAGCCATTTTCTCGCATTTTCTGCCCAATACTATTTTCCCGCCAAATTTCATTTCTTCCGCTTGGCAGTATTTTCCCGCCAAATTCATTTCTTCCGCTTGTCAGCGTTTTTCCCGCCTTTCTGGCTAATACCTTTCTACATTTTAAAAATGGCGTGTCATGAAACGTGGATCACACTTAAGGAGAACCCCAGCCCGGATAATTTTCGTGCGCTGTTTGTCGCTGGTATACAAAAATTTTCGTAGAATGTCTCTACCTCGGTCTTTATTCTAATGAGTTGGTGAGTCAAGGACGGTCCCTGGGGCTCGGCGCCTCGGTTGCCGTGGCCGTGGACTGGCGTGGACCCCCAAACTGCCTCCGTGCCCGCGTATCTGGCGGTATCGGCCACATGGCCCGAGCGAGGGTGGCACATGGCACCATGCGGAGGCACCGACGGCACCGATGACATCACAGGCACCGCCTCCATAGCCCGGCGCCGCAGTCTGGCCCCAGTTCCTCCCAGGACACCATGGCTGTCGTCCTGGAGCACTGAGCCGAGCCCCCTCTGCAGCAAGGATGGCGACCGCCGGCTTCGGTTTCTTGATCGGCGTGCTCACCGGCGTCCTCGGAGTGCTTAGCGGCGGCGTCGGCGCCGACCGGAACTTCCTTTTAACGCAGTGGGTACTCACTGCAGCGGGCGGGCCGGGCTGGTGTCGTGCCATGAATGTACCTTTTGGAGGAGTGTACCTATAGGGGCATGGCCTTCGCGCCATGGCTGTGGGGTATATTTATCGGGGGATGAATGTTCCCTCTCTGGCGTGGGGGTAGATCAAACGTTCGGGCGTCACACACTCTCTGCCACACTGCTCTGTCCCCCAGGCCGCAGTTTCGCGTCGAGAACGGCCACCTCTTCATCGAGGGCCCCAGGAACATCACGATCAACGCGGGCCTGAGCCTCAACGTGCAGGGCCAGGACCTGGACAGGGTGGTGAACATGGTGCGCGCGGCCGCCGGAACCAGTTTACAGTGCAGGCTGAACTGACCCAAGTGAACCCAACCCCTTGTCCTCCGCAGATGCGCGCCATGTCTCCGCGGCTCGACGACTTCCGGGGCCCGGGCGGCCCGGCGTCGCGGCTGCAGATGGCCCGCCTCGCGGGCCTCACGGAGGACCTGCGCGCCATCGGCATCCGCGTGCGCCACCTGGAGGCCGCCGTCGGCAACTCGGTATGCGGGGTGAACGGGGAGAACCGCCGCCGCCGCGATCTCGCTTGCACTTCCATGATGGTTGCCCTTCTGCCCGCAGACTGGAGGGGGACGCTTGAACACGACGCAGAGGAACAGCGTGAACCGCAGAGTAAGCGCCGATCGATGTGTCATCGCAATCTCATTTATTTTCGGCTACTAACGGTCTTCCCCGGTGGCGGGGTCGCAGCTGCGGGCGGTGGAGCGCCGGCTGCGGACTCTGGAACGCACCCTCATGACCAACGAGTGCGCCAGCAACCCCTGCATGCACGGCGGCGCTTGCGAGGACGTCTACAACGGCTTCATCTGCAGGTGCCCCGCCGGCTGGGAGGTGAGTCGGTCTGGCCACCACCAGGTCGCCGTCGTGGCACGTCCCCGTCAACGCTGCTCCGCTTACAGGGCACCGTGTGCGAGCTGGACGTGGACGAGTGCGCGCGCCTGCTCGGCACGGACCTGGGCTGCCAGAACGAGGCGGTGTGTGTCAACACGCCGGGCTCGTACCGCTGCAACTGCAAGGCGGGCTTCTTCGGCACGCACTGCATGCAGCAGTCGTACAGCTGCGCGGCCGGCAACGACCTCTGCGGCAACGGCGTGTGCGTGCAGAAGGGCGCCAGCGACTTCAGCTGCATCTGCAGCCAGGGCTGGAGGCAGGACCCCGCGACGCGCGCCTGCACCGTGGACGAGGACGAGTGCGCCGCGTCGCGGCCCGCCTGCTCCCACGACCCGCCCGTGCCCTGCATCAACCTGCCGGGGTCCTTCCGCTGCGGGTCCTGCCCCCAGGGCTTCGCCGGCAACGGCTACTACTGCACCGACGTCGACGAGTGCCTCGTCAACAACGGCGGCTGCTCCGTCTCGCCGTCCGTCCAGTGCATCAACACCCGGGTGAGGACGCTACACTGTACGGCCTTTGAAAGTGAACGGGAGGGAGGATGACAACGTGTGTGTAGGGCTCCAGCGTGTGCGGCCCCTGCCCGCCGGGCTACGTCGGCGACGGCCGCAGCTGCAGCTTCCAGGGCGTGTGCAACGTCAACAATGGCGGCTGCCACCCGCTGGCGACCTGCATCCACCTGCCCGGTGAGTCCACCCCGCCGGTCCGCCACCTTTCTGTACTTCCTACATCAGGTGCACCGGTACGAGTTCCTCCTCGCGCCGCAGGCTCCGGTCAGTCGGTGTACTGCGTGTGCATGGCGGGCTACGCGGGCAGCGGCGTGGGCCCCCAGGGCTGCTTCCCCGCCAACACGACGTCCGCGGCGCCGAGCGGGCCCTGCGCGTCCAGCCCCTGCCGCAACGGCGCGGCCTGCACCAACTCGGCGGGAAGCTACACCTGCACCTGCCGTCCCGGCTTCAAGGGTAGGCACTGCGTCCACCCGGACCAGTAATAAGTACTCCCCTTACTACTGCTCCGGTTGTACGTACCCCTTCTTCGGCCTGGACGCCGGCCTCTCTGCAGGCCGCGACTGCGAGACGGCGGACCCCTGCTCGTCCAGCCCGTGCCAGAACGGCGGCACCTGCATCAAGGCCGACGCCGACTTCACGTGCGACTGCCCGGACGGCTTCACCGGGGAGCGCTGCGAGACGCGGCAGGACGGTGAGTCGCCGGGGGTGGCGGTCCTGTAGTGGTCCTCATTGGAAGTGGCGGTCCTGTAGTGGTCCTCATTGGAAGTGGCGGTCCTCACTGAGACTCCTGTGGTCCGCAGCGTGTGGAGGCTTCCTCCGCAGCGAGGCGGGCACCTTGAGGTTCCCGCACTCCAACAACTCCAACGTGTACCCCCACGGCGTCAACTGCGGCTGGGTCATCATCACCAACACCTCCATGGTGCTCAACGTCACCTTCACGCACTTCGAGGTGGAAGACGGCACGCAGTGCAACTACGACTGGCTGCAGGTGAAACTCGGGGGAAAGTCCGAATGGCAATTAAAGTCTCTCAGGTTCGAACCAAAGGCACGCGCTTTGGAAGTCAATGCCCCTGACCACGCGGCTATCCCTAGATTCACGACGGTCCGACGTCCGGGAGCCACCAGATCGGCCGCTTCTGCGGCCTCCAGCTGCCCAAGGACGGCCACATCATGTCCACGCACAACTCGCTGTACCTGTGGTTCCGGGCCGACTCCAGCATCGCCAAGAGGGGCTTCGAGCTGCACTGGACCTCCGTCAAGCCGGGTGGGTACCGCCAGTGGCGCCAGGCCCGGAGGACGTCCCCAGTGGGTCTACTCTTTCATGCCGCGCAGCGGGGACCACTTAAGCACAGCTAGTTTAAGAGCACCAGCCTCGCAAAGTTGGTCGCAACAATGAGTGAACGAGTACTTTGTTCTTGTTGCCACTTCTTAACGTGACGTTGTCGTGACCGCAGAGTGCGGCAGCCTGATCGAGCTGGAGTCCCACGCGTCCATCAGCTCGCCCGGGTCGCCGGGCAAGTACCCGGCCAACCGGGACTGCTACTGGGTCGTCATGGCGCCGCCGGGCCGCCGGGTGCAGCTGCACTTCTTCTCGATGCAGATCGAGAACCACCCCAACTGCAGCTTCGACTTCCTGGAGGTGAGTGTGGCCGAGTGGGTGCCGGTCTGCCTCCCCCAGAAGCCAACCTCGTCGTCCTGCCCTCCAGGTCCGCGACGGCCTGGACTCGGACAGCCCGCTGCTGGCGCGCTACTGCAACTCCAGCCACGTACCCGCGCCGCTCGTCGGCTCCGGCAACACCCTCACGCTGTACTTCCACTCGGATGCCAGCGGCCAGGACGGCGGCTTCCAGATCGCCGCGTCCGCCACCGAGGGTCAGTCACTAACTGGTTCCGGTTTTAAGGTCGCCTCCCCGACAGTGTAGCGCGCACTGTACTCCTCCTTCGTCCTGCTGCAGGCACGCCGGGGTGCGGCGGGGTGCTGACGGAGCCCTCGGGCGTGGTGACAGCCCCCAAGGGCGCCGACGGCAACTACCGCTCCAACATGGACTGCGGCTGGAAGATCCAGGTGCCGGTGTCGGAGCGCATCAGCATCGAGTTCGAGGACGAGTTCGACATCGAGCAGATCGACGGCTGCATGTTCGACTACCTGGAGGTCAGCGCCGAGCCGAGCCACTGCCTAACCTAACCTAACTTAACCTAACCTAACCTAACCTGCCTCCACTCTCTTGCTTTCATCTTGTTTGGTGGACAGATATACGACGGCCCGGACCAGAACGCGCCGGTCGTGGGCAAGTTCTGCAGGACCAAGCCGCCCAGAGTCGTGTCCTCCTCCAACACCATGTTCGTGTTCTTCCACACCGACACGTCGTACCAGAAGGCCGGCTTCACGTTCCGCTACGAAGTCGGTGAGTGTTGTTGCCACGGCGTACGCGACCTCCAACGTCCCCAGATGTCTCAGCCCGGACTTCCTTCCAGAGTGCGGCGGGGTCTTCACCGAGCTCCAGGGCGCCTTCTCCTCGCCGTACTACCCCAACCCGTACCCCATGAGCCGGCGGTGCGTCTACGAGATCCGCCTCGCGCCCAAGACGGCCGTGTCGCTCGAGTTCCAGGACTTCGACGTGGAGGACAACAGCGGCAACGGCTGCTTCTACGACAGCGTGACGGTGCGTGACGGGCCGTGACGAGGGTGGCGTGACGAGGGTGGCGTGACGAGGCGGCGTGACGAGGCGGCGTGACCACCGTGACGAACTTGCAGGTGCGCGACGGGTACGACACCAACGCCACAGCCATCGGCACGTACTGCGGCATGAAAGCGGACCTGCCCGACCACCCCCTCGTGTCCACGCACAACAACATGTTCATCGAGTTCGTGACGGACAACTCCCTCGGCGGCCGTGGCTTCCGGGCCAACTACTCCGCCATCGACCTGAGTGAGTAGCGTGAGCAGTGTACCAGGTCGTCGTCGCCGCACAGCCCGTCTCACTCGCGGTGCTCCCCCAGTGTGCGGCGGCATCCTCAAGGACCGCCACGGCCTCATCGAGTCGCCCCGCGGCTCCGACGGCAACCACCCGTCGGACGCCAAGTGCTCCTGGCTGCTGGTGGCGCCGCCGGGCCACGTGGTGCAGCTCACCTTCGTCTCGCTGGTGCTGGAGAAGACGCGCGAGTGCGACTTCGACTACGTCGCCGTGTACGACAACAGCACCGTGCCGGGGATGGGCGGCCTGCTCGGCAGGTCGGTACCAACACAGCGAAGGCAGTGGCCGCCAAAAGTCCGGCCGAATCACGATTTGCATCAACTCTGCGGCGGAACTGTTCCCAAACTAAGGCAGCAATTAGCTCTGGTTATTTCCGCCCCGCAGGTTCTGCGGGAAGACCATCCCGCCGGTGATGACGTCCACGGACAGCGTGATGAACGTGGTCTTCCGCTCCGACAGCTCGCTCAACAAGGAGGGCTTCACGGCCACCTACACCTTCCTGGACCAGACCAAAGGTACGTGTAACCAAACCAAAAAATAAAATAAAAATTGAACGAGTTGGTCTTGGTATTTGAACTCGCGTCCCACGGCCCTCTGTAGTGTGCGGCGCCAAGTTCCTGTCCCCGAGCGGCGTGGTGAGCAGCCCCAACTACCCCAACAACTACCCCAGCGGCAGGGACTGCGTGTACTCGCTGCGCGTGCCCAACGGCCAGCAGATTCGCCTCAACTTCACGGACTTCGACCTGGAGGACTCGCACAACTGCAACTGGGACTCGATTGAGATCAGGTACGCCACTTTCTGTGTCCGGCCTCCGGCTTCCGGTGGCGTGGCGAGACAGGCCTTTCACGACGGGGTCCTCTGGCAGGAACGGCGGCTCGGAGCGCTCGCCGCTCGTGGGCAAGTACTGCGGCACGAAGGCGCCGCCCGTGATCCTGTCCATCACCAACGAGCTCTCGATCCGCTTCAAGTCGGACACGAACCGCGCGGGCCGCGGCTTCCGCTTCCTGTGGGACTCGGCCTCCCAGGGCTGCGGCGGCACGCTGTCGGCGTCCTCGGGCACCATCCACTCCCCCAACTACCCGCAGCCGTACGGCAACCGCGCCGAGTGCTACTGGAGCATCGCCGTGGCGCACGGCTCCGTCGTCAAGGTCATGTTCACCGACCTGGAGCTGGAGACCAGCACGCGCTGCATCTTCGACTACGTGGAGGTGAGTCCCCGGTCCCCGGTTCGAAGACCCGCCTATCCCGCGTCACAGCGTTTTCTCCGCTCTCGTTGCAGCTGTGGGACGGCCTGCCCACCGTCGGCAAGCAGCTGGGCCGCTATTGCTCCGGCCGGCCGGACCCCGTCGTGTCCAAGACCAACCACATGTACGTGCGCTTCCACTCCGACGCCATGTTCAACAGCCGGGGCTTCGCGCTGGACTACGAGTCGAGTGAGTAGACTGTGGTTCGACGTGGCAGCCGTGGTGGTTCTTGCGACTGAGTTTGGCTGTGGCTGCAGCGTGCCAGGCCAACCTCACCGGCCTGCACGGCGTCCTGGAGAGCCCCAACTGGCCCAACGCCCCGCCGCGCCGCGCCGACTGCATGTGGACGGTGACGGTGCCGCGCGGCAACACCATCAACATCACCTTCTCGCACATCGGGCTGGAGCTGCCCTTCGCCATCCCGGGCCGCGGCTTCTACCGGCTGGGGCAGTTCCGCGGCGGCCGCCCGACCTGGGGCAGGGCCTTCGTCACGCCGAGCACCGCCGCCGAGATCCGCGACGAGCAGTACCAGTCCGTGCTCTCCTGCAACTACATCTACGTCCTGGTGAGCAGCTCGCGACAGCGGGCAGGGTCGCCACTTTTGTGGCCGAATATCTCCACATTTCCAAACAATGGCAATCGTTGTCCAGATCCGCGACAGCCAGAAGGACCCGGAGACGGACGAGGAGAGTCCGGGCCCGGAGCTGGGCCGCTTCTGCGGCTCCAAGCTGCCGCCCATGGTGGCCTCCAAGACCAACAAGGTCTACGTCAGCTTCAACAGCCCCACGTTCTCGCCCAACTCGGGCTTCCGACTGGAGTGGGTGTCGGAGGGTGCGTATCACCGGGTGTCATCGAGTCTATGACGTTGCGTAAGCATAAAAGCGTAATCCGTTGCGTTATTTCGATACTTCTGCTGAGTCCCAGTGACGGTTCGCAGGTTGCGGCGGCGAACTGCGCCGCCCGGAGGGTGCGTTCACCTCGCCCAACTACCCCACGTACTACCCGACGGACCGCGTGTGCGAGTGGACCATCGTCGGCGACTGGGGCACCAGCATCGAGCTCACCATCTGGGACATGAGCATGGAGCACGTCCCGAACTGCGTGTTCGACAGCATTTCGGTGCGTCTCGGTGCCGCGTTCGATCCCCTTCGCACAGTGGGCCAGTCTCCCTGACGGTCTCCCTGGCGGTCTTGCTGCAGGTGTACGGCGGCCCGGACGACACCGCCCCGCGACTCGCCAACCTGTGCCACACCGAGGCCAAGCCCATCACGTACACGTCGTCCAGCCGGTACATGTTCGTGCGCTTCGTCACGGACCACTCCTTCAGCGGGCGGGGCTTCAACGCCAGCTACCGCCGCGTCGACGGCCGTGCGTATTGCTCCAGGACGCCGACGACCGCCTTCCGTGCTCGTCTCCTCACTCTCTCTGTCTCTCTCCCTCCGCAGGCTGCGGCGGCCGCCTCACGGCGCCGTACGGCCAGCTCAACTCGCCGGGCTACCCCAAGAACTACGGGCCGGCGGACGACTGCGTGTGGAACATCGAGGTGGCCGAGGGGCACTCGGTGCGCCTGACGCTGGAGGACCTGGACATCGACTACAGCCGCAACTGCAGCAGCGACTACCTCAAGGTGGTGGACGGCCCCAGCCTGGAGGACGACGGCGAGCTGCTGCGCCTTTGCGGCTCGCGGATCCCGGAGAACAGGACGACCGTCACGTCCAAGGCCAACACCATGACGGTGCGGATGAAGTCGGACGGCACGCGCACCGCCAAGGGCTTCCGCGCCAGCTACGCCACGGTGAGTTGAGGGGCGCCTTCCTCCCCATGCCGAGCCAAGGTCCACGACGACGCCCTGCTTGCAGGTGTGCGGCGCCTTCATCACGGTCACCGACGGCGGCGTCATCTCCTCCCACGAGGCCATCAACATGGCCGGCGACAACGCCAACTGCACGTGGACGCTGGTGGCGGCGGACGCCGGCCAGCACGTCACCCTCACCATCACCCAGCTCGTCGTCAGCCACCTGGACGAGGAGGGGGTGGGTAGCGGCAGCGCAGCAGCGGCCGCCCTCTGGCCTCTGGCTGTCCCGTCGGCCTCCCCAACGCCAACCGGAGCGGACGCTTTGCGCGTTGCAGGAGACGGAGCAGTGCGTGGACAACAACCACCTGGAGGTGTGGGAGGGGCTGGACAACAGCGGGCAGCTGCTGGGCCGCTACTGCACGTCGCACCTGCCGCGCCCCATCACCAGCCGCGGCGCCGCGCTGCACGTCAACCTCGTCTCGCCCCACAACACCTTCCACGGGTGGTTCTCGGCCGCCTACTCCGTGCTCAGCAATGGTACGGCGCACGGCCTCCGCCGGCAAGTAGCTCCGGAGGAGTTGTTCATCCACTTGTGACTCTGCCCCGGCAGCCTGTGGCGGCACGTACAACGCGGAGAGGGGCTCCATCGCGTCGCCGGGGTACCCGGACAGCTACGCGCCCGGCGTCGAGTGCGAGTGGACCATCAAGAGCGCCCCGGGTGAGAACCATGAAATAAAAGCACAAGTAAAAGATGTTCATCTTTTTAAACGATGGTACCCCGTGTGCGCCATGTCCAGGCAACCGCGTGCAGCTGGCCTTCTCGGCCTTCAACCTGGTGGCCTCGCAGGGCTGCGTCGACGACTACCTGGAGGTGCGCGAGGAGCACGCCCTGGGCGCCGTCATCGGCGTGTTCTGCGGCTCGGACGCCGTGCCCACCAACGTGTCCTCCTCCAAGTCCCTGTGGATCAAGTTCCGGAGCGACGACGCCGACACCGCGCCCGGCTTCCTCGCGGACTTCGCTCTCGGTCCGTGCACTCCGTGTTCCGTGTTCAAACACCGGCCAGGGCCAAAAAAAATTTGAAGTTTTTTTTTTTTTTTTTTTAAAGTCTTATTCAACGAACGTTAATGAAAGCAGATGATCCATCGCGTTTCACAACTGCTGTGATAGCCGAGAGGTTAGAGACGTGGGATCGAGTTACCGCAGGCCGGCGTTCGAATACCAGCGTCACAAAAGTTTTTTCGACTTGCTATCCTAAGGGTGGTGGTTCGAGGCCATGAGAGCGGAGCCGTGTGCAACAGGCCCACATGCCGGAGGTTCGACTCCTAACAAATATTTCCATTTAATTTTACTGCCTCACCCAGTGCGGTTCAAACCCGTAAACGTGAGCCCACTCCGAGCATGGGGCGTGGTGGTCCAGGGAGTAGAGGCGTCGGTTCCCAGTGCGAGGGTCGGCGGTTCGACTCCCCCAACTTCTTGCGAAATTTTGAACGGGTCGGTCGAGTCCTGTTGCGTCAAGAGCCCACCTCATGCCGGTCCCCTCATCATGGGCCGTGGTGGCCGAGAACGTAAAGTCGTGTGATCGCAAGGGCGGGGTCCGGGGATCGAATCCCATCATTTCATTACATTTTTCAACCGCCTTCCTCCCAGTGCAACTCAAACCCGTCGTCCAACACGCTGCCAGACGTACAAGCGTGATAGCGTAGTGGTCAGAGTCACATTCACCTGGCCACTCCGCTGTGGGTGTCTAAAAAGCAATCCGCTTCGGCGGGTTGGCCTCGGCACTGGAGCGATGGCGTATTTGATCCATCAATCCAGACCACCCGGTGTGTGGTTGCGGGTGGTGCCTCCTTGACTTGTCGGGGAGGCGATGATAAGTCCTTTGAAGCTGGCCTAAAACGCTGTATGTTCGGTACGGGAGCGCCGGACAGTGGGGGTACCATGGGGTACACAACCAACCCTACGAAAACAAAAAGCTCCCACCAAACCTCTTCTCTGTCTGAGTCTCTCTCTGTCTCTCTGTCGTCTCACTCTACGTCCCGCCCCTCAAAGAGCTTCGTACTGGGTGCTCTCACCCAGCTGCCTGAGCTTTGGGGTCCTACTGGGTCCCCCGGCGAACGCTTAGGGTCGCTGACGGGATTAACCCCAGGTACCTGATAGCACCGGTTCCCATCCCGAACACCGAAGTAAAGCAGGAGGCCTCCCCATTAAGACTGGGGAGGGGGTGTAGAGTTCAAATTTTTTCTTTTCCCTTTCAAATTTCTCGGTTTCTCTGACACCTTCATGTGTATAGTAGTTTTAAGTATGTTTCAAGTGTGAAGGTATCATCTCCTAAAAAAATTTCTTTTCAGCGCACGGTGATTTGAACCTGTCGGGCCCCGAGGGCCAGATCGCCTCGCCACTGTACCCCAGCCCCTACGCGCAGAACGCCGACCTGCAGTGGCGCATCACGGCCACCGCGGCCACCAAGGTCATCAGCATCACCATCAAGGACCTCAACACCGACTACTTCAGCGAGGACTGCGAGATGGTCTACTTGGCGGTACGCGTACCGTACGACACGGAGTCGAACCTCTAGCCCCCAACCTGGAAACCCGATGACCGCCTGGTGTGTGTGCCCTCGCAGGTGTACGACGGCGTGGACGAGACGGCGCCCAAGCTGTTCAAGGGCTGCGGCGGCGCGCTGCCCCCGCCCATGACCACCACGTCCAACGTGGCCTTCGTGCGCCTCTACACCCACCCCATCCGGCGCGCCTCCGCCTTCCTGCTGCAGTGGCGCGAGGTGGCGCGCAACGCCGAGACCGTCGTGGAGGCCAGCGCCGGTGAGTCCCTGGCCGCCCGAAAGGGTTGCCAAGCCCGCCAGAGCAATGCCTCGATGTTTCCTGGTGGGTCTGGTGGGCCTGGTGGGCAGGCTGAGGTTGGCAACCCTTGCCGTCGAGGAGGTTGGTACTGAACGACCGTGCCCGCAGGCGACAAGTGCGGCGCGGCGGTCCACCTCCCCGCCGGCGGCAAGTACAACTTCACCAGCCCCGGCTACCCGGCGGGCTACGGCCAGCACCTCAACTGCACCTGGGTGCTGGACACGGACCCGGGCTGGCACCTGGCCATCTTCTTCAACGACATGGACCTGGAGGTGACGCCCGGGTGCGTGCTGGACCGCGTGCTGGTGTCCACGGGCGAGGGCGGTGGTCCCAACTGGAAGCTGCAGTACACCCTGTGCCTGCCCAACGTCACCTACAACTCCTCGCTGGTCGCCACCAACTTCATGCTCGTCAACTTCCTGTCCGACTGGGGTGTCAACGGCACGGGCTTCGCCGCCACCGTGTACTCGGGTGAGGCCCGCCAGAAAGACAGCACACCGTAAAAGTTGAAATCCCTTTTCAGGCACTTTAAAAATCTTTTCGCAGTGTGTGGCGGCGAACTACGCGGCCCGAGCGGCGTCATCACCGCCCCCAACGACACCACCATCGCACACATGCCCCGCGTGGAGCCGTCGTGCGAGTGGGTGGTGACGGCGCGACAGGGCCGCACCCTGGCCGTCAGCTTCCTCGACCTCGACATCAGCCCCGAGGCCGGCGAGGGCCAGGGCCCCGAGACCTGCGGCAACTCCTACGTGCTGGTGAGTGGTTGGCATTCAAGTCCAGGGAGCACATCGGTCGCTGCTCTAAGGTTCGCTGCTCTGACACGATTCCTTCGCTCTGGCCGCAGCTCAAGAACGGTGGCTCCGCGGCGTCCCCGCTGCTCGGCGACGGCAAGTACTGCGGCAGGGGCAGGCCCACCGTGCCCGAGACGACCGGAAACCAGCTCTACGTCCGGTACCGCGCGCACCAGCCCAACACGGTGAGCTGAGGGAATCCATCTAACGCGCTCTGACCCCGTTACCTTGTCCTGCACGACCCATTGCCCCGCAGAGGTTCGTGCTCCGCTACGACCAGAAGTCCGGGGACTGCAGCCGCGAGATCCGGCTGCTGGACTCGGGCGCGGCGGAGCGCATCGCCACGCCCAACCACCCCAACATCCCCAACCCGCACACCGAGTGCGTGTGGTTGGTCATGGCGCCGCCCGGCCGCCGCGTGCGCATGGACTTCGACGGCCGCTTCGACGTGTCGTCCTCGACGTCGTCGTCGTCCTCGTAAGCAGCAAAAAAGTGCCAACTGTGGTTGGGATTTGAACCCACCGACTTGGCGTTGCCGAGCAGCAGGTTCTAGACGATCGGCTAACGGGATCGTGCTTTACTGAAGGTGCGTGAAAAGCGCAGTGGAGCTCCGCGACGGCGCCACGGAGTCGGCAGCGCTCATCGGCACGTTCTGCTCCACGCTGCCCAGCACGCAGGAGTCCACGGGCAACGTGCTGCGCGTCCGCTACTTCAACGACGAGGCCCTGCCCGGCAACGGCTTCACCGCCAACGTGTCCGTCGGTGCGTCCGAGGCCGGTACTCCAGGTACTCGTTGTAGGCAGCAGGGCCTTACGTGTCCGTGTCCGTAGCGACCTGCGGCGGCACCATCCGAGGTGCCTCGGGCACCATCACCTCGCCGGGCTACCCCGGCCACTACCCGCCGTCCACGCGCTGCGAGTGGCGGCTCGTCGTCAGCCCCACCGCCACCATGACCCTCTCCTTCAAGGACCTGCACGTGTACGGCAACTCGCGCCTCTGCATGGACAACGTCACCGTCACCAGCATGGCCAAGGGCGGCTTCAACGACACCGGTGAGGAACAGACGCCCATTTTCCCGTAAAAAAATAAACCAGCTCGGTATTCGAACCGCGGTCCTGTTCCAGACGTGATTCTCGGCTCGTTTTGCGGCATCGCGCCGCCCGCCAACGTCACCAGTCTGGGCAACGAGGTGAAGGTCGTCTTCCAGTCCGGGCCCCGCGGTCTGCTGCAGTACCGCGGCTTCTCTCTGCAGTTCTCCTCCAACAAGGAAGGTCCGTCCTCTCGAGTTTCTGTCTGTCTGCCTGTCCCCCCCCCCCTAACCCCTCGCCTGCTCCGCAGTGTGTGGCGGCACCCTGGAGATGGCCCGCGGCACCATCCGCAGCCCCGGCTACCCGTCCAAGGTGCCGCGGCAGCGGTGCGTGTGGACCATCAAGGCGCCCGAGGGCCGCCGCATCACCATCACCTTCAAGGACGTGGACCTCTCCCCGGCCGCCTTCCCGCGCTACAACATGCAGAGGATATGGGTGAGACTGGACCCAACTCCTGCAACGTCTCCCTCCGCTGGCGGGTTCGCTGCTCGCTGGCCGTGCTGGCTGCAGCCTCACCTGGCGATACCCCGTGCTGCAGCGCGCTAGAGCAGCGGCGCGCCGGCGCTACCCCGCGCGGGCCGGTCTGGGCGCGTAACCCCGGGGCCTGGAGCGCCGTGTTGGCAGGCCCGCCCGCAACACTCCGGCGTCCCAGACCGACTGGGTTGCCTACCCGGCAGGCGCCGTGTGGGTAGGCTGGCCCGCAACACCCCCGTGTCCTGAACTGAAAAGGTTGCCTACCTGCCAGGCGCTTCCGCTGGTTCTGCCAAAAGTTGTTTTTCTTTTTCAGCTGTACCACGGATTGGAAGAGACAGTGCCCATGCGCAACCTCAACTACACCCTGAAGCAGGGCACCTCTTTCGAGTCCACCTCCAACTCGCTGGTCGTGGTGCTCTACTCGCTCATCGCCACCAACAACAGGGGCTTCGTCCTCGACTTCGACACGGACAAGCCCGTCGGTCAGTACACTGGGTACACCGCCCCTCTGGACCAACCGCAAAGTGCGTGAGCCTTTGTTTTGGCATCCGTGACGTTGATGCGCAGCTTGCGGGGCGCCGCCGTCCACGGCCGTCAACGGGACCCTGGACCAGCCCACCGACGCCGGCCTCGAGTCCTTCTTGTGCAGCTGGCGGCTGGACGCGCCCCCCGACGGCGGCAGCCCCGCCACCAGCCCGACGCAGACGCTGGCCGTGCGCGTCTCCAGGCTGCAGCTGCCGGGCACCGTCAGGTTCCCGTGCCACCGGTACTCCACGCGAGTGCTGGTGCAGGAGACAGGTACGCGAATCACTGCCACACCGCCACTCACTGCTGCTTCCCTGTCTCTTCTGACGGGCGCCGATGACGGTTGCAGATGGGACCGCGGTCACGCGGCTCTGCGGCCCGCTGAAGGAGCCCGTCACCATCGTCAGCCCCTACATGAGCAACATGGTCGTGGTAGGTGTTTGAACTTGCCGCCAACGCGCGCGGTTCTGATTCGCCGGCGTCCTAACCTCACTTCGGGCCCTTCGGGCGCCACGCTGCGCGCTGCGCGGCTCGGCTCCGGCGCCAGTGTGGGTGGGACGGTCCGGACGGCGCGACGGCCCCGACGGCCCCGCTAGGTGAGGGGAAGGGGGCGGCGGGGCGGAGGGCGGGGCGTGGCGGCCGCGGCACTGCGCAGCGCGCGGCTTGTGCGCCACAGCAGCGGGGCGGGGCTGGGCGGGGCGTGGTCGGGCGCGGGGCGTGGGCACGGCGGGGCGGGGCTGGGAGGGGCCGCGGCCCGAGCGAGCGGCCCGAGCGAGCGGCCCGACGGAGAGGCCGATAGTCCGCGCTGGCACCGCCGCGCCGGACAAGGACAGCGCCAGCGCGCATCGACCGCGGCGGAGAGAGACGGAGAGAGCGCGGCGCGGCAAGCGGCAGCGCCTGGCTACGCGCGGGCTCGAGGCTACCTCCTCGGCGCGCTGTCGCCCTGACACGAACACCACCGCACAACGCCGCCCATCTGAGGTTAGGACTCGGCGGGCTCCTCCCCTGCCGGCCGACGGTTCCAGAGCACCGCCTCGCGCGCCCCGCCAGGCCCGGGGCCAGGCCGCCACGCCCCACCGGGAGCCCCACACCACGGCGGAGAGCGGGGAGCGGGGAGCGGGCCAGATGCAGGCGGTGCGGGTGTTGGCGCCACGTCGGCCCGGCCTGGCCCGGCGCCCCGCGGGCTGCCCACCCGCCTGGCCCCGCCCCCCGCGCCCGCCAGCCCGCCCGCCAGCCCGCCAGGCCGCCAGCGTGACAACCGGGCGGGGCCGGCGGGGGCGTGTCGGGCCGTGGCCGCCGTCCACTGATAGGCTAGTCTGATAGGCAAAGTGCGTCCCGGTGCGTCCCGTCCACCACCTCCGCGGCTTGCAGGGCCATCTCGGGGCACCGCGGGGTGCATCCCGACGGAGTGCTGCAGCTGGGCCTGCACGGCCGCCAGCGCCAGCTCGGTTCGGACCGTCCGGAGCCATTCCAACGCCATGACGAGGCTCGAGGCCTAATTGCTCAGCGCGACGCTAATTTTGACAGAAAGTGCCTCCCGGCCACCGTGATGGGGTTTCTCTATGCGTCATGTATTGCCGTGCTCGGCCCCGGGGTTCTTGCGCATTCTCACGCGCCTTGGCGTGTGTGACACACTGTGTGACCGGCCGACCGGCCGACTGGCCATGGTGCGCGCGGGTGCTGGCTCAGCCTCGTGGGTAGGCAACCGACCCAACACACACGTCGGTTGGCTTGCCTCCGTCCGCGGCGCTGCCCTGCCCTGTCTACCATCGTTGCCCCCGGTCGCAGGCGAGCCACCCCTGGTACGAGCGTTCCATGAACTTCACCATGGACTACCGCTGGTACAAGTGCGGCGGCGTGCTGGAGAACCCCGTGGAGCTGACCAGCCCCGGCTACCCGGCCAGCTACCCGGCCAACATGCACTGCGCCTGGAAGATCGTCTTCGACGAGGGCAAGCAGGCCTTGGTGACGTTCGAGCGCGTGGACCTCCGCTCGTGCGACGACGTCCTGGAGGTGCACAACGGTGACAGCAGGACCTCGCCCAAGCTGGGCCCGTTCTGCCAGAGGGCGGACCCGCTGCACTCGTCGGGCCGCCACCTGTGGGTGGAGTTCCACTCGGGGCCCGACAAGCCCGGCAAGAGCGGCGGCGCCTTCAAGCTCTCCTTCGCCACCGACGCCAGGGGTGAGTGCGGAAATAAAGGTAACATTACCTCTATTGAATTCGTCGAACTAACCCACCCCGCCTGCCGCAGCTTGCGGCGGCATCCTCCACGGCACGTCGGGCACCTTCTCGTCGCCGGGCTTCCCGCGCGGCTACGCCGACAACGTGGAGTGCTCGTGGGAGGTGCGCGCCGAGCGGGGCTACCGCGTGTCGCTGCGCTTCGTGGAGCGCTTCAACATCCAGCAGCGCGACAACTGCACCGGCGACCACCTGGAGGTGGTGGACTACGACGAGGAGGCGGCGGCATGGCGGTCGGTGCGTCGCCTGTGCGGCCGGACGCCCCTCGCCGACGGCGAGACGCTGCTGTCCTCTGGCGCGCGGCTGCGCCTCATCTTCCGCTCCGACGGCTCGGGCTCGGCGGAGGGCTTCAAGGCCGCCTGGGGCGTGGCCTGCGGCTTCAAGCGCACGCTCACGCCGGCCCGCCCCCGCGGCGAGGTGCTGTCGCCCGGATTCCCCGTCGGATACGCGGCCAACCTCAACTGCAGCTACGAGCTGCTGGCCCCCGGCAGGGTCATCCAGGCCCGCTTCACCAACTTCAGCGTGGAGACGGGTGCGTCGCGTCTCTCTCTCTCTCTCTCTCTCTCTCTCTCTCTCTCTCTCTCTCTCTCTCTCTCTCTCTCTCTCTCTCTCTCTCTCTCTCTCGCACCCATGCCCTCCCGCGGGCCGCGAGACAGAGACTGCGACATCGACCGCCAAAGTGTGCCTGACGGCGCTCTCCTTGCAGCCAAGACGTGCCAGTACGACAACGTGACCATCATCCGGCAGTTCGACGAGGACCCCACCGTGCCCTACAACTCGGACGGCGGCTACCGGACCGTACACTGTGACCACCGGCAGCCGCCCGCGGAGCTGCGCGTCAGCAACAGGCTGTACTTCACCTTCCAGACGGACCGATGGGTGCAGCAGCAGGGCTTCCGGCTCGAGTACCACCTGGACGGTGAGGAGCGATGACGGCGGAGTGCCCACCGCTGTGTCCTTAACCTGAACGCCCTGCCTCCCTGTTCAGACTGCGACGAGGACATCACGACCCCGGCGGAGATCCGGTCGCCGTCCAAGGACGGGCAGTACACCAACACGGCCAACTGCACCTACAACGTCACCGCGCCGCCGGGCCATGTGGTTGCGATCAGGTACGGCGACCGTGGGTCCGTGGGTTCGAATACCGGTGCGCTTTTTTTTTCACGCGTGTTTCTCCGTCTTTCCCGAGCCAGGTTCAGCTCGTTCGTGGTGGAGATGTCGTTCGACTGCTTCTCCGACTCGCTGGCGGTGTACGACGGCGCGACGGCCAACGAATCCGCCATCCTGGGCCGCTTCTGCGGCAACCTGACGGCCAACCTGCCCCGCCTGCAGAGCACGGGCCGCAGCCTGCTGCTGCGCTGGCAGACGGACTCCAGCATCACGGCCGCGGGCTTCGTCGCGCACGTCTGGTTCTTCAGCGGCAACTGCGGCACTGTCAGGTTCGAGCCGGGTTCGAGTGCCGCCCGCGGCGTGCTGTTTGCCAATGCTCAGGTCTATCCGCTTGCAGCCGGTCCGGGTCCGGCAACACGGAGTCCGCGCTGGCGCCGGCTTCGGCGCTGCAGCTGGGCGTCGGCGAGAGCCTCGTCATCAGCATGAAGCACCCGCTGGCCTTCCAGCACTGCGACTGGTCGCTGACGGCGCCGGACGGCTACACCGTGTCCGTGACGGTGGACAGCGTGGCGCTGCTGGCGCCGTGCCCCAACGCCACGCTGCACCACCGCGACGCGTGTTCCTGCAGCTACCTGGAGCTGGCCGACGGTCTGACGCAGTTCTCCACGAGCATGGGCAAGTTCTGCCGCGCGCAGCCGCCGCCCCGGCTCACGTCCTCGGACCGCAGTGTGCTGGTGCGGCTGGTGGCGGGGCCGGCGGAGGCGCAGGGCACACTGGTGATCCGCGCCGCCGCGGTGCGGTCCGTGTGCGGGCCCTCCACCTTCCGCCTCAACGAGAACATCACCGAGCTCGTCCTCAAGTGAGTGCTCCAGGACCGTGCCTCCAGCGCGCCGCGCCTCTCAGCGTTCAAAACCCGCTTGCTCGCCAGTTCCCCCGGGTTCCCGTCGACGCCGCCCGCCGCCGTGCGCTGCCAGTGGGTCGTGGAGACGCAGTACTCGGTGGGCTCCGTGAACGTGACCACGCTGGACCTCAACGGGCCGGCCCAGTGTCGCGGCCACGCCTTCTCGACCGGCCGCCTGGACATCTACAAGGTGGGCGAGGAGCAGCTCGGTGCGACCGCGTGCGGAATTTCCAATTTCACCAACTTGGTGTTTGCCGGCAGGGCGCTGGCGGCACTTGGTCTTCCCGCAACGACACGCACATCGGCCGCCAGCTGGGCCATCTCTTGACGGTGAGTCCGCGCAATTAATTTTAAAAAAAAGCCAACTAAAAAAATCATTTTGGCCAGTTTTGGGTAAAATGAAATGAATGGACTGTGCAGTACCCTGGCATGACGCTGGACGCCTACACCGACCCGTCGCCGCACTCCTTCTGCGACAACAAGAGGCCCCCGGTGATGAACTTCGGGCTGTTCACGCAGTCGATCACCATCGTGTACTCCTCCGGGGAGAGGCCCGTCGGGAAGGGCTTCCAGCTGCGCGTCGTGGCTGGTAGGAGACGTGGCACCGTAGCGTAGCGGGTAGCGTGACTGCAATGGGGCTCGCTTTCCACGGGTTCAAATCCCCGGCGTGTAATTTTTTTTCTGCAGGCAAAGGGTGCCCCGCCGCTGAGATGGCGGAGCCGTCGGGCAACGTGTGGTTCCCCTCGGACAAGCTGAGCTGCAAGGTGCGCATCACCGCCCCGGCCAACAGCACCGTCACCTTCGTCATGACGGACACGGCCTACGTGGCGGAGTCCACGAACTGCGTCGATGGTGGCGTCCAGGTGCGGCCGGCTCATTTTTTTCGGCAACATTGTCCTAAAATTGATAACCACACTTTAAAAAAATGTTTTTTTTTTGTATTTTCTTTCAGCTTTTTGATGGCCGGGAGACGACCAGCCCGTCGCTAGGCACCGTCTGCGGCTCGGACATGCGCAGGGCCTTCTCGTCCACGGGGCCCAACCTGCTGATCAACTACTGGAAGAAGGACGACAACATGTACTCCAACGTGGAGGGCTGGTATTACACCACCGACCAAGGTACTGCTGGTGCAAAGGTGTACATGACGGGTTTTGATCTCCAGAGTCGCTAAATGGGACCGAACGTGTGACCCCACCAATGGACTGCTCTCCGAACGAGGAATCCATTGGTGGGGTCACACGTTCGGTTCGCGTCCTGTTCAGCGACTCTGGAGCTCCAAACGCGTCTGGAGCTTTGGCCGCCTCCACCGGTGTGCCCCGTGATGCGCTTTGCTTGACGCGCTGCACCGCTGCAGGCCCCGGCTGCGGCGGCAGCATCCACCGCGAGAGCGGCCACGTGGCCAGCCCCATGTACCCCGCGCCCTACCGCAACAGCTCCACGTGCCGCTGGGACATCGAGGTGCCCGGCGCCCGGAACCCCGTGCTCCAGTTCAAGGGTGCAGTAACAACAAAACACGGAAACTGTTTGACGTATTAATTTTTCTAACTCGGCCGTGCTGGTTGCAGTGTTCGACTTGGGCCCGAACGCGCTGTGCGCCACGGACTACATCAAGGTGTTCGACGTGGACGTGGACGGCTCCGAGCAGGAGCGGGGGCACTTCTGCGACCAGGTTCGTCGCCTTCCTTAGTTCGGAGTCGTTCAAGTTTTCGAATTTACAGTGCATGGCTGAGTGAATGGTCGGTTTGCAGACGAAGCCCAGCCTGATCCGTGGCGCCACGCACCGCCTCGCCATCAAGTACACCACGAGCGCGCTCAACGGCGGCACGGGCTGGTTCGCCGAGTTCATCGGCCTGGGCTCCGGGGAGCACTTCCCTGGGACGTAGGGCGCATGACGTAGAACAGTGCGGTGTAATTTATTTTGCCAAAGAAAACGAGTCATTTTAATAAAATAAACTTTAATTGGGACGCCTTCGCTGTCGATGCGCGTCCCTAGTCGACGTAGCCCAAGATCCTCAGCTGCTCCAGGGACTGGCCGTCTTTGGAGCGCTCCTGCACTGTGAACACAAAGCAGCAAGGGAAGCTCAGAGTGACTGGTGGCGCGCGGTCCAGCGATTCGGCCCCGGGTGGGATACTCACGGCAGTAGGGGCTGTCGGAGCCGGTGACGACGGCGAAGGAGCCCCTGGCGGGGAAGTCCGGGGTGTCCAGGCCGATGGGCACGCACTTGCCGCTCCTGCAGGGCCCCTCCTTGACGGGCACCTCGGCCGCCACGGACTTGCGCCACTTGAGCCGCTGGCGAGCCACGCTCGTCTTGTGGCCCCAGAAGCGGCACGTCGTGTTGGCGATGGCCTCGGTGAAGACGTGGTAGGAGCGCGTGTGCGAGCAGCTCACGAGCTCGTTCAGGGCTGCCGACAATCAACAATCAACAACAATCAACAATGACAAAGGGCGGTTTCAAAGTACCCGTCACTGGCGCCGTCACGCCGTACCCGTCACCGGCAGGGAGATGAGGTCCGTCAGGCTGGAGGGCATCTCGACGGAGGGCGTCGCACAGCCGGGCTGGAACTCGCCGCCGTTCAGGTAGAAGTCCACGTGGGCTGCAACCGCCGTCAGTCATGAACCGATCGTCCGATCATTCCCGCTCTGCCGCCATTCACAGTGCACTGGTCGCGCCACGCGTGGTTACCGACGGTCTGCATGATGCCGAAGCCGAGCTGCGTCAGCGGCCTGGCGTTGGTGTGCAGCGCGTCCACGAAGGTGGCGCAGTTCTTGTTGAGCCGCACGGTCCTGGAGAGCGCCTCGAAGCCCGGGCCAGCGGGGTCCATGCCTGCCAAACCGTCGCAAAAAAAGAAATAATTTTTTTTTTTTCAACTTTAAAAAGGGGAAGAAAATAATGGCGGTTAAGAGGGTGCAGTGACCGGTGACGCGGCCGACGTTGGTGATGTTGCGCGCGGCGTAGCCGGAGATGTGCGCGCCGAGGCTGTGGCCGATGATGTGCATGTCCTTGGCCGCGGCGCCGTGCTGCTGGATGAGCGTCCTGCCCAGCCTGGCGGGGACAGCGAGAGGAGAGAGATCACGACAAGGGCGCGGGGCGCGACAAAGGAGGAAAGCCAGACGCCTCACCGAGCGATCTCCCGGCCGACCACCCTGGTGTTGGACGCCGCCTGCAGGTAGTTGGGGTCGATAGCACCGCCGCCCCAGTTGACGATGAACACGTTGCCGTCGACCTGCGGGCCGGGCGCACGCGGTCGGGGGTCGGGGTCAGTTTCTTTCACGCACGGCGTCATCGGCGACGCGAGTGACTCACCTGTCCCAGGATGGCGTCCTTGAGCTTGGCCATCCACTCGTCGTTGCCGCTGTTGAGGAAGCCGTGGACGAGGAAGAAGGTCCTCTTGGCGCCGTCGAAGGTGCTGCCTTGCAGCGACAGCTCAACGTCCGACGGGATGGTGAAGCGGCTCGCCGACTCCCTGAACAAAAAGAGGGTCGGCTCGGGTTTTGAACCCACGGAATCGGCTCGCCTAATGAGCCCTCGCTTGTTTTTCGGCCGCGGACGCGCCGGGCGTACCTGGTGTACAGGAAGAATTCGACGTTGATGCTGTCGGGGCTCTTGGGGGCGGGCAGGGGTCGCGACAGTGTGAACCACGGCGCCTTGAGGTTGAAGCAGCCGATGATCCTGTAGCAGATCTCGTCCTCCGTGGAACGCACCACGGCGAACCTGCGCAGCGTCCACGCGTTCTTTAAGCACCACGTCGGTGAGCACCTCCCCGCGTCAACGCGCCGCGCCGTACCGACCTGACCACTTTGTGGGCCACGCTCAGAGTCGTGTTCTTGACGGCGTCGAAGCTGCGCGCGGCCGTCGACCGCAGCGACGAGAAGGAGGACCTCAGGAAGGAGAAGGGGTTCCACCCGGACGACGACTCATCTGCGGAAAGCCGCTGTCGTCACGATTTCACTCGAGGTTCGACCACTTTTTGACCAACTTGGTCGAAAAATCGTTGCGGTCAAAGCCAAAATCGTTGTGGTCAACGTCTTCCCGAAACAGGGCATGAAAGAGTGGGGTCTTGAGAATACTAGGACGTCGAGGGAGGCCTTTTACGGCGACTAGATTGGACACAGTGGTCACCCAAAGTCAGCAAAATCAGCAAATTTACGAGATTCGACCACTTTTTGACCAACTTGGTCGAAAAATCGTTGCGGTCAAAGCCAAAATCGTTGTGGTCAACGTCTTCCCGACACAGGGCATGAAAGAGTAGGGTCTTAAGAATACTAGGACGTCGAGGGAGGCCTTTTACGGCGACTAGATTGGACACAGTGGTCACCCAAAGTCAGCAAAATCAGCAAATTTACGAGATTCGACCACTTTTGGACCAACTTGGTCGGAAAATCTTTGCGGTCAAAGCCAAAATCGTTGTGGTCAACGTCTTCCCGATACAGGGCATGAAAGAGTAGGGTCTTAAGAATACTAGGGCGTCGAGGTAGGCCGTTGGCCGCAACTAGATCGGACGCAGTGGCCGCCCAAATTCAGCAAAAATGGCAACTTTCGGAGATTCAATCACTTTTTGACCAACTTTGTGGCGTTACTGGCCCCAAACCCGAAGTCCCCGGCAGATTTTTCTGCCTGTCTGCCCTGGCCAGTCCGAGCCTGGTCTCTCTCACACCCGCACCCCAAGGGACGGCCCACGAGGGCGAGAGAGACAGAGCGGCGACAGCGCTGTTGGTCAAGCGGCTGACCGTACCTTGGGCGCTGGCCGCCGGGGGGAGGACCAGGGCGGCGGCGAGGACGCCGACGAGCAGCGCGAAGCCGAGGCGACGGCACATGGTTGGCTCGAAGACACAGCCGGCAAAACAGCCTGGCCCGGCAGGTCGGTCGTTTTGTACAACGCCGCGGCCCGGGCCGGCGTCTTAGGGCGTCGCACGGCGTCGCGTGGCGTCGCGGAGCGTCGCGGCCCGCCATGGGACTAGTCTACACAGGTGCGTCGGCCGCCGAAACCGCCGGCTGATTTCGGCAGTCGCTCCCGGCGACCGAAATACCGAAGCAGCGGAGCCAGTGACACGCGGCGGTCTATGAGAATGCAAACATTTCCGGCGGTGGACGTCGCAGTGCCCGTTGACATTCGGGTGCAACGTTCAAACCTCTTACTCATTGTTTCTCGTCCAACACGTCACAACACGAGTATGCGGAGTACGCGCATAACGCCACAAATTATTACACAATTTTGGAAACCTTGCTTGTCCCCTCCCCGCGCAACGGCCGCGCGACGCGAGGGCCCCGGCGGGGGTGTGATGGCTCCGGGGCGCTCCGGGGCCCTCCGCGGGGCACACGTGTTGTCGGATTCCGGTGTGCAACTCCGGGCGGCGCGGCGGTGCACCCGGACCGCGGTCGCTATTTAACCGGACTCCAGTGCCGGGGAGCGGCCAGTTGCCCCGCAGTCACCATGGAGTACACCAAGCTCGCCGTCGTGCAGGTACGTCCACCGCCTCCCCACTGTGCACCCCGCCCAGTCCACCCATTCGGACCAACCCCCTCCACAGCCCAGCGTCAGAAGACCTTCGACGTATTCTGAGACTTTTCGAGAGCTTCCAAGTCACACGGCGGCGCGCTGTTGTGTCATTCTTAAAGACACCGTAGGGCCTGAGGCCGCAGGGTGTTGGAAATTCTTTTGCGGGCGCCCAGCCGCAGACACCTGTGCGCTAGCGACCTTCAGGCGCTACCTTCGGGCTGGGCAGCGTTCAGCGTGACCCTCGCCTCGCGCCGCGCACCCCTGGCCGCCGCCAGTGCGTCAACCCCGGACCCCGTGGCGGCCGCGGCGAGGGTGAAACCCGTCGAACCGGTTGCTGGCGGGGCGTAGGCGAGGCGGCCTCAAGAAGAAGGCCCTCGCAATAGAGCCACGCGCCGCACGGCGCAGGGAGTACGAATGCACGTTGCGGGTGCTCACGCCCTTGCGTTGCTTGCTGGTTGTTTGCAGCTCTTGTTGCTGGGCTCGGCCCTCGGCCAGCAGCAGCTCTTCGGGCAGCAGAGGCAGGCCTTCCAGTCCGGCTTCCAGCCCAGCGCCTTCCCGCAGCCGCAGTTCCAGCAGTTCCAGCAGCCCGGCCGCCTCCAGCCGCAAGGCGCGCAGAGGCAGGCCGCCGCCGGGGTCCGGTCGCAGCAGCAGACCGGCGAGCAGTTCTCCACCTTCGGCGAGGGCGTGGAGACCTTCAAGCAGATCAACAACCGCCCCGTGGAGCCCTCCGCGCAGCCCGCCGTGCAGACCAGGACCCAGTTCACCCCCAGGTACCGCCGCGGTGTCCGCCCCCACCCCGAGGGCTTTGGCTCTGCAGCCTACCCGTTGCTAATCTTGGTGTCTGTTGGTAGGCCCGCGGTCCCGGCCGTCACCACCGCCACCTTCCAGCCGCCACAGCCCATCCGCGCCGCCCCCGCCGCCCCCACGCCCATCGAGTTCCCCAACGCCCTGCCCGCCCCCGCCGAGCAGCACGACGCGCAGGTGTTCACCCGCCGCCCCCTGACCGGCACCCCCAGCCAGGCCATCCCCGTGGTGAGTACAGTAGCCCCCCTCTGGCGGTTCAATCGCAACAAACAAACCAAAAAAAGCAAAGCACACAGAAAATATTTTTCAAAGACTTTTTCTCATCTCCGGCGCGCGCCAGATTTGTTTGCTATCTCACCGGAAGATCAGCAAAGAGAGAGACAGACAGACAACGTGACGCTGTTGTCGCTTGTCGTCTCTCCCGCACGCACCGCGTCTTCCCTTCGTCTCCCCCTCTCCCTCTCTCTGTCTCTCTCGCCGTGTCGCTGTGCACACGTCGCCCTCTGCGCAAACACCGCTGCACCTGAGGTGACAGAGTGATGGTAGTTACGTGCAACCCTTCAAGGCCAAGGCCTCTGTTGACGGAGAGGTGGGCCTACGGTTCGGCATGGGGCGTGGAATGTACTAGTCCATTCCCCCCCCCCCCCCCCCCCCCGGCCCTCTCTCTCCGCCTAGGTTGCCAGCCCGTTGGACGCGCGCGTACACTGGGTTGCTTACCCTGCGCGCTGCGGGCGCGCGGCGCGGGGTGCGTGGTTGTCGCTACTCCCTGCGCCGCGCTCCCCCGGCGCGCGGGGTATCTCTCACTAGCACTTACGGCCGCGTCGGCTTGCAGGCTTTGCAGCAGCAGCGCGCACAGCCCCAGCAGCCCCAGCAGTCCCAGCAGTCCGCCGAGGCCCTGCGCGTGCAGCAGGAGAACGAGCGCCTGCAGGCCGAGACGCTGCGCATCCAGCAGGAGAACCAGCGCATCAAGGCGGAGAACCAGCGCATCCAGCAGGAGAACCTCCGCTTCCGGCAGGAGACCCAGCAGAGCCAGCAGCAGCCCGACAGCCAGCGCTTCCAGCAGGCGCAGCACCAGATCCAGGAGCAGTTCGTCTCGCAGCTGGACGAGCTCCCCCAGCAGGAGGTGGTGCGCACCGCCCCCGTCGTCGCCCAGGTACGCCTTCCGACTTGCTCGTTGGGGAAAGGAAGGGACTTTGAGTTGTTGACCGCCACGCCTCTCCTCTGCGCAGCCCACCCGCTCTAGAGGCGCCACCCGCCGCCCCATCGCCGTCCTCGACGCCGCCCCCAAGCCCGCCGCCCCCGTGAGGACCACCCCCATCCGCGTGGTGAGCGCCGCCCCCGTGCGCGCCGAGGCCGCCGTCGCCGTGAACCCCGAGGAGGAGGCGCTGTTCGAGGAGCAGGCCAAGAACGCCCAGTACACGTTCGCGTCGTCCGTGGACGACAAGCTGACCGACAACTCCCAGCTGCGCCAGGAGACCCGCGACGGCCTCAACCTGGCGGGGCTCTACTCGTACTCGGACGGGTTCTTCCGGCGCACCGTGCACTACGAGGCCGACGAGAACGGCTACCGCGTCGTCAAGGAGGAGGTGGAGCCCATCGGCGACGGCCCGCAGCTCAACCCCAACGGCGCCGCCGAGGTGCAGGCCCAGATCTCCGGCCAGAACTTCGGCTACCGCATCACCGCCGACGACATCAAGGAGAGGAAGGAGACCGAGAAGGTGCCCGTGCAGCAGGGCAGGTTCCGCCAGGAGCAGGAGTTCAGCCGGTGAGGCGCCGCGTCGGCCAGCGCCTCCACTTCCACTTCCGGTCGCGACCGGAAGCGCCAATAAGCCGCACTTCCCAGTGACACTCGCCCCGGCCCGGGTCAGCCGCCCCGGGCAGCCCGGGCCAGCCGCATCCGGTCGGCAGGAAGTGTGGGAACCGGAACCGCCGCAGCGCAATACCGCGGCGCGTGCCAATACTTGTGATATTTTTTGTTGTTTATAATAAACGAGGAGGAGAATCAGATCACGGCGTTGCACAGTGTCTGCCAAATCGGGGTGAGCGGAGAGAGAGATGTCAATGACTGAGTGAATTTCGCTCTGGGCCGTATAAAAATACATTTATTTCGTAGTATCACATTTCTCACTAACAGAATCACAAAATCTCACTAAGATTAGGAACCTAGGACATCTATCTAGTAACTTTCGCGGGCCGTACAATTAAGTGGTTTGACTTCCGAGCGACCGCGCACCTCACTCACGAACTTAGCCGAGGGCGCAGACCACCGGAACGTACAACACATTAATTGTTAAAACACTAGTTAAATAAAACGACACATAAATGAAATCTTCATTGGTTGCTGCGCTGGGTCATGGCGCTGAGCTTTCGTCGCGAGCTGGGGAAGGACAGGCGGTGTGGCGCCAGTCGGGGTCCGTCTGCAACACAAGGGAATGACGTCATCATCCACCCCGAACGACGCAGGCGACGCAGTGGAAGCGTCGCGTTTCTTTGTCGTTAGCGGAGTTTTCGGGCGACTTTCCGCCACTCACCCGCCGTGTCCGTGGTGGTCGCCGGGGCGGACACGCGTCGCCGCTGCAGGTCGCGGGGCGGCGGCGCGGTGGGGGTGGCGGCGGGCGTGGCGGTGGGCGTGGGGGCGGTCGGCGTCGCCACCGAGGAGCGCGCCCACTCGTGCGTGGGCGACAGCAGCGGCGACAGCAACGACGCCGAGCTCAGGTCGCTCAGGGTGTCCGCGTCGTCCGCGTCGTCGGCGTCGTCCACGTCGTCCGCCCAGGGCAGTGAGGGCGCCGCGGCCGGCCCCGTCTCCGTGGCCGTGGCCGTGCAGGCCGTGCCCTCGCACGCCCGGCTGCTGCAGGTCCTGCAGGTGCACGAGCAGGTCGTGCCGCAGCACGAGCTGCAGCAGCTGCCGCGCCGAGAGCACCGCGACGACCGCGAGCACCGGGACGCTGCGGGAGGAACAACGCATTTGTAGCCGACTGGCGGAAAGTGTTCGCGGGTCTACGTCGGCATCCTGGCCGGGAGGGAGACGCACCTGAGCTGCGCGAGGTGCGCGACGTGAGCGACGCGCAGGTGACGTCGGTGAGGTCCGAGTCGTGGTCCGTGGCCTGCGTCACGTGGACGCTGGGCAGCAGGGTGTCGGTGGCGTCCGGGCCGTACGCCCAGGCCGTGGGCACCGCGTTGCCGTCCGGGACGCCGTCCGGGACGGCCTCCACCACGACGGCCTCCGAGTCCACGGCGCGCTCAGGCGGTGGCGGCGACAGCTCTGGGGTCACCCTGGAAGAGCACCCCGTTGGTTATCCATGCTCTCGATTGGACTATTCCACTGAAACACTCCTTGACGCTGCTCACTTTATCATGACCATGGGGTGGTGGTTGTGCTGCAGGGACGAGGACTGCGGCTCGTCCTGGGGCGACTCGGCCTGCTCCTCCTCGCTCTCCGCGTTGCCGGCCGAGCTGACCGTGCCGTCGGAGTCGTCCTCGGTGTCCTCGGCAGCCTCCTGGGACGTCGTCGGCGACCCCCGAGCCAGGTGGTTCTCCCGGCGCTCTCTGTCCGCGTTCTCCTGCATCAGCGCCCTGCCGAGGGAAGCCCCATGGTTCAATTTGTTTTTGGTGGAGACACCAACGTTGGGGAAAGCATTTGCTGGACTCACTCCGCCTTCTGCTTGAGGACCTTCTGCGCGTCCGGGTAGTACACCAGCGTCTCGTGGAGGTCGTTCTTGCTCAGCACGAACAGGTTGGAGAAGCCCTTGGACCTGTCGGGCCCAAACACGGTGTTAATTTAAACAAGTTACAGAAACAGTTGGAGAAAAAGTTTAAAAACTGACCTGACGTCGGCGGTGCGGCGGTTGCCGCCGGCCAGGGCCAGCAGGCTGATCTCGCCGAAGACGGAGCCCTCGCCCAGGGTGGCCAGCACCTCGCCGTTGGTGGGCGCCAGCACCTCCACCTGCCCCGTCTTGACGATGTACATCTCCTTGCCGACCTCGTTCTGCGGGCAAGAGGTGCGTCAGGCGCCGCTCTGGGGGCACGCCCTCGGGCACGCCAAGCCCCTCCCCGTCGCGACGCGGCGCACTCACCTTGCGGCAGATGAAGTCCCCCGGCAGGTAGAGCACGGAGCGCAGCTTGAGCACGAGGTCGCGAATGAGGGCGGGGTCCGTGATCTTGTTGAACAGCGTGACCTTGGCCAGCGTGCCGCCGTGCACGTCGATGGCTACGTCCGTCTTGAGCTTCTGCGGCAGCGAGTTGAGGATCTTGCCCTCGTCTGCGAGCGAGCAAGCGGGCCAGTCACACAAGAGTCAGCGGGCGTGCTCTACTCACCACGTTTCTACATTTGTCTTTTACGTTTACCGAAGGGCTGGTGCTGGTCCGCGAACGTGAACCAGCTCTGCACGCGGCGCTGCACGTGGTCCGGCAGGCTGAGGCCGCGCATGTGCTCCAGCGTCTCGTCCAGGCGCTTGCGGTGCTCGGTGCGCGTCCGCGACGCCGTGGCCACGATGTCGCGGATCTGGCCGATGAGCAGCGCGAACACGAAGACCCCCATGAGCCACGAGCACGTCATGAACAGGTACTCGCCCTCCGTCTCCGGCCGCGGGTTCTTGCCCACCGAGGTGGCCGTCTTGGTGGCGAAGTAGAAGCACCGGATGTAGCTGCAACAGCGGATCGGTCAAGTTTTCTAGAGTAGAAGAAACATGGGTAGGTGTAGTGGGAGGTAGGCCGACTGATTGAACCCGCGCGCCACCAAGACTCACGCGTTGCCGTCGCCGCCCCGGTACGTCCAGTTGTTGGCGCCCAGCCCCTCGCGCGCCGAGAAGGCGTAGTAGCCGCACGCGTTGAGGTGCACGAGGAACATCATGTAGCACAGGGTCCGCGCCACGCGCACCAGGTACGGCGACATGAGCAGACTGTCCAGGTGGTCGAACAGCTCCCAAAACGTCTGGATCTGCGAATCATCCCGAAAAAATTTGAACTCTACACCCCCTCCCCAGTCTTAATGGGAGGCCTCCTGCTTTACTTCGGTGTTCGGGATGGGAACCGGTGCTATCAGGTACCTGGGGTTAATCCCGTCAGCGACCCTAAGCGTTCGCCGGGGGACCCAGTAGGACCCCAAAGCTCAGGCAGCTGGGTGAGAGCACCCAGTACGAAGCTCTTAGAGGGGCGGGACGTAGAGTGAGACGACAGAGAGACAGAGAGAGACTCAGACAGAGAAGAGGTTTGGTGGGAGCTTCTTGTTTTCGTAGGGTTGGTTGTGTACCCCATGGTACCCCCACTGTCCGGCGCTCCCGTACCGAACATACAGCGTTTTAGGCCAGCTTCAAAGGACTTATCATCGCCTCCCCGACAAGTCAAGGAGGCACCACCCGCAACCACACACCGGGTGGTCTGGATTGATGGATCAAATACGCCATCGCTCCAGTGCCGAGGCCAACCCGCCGAAGCGGATTGCTTTTTAGACACCCACAGCGGAGTGGCCAGGTGAATGTGACTCTGACCACTACGCTATCACGCTTGTACGTCTGGCAGCGTGTTGGACGACGGGTTTGAGTTGCACTGGGAGGAAGGCGGTCGAAAAATGTAATGAAATGATGGGATTCGATCCCCGGACCCCGCCATCGGGATCACACGTCTTTACGCTCTCGGCCACCACGGCCCATGATGAGGGCATCGGCGTGAGGTGGGTTCTTGACGCAACAGGACTCGACCGACCCGGTCAAAATTTCGCAAGAAGTTGGGGGAGTCGAACCGCCGACCCTAGCACTGAGATCCGACGCCTCTACTCCCTGGACCACCACGTCCCATGCTCGGAGAGGGCTCACGTTTGCGGGTTTGAACCGCACTGGGTGAGGCAGTAAAATTAAATGGAAATATTTGTTAGGAGTCGAACCTCCGGCATGTGGGCCTGTTGCACACGGCTCCGCTCTCATGGCCTCGAACCACCACCCTTAGGATAGCAAGCCGAAAAAACTTTTGTGACGCTGGTATTCGAACGCCGGCCTGCGGCAACTCGATCCCACGTCTCTAACCTCTCGGCTATCACAGCAGTTTTGTAACGCGATGGATCATCTGCTTTCATTAACGTTCGTTGAATGAGATTTTTTTTGGAGAGAGAGAATTGGATTTATTGGTGTTTGTGGGTGGTTTGGTCCTTGGTCGTTACCTTGAGGATGCGGGGGAGTCGAAAGAGCACGTTCTCCGTGCCGTACTTGAGGTACAGCAGGTCCAGCGGCGTCAGCGACAGGATGTCCAACTAAAATATGATTCAGTGACTTAATTTTTTTCAAAACGGAGCGCACCAAACACGCACGGGTTGGTGAAACGAAACAACCCACCTTAAACTGCCACTTGGCGAAGTAGTGCTTCCTGGTGAGGCGCTTGTCGCGCACCCAGAAGCCGTCGTACACGAAGATGACGTGGGGCTTGACGAGCACCAGGTCGAGCAGGTACACCACGTCGCAGGCCGTGTCGAACACGAACCACGTCCCCCAGTTGGAGGGCGTCTGGTAGGGGAAGGTGGACCGCAGCGGGATGGTGATGCAGTTGTACATGAAGCCGGCGGAGACGAGCAGCAGCCACGCCAGGTGCCAGTAGCTCTGCGGGTGCAGCGCGCCGCCGTTGCGCAGCGACTGCACGAAGCGGCCGCCCAGCGAGGTGGGCTCCACCAGCTCCAGCTCGTCGCTGAACGTGTCCACGTGCCGCTCCAGCTCGTCGCGCTCGCGCTCGCGAGGCTCGTTGCGGATCGCGAAGTCCACCAGCTGCTCCAGCTCCGGCGTGGGCGTCGGCCGCCCGATGCAGTAGTCTGCGCAATGAGGGTTTCAGTGTTTTGGTTCAACCCCCGCGCGGCGCGGCGGCGTGGCGTGTCGCTTACCGGACAGCGTGTCCCTCTGCCAGGAGACGTGGGGGACATCGCTCTCCTTGGCGTCCGAGCAGCCCGACGGGGACGGCGGGAACCAGTGCCACCTGCGGCAGAGAGACGGGTGTCAGCGACCCAGTGACGCTGGACGATGTCAGTGACACTGTACCCCGCCCAGCGGGCCCAGCACGACGAGGGCGCCACGGAGGCCACGCCCGCAACGCCCGCCAGGCCGCCACCCCCCGCGGTGGGCCAATTAATTTGTGCAATTACATCGGCCGCCTGGCAGTCGCTGGCGGTCGCATGCGGTGCTACCACGCCCACCACAGTGTCCCAACGAAACGGCCGCGAGTTTTCCGGTGGCGCAATGACAAATGGCCTCCCCTCTCTGACGCCGCTGACGGCCACCCCACGCCCGCCCTACCCCAACTCTGCTCCCCCTCTAACCCACTGGCGCCCTGGCTCGCCCCGCCCGCTTTTTAAGATTCGCACCGCGACGCCTCCGTGCGCGACGTGCCCGCCAGGTCTCGCTGGTCTGCATTCACAACGGCACGGCCACGGCGGCGTCTCAGCTTCCTGCCGCCATCCGCCGCGCCGTGTTGCGCGCCGCCTCGGCAGCACGGCCAGCACGGCCAGCATCCCAGCATCCCGGTAGTATTGATTGTGCAGGTTGTGTACACGGAGCGCGGCGAACGCGGCGCCGCGGCGTCAGCGCGCTCAGTCACAGCGGTCCACCGCGTCCCCGTCGGACTGCCGCTTGAGTGGGAGAGAGAGAGCTGCAGCCTGCTGGAGTGGCCGCGGGCATCATGGGCCGTCCCTCGAGGTGGGGCTGGAGCATGGATGGGGTGGCGGCTCCCACACTCACTGAGCAGCTCGGCACGCGTGGCGCCCTCCCTCGGCGCGCGCCCGAACCACCCCGAAGCAGCCCGAGCCACCCCGACGGCCGACGGGGAGGTTCACATGTTTGGCCCGCCCGCTATAAAATCGAAGCGCAGAGTAAACCGAAAAGGTTGAATGGGCGCTCAGGCTTCGCCGCACGGTCCTGGCCGTCGAGGTCGACGAGCAAGGTGCGGCCGCCAAGTCCAGAGCCTCGCGGGAGAACGTGAACAAAACAAGGGCCTGGACAAAGCAGGCCTGGCACTGCTTGGCTCTGCTTTCGCGCTGCTTGCCACTCACCTCCCCATCTGGCCGCGCTGTCAGGGGCAGTGCCAGCGCTCGGACCAGTGTCGACAGGGCGAGGGCATCCACGGCGGCAGCAGAGGCATGCCGACGGGCCGTCACCGGGACGCCCGGGACGTCGACGGGGTCCTGGCGGGTGGCGAGGCCGTGGTGCTGGCCGCGGGCATGGATGCTGGCGGCCAGGGCACGCGCGCGCAGACTGAGCGGGGCGAGGGAGCGCCCCCTGCGCAGCGCGCCGCAGGCCCCGCAGCCCCCGCAGCCCCCACGGCCCCCACCACCGCCGCCGCGTTGGCATCGATCTCCCGTTCCGCCTCCAGCCGGCGGACCGGCGGGCCCGGGGCGGCAGCGTTTTGAACGCGTTCGGCAACGACGCCTAGCCGTTCGGCGTGATTGCAAGCGTGTTGACGTTCCGCCGCGCGCCGCCATCCGAGCCGCACTCTGCGGATGCGATGCGCCGGCCCCGAGCGCCCGGCAGCTAGGCCACCCATCGGACGTCCGTCCCGCCCGGTTAAGCGGTGTCTAAACTCTCCAATATCTGTCCATCTCCGTCGCCCTCAAGGCGATGCCCGTTGTTCTCGCCCTTGTCCCTCGTTCTGGGTCACCCGGGACACGTACACGCCTCGCCCCGGGCCCTGCCGGCCCTGCCCTGGGCCCGCCCTCTGGTGTCATCCGGTCCGGCCGCCCTGGCCCCGGATTAGAGACGGCCGTTTAGAGTCGACTGCAGCACTGCAGGTACTGGGAGTGAGTGAGTCAGCTCGCCCTGGCGGCCCGGCGGCCGGTTCATGCCCATGCGCGATGTAACGTCAGACATGTCAGCGTCAGCGCGTCAGTACCTGAATGTGAGCCCGTGAGTCCTGCCCGGCGGCCAACGCGTCGCGCCGTGACTCAAGTGATTCTACTTAACGTCTCGCGGCCAGCGAGCCAGCGCGGCGAGCGCACCCATTCCGAGCGACAGCGCTTGGCTGCGTCTCTCTCGCCCTCATGTGGTGGCTGGCGGGGTGCGAGAGAGACGGGCACGGGCGGTGCGGTAAGTCAAACCAGTGCGGTGGGTGGTTCTGCCCGCTGCCCGCCCCGAGGGGTTCGGAGACGAGGAACGGAACCTCGTGGGGGTGCGAGAGAGACGGAGCGCGAAACGATCCAAATCCCTCGGCATCGCAGCCAGGCAGCGACTTTGGCAGTGGCCCAGCGCGCCTGCGAAACGCAGGTAGGCAACCCAACCGACGCGACTCCCGCCTGTGGAGCGCCGGGTAGGCAACCCAACGGACACAAGTCCTCCCCGGCGCCTCCACGGACGTACGTACCTACACCTTTTGAACGTGGACGCACAGTCTGATTCTGGACCGCGCCTCGTCGCTCCGTCTCTCTCGCACCCGTTCGGGACGCCCGTCGAGTGCGAGAGAGACGGAGCGACGACAGCCGCGGGCGTTTCTTCAACGCCGCGTAATTAATAAACTCGGAAACGCAGCGCGGCGTTGGAGCGGCCCCTCGCCCCAGTCTGCCGCGGGCGGGTGGGTAACGCCGCGTCCACCACACTGTGGGACTCCGACACGTGAAAGTGACGCTGCAGCTTCTTCGCGTGTCATCGCCGAGGCGAACGCAGCGCCACGCAGCGCAGCGGACCCGTCCCGAGAGTCGTTCTCGTCTCTCTCGCACTCATACGGAGCGTCCCGTAGAAGTGCGAGAGAGACAGAGCGACTGTCTCGGAATCAGTCCGCAGCCTCGATCGGTCTTTTTAAATGTGCGGGCCGCGCATTAATTTTGTACTCCACGCCCCTCGTCCCGTGGCGTGGCGTCGCGTCGGCCCCTCGGCCGCGCCACTGGCCACGCCCGCAACGGTGCACCGAATGCCCGAACGGGGGCGGGGCGGGGCGCGGCGGCAACGAGGAACCAGACAGCAAGCAGGACAGTAAAAGGAAGGGAGAAGAGTGATAACCATCGATTCTCATTCTCCGTGGACGCCGTGGACGCCGTGGACGCCGTGGACTCACTGGTGCTCCGCAGCACGGCGCAGTCGCATTGACTCTTTGACGCGCGGTTGACGCGTTCGTCTGGGCGTTGCGTTGCGTTCTCGGTCGCGGCCTGGTCGCGTCCACCGCCATCGGGAATCCCGCAGCCAATGTGAATGTGACGCAGCTGACGCGCCGGCCGAATCCGCGCGCCGTTGTTTGAATCTGAATGTGGCGACAAGCTGGATTTGGCGCCGCGAGTAATGAACAAGGCTAACCAATTCTGGCGCGCTGACCGAACGGCCGGGCCACAGTGGGCCAGAAGAGCGGTGGAGGCGGCCAAAACTCTAGACTCGGAGGGAGAGAGAGGCAGGGCGACGACGGGGAGAGGCAGCCGATCCCAAACACTCACTGCACTGCAGCAACTGCAGCGCGCTGCAGCGTGGAAACTGTGTCAGTGAGGAGTCGAGTCCGGCGGAGGCGACAATAATTTGAGCACCGGGCCTTTCCTGGCACGTATGGCCTTCGTGAAAGTCAGCGCGCGCCCCGCCCCGCCCCGCCCCGTAATGCAGGTAATCAGGCAAGACCGGCAAGGTGTTTCCCACAGTGGGACACATTTGCATCATGGGAGCGAGAGGCAGGCAGGCGGGCAGGCGGGCAGGCGGGCTGGCGACGAGACGCGACGCGACGCGCCCGCCGCGCCGCGGCGCCAAGTTCGCCCACTCGCCGGCGTCCTGGCGTCCTCCACTCCACGTGTGTTGTCGACGGGACACTCCCGGCCAGAAGCGCGGCGGCGCGGCGGCGCGGCGCCGGCCCGGACAGGCGCGCCCAAAAGCGGCGGGGAAAGGCGGCGACGTGGTCGGCACCAACGGCAACGACCGCCAGCCACTACGTGCAGTGCTGGTTGCTGCTTCCGCCACCTCGCGAAGACCAGAGCGATGACCCTCGCGGACCCGCCTTTTACCGCGTTCGAGTTCGAGTTGACCGTGCGGACCAGGCCATGTTACCGAGCCCTGCCGCCCTGCCGCCCTGCCCGTGTCCACTTGTTCTTTATGAACCCCTGTCTCTTGCTCTGCTCTCCGGCCGGCCGGCCGGCCAGACCGTGGGAGACATTGTGAACGGGAAAGTGAAGGGGGGCACGGCCGCACCGCATGCGACGCGCTTTTCTTAAATATGACCGAGTATGAATCAACGAGGCCCGGGGCCGCCGCCGCCGCGCTCGGACAAAACGCTCAAAGGGTCAGGACGTCAGGACACTCGTTCGACACGGCCAGGCGCGGCCGGCCCAGGTGCCGCGCGAGGTGATGACGGCTGTCTCGGCCGCCCTCTCTCACACACACAGACACGCACGCGCACACGCACGCACACACACACGACGCGCGCAGACACACGGGCGTGACGACATGACGACACTTTGTTGTGAACCAGTGCGGTGCGTCTCGTTGGGACACGGTGAGCATTGGCCGCGTCCGAGTGGCCAGTGCAGTGTGCTGGCCGTGCCGACGACTCTCCTCCCCGGACGCTCCGGCCGGACCGTTCCGGACGCGGCCCGTGCGCATGTAAACTGCCGTGGCGCGGCGTGGCGCGGCGCGGCGGACACAGACGTAAAGGGGAAACATCGGTCCGACGAGGTCCTTGGTGTACGGAGTACGGACTGCGGCCTGCCTGGACGGCCTGCCTGGACGGCCTGGACGGGGAGGTGCTCTTGGGCGGCGGCTTGGCGGCGTCTCTGTTGGCCTGTGTGTGCCACCGCGAGACGCCGTGCGGTGCCGTGCCGTGCGGTGCGGTATGGTGCTGCTTGCGACTCTTCCAGGAATACCACACTGCAGCGGGGGACTTCTCACGCGTGCTCGCTCTTCTGCATACGCCCCCCGCTCCCCCCCCCTCTCTCTCTCTCTCTCTCTCTCTCTCTCTCTCTCTCTCCCCTCTGTGGGACGTGTTTACTATCCCGCCGTGGTCGGCGAGCTTTTTGGAAAAAATGTGTCCTCCTGAAAGCGCTGCTGCTTCAGGTTGGGGACCGTGCGAGCACTGTTCGGACGGCCTGCTGCTGCTGCAGGTGACGCGGGGGAGGGTCTGAAACGTGGCTTTGAAATCGGTCACGTACTTTGGGCAAGCACCAGACTCTTCCTTTTAATGAAACCACTTTATTCCAGTAATTAAAAGGCGGAGTTCGTGTCTAGAGAGCCTGCAAGTAGGCAGCCACTCCCATGTAATTCATCGGTGTCTACTGGGTTGCCTACCTCAGCACACTAGGCAACTCCTCTAAGCCGAAAGTTTGCCTCGGCGGCGGGCTGAGTGAAGTCGCCGCCGGGGAAGGCCAGCCAAGCCGGCCCTGGGACGGCCTTGACGGCGACCTTGGCGGCGGCGGTCAAAAGCGGCCGATGAGCAGGTTGGCCGGCTTCGCCATGTAGCTTCGCTTCGCCCTGGCGGCGTGCTGGCGGCCTCCGGCGCCCCGTCGGACTGCGGCGACTGCAGCACCTTCAGCACCCCTTACAAGGCCTGCCCGACGATGCAGCGGTCTACAAATTGCGCCACTAAATCACCAATCCGGCCGACTAAGTACCAACTAAGTGAGACATTAAACAAGTGAGTCTGGTGCCGCATCCCTTTGCCTGTGCTCGCCTCATCACACGCCGATTCCCGTAACGAGCCGAAAAGCGAGACCACACGGCCAAGCCGCCGGCCAAGCGGGGCAGTGGGCCAGCCCGCGCGTGTGTGTGAGGGTGCAACGACGCGCGTGTGTGTGTGAGAGAGGCTGTGATCGGGCAGACGGACAGACGGACGGGCGGACAGACATGTAATTACTCCGAAGCTGGTGTCGGGCCGCTGAATGGCCTCTGACCCTGCGGCCTGCGCCGGCCTGCGGCTCAGTCAAAACTCGAGTCAGCCCGACGGGCCGATGGCTTGGCCCATGGGTCCGGGGTGACGTACTGGATGTGGCCGGCTGGATGTTGCTGCGGCGCGGCGCGGCGTCGACGTGCTCGTTAAGGCCGTGGCGCCGAGGAGCGCTTGCAGGGCTTGCCGCGCGGCAGTCTGGAAAACGGCCAGGTTTCCGTCGGGCGCTCTGCTGCACTACCTGGAGAACCTGGAGGACCTACTGGAGGACCTACAAGTGGAGGACCTGCAGGAGGGCGGGCAGCCATGGCAGCACGCGCGCGGGCCGCGTCGTTCCACCTGCCCCTCAACGTCAAGCAGGCGGCTTGGTTAATTAGGGGATGAGGCCGTGGTGGGGCG